GGGTGCATACTCCGACAATGGCGATGCGGTGGATGTGGTTGGTGAACCCGGGGGGTTGGTCTTTGGCGTATTTGGTGGTCATGATGAGGATGCAGTGGGGGTTCTGGTGTTGTTTGTTCTATGGGTTGAGATAGCCATTGTTGAGGTTTTATACTGGAGTACCTCGGGGATAGGCGGAGATAGCAGCCCCAAAGGATTGGAATCCTGGTCTGGTGTTTCCGGAGTTAAAGTCTCGCTATGGTCCGAGCATCCTAGGCATAGGACATAGGATATAATCTCCGGGCATCATGTTTATCAGATTGATCTGTAGCCAGTGGAGGGAGACTCGGCTGGACTCGGGGATGAACGACGGATACGGCAGACGGTAGCGCGAACGAAGCCTCGGATCAACGGGCGGCTCTGGCTTAGCACGAGCTAGCTCGCCTTAGCCTCGTCAGCCATGAAGCTGGATTCTTCTTCCGCCCGAGGAGGGTCATCTTCTCCATCCCTCACATCCAGCATGGTGTATTGTGGCCGACCCTCCAAGGCCTGCGAGCCCTGTCGTCTCCGGCGCCTCAAAGTAAGCCCCTATCTAACCCTATCTTCATCCACCCTAACCATCCAGTGCGATCACCGCCGACCAGGATGCACCCAATGCCGCAACGCCGGTCGGGTCTGCAGCGGCTATCGCGCCGACATCGACGTCAACTTTCGCGACCACACCGACGCCGTAGTCCAGCGATATAGCAGCAGCAGCAGCAGTAGCAGCAGCCAGAAGTCCACCCGCGCTGCCCCAGCCCCAGCCCCTGTCCCAATCCCCGCCCCAGAATCCCACCTGGTCGTCGACACGGCCCTCCACATCGCCGTGACCCGCTTCCTTTCCCAAACCACCCACAGCGTCCTATCCGAATACGTCCTCCCTCTCTTCTCCCAATCCCAATGCGCCCCCCTCCTCACGGCCTCCATGCAAGCCATCAGCCTGGCCTGTCTCGCCAACGAGCAAAACCGCCCGGACCTGCTGACCCCAGCGCGCGAGAAATACGGCCTCGCCCTCCAACGTCTCGGACGCGGTCTGCACACCTCCCTCCGAATGCCCGGCTGCAACGAACTCCCTTTCATCTTCTGCTCGGTTATGCTCCTCGCCCAATTCGCCGGAATTGCTTCGCGATCCGGTGAAGGCCGCGCCGAATGGTCCCGACACGTCAACGGCGCGTTCTCGCTCCTCGTGACCCGCGCCTTGCAGCATGCCTGTCCGCTCACGATCCCGGGACAGAGTCTGTATCTGCATGTCGTGAGTTGTCTGCTTTTGGATTGTATTCAGCGTCGGACGACGTTCTCGCCCCAGATGCGGGCCATTTTGTATGCGCGGAGGGCAGATGTGTCTGAGTTTCAACTGAGGTTTTGGGGGCTTATGGATCGGATGTGTGTTTTGAGGGCTATGGAAGGTCGGCCGGGGGGGCCCGAGGGGCATCTCACGCCACAGAGGTTGAATACTGCATGGGAAGACCTCGATCGGGAGGTGCGTCTTTTGATGCAGAATATGCCGCTTTCGTATGCTTATCGGTCTACTTCGACGGCTGAGATACCTGTCGACAACGGCAAGGGTCTTGATACGCCGTATGATGTGTATGCCACCTACCGCATCGCTCAGAATTGGAATACCCTTCGCATGGTGCGGCTGTTTGTTCAGGAGCGTCTGCTGGAACAGCAGAGTACCTCGTCGGAGGACGATAGTGGGAACGCCAAGGTAAAAGACTGCCGAGCGGTGATTGCAACACTTATACAAGATATCTGCGCTAGTGTACCCCGCGAGCTTCGACAGTCAGCTGGCAATCAAGTTCAGCAGTTACCCTCTGCCAGCGGATGGGCGTATTCGCTGGTCTGGCCGCTATCGCGCGCGGGTGCCTCTGTGCATTGTCCCCCTGAGTCAAAGACGTTTATCGATCGCCAGATGAAGATCCTGCAGGAGCGGATCGGGTTGGATATTACGGGGGCGCAGGCGCCAGAGGAATGGTGAGATTCCTGACTTGGAGGATTGATGATGATGCTGATGAGATAGGGTTCATATGTTTTTCCTTTTCTGACCAACATTGATTGTGACAAAAACTCCGCTGTCCAATTAAAGAATCATACGTACACATAGACCCCTGAACCAGCTCACTGCTTCGCCAACACCACCCGAAACGCCGACAATTCAACCTCCGCCACCGCAGTGTCATTCCCAGCCCGCCAAAAAACCGCCTCATTCAACGGCAACCCCGCATAACTCAACGGATCGATATTTGAGACGCAGTAATCCGCCCAAATGGAGGTTGCGTTTCCCCGAACTTCAGTATCGCCCCCATTCCCCTCCATCACGTTAATCAACCGCCACACCTCCCCGACGCTGCCATTAGCAACGCGCGTCTCAAACGTCGGCATCATCTGGAAATAGATATTCTCGCCCGTCCCCGCCTGGTCAGCAACCAGGGGGATGAGTGCAGCCAAGACGTCTGTCCCATTAGACACCCACTCGGAGATATACAGCGATTGCTGCATCGAGTGACTGAGGGTGAGAGACGAGTTCAGCCCGGTGTCACTGGACACATACCGCCCGGAATACGTGTCAGCCAGCTGCCCCTGCGCCAATACCTCCGCACCCACAATCACCGGATCCACCACCGTGTCCAGCAACTGATTCAACCCGGTTAAATCCCCCGCGACGCCCATGAAAATCACCAGATCGTACACCGGCACGATGAAGCTATAGGTGTAATATCCGATCAGCCCACCACTCTTGGTATTCAGCGTCACGGACCGGGTACTATTCGGTAGGATGGCCGGCGAGCGGAAGATCTCCCACGGATATCCGAGGTAGGAGTGCGAACCGGATGAATACGCCGCGGGGAGGAACCAGTTCAGGGCGGGCGTGATGCTGTTTGCGTGGGTGAGGGCGTGCTGCAGGAAGGTGATCATGTCGGTGGGGGTGCTGTATAAGCCGCCGGATCTGGGTGCAATTAATACCTTAGTCTCTTTGCCTGTGGATGTGGTGGGGATGGGACGTACGGATTTCCAGACCCCATATCAACACCCCAGTAACTATCCTCGACGACGATGCCACTGGCAGGCGGGGTGAAAGACGTGCCGGTTAGGTTCAGGGGTTGGAGAATAGCTCTCTCAATGTACTTTTCATACGTGGTATTGCTGATCTTCGCCAATACCAAGCCAAGCAGATCAAACCCCACATTGCTGTACGAGACTTCTACCCTGGGCGGGAAAACCGGGGATGCGTCTTGTACCCAATCGAGAAGATCTAATCCGTTCGTCAGTCTATCACACACTATAATCGAAATAGTAAAGAAAGAGGAAACAAACCCGTAGCCGTACAAGCCACCTCATAATCCGAAAACCCCTCACAGCTCGGCAACTCCGCCTCCTCGGCCGCTGTCACCGGAGGCAACCCCACCACCGTCGGATCCGCCAACGACAGCACCAAATCATCCTCTGCATCTATTTCTAGTCAGCGACCATCTCACATCATCAAATGGTTAGGAAAACGTACAATCATCCGGCAACCCACTCAAATGCGCCAATAAGGTTCGGAGAGTAATTCCCTCCCAATTGATCTTCCCTTTCCCTTTCCCTTTGCCCCTCAGAGCAGGGATATATTTCGTAATCCGATCATCCAGACTCAATCGTCCAGCTGCCTCTTCTTGGAGAATTCCCAACGCGGTGAATAGTTTCGTGTTACTGGCGATGCGGTACGCGGTGGATCCGTTCACGGGGAGGGAGGTATCCTGGCTGGCGTGGTTGATTGAGTACAGGGGCGTGTCGCGGGAGGCGATGGATACAGAGAAGGAGGTGCTGTTGAAGATGCCATTGGAGATGAGGGAGTTGATGGCGGTGGTGATTTCCTTGAAGACCGGGGTGAGGGAGGTGGGGGTGTAGGTTGGTGGGAGAAAGGGGATTTCGGGCTCGCAAGAGGCGAGGGTTTGGGGGAGGAAGGGGAGGAGAGATAGGAGCGGGTGAAGACGCATGGTGCTGCTTCAAATATTTTAAAAACTGAATGAGTGATAAAACTGAGAAAGAGACGAGTAGGAATACAAGCAATGAGAGATGAATGAATGCGTGATGAGGATAGACTAGATGGGGGGGGGGTTGGAAGGCTTTATAGCCCTGGTCGTGCTGTAGGGAGGACTGTAGCTATGGGGAATAAATCCCGCTGCCTGGAGCCTTGTTAGCCATTAGGGCAGCTGCTGATGGGCTGATGCATGGATGGAGATGGAGGATGAGCTAAAGGATGGGGGCTCAAACAATGGCCGACGAACTGCGCCCCCGATGGGGTAAGACTGGGCGGTGGGGGTGGGTCTGGGTGCCTGTGGGCCTGGGCAGCAGCTCCGATTTACCGCATATGTCTTGATTGATAATTTGTGCTTCCAAGTGGATAGGCTGTTTGGACCCTTGTGATTACAGACGCGAAAGTTACACGAAAGATGAGGATCGTGTACGGTGTACTCCGTACACTGGACAGCCAGGGCGCACGGGGGGACGTGACTTGACAGCCTTGTGGCATGGTCCGTGCGGATCAGTTAGCCTATCATAGAATTGCACTCAATCAAAATACACCATACTAGTACAGACACAGAAACCGCTCAGCATTAAGTATTACTCCTGATCATAACCATACAATCCCACCTCTCTATTCCGGGTATCATCCATCCATCCGACAACCCTACTTTGTCTCCACCCAAGCCTTGAAATCCCGATTAAACGACTCAAATCCCGTCCGCGTATTCTCTCCCCATCCCGCGGATTTAGCCACGAAACTACCCCCCATCAAAAACCCCAGCATTCCACTAAAGTGCTCTTCATGAACCAAGCGCGTCCGATCCGGCTGTCCATCTATCGCCTCGAACAGGAACCGATGCTCGCCGGTGAAAATGGCAGGGAGGGAAGCGACCCAGCTGAATAGAGCAGGGGTATTGTTGGTCACGATCGGGCTGAAGGTCATTTTGCCGTAGCCGACGGTGCAGGTGAGCTTATCCCCGGGTTGGAGGGTGGTCGGGGCTTTGTTGTCGGCTGGGACGATGGAACGGATGAAGCCCGTGGGGGTGTAGGTGGAGAGGGACGAGAAGTCGAGGAACTGCGATGGTTAGTGGGTGAAAGCTGTGTGGTGAGTGGTAGGTAACCTTTTCGCGCACTGTAGCGGGAGAAGCGGCGATTTCAACGGTAGTAGTTACGGCGTACATGATAGTGCTGTTGCTTTGGTCTGCAAATCTCGCTGGAGAGGAATGAAAATATTGCAATTATGCGACTGATCAATGTCAAGGCAATGGATGCAGAGTAAAAATATCCTTTCTCGGGGCTCGTCCTGGTTTTATAGCTGCCATCAACATCATGCTCATCTGGACCCCGAGCGGGAACGGAAACCCGTGCCCGTCGGGCCCGATCGATCGCCAGCACTACCTTCTCTACCAGGCACCAGACAGTGACGTGTTCTCACACTGAAAGCGCAGATGACGTTGATCCAGGCAGCATCATCATAGAGAACAAAGAAACTGCTTCTGCCCGAGACCTGCATCTCTAATTGATCCTCATCAAAACTACCTGAATAGGAACCCCGAGGGTCACGTGTTCGACGGGCTGAGAGTCTGACAGCCAACATCCCCACTTCGGATCGCATCCGATCACAGCCGCAGGGCGCGTGGCACTGCCGCTCGGAGGAGTCACGCTGATTCGCCGGTTCGGATATCTTCCAGTCCGAGCAGTATCTGTGCGTATAGGTCATGTGATGTCTCCATGCTTCCTCGGACCGGATTAGGCCGGCCACGTGATGGGCTCGCTGTCCACGAGGCTGCCGTGTCTCGACATGTCATTCAGCCATCGATTGTCATCTGATGTTATCAGACACATTCATTCTTGCCGTCGCGTCTTCATGCTGCAATATGGAGTTGCCTGTCAGAACTGCACAGGATCCTTGACATTATCGGAACGCAGTGATGAGGGGTCTACGATGGAGGAAATATATCCAAGCATGACCACAATGTATCACCACGAGGAAAATCAACGCAAATCACTGAAGGCACCTGGAAGTTAAAACTCTTCCAAAGACGCCGGGAGTGAAACAGGTTGGAATGCGTCGCATCTGAATCCGATCATCCGGGATTCATTTTCCGAGCGGGGTTTTCTGCCCTCACCCGTCCTCTAACCGACTCGATGAATCCAACCTCTACCAAGCCCTCGGAGGTATGTCAGAAATGCCTACCAAGCCCAGGAATCATCGATCTCTTCGGAAACATGTCACCACGGCATGCATTCCATGTCGCGACGGCAAAGTCAAGGTATGTACCCCACTTCCACCGGGGTGATCCACTAACATCAACAGTGCGGCGGCGGTACACCTACCTGCAGGAACTGCGCAATACGGGGCAAACCCTGTCGCTATCGGCAAGGGGACGATAAACGGAAAGTTCCAGTACGGCAAGCCGTCGCTTTGCTTGCGCGGAGGGTCGACAGCCTGGTGCACTACATCAGAGACTGTGGCCTCCCGGTTCCCACCATGGACGAAGAAGACCATCGTGTTCTGAAGAATGTCTTGGATGCGCTGGAGCTGCAATGTGAGGATGTTGTCTCCTACCCTGGTCCATCTCCAAGCACAGGGGCAACAGGCCTTTCCAGTAGCGTGATGGTGCCCACAACGCCCGTCTCCTTGAACAACGGCGTCCGTCATTCCCATCCAGAGGATGCACCCGGCGAGGTCAATCTCGAGACCCCCAGTCAGCCAGAGCCAGCGATACCGGTCTGGGAAGAACCTATGCAAGAGGATCCCCACGATGGAGAGGCAGACAGCGACGATGAAGTCACCGATCAGTTGTCATGCCGGTTAGGGCGGCTGCAAGTCACTCATGATGGCCAACTCCGATACTTTGGGTCCACGTCCAATCTGACGCTACTGGATGCTCTGGTGGATGTCACTCCGCCCGTGGCCATTGCCCGCGACGCACGCGAGTTGCTAGAGAATGCCCAGCTGGACCATGAGATGGACGAAGCATTTGAACGACACCTGCTCGAGCTCTTCTTCACGTGGCAGGATCCTAGACTGCATATTATCGACACGGAGAGCTTCTGGCGGGCCCGAGCGCAGAGTCGAGACGAGAGTCTCCCCACGCCCTACTACTCCCGGGCCCTGTCCGACGCCATGTGCGCCTTGGGTGCGGCCTACGAGCCCAAATACCATCCCGACTTCGTGACCTTCCCCCGATCGTTGGCCGAATACTTTGGCGATCGGGCCAAACTACTGGTCGAGCTCGAATTAGACACTCCGTCGATCGCCACCATCCAGGCCCTGGTCCTGCTCAGCACCCACGAAGCATCCTGTACCCGGGATACCCGTGGCTGGCTATACAGCGGTAAGCTTCATGCCATAGTGGACTTCCCAGCTGACCGAGAAGGAATGGCAATGCGACTCACCCTTGACCTCGGTCTTCACCTGGAGATGGCCCCGTATGTCGAAAAGGGGATCATTCCACACCAGGATGCCGAGGTACGCCGGGTGGTCTTTTGGGCAGTGTATCTCAACGAGCAGTAAGCCCACCTCCCTGCTCATGGGATTATGCTGACCAGCAGGTTCTGGGGCTTTTACCTGGGCCGATCGGCCCAAAGCCGCATGGACATAGTCACCGTGCGGAAACCAGCCGCAGCCCCGGCCTCCTTCACCAGCTGGAAGCCGTACCCTCACCATGAAGCCACCGTTCCGATTCCATTCAACCTGCTGTGTCGGGAATGGGTGTCACTTTACGAAATCATGCTTCCCCTCACTGATGTTTTGTAAGTCCAAACCTAATGTGCAGCCCAAGCTAACACCATCAGATACGGCTGCTCTGAAATCTCCGTTCACGCTCTGCAAGGACTCGCCGAAACGACTGTAGACAAGCTCCGACAATGGCAAATCGACCTCCCCGCAGAGCTAACAGCCGATGAAGCCTCCAGCATCCACGCCCCACTGCCACACGTTCTCACTTTTCAGTAAGCCATCCACCCCTCCAACATGTCAAACCACTTAACATCTCAGCATGCAATACCACCAATTCATGATCCACTGCCACAAGCCCTACATCTCCCGAAAATACATCCAGCCCCGACCCCCTCAAGGCCCGGGCTCCAGTCACGCCCGACGAATGTGCATTGATTCCGCCGTCGCCATCGTCCAGCTCCTACTCCAGTACGAGCGAGCCTACGGGTTCGAGAAATCCAACGCTCAGATGGTCTCGTTTGTATTTTCTGCCGCTCTGATCTTGATCTTTAACACTGTTCCCGCCAAGCCCATGTCTTCGGATCAGCAACTCGTCATTCATCTGAGTACTTGTTTCCGCGCCCTCGACAACATGGCCAGCTGTTTTGAGAACGCGAGACGCACAAGTGTTTTCCTGGGTACTCTGCGCCGCCAGTGGCAGGTCCGAAGGCGAAGTCGCAGAACGGGATCGGTTCAAGGCCGGGAGAAAGGGTTCTCGGAATCGTCGGGGTGGAGACGTGAGGATGTGGGAGTGTCCCCGGCTTTTGGAGAGGGTGTTGATGGGGGGCTTGGGTCTGGTATTGATGATCTACTAACGTGTTATTCGACTCTTGGAGAGGCTCCGGCCTCGACGGTGGATTTTATGGGCCCGAATCTTTGTAATATCCTTCTGAGTGAGGGGATTCCGAGGGCGTTTGTGTGATGGACCATGAATAGATGGGTATTGTGTTGTATAATGAGGTCATGGATGAACTTTGCATGATGAGTCGTTCCCTGACTTGGAGCATGCGAATAGGCCAACCACATGTAGTGGTGAGAATACAGCCAGCTGCAGTATACATCCTACATTAGAATGGTATTACTGTTACCTTTGGTGCATGACATAAGGCTTAGTTACAACCTACTTATAGAATTAAGACCAGGATGCTGCAGATGAGGGGTACCCCGCACGTCGGTTATGTCGCATCGGGAGAAGGCCGAGCCTGATATACCATCGGCTGCCATACATGCCAAATATCACTAAAATACAAGCACAATCCTCACCTACCCACAACACCTATCTCCATTAACCGCTCACAACATGACTTCCCCCATCCCCGCCAAAACCACCCAACTCCCCCCGGGCATCTTCTGCCCCGTAATCTCTCTCTTCAAACCCACCCGCGAACAAGAAATCGACCCCGACGCCTCCTACAAATTCTTCCGCTATCTCATCCGCAGCGGCATCCACGGACTCGTCCTCGCCGGCACCACCGCCGAAGCTGTCCTCCTCTCTCCCCCCGAACGACAAGAACTCCTACGAACCGCTCGACGCGCTGCACTGGACCTAGGGTTCGAGAAGTACCCCCTCGTCGCCGGCATCAGCGGGCAATCCGTGAACGAGACACTGCGTCTCGCCGACGAAGCCCGTCAAGCGGGCGCAGACTACGGCCTCTTGTTACCTCCGAGCTACTGGCCGAAAGCGGTAACGAAAGATGTGCTCATTGATTTTTATACCGAGGTTGCGGATAGTGGGATTCTCCCTATTGTTATCTACAGCGTGGGCCCCTCCCCGACATGACAAATGAATGGGTATTAAAAGGAAACAGTTCCCCTCCATCACCAACGGAATTGACCTCTCCTCCGACACAATCTCCACCCTCGCCACGCACCCCAACATCACCAGCGTAAAACTCACCTGCGGCAACGCGGGAAAAGTCACCCGGTTGACCCACGAATACACGCACGCGCAATTCGCCGTCTACGCGGGGTCCTCGGACTGGTTGATCCCGTGTCTGAGTGGTGGGGGGTCGGGGTGTGTGACTGGTGTGGCGAATGTGTTTCCCAAATGTACGGTCAGACTGTTTAATTTGTGGAAGAGTGGGGAGATAGACGAGGCGAGGAAGTTGCAGGGGTTGATTGCGTTGGCGGAACGGGCGTGTAAGGAGGGCATTGCGCCGACGAAGTTTGCGGCGGCGTATTTTGCGGGGCCTAGGGCGGGGGGGTTGGATTTGGAGGCGTTTTGGCCGCGCAGGCCGTATCGGCCGTCTGAGGAGAAGGTGAGGGAGTGGGTGGTGGGGGTGATGAGGCCGTTGGTGGAGATTGAGGGGGGACTGCCGGATGTTGGGGCGGAGTGATCTGTCAGGGAGATGATGGGTTTGATTCTGGAGAGGCTTGGATGTGAGGTTCCGTAATTGGTGCTGACTTGTTGTGTGGATGTCAGTGGAGGATGTGAGAAGCTAATGAATGCATTTACTCCTTATATCTGCTCCAAGGGTATATTTGCATATGATAACCCTCGTATCCCCTGGCGCTGTTCCTCATGTAGAAGTCCGCTCTAAGCATCTGGCACTCCATACTCCAACAATCTCATCCAAATAACAAGAAGCCACTCCTGATCATTCGCCATCAAGTCCGCAACACCAGCCGACTGATCCTCCACCGCTGAAGGAACGACAAAAGCACATGTTGCCGAACCCCCCGGGAAAAAAATTCACCATATTCGCTCGCAGAATCTGCAACGCTATCCAATGCGTCTCATTCGTCCGCAATTTCCTCGGAAGCCGGATCAGCGCCTGACTCGTCAACGCACTCCAATACTTTCATAAACTACTTCACGCCCGACAAGGCGGGTATGAATTACTCCGGTTGCCAAAGATGCGGCTTGGCTTCCCCGCTATCTTCAAAGGAAGTTTGGAGCACAGTTCATTTCCAATTTTCCCGAGTACGAGATCGTCTGAAATGACCTGACGAAAACTCCTGTCTATATCGCATACCAGACCCTGGAACCTGATGGATCGCTTGGCAATCCGATGGATCGACCCACCAAACGAGCCTAGTGCAAGACACCGCCCCCTCGCTTAGCGAGGATGGCGGTGTGGCTGAGTCGATATCATCCTGGTCGTAGATCCATCGCAAAGCCAAACCCTACATCCAACTTCTCCCACTCTCGTTCATTCCACCCATGCCGCCGGTCCGGCAGGCCAGCCAGGACCCAGACAGTCAGGCTCCGGACAGTGGATCGTCCAGCACCCCTCATGAAGCCTCACGCTTTACGTTTGTCGTGGGCGGCCACCAGGCCAGCACCCGGAGCCATGCCATGCGTGTCCACTGGAGCGAGCGACACCGTGTTCGTCGCGAAAAACGACAGCGAGAGGCCTCCCGACGGCTGTATCCAACCCTAGCCGCGAGGGAGACCTTACCCATTCGACAATCCTCCCACAGCTCATCCTCCGACAGCCAGGAGCCACCTCCCCCTGCCACCACTCCCAGGCGCCCACCATCCACCCGCGATCCAAGCATCGCCGCCCAGCTACTCATCGGATTCAACCACGCCCTCAGCACGGTCCCTCTAGACCCTTTCGATTCCTTCCCCATCCGACTAACGAGCAAACACCACAAGCTCATCCATCACTGTACCCTCCCCATTCCCCCCTCGGTACCGCCCCACCTAACCAAACTCAGGGCTAACCACCCACGCCACCATGATGTTCGAAACGATCCCGGCTCCGAGTTTCAACCCTATGCGCGATGTCTGGTTCCCACTAGACCTGTCCAACCCGGCCTCGTTCAACGCGATCATGGCCCACTCGGCCGCCCACCTGGCCCATTACTACGGCGCTACTACCCCCACCCAGGGGACGAATTCCATAGAAGCCCTACGATTCAAAGCGGATGCGGTGAAAATCCTCAGCCAGTGGTTGAATGATCCGGACAAGGCACTCAGCAATGATGCGTTTGCTGCTGTGGTGCGGCTGCTTACCTTCGAAGTGAGTCCACCTTCAACCCCATCCAATCCAAGTCCAGCGAGATTAATGCCAACTGCATCCAGAGATACTGGGGCACCGAAGCAGAATGGAAAGTACACCGCAACGGACTCCAACGGATGATTCACGCCCGGGGCGGTCTGCACCAACTACATAGTGACTGGCGACTTGAGCTAGTCGTTGGCTTGTACTCTCCCCCCCTCACGCCATTCACCAAACACCTCCCCCCCAACTAACTCTATACTCCAGGGTATCCCTAATGTCCAAACCAACCTGGTTCGAATGTACCAACGACCTCTCCGAGATCTCCGACCAGCGCCTCCCGACCCAAAGCATCCTCGGCAGCTCCATCGACCTCCACAAAATCCGCTGTCTCTGGCTCATCTCCTTCATCCAAGACATGCGCAACCTCATGAGCATGTGGTCCCGACTCTACCACTCCGGTCTGCACTTCTTCCCCTCCCTCTACGACGCGATCCTTCTCATCCGAGCCGAGTTCGAGTTCGAGTCCGAGTCCGAAGGGGAATATACCCGCGCTGCGTACCGCGCGTGCGACTACGAGCGTCTCACCTGTCTTTTTGCGATCTGTATCTTAGTGCAGGGCTCCGTGTCGCAGACGTATTCGGGGCCGCATAACGCACTAACGATACTGGATATGGCGCTGGAGATGGGCCGGTGGGAATGGGAGGGGTCGGTGCGGGACTTGTACGGGTTTCTGAGGGGGCATTTTGTTCAGGTGTATCCCGGGGGGGAGAGGACGTTTGAGTATGTGGTGAAGATGACGGATGTGGTGGGGCATTTGAGTCTGGAGGCGCATCAGGGCATTGAGAAGTGTTTGTTGAATATGTTGGGACGGACGAGAGGGGGTGGAATGTCGGGTTGGGGGGTGGATGGGGGGACGCCGGATGAGTTGCTGTCGATGGTGCATGGGTATTAACCATGCCTCTGTCCTTATATACACTTCCATATCGGTCTAGGTACATATCTACCATACCACAACCAAATCTGAATATGACTGGTTTAATGATCATCCAAACTATCGAGAACCCCCCCTCCCGGCGCAAAAAACGTCCCTCCCGTCTTTGGCACCGAGAAATCCAAAATCCGATCATATTTCCCCCTCGGTTCCCCCACAAACATCCGTTCCAACATCTTCTCAATCACCCACAACCGTGCCGTATACCCAATAAAATACGTCCCGAACTCGCCCTTCCCCGGGGCCCCAAACGGCATATTATCCCTGACAATCGCATATTCCTCGCCATTCTCATCCTCGATCGTCGCAAGCGATTTATGCGATTGTTGCGCGCCATCTTCTGCATCCGCCAACTCGATGTTTTCTAGTTTCGTCCGGCCGATAATCCGTTCTTGGTGTTCGATCGGGAGGGATTTCCAGGCGCTCAGATCGTGCAGGTATTTCTGGATAACGATGTAACTGCCCCCCGCGGCGGCGGGGTCAGTGTTCTTGGTGATGAGGACTGCGTCCGGGACGGCGGGACCCACCGGGTTGGCGGTTCCATCGACGAAGCCGAGGAGATCGCGCATGTCGAAGTAGCGGAAGCCTTCGGTTTCGTCGACCACGGTGACGGTGTGGCCGAGGCGGTCGAGGAGTTGACGCTCGAATTCGAAGCAGAGGTCGCGGCGCTCGGAGCGGATGTGGAAGAGGAGGTCGCCGGGGGTGGAGATGGCGGTGTGTTTGGGGCCCGGGATTTCGGGGAATGGGCGCAGTTCGGAGGGGCGCGGGAGACGCGTGAGATCGTCCCAGATCGTGCTGCCGATGCCGACGGTGCAGGTGAAGTGGGCGGAGGGGTCGCGGATGGTGATGTTTTTGGTGAGGTCGGAGAGGGAGGCGAGGGTGGTGCGGACGGTGGAGAGGGATGGGGGGGAGGGATCGAGGGTCAGGACGAGGAAGGTTGCGAATTGGGTGAGGGGGGCGTCGACGCGTTGAGGGCGGAGGGAGGTTCGGGACATGGTGGGTGGATGGGATGGTGTCGGTGCAGTATGCAGTGGGCGATGGTGATGGTCGTGAATGAACGGAGAGAGAATGGGGGTACGATGTCTTGGGGATATGAGTGACCGGTGATAGATGTGCAATGGTCTGGAGAAAGGGCGGGACGAATCACGGGGAATGATATTACCAATCCGGTGCATGGTGAGTGATGATTGACAGCACCGACTGGAGGATATGCAGATGGCAAGGATACATACAGTATGGAGTAGGAAATCAACGGCAGCTCGAGGGGGCAGTCGGGGCACCCCGATTGGCCCGATAGTGCTTCCCCATCCGATGTGCAGCTGGTCATTCATGACATCAGGGCCGGAACCCTATTCCTCCATCTACTGTGTAAGACAGTAGCACGATGCTAGCATCATGCTAAACTCTTGAGTCCGAGTGGTGGGTCCCGGAAATCTCCGCCACCCAAAAATTCTCCGTGGCCGAGGCAAACAGAGATTGATTGCCAGCTAGACAGATCTTTGTGTAAGCTAACGGTACTCCGTACCCGATCTTTGAAAGCGGGATTGGCTCCGTAGTGTGTCCAGATCGGGCTATGATCGGCACAATGCTCTCGACAAGTGGATCAGTGTCGACATCATCAGTCGCTTTGGATCACTACTCGGAATTGTGAGGAAAACTCATCATCTGGGTATTGTATGGGTGCAAAATTAGGTACATTGGGAAGCCGTGATCCTCAAGCACTGCGACGGTACCATCCGCACTCTTCCCCGCTATATGTAAATCGAGCTGTTCAACGTCACCTCACCCGGCTCTGACACCGGACGCACCAGGTCGATCATCGCAGTGATATAATTACCCGTCTTGGGCGGGGATAGTGCCATTGAAACGCACGGTAGAACATGCACACGGAATCCAGTTCGATCAGGGGTAGGGCTTCAACCCCGGATGACAGAATTGACAGACTGACGCGTGGAAACGGATGACCATGTCGTTGGCCAGTGATTCGGGCTGAAGACTCGCTTAGGAACAACCCACCCGCGACACGCGATTTCATGGCCGCATATGGTAGTGCATGCGGGGCCAAAGCTTAGTTCCTGTGACGGCTGTGAAAGCTTGTAGAGACGTAGACCAGGGGGTGCACCGCCTCCAGGGCCGAGGGTGGAGGGGGGGATGCAGCTGGGATTAGATGAGAACAAGATGTCCGTGCATGATCAGGAATCCACCATATCGAGATTGTCCAGTCAGCGGGCATCAACACCTGGCCGGATCGGGTAATAGTAGCAGGGCAATCAGAGACTGGCAGTTCTGTTTCAACATCCACTACCCACCAGTCGTTCCATATGCCCCTCATGCTCTTGCAACAAGCACAGCGCATTATGGTACCATGTACACTACACACATTGCACAGGATGATAATCATCGCCTCCTGCGATAGTAAACCCCTCACTGGGCGGGTCACTGACAATGTACCAGCGAACCAGAGGTGATGAGGCCACCAATAAGCCAATGCGATCGCGGTCTCCAGGGCACTTCAACAATGGAGCTAAAGATGTAGCCAGACATGTACAGACCGGATTTTGGCATCCTGGTAATCGACGCGCCCTTATTCGTCAGCACGATGCGGGCGATAGGGGTCTCAGAGAATTGGCAGGTCACCAGCTGGCCCTATAAAGACGCCATCCGCGGGCTTTCGTTGGGTGCACACCATCATCATTTCAGGCAGAACACTGACCATGTCGCACTACACTTTAGCAGAGGGTAAGACCGAGGCTCAGAGCACTCGACAAAGAACTCACTGACAGTTAAGGTTGTCCTTATGCCCGCAACGACACCACCGTGCAACTTCGCAATGGTTCCGGCGGTGGATTGGTCCTGCTCCAGGACACCCAGCTGATTGAAACGCTGGCTCACTTCTCACGCGAGCGAATTCCCGAGCGGTATTGACCCTGCCTCCTTGATGGATCGACACACTAACAACTATAGGACGGTCCACGCCAAGGCAGCCGGGTAGGCACATCAATGTAGCCCTGCTACAACGCTAACTGGATCCAGAGCATACGGAGTCTTCGAGTGCACGCACGATTGTACCGACATCACCTCGGCCAGTTTCCTCAACACCGTGGGCAAAAAGACCGATGTCCTGCTGCGCGTGTCCACCGTCGGACCCGAGAGTGGTTCAGCCGACACCACCCGGGATGTGCATGGTTGGGGAATGAAGCTATACACGGATGAGGGAAATCTGGACTGGGTGTTCAACAACACGGTCAGTTAACCATGCCTTCAGCGGGGGTGTGTTACTGAGATATCAGCTTTAGCCCGTCTTCTTCGTCCGCGATCCGATCAAGTTTCCCTCCTTGAATCGTTCCCACAAGCGGCACCCTCGCACCCACCGGCCGGATCCTAATATGGTGAGTCTTCTGGCAGAGTTGCAATGTGGCATGCTGACGATGGCAGTTCTGGGAGTGAGTAGTATGATAAGCCGTACGATGCATGTACTGATGGACCAGCTTCCACACCGCCAACCCGGAGGGCATCCACCAGCTCATGCACCTGTTCAGTGACCGCGGCACTCCCGCCTCCCTGCGCCATATGAACGCCTACAGCGGTCATACCTACAAGTTTACCAAGGAGGTGTGCCAACCTCTTCCGTCACACAGCCTATCTCTTATTGATACTGTTACTAACACCGTGCAGGACGGCTCATTCAAATACATCAAGATCCACATCAAAACCCAACAAGGCATCAAGAACTTCACCCGCGAAGAAGCCACCAAAATAGCCGGCGAGAACCCTGACTTCCTACTCGAGGACCTCTACGAGGCCATCGAAAGCGGCAACTACCCCGTCTGGAACGTCTACGTCCAGGTCATGGACTCCAAGGATGCCGAGACCTACAAATGGAACATCTTCGACATGACCAAAGTCTGGCCGCACCAGGACTATCCCCTGCGCCAGATCGGTCGACTCACTGTGAACCGCAACGTATGGCCCCCTCTACTTCCTACAATACATCATCCTAACACATCCTCCAGCCAAGAAACTACTTCACCGACATCGAACAAGCAGCCTTCTCCCCCTCCAACATGGTCCCGGGCTTCGCTCCCTCCGCTGATCCCAGTACCCCTCCCTCATCCCCATCCCCCCCCCCAAAATTACCCCCATCTAACAAAGCCCAGTGCTCCAAGCCCGCATGTTCGCCTACCCCGACGCGGCCCGCTACCGCCTGGGCACAAACTACCAAACGCTCCCGACCAACGCCCCGCACGCCCCGGTCTACTGCCCCTACCAACGCGACGGCTTCATGAACTTCACGACCAACTACGGCTCCGACCCGAACTACATCGGCTCATCGCTCCACCCGACCACCTTCGCTACGAGCGCCACCTCCCCATCCCGACCCGTCGCAAGCACTATCACGGAGCATGAGAAGTGGGTAGGTGAGGTGAGTAGTTTTACGACTACCATGTCGGAGGTGGATTATGAGCAGGCGAGGGCGCTGTGGGGGGTGTTGGGCAGGGAGGAGGGTCATCAGGAGAGGTTTGTGGAGAATGTGTCGCTTACAGTGGCGAAGGTGGAGAGGAGGGAGTTGAGGGGGGGGGTTTATGGTATGTTCTCTCTTTCTTGTTACTTGGGATTTTGGTGGGGAAATGGGGGGGTAGTGTGGGTTCTAACGTTTGGTAGATCTGTTTAGACGTGTTGATTCGGACTTGGGGGCTCGGATTGAGGCGAAGGTGGAGGGTGGGATTTGAGTTCTTGATGGTTGGCAGTATGGTGCTAGTGGCTTAGACGAATTGGATGATTGCGACATAGGAATGGTCATCTTGCTTGATAGTCCCCCACGGCTGGGGTATAGCTTCAGAGTCCTACGTCTTCGGGTGTGAAAGGGGTGGGTTTGTCGTGGCATATTCCATATCTTATCAGCAATAGGAACATCGTTGTGAACTGGGAGGGCAACTAATATTGTCCGTCAGAAGTGGCAACCTCGATATTTGATAGGGGAAGATTGATGAAGGTGGAGTAACCCGGGCAATGATTCGAAGCTATGATTGAGATTTCATGGAAACTAGGCTAACTATGAATGAATGAAAGTCTCTGCAACACCAAGCCAACTATGCTCGGTCCCTGCCTTGCAGATATCGCTCAATCTAAGAATACTGGGCATTATCCCATACCATGCTGAATTGTCCTACTCATCCAGCTGCAAGACGTCCATAGGAAGACCGCGATACAGCTCGTCAAGAAACTTCACTTCCTGATCGGTTAAACGAATCTCCAGTGCCATCAAGGTCGACTTGTCGATATTCTGCAACCCGACACTCGGAGACACCCCCTTTGCCAACAACCAAGCAATAGCAACTGTCCGCATACTGCAACCTTTCGATTGTGCGATCCACCGGGCCCGCATGAGGATTTTGTGATTTTGTTCCGCAGAGAACTTAAATGGTGCTAATCCACGTATCGGAAAGTTCCCCAGCCCATCCAGTAGCCCGTTTGCCCGAGGGCTCCAAGAGATGAGATTAATTCCTTCCGCTTGACAGAACGGATGGATCTCCCGTTCCCCCTCGCGGTAGAGCAGATTATAAGGCCCCTGCATCCAGGTAAAGGTCGTCCAATTCCTCATCCTCGCCGTATGTTGCAACCTTGCGAGCTGCCAGCAAAGCATGTTTGCGGCACCCAGATAGAGAACCTTGCCGGCTTGAACGAGATTATGGAGGGCCTCCATGACTTCCTCCGGCTCGGTGTCATCCATGTAATTGAGATGGAGCACATCGATATAGGTGGTGTTCAGTCGAATCAAAGATCCCTCCACCGCCTCGAAAATATTCCGGTGACTCAGCTTCATACGATTGCCTCTTGCAGCCGTATCACCGGCAGGGCCAGCCTGCGGCAGTGACGGGGGTTTCAAAACTGGATGGCAGAGTTTTGTCATGATGGTTATGCTGGTTCGTGGGATTTTGTACTGAGCCAGAGCTCTCCCGATCAGAATCTCCGCCATTCCGCCCGCGCAGCAGTCGGTTATATCCCAAGTGGTGATGCCGCGATCGTATGCATTCTTAAGTAAATGCAGAATCTCGGGATCGGGAAGGGCCCTTGAGATGCCTTCCCGAGAGGGATCATCGTAGATCCTCCAATTTAGAATAAGTCGGGGGACTCCAAGGTCACTGTTACCGAGAGGTTGGGTGTTTCTGTTCTCGTTGATCGCTGGGTCTAGTCTTGGACGTTTCGTGGGTGGCTCTATGGTTAGGTTGGGGCCATCCGCGCTTCGAAAATTCAAGGTCATTTCAGTCGAGCAACGGTGGAATATTTATTCCAAGTTTGTCGGTAGCCGGCGCGTGACACAGGTTTCTCTATTAATTCACCGAGTTCTCCAGGCCGAAGCAACTGTCCGACATATCAGTAAAGGTAGATTCACATCGCGCGTCGCTCCCAGGTTAACTCAAGAAGGCCTCGTGTACATGGTTCCTGGGGTGTCATACTACTCCCCGTTCATCCGCCATGTACTGTAGAACAAAAGCAAGCCGGGACATTCAAACTTGCCTCTTCGGTTAATGATGTGATGTGATCACTTCTGAAAGTGAAAGCAACGACCTCAGCTATGTGTTAAAAGTGCTGCAATGGTGTACACGACGAGGCGGATAGAAGCTTTGGGGCTTCCCTATCTCCAGTACTATATTCCGACGCCCGCACCTTCCTAATCCAGGACCAAGAGAAATCAAACTACAGCCAATTAACTGTAGTCCGTCAGGTCAGCCGGTATGCAAGCACGTGATGGTTTATAGTATCAAAAATAGTCCCTAGAACACAAATGAGAAAGGCACTGCCCAGTTGTACTGATCCTAGACGGAAGGTGGCTGAGTAGTGTAACCACCCTTAATGATGATTGCCTTCCCTGCATGAAGAATCACTAGTGGCTGGGCATGAGAGATATACTTACTACCAGGATGCTGATGTAGCCCTATTTAGATACAGAAGAAACTGCCGAGCACTTCAATAGCAATGATAGCATAGAAACAAGGAATTAATTCTAGAGAGTGGGGCTGTGTGCGATCTTCGGCTCGGAGTGTGACTGGTTCGCTGCCTGGGATTCTAGGCCGGCAATGACTTCTCCCCCAGGTCACGTGCGCGACGGGATCCGCTGAGGCCCACTTCAACCTGTCGCGCCCCACACGGAACAAGGATCAGCACGAAGCCCCACATAAGTTGAGGTGCCTGGCATTTCCGCTCGAGATGAACCTCTCTCCAAGTTGTCGGATTTGATATCCCCAAAATGATACCACTCGCTTACCAGGAAGTACGCGGCAGCGTACACAAGAAATGGCAACTAGATACTGCAAGGACTCGAACGGCAGACCTATTTGTCAATAAAAAGTAATCCAAGCACTCTACCACTAGGCTACAAGCCCAATAAGGATTTGGCCGAACCTAGCTGGGCTTACATAGAATCCAGCTCCCTGCTCAACAGACTCAAAAAGAAGGCCGCGGCACGGATTCGAACCGTGGCCCTCCCCTAAGAATACTTGAATAAGAATAAGTGGGGCGCTCTACCGCTGAGCTACAGGCGGCTGTGTTGTAGGAGTCGAACCTGGTGTAGTCCAAATCCAGTACTCTTGCCAGTTAGTGAAGGGCAAATCGAGTCCTGCTGTATGTATATCAGCTATAACACCCTTGAACAATGTCCAGATAGTAGCCGGGAGGGCCCTAGACACCTCCTTTTCTTACAGAACGTCCAATGTATGGGGTAGGAAGGCTTATCGTGATCCAAGCTCGACAGGCCCATAATTGGCCATTCCCGCCCCGCCTGGATGCGGCCCCCAATGCTTAGCGACTCCAACGAATTCCACCAAATCTGACACCTATTAATAGAATCCCAAGAGCCTCCGTCTTATCGTGGATTCTCCTTTCTCACCTGCGGTCGCATATCAATCATTCTCGTGAACAGCAAATACTCCGCTCATATCTACTCTGATCTGCAGCTCCGCTTAACTAGCGTGTCATATCGGATCCCAAACCGACTGCGGCAGATCGTGCTCAGCAGAGGTACTGATGCATTGGAAGCGGCAGTTGGCTTAGAGGCTGACGAGGAACTCGACTTATGGGCCTGGTATAGCAGCTCTTATCATCAGTATCATGTTGCATTCTTGCTCTTGTGCGAGGTATTTGTGGTTCCTCTTCGAAAAGAGGCGACTCGCATCTGGCGTTGCCTGGACTTTGTTTTTGCCGAGCCCCTACGAAACTTCGCTGCGATGAGCATATCGGAAACTCCCACCTTCCAAGAGACCATTGACTTTCGCAACATGAAGGGGCGTTATCTCATCGCCACAATATCTGAGAGGATGGACGGATACCGAGCTGCCAAAGGGCTGAGGCTGCCATCACACTTTGATGAGTCAATGTTTGTCGCTACTCCTAAGAGTGCCGATGATTCGGATCCCAGAATGCCTCTGAATTATGGCCATGACAAGCCGGAAATGGCCCCTAAATATCCTACTGGAGGACCGAGCTATATCCCTAGTTCAAGCGGCACGGAAGCTGAAGCGCACCATGACCCTTCTGCACGACAGGCAGTGCCATCTGGCGGCATCGTTTCTCAGCTAGCTCATGCTTTGGGACCCTGGTCTAATACGCAACTTGCTGCATCAGAGTATCCCATGCAGGCGCATCAGAGTATCCCATGCAGGCGCATCAGAGTATCCCATGCAGGCGCATCATCCAGAAACTTCGTCTGGTGGTGCTGATGGCCTGCTTCGAACAGCCAGTGATCAGCCACCTAGCATCTCTACAGTGTCGCAGGAGGTACCTACAAATATACAGAACTTCGGCCTCAACGACGTTCCTGTGGATGTTGAAGCAGAGATGTTGGAAATAGACTGGGTGAGTACGCCTAAGACCGAAACGGATTCTTTTCGTCTTTTTTTTTTCTTTCTTTTTTTTTTTTTTTTGTTATCCGTGTACTGACATACTCTATAGAATCTCTGGGATACGGTGTTTCCGCCCCAAATTAATGATGGTAACCTGGACATTCAAGATGGGGTCTGGTGAATGATCCTGTGATTTCATTGGCATTGGCCAGTATATTTAGCATGAATTACCGCATGTGTCGAGGTTCAAACCTAGAGACCTACTGTGGTGTGAACGAAGCTTCAGTTGAAAGTGTCATGGAGACAGAGACTATCCGTCGGGGAAGTTGAAGTTTCACTTGTATGCCTTCTCGGAAACCCTGTAAGGGCCAAACTACAGCTCAGTGATCTAATTACAATTATCTGATGGCATGGTATATATCGACTTTGAGGGAATCCTTGTACGAGCCAAAGAACACAATTGTTGGTGTCTAAAGTGTCTGGCGGACAGCCTCAGGCAGCACAGCCGCGGCTGGGCGCCTTGATGCCTGAGACCATCGGGTAGTCATTTGCACATGTACCCTCCTCATAACACATACTGTTTGCCAAATACACTCTGTATTCTCCGCAAATGGTTTTATTCACACCTGGCTGCTGGCAAAGATGATGCAGAATGACTACGTACGACATTCACCCTTGTCACTTCGGACATAATGTCACATATATCCATTTAACCTTGCTCCACAAATACCATCGGACTGCCTAAATCCGGCCCCTTTAACTAGATTCCATCAAGCTTTACCAAGCCTATGTCGCAAGTAAATAGGATCATGCTCGCTATCAGCGGAACGTGACGCATCGACTATGCCCGATGGCCGCTGTCGTTCACGAACTGGAAGTTGAGCGAATGGCCTTCGTCCAGCCATCGGAAATCGACTGGTGGCCCATCACTTAACACAGGGGGCAGTAGCCTCTCACTTGGATTGCTGAGTCCGAGAGCGCTGCGGATATCTGACAGACCGGGGATAGTGCACGTCAATTAGGCTGAAACGCCCGAGCCCTTACGGCCGTAAGCCCTCGGAGCTAGGAAGGGTGGATCCACGCCACGGTTCAAATCGAGATTATGATTCGTCAGATGTGGAAAATTATCAGCACTGCACATCAACTTACGGACGAGAGAAGAGAAGTAAAGAGCGTCACTGTAATATAAAAGAAGCTGCACCCAGCAGGATGATAACTGTCTACTCATCCACAACCAAGACTTCTCCACGCCTCGAGGAGACAGACTATCATCAAATCCGAGTGCAAAATGTCGATTTCTCTCGTTACCGGCGGATCCGGCTACATCGGTCTTCACCTCGTCAACTTGCTTCTCGAAAAGGGTGAGAAGGTTCACACGACCGTGCGGAGTCTCAAGAAGATCGCCAAATGCCAACCGCTGCTGGATCTGCAATTCAAATACCCGGGGATGTTGTCGATCTTTGAAGCAGACCTTATGAAAGATAGCTCTTTTAATCAAGCGATGCAGGGCTGCACGGTTGTATACCATGTTGCCTCACCATTCCTAGTTCCGCAGCAGATCAAAGACGGGGTAAAAGACTGTGTAGGCCAGCTTTGCAGGGCACTACTAATGTTCTGGAATCTGTCAATCGCTGTGAAAGTGTTCAACGGGTGGTTTTGACCTCATCGAGTAAGTCATCTTTATCTGGATCTTCCACGATGCTAATATCTTCCAGTTGCGGCCATGTACGGCGATTGCATGGAGATCGTCTCCCAGCATAACAGCATCCTAACCGAGGACTGCTGGAACGAAACCACCAGCCCCACGAACAACCCATACCACTATTCCAAGGTCATCGCCGAACGCGCAGCCTGGAAGTTGCAACAGGCCCAAGCCCGCTGGGACCTCGTGGTGATCAACCCCGCCCTGGTGCTCGGTCCATCCCTAACATCTGAATCCTCCTCGGGGAGTCTGTACATGGTCGAAAACATCTTTCGGGGTGACAACAAGTTGGGATGTCCGGAATTGTATTATCCGATTGTGGACGTGCAGGATGTGGTCGAGGCGCATATTCGGGCTGGGACGAACCCCACTGCCAAGGGAAGATATATTGTTGCGGGTGATCAGGCGCTTGGATTATTGGAGATGGCCGATTTGGTGAGGCCAATCCATCGACATCCGAAGGTGTTGCCTCGATGGAATCTGCCCAGGTTGCTGGTGTATGCGGTAGGGCTGTTTATTGGGGTCTCGAGCAAGTGGTTTGCGGGGAATGTTGGGGTTCGGTATCAGGTTGATAACTCGAAAAGTGTGAGGGAATTGGGCATATCGTATCGTTCGGCAGGCGATGTGATCCGGGGTCACTATGAAGGTTGGTTGAAAAGTCAGGACCACCGGTAGTGTGCTGTACAGTGACCTATACTTGTGTTTGTGCTAAGACACATCCTGTCGTTCTGGTTGAGATGAATTCGATTATTTGCGTCCTTGGATGTCTCCAATTGTTAGCATGTTTTCTTCGATGGTTCAGACGAGCTGGAATCCAGCATCGATCAAGAAACATACTATTCCCAGCACGATCACTATCCGGGAAGATCACCTTCCAGTGTCTACCCGCGTTCTCCGGAGAATTTCTAATGAGTATCCTCCTTGTCCCGGTTCACGACATCCCAAGATGTATAGGGGTAGATACCAGCATCTGCAATGGTACTAACAGCTCTGCACTGGTAACTGAACCTTCCTGCGTGAGCGATCACGTGGTATCCGGATATCGCATTCACGTTGCCCTTGGTGAAACACTTCACTGTCGGAGGGATTGGTTCTTCCGAGATATCGAAGCCTAATAACACACTCAGTCGCGTGTTGCTCGTGTGTATTCTTTTTTTTTTCCTCATCACCCTCATACTCGTGTAAACAGCGTGAAGCTTCCAGATGGACCATACCTTTTGATTCGCGTGATATCCATCGTTTTGCTTCATCATGTTTACCCTGCTCCTCAAAGCCCTGTTCCTTCTCCTCATTTTCGTCCTCGTTGGGCGTTTCTCGTATTTCTCCCTCGTCCGTCCTTGGTGGTACAACGATCCCAACGCTGTCAAAGATCCCGCCAATTGCCGGCTGGTGATCGCTGGAGATGGCCAGTTCGTCGGTAAACGAAACCTCCTGTCCCCTCTGAAGTCGCGTGCCCTGTCAAACACCAAGATCCAGGCAGCGTTCGGACTGCACAACGCGTTCACCAGCGGTGAAGCCGACTTCGTGGCCCAGTTTATTGCCCGATCCAAGGAGTTCATCAACGCCAAAGTCAATGACTGGGATCTGATGTCCCGACAGATTCAAGACGCGGCACAGGTCTGGGTTGAGCATCCCGACGGCGAGATCCACCTGGCCAGCATGGCGCAGTCTCTGACTCTCCGGTTCATGATGCTCACGGTCTTTAAAATGAGATTCCACGCCCCTCATACCACCAATGCCTACCTCGCCGGCTTTGCGCGGTCCATCCACCAAGCTTGGATGTTCGCCAAGGAGGATTCTGGCCCCATGAATTTCCACCAAAACAACATCCTGCGCGATAATATCACGGCGTTTTTCCCCGCGTATGATTTCAGCCAGGCCACAAACAATCCGCTCAACTACATCCTCCAGGGCTTCGAGACCAGCTGGCGCGTCGTTCTCCGCATGTTCCTCGAGATCCGCCGTGCTCGTAACCAGAATTGGACTGACACCATCGTGTACTTTACCCTTGACCCGACCGCGGCTCAGTTTTATGATAAAGCGCTCGGTGTTTCTGTCGAACATCTGGTCCTGGAGGCCCTTCGTCTGTACCCGCCCACCCGACGCATCCATCGCACCTTTCACTTCGAAAACGACAAGCAGAGCACCGTCGATGAAGTCACCTACTCTGCGGACATCGAAGCATGCCATCTTTCCAAGAAGATCTGGGGCCGCGATGCATTGACATACAATCCCTCCCGCTGGGCCAACCTCACTCAGGAGCAGAATGACGCTTTCATGGCCTTTGGAGCTGCACCGTTCGAATGTCCGGCCAAGCCCACCTTCGGTCCTCGGATGATTGGGTTGCTGGCCTCCACGATGGTTGCGGAAGTGGAGGAACGCGGAACCTGGAGACTCGTTGGTCGTGACAAGCAGTCTGCGTACGAGTACGTGAATGGGCTCCGCTTGGATAATGATCGCGGCGCGTATGACGATTTGTTCCTGTACCTGAATGACGATGGCGAGGAGGAGTGGTGATTACCCGCGGATTTTGTCTGTTACGTAGTTCTCCTTTCTGCCCTGCTCTTGTCTTTGGCGTCTGGCTGTTCACTGTGTTGATGGGATGAGCTTTCGTGGTCCGCTTTTGACTGCGTTCTGGCGAATTTGCGTCGTTCAAACTTCTCTGGTGTTGCATTGGCTTTGTATTTTACTTATCTTGATGTCGCGTTGAGTGTCAGCGGTTGACTGTAGTTGCCCGCTTAATACCAATGCAGATAATGTTCTAGTTTCCCCCTCCCCCCGAAGCCGCTCGGTAGTAACATTAATATGGGAAGTTATCACGTGCACCCATATTTTATTCCAGGTCACTGATCCCCTATCTTACATAAATACTGTAAATGGAATAGTCTTATTATAAACAAAATTTAGATATTAATTATAAATCTTATAGAGACTTAAAGTTATTTAAAAATATAGTAAAATTGAAATAAATATTGATTTCTTTTTTAGGGATAGTGGTAAGGGCGGGCCATTCAGCTATACTAGGCTATTTTACGTAGTAAGAGGTTAGTGACCTAGAACAGAATATGGGTATACGCAACAACATCCTTCCTAATGGAGGCACGCGATATTCAGTAATCATGCCCCAAAGTTAATTTTCCCAGAGAGAGGAGGGGCGGAAATATTTCCGCCTCGGAATATCCACTTCAACCCATCCGTGGATGATCCATACTTTGTTGTCCCCCCGCTTACCAATCTTCGAATCTGCTGGGCACCATCGCCACATTAAGGTTCAGCAAAGGGGCAGTGAAGATTATAGGGTGCAGTCACTTAGGCAGGGGTGTGGAGAGTGAGACCAGATGCATACAATCAGATGCTGCAGTAGACAAGTGCTGAAGAAAGAATTTGAGGCCCTGAGGGATCATGCTAGGAGCGTGGTCATTCCCGCCCAAAAGTGCAACGGCCTGAAGATTCTCGTGCCCTTCGAGAAGAACACTATGCAAGGGATGCTGTCCTGCGGTCATCTATCATTGATAATGTATCATGTCAGTATTACGCAGCCTACAGGGTAATTTATATGACAGCCTCGCTTGCTAGATGCCATCAATAATCCCGACAGCAATAGAGACCAACAACAGTGGGGTTCTAAATATACAAGTCTGACATGCCGACTGCACGTACAGTATTCTAACAGACAGTCTATCTTTCTTTCCGCTTTTTAGTAATAACCAGTTTCTACCTCTAGACCTCCATATACCAATTACTTATGGATTTAGTATAACCGTGCGAGTTTGTAGAAACTCTTCCAGCCCCCATTTCGCACCAAACCGACCCCAGCCACTGTCCCCATGACCTCCATGCGGCAACGTAGCTTCATCGTGCACAGTCATTGAATTCACGTGAATGGCACCAGCAGGGATTTTCCGTGCGAGTTGAAGGGCCCGGAAATGCGACGCGGTGAAGACTGCAGCGGAAAGTCCGTACGAGGACTGCTGGATCAGATCCATCGCCTCTGCCTCATCTTTGACACGAACGATGCCCATAATAGGACCAAAAGACTCAACTGTGAAAAATTCCATCTCCGGGGTAAGCCCTTCGATCACAGTGGCAGGATAGTCAGTCTCATTTCCGAGAATCTCGGACTTGTTGCTCGCTGTGTGTATTTTGGCGCCCTTCGCTCGGGCGTCATCGATCAGGCCGTTGAGCTTCCGCTTGCTTGACGGGGTAATGACTCGATGCGGCGAAGCAAATTGTTGTAATAGGGCAAGGATGTGAGAGACGAGTTTGTCGTGGATGGCGTCGATAGCCAGGACAAGATCGGTAGACATGCAAATCTGGCCATTCTGTGGATTCGGACCATGTTACTCCAAGTGTAATGTGAAAACCTCCTTGAAAGGTGAGCTTACATTCAATGTCGAGCCATCAATGATCTGTTTGGCAGCCTTTTCAATATCGGCATCTTCAAGAACCAAGGCACAATTCTTGCCGCCCAGTTCGAGCAGTACGGGCTTGAGTGCGAGCGCCGCCTTGGAAGCAATAATGCGGCCCACATTGGTTGAGCCGGTGAAATTGCACTTGCGCACTGCCCGGTGGTTGATCATCGTCTCATAAACCGAGGCAGCGTCTTCAGCGCGATGCAGAACGTAGTTGACCACACCCGGAGGAAATCCGGCGTCCTTGAATAGAGTGCTGACGAGGAAATGGGTACGAGGGCTGAGTTCCGAGCCCTGCAGTGCGTGCATTAGCGTGTGTTGTATTTCTTAAGATGTAAAGTCTGATAGTCGACATACCTTGAAGACCACAGTGTTGCCCGCCGCCAACGGTGCCGCGATCGACCTCAGGCCAAGGATGATGGGTGCGTTCCAAGGCGCGATGGCCAGGATCACTCCCAGAGGTTCTTTGAAGACCAGTGCATAGGATTCTCCGTGGGATACTGGGATGGTCCCCGCTAATGCATCCGTTGTCAAGGCCGCATATTCTCTCAGGAAGTCCACCCCCGTGCGCACATTAAACTCAGCAAAGACACGGGGTGCCCGGATCTCCTCTTGCATACACTGAATAAAATCCTCCGACCGAGATTCTAGGATTTCCGCCGCCTTGTTCAATAGTGAACGGCGCTCGACCGGAGACGTGGCTGACCAGTCAGGAAAGGCAGACGCGCAGCTCTCCACCGCTTGGATGGCCAGGTCATCGGTAACTCCTTGGAAAGGCGAGGGGTCCGACGCGACCCTTTCGCCAGATGGGTGAAGTATTTCTTGATTATCAATCACAAGAGGGGTGATTCTGGACTCCATGGTTGATGGTGCAAGAATTAAATTGTGCATTTCCGCCATGTGATTTTGGAGAAGTACTACAGGAATTCACTGAGACGACAACCCCCTGTTGGTGGCAAGGACGTCAGTCTTGGACCAAGTCAACTGCCGCTCCAACTGCCGGGAATGGTGGCTATCAAGATAGGTCTCTGGGTTTGTCACAATGCATAAGCCCCCAATGCAGGGTCCAAGGTTCCGCAATCGGACCCGGCTTTCAAATATACATGGTCCACTTTCCACCGCCGCGCGACTGGCAACCATAAATGAGTGAGACTCGGGGGTCTCTAGTAAATCCTATCTCCTTCGACAACTGATATGCATTGCCACTAGGAAATCTCTGTCCTGCGCCGTTATCAGCAACGTAATCTCACTGAGTAAACACAATTGGACGTTATATTCCGCACCTAGGGCTAACTTACGGGAGGGCAGTTAGGGGTATGGGTCCGTAGTAGTAACTTCAGAAGGCACTACCCTGAGTCGGGCCGACAACGGAGTAATATCGGTAATTCCAGGCCGAGCTGGCAGTCGGGATCAGGTTGTCGATTGATTTTACGACCTGTTGCAAATCACTTTGTTTGCCGGTGGCGATCGGAATTACGGCTTCTGCCCTCTTCCGCAGTGGGTCACCCAGAGATTGATGACCGATAATCTGGGAGTTGGACTGCGGAACGAGGTGTGCATAGGTGACTAATGACCGTGGGGTGAGTATATCTGGGACGGGTGCTCCCGAGTCCCCGGACAAAATCACTGGACGCTAAGATAGGGGAAATTCGAGAACGCTAGGAGAGTAGTGTGCCTCTGGTCCTCTCCGAGCAAGGAGTCTGCGGTTCTTGGTCTATGCTCCACCACTAGAATTTGCTGGAGGGATTCTACCTATGTGTAGAAGACATCTTGTACATTGTATCGTGGAACATTCTATATTGGATGAAAGCATCGTTACTAAAGATATCCTGTGGATATACTGGGATAGGTGCTGAACATATATATCATCGTTAAGAATCGGGAAAGGAGCTCATAGATGATATATTTTATATAGGTAAACCCCTCATATTCCATTACAAATAATTCTATAGCCAGTAAGTCCTTAATCTGTGAACCCTTGGAGGAAGTGACGGTGCCTCGCAACTAGTAATGAGATCTCCATCTGGTGAGGACTCGGCCCGGTATTTTCTATGATAGTCTCTTATGACTCTGACACATAGTGGCCCTGGCCTATGATAGTTACCAGAGCGTGCGAGAAAATCCTCACACATGGCTCATTCATCTTCTGCCCGACCAGAGATCGAGTTCGCGCGGTGGTGTTTGTCATCACCGAGGAGCTGCATCCCGCCTGTCCAGTTCGAAAGCGGACTTGAGGGGAATATCACCTCCCCACCAAATGTATTTTTTTGCCCGCCCAGTCTGCCAAAACGAGATACTAAACCCAAATGTCGCAGAGGATCGATCCAATAGATCAAATGAGTAAAAAAAAAAGAATCAAAAACATACAACAGAAGGGATTCGCTGGTGGTCACCCACCCAACTACTAACCTCCCGGCGTGTGGCTTAAGTACGGCTGAGCGGACGGGAAGCCCTGTTCTCCACACCCTATGGTCGTATGTACTTATATCTTCAGTGTAACAGGTTATATGGAGCCTTTTGATAAAAATATCAAGACAGCTATGTAGGTACGCAGCTACATACTTGCATCATATGATAGAATGGCCGAGGGGCTAGTACTTGGACTCACTAACTCGTACCCGATGCATGAACCCTCTAATTACCGAATTATCCTGTGCTTGCATTCCACACAAACAATTACTAAGTAATCACTTGTCAATTTCTAGTGTCTAGAGATATATACACAATCTTCAGACCCCCTGTTTCACTTCGACCAAGCTCCTTCCCAACATGGCAATAAGTGATGTCTCCATAATCAACAACCCCCGTCTACCAAATATGTGTGAATCAGTCAGTCAGTGCCCTCTGATTTACATCCAAGAAATGCTACGATAGGTGGGTTACAGCAACTACAACTTCGCCTTGCCCCCGCTCTTGCTCGGCTTGACATCCAACGGCCTCAAAACCTTGTACCAGTTCTCCTCCACGACTAAATGACTCTTCCCCTTTCTCGCCTCCTCCCACTCCCGCTCCATGCGCCGGAAACGATCCATTTCGTCCTGTAGCCAAGCCACACATGGCTCTGCCACAGTCCCCACGTTCTGAAACGGCATCAGATGGCCCAATCCAGGGAGAGTGACCTCTTTGACTCTTCCCTCCGGCACCCCACCACTCCCACCAACCCCAGTTCCACAAGTCTGGATCGCAAGGCGCATCTCATCGAGGTTTAAATACGTCGCCCCACCCAGAACCCACAGACAAGAGGGCCGAAGGGACGGCAGACGGAAGAAGGTACTGCGAGGTTCCGGGCGATAAAGGGGGATAAAAGCCGCCGGCGGGTCCATATCCGCATGGGTAGCCTGGGGAATCTCAATCCTTCCAGTCGTGGGGTTACGGGCGCTGAAATTCTCCCGGATCTGCGCCACGAGGTCTTGATACTTGGTCGTGGTGAGCGTCACCGGCGTGTCGGAGGAGTCAAAGCGCGCCTGGATCGCCGCTACGTCGGGATACAGCCGGGTTGGCAGATCGCGGAACCCGTATCGGGCCATGAGATCCACGCAGCGAGGATCCCAGCCGTGGAAAAGGCTGCGGTTGGCGCGGACTGCTGCCTCGCGGCTGGGCCACACGTCCTTGCGCCGGAGCGTGTAGTTGATCGCCCCGGGGGCGTCCGTGCCGAAGCCCATTGGGGGAGGGTTGAGCTGGATGGCGGGGTCGATGAGGAGGAGAGTCGTGAATAGGCGTGGGTGGAGATAGGCGAGATTGGTGCTGAATCGATGGTCAGTGTCCGATGCTGCCGTGGGATCCACTCGTTACCGACATGATATTCCCGCCGAAGCTATGGCCAATTCCAACGAGAGGACGGGGCATCTGCTCCCGGAAGTGGTTGATCATGAGCAGCAGGTCCCGTGGATGATCCATCCAGGAGACTGGGTGTGGAAATGATTAGATGGTGAAGGCTGAAGCAAAGGGGATCGGGCCGCCTACAATCTATACTGAGCTTGTCCTCATTTAGAATTCCACTGGCACTCATACTAGCGCAGTCGGCTACCCAGATGCTACGGATATGGAAGCCAGTTGCCTGCGCTAGTAGTTCGTCCCACAGAGGTTCGTAAAGCTCCTACATTTGGCGTTGATCAGTCAACACGATGTCAGCAACTTGAAAGACGGCAGTCACCTTGGGCAGAGCCGCTCCATGAGCAGCAATGAAAGTGATAGCATCGGGTGGGACAGGCTGAGGTTGATGCTTAGGGGTATATTGCTTGACATGAAGCTTCAGGAGATCCTCCTGCTGGACAGTGCTCCCCGGGTATTCGCGAATGTGGCAACAGGGGACGACATGCTCAGTGATGGTGAACTTGTCGCTCGACATTATCCTGGCGGATGTCTCGAATAAGGCGATGGAAATAATAGAACAGAAACGGGGGCTAAGAAAAGGATAATGAGGAGAATACGGACGAAGATACGCTGGATAAAAGGAGATGGGCGAATGTTGGGGAAGAAAGAGGCTGAAGCGGACCGCGTGTCAGCACTTGCCCTAAAACGGGAAAGCATGCTTATGTTCGCCCCATCAATGCTTGTTTACCCCCCAGTGGATAAGGACACGCCCTGCCACGCATGCCCAATGCCTATCGTACTACTATGCGTGCCTGCGAAGGTTGTCCCGTGGCTTAGCTGTGGGGTTACCGTCACTGATGGCTATTGTGGGGATGCTTTTCAGTTCTATTGCTTGGCCACCTTACTGAACATCTTCATAGACCTCCAGGTGCCCATTCTGCAACCACCAGTCATCTAGAGACCCGGGCTCACAATAGAGTGAAGCAGGGCCTGGCAGTCACCTTTACTACCACAAGCATGCAATTGACACCGCCTAGATGCGTACGCACGTACTATATGAGACTGTCCCTACCATCGGTACGGGGAGGTGCTTGCAGTACCACTTTACCAATTGTTGGCGGCAGAACCGTTGGTTTGTGTCCTTATGTCTGATTGTCTATAGTACTCGCCGGTCCACCCGTCAGAGGGGTTGCCGGCAATCGACAATTATAGCACGTGTGTAATGTGGGCCGAGCCCCCGCTGAGCGGATGCTAGCCGAAACCTCTTCTATCACTATTGTCTCTAAGTTACCTGGAAGCCTCAGCCTACTTGAGCAAGCTAGCAGCTATGATTGACTGGGATCCATCTGACTCCTGCAAAGACCCTGGTTACCTTTATGTGGATTTTGACTACGTGTAGGCACATCTTCCTCAATACAACAACTTCCACGCGCTAGTACTAATCATGTCCTGGTCTGTGTGTTTCAAAACCATGGATCTGCGTATCTCGCTGATCAAGGGGGAGCAAACGTATTATGTGATGCGGAGAGGAGGAAAAGCTATGCAATTCTGTCATATATACATCAGTAATAGGTGAACCCTATACCTGCGCCAACTTATAATGGCAACCTATGTACAATGCAAAAGCAAGAGGATCATATAACATTCGAAGAGCTCAGAATAGACGTCCGCTCCGGCAACTCAAACACATCACCGTGCTGAACTTCCGTCCCTTGATCCAGACCTCGAATAGCACCTTTCTCTGGCCCCAGCTCATAGAAAGGCCCTCTTTCCCCGCCTATCTCATATCTCGGCTCGCTTTGCAACTCATTATACTGGTCCCATACACTATTGGGAGCCTCTACCGGCTCCAACTGCTGTGTCGAAGACCCTTGATCGATATGACTCTGTTTTGCGCGATCCTGAGCCCGAATCTTCTGTCGCCGGCGACGGATGCAAAGCACGCAGAAAAGGGCAATGATCGACACGCCGCCTACAATGCTACCAACGATGATGCCTGTCCTGACACCCGTGGAGAGACCCTTGCTATCCGTGGATGAGCTGGTTTGAGGATCGGTCGTGGTTGAAGTTGAGGTAGGATTGGTGGTGGACTTTGTGGCTATCACTTTCCAGCTGTTTTTCCAGGTGTCTTCCCAGCTGTTGGATGTCCCGGGGACTGTGGAGTCGTTGTCGCCGATGGTCATGGTATCGACGATGAAAGACCCGTCTGGCCCCGGTGCTTGCGCCAGAAACCATTTCCCGCCCAGCCAGTTGACGCCGATAAAGGCTGCCTGAAGAAACGCACGGCCGAGAACAGGAGTGCTATTGGTGGCCATGCACGGGAAGTATTGCGTTGAAGTGTTCACCAGGGGAGCCTCAAGGGTGAGGTTGAGAAGCGCGAAGGGGACCTTGATCGTTATATCTTCATTGTTGAGGTTGTTCTTGCTAAAGCTAAAGGCCAGATAGCTCGGTGAAGTTGTAATCGTGCTGTACTGCGAATCCGAGGTGTTCCAGAAATAGAGGCCGTAATCGGGTTGGTATGTGACGGGCAACTCTGCGGCGATGGCATCACAGGTACTCTGAGGCAGGTAGAGGTATGGGTTGGCTGGATCCACAATCACGCTGAGACCGGAGGCTAGGGAGGAATTTCCCTGCGCCAGGAGACCGGTTTTATTGGGAAAATTCCAAGGCGATCCACCCTCTGCGACTCCGATGCTCAGATCGAACAGTTCGATCGGAAAGCTGCCACTAGAAAATGCCTGAGCGGACACATCTCCAATCACGCGGTTCTCGTCATATCCTCCCAGAAGAAGCGAGCCCGGAATCCCCAGAGATGCGGAGCCAATGTGCATCCCATAAGAATAGGATGGGATGTTTAGAGACCCCTCCTGTTCGTAGAAATAGCTGGTGACAAAGGTCGTGTTGATCTTGATGACCGCCCCAAATGTCTGATTAATATCGGGACTCCCTAGGGAAAGGATTCCAACCTCCAGCGGATACACTTGTCCACCGGGGTATGTCTGCCACCCCGCGGATATAGTGATCAGGTCGACATCCGGTACAGAAGCGCCTTCAATGGTTATCCAGTCTGTGGCTCGCGTTGCTTTCGCATGAACAGGAACGGCGTCCGCGAACCCCCAGTCCACGTCGCCCCATGTCCCATCGGGGGGCATTTCTATGGAGTGATTATCGAAGGTGACTGATATGTCGCTGTCAAACAGACCGGCTATATTCCCATAGCATACCGATGAGAGTGTCTTGTTGTCGCAGATGGAGGAGAGGAGGATTTTGCTTTCCCAACTCCCTCCTGGGTATAATGCCAATATTGATGAGGAGACAACCAGCTCGGAGTAGTTGCTTCCCATGGAGACGGTGACTGCTTGCCAAGGGCCGTCGGGTCCAAAATGTTTGTCTGACCAGGTTACCTGCCGGGGAACCGAACAGCGAACCGGATTGAGGGAGAGGGTCCAAAGAAGGAGAGCGCCTTGTAGTAGTCGTTTCATCTCCTAGACAAACATGTTTGTTAGTGATGGCTAGAGGAGAATGCAACCACCGGGGTATACATGGACTGACTCGAATCATAGACGTGACGGGGGTGGATGATCAAACATTTGCGAGAAATCCGACTTCAGAATCTCTCACTCAAACAAAAAGAAAGTTACATTGGGCTGAACTAGCAGCCTAATATCCAGATACCTAAGCGCCCCAATCTACCTAGTAGCCGTTGTTCTCAGCCGCCCGAGTCCTGAACATGTGGTTGCATCTGAATGCGCCAATAGAAGCTGCGACCAAGTAGTGGACTCATGCTAGTACCGGGGTTCATCTGTCAAAGACCACAGAAACTCTAATGTACGGAGCACTATTTAGGGCCATCCTCACACAACACAGACTGTCAACAAATGGCGGGCTCGGAGCAAGCAGCGTGGCCCTCGGGTATCGAGGTCCAAGAATAGTTTGTGCTACGCGCCGCAAGTTAGCGCCGAGGTGGGCTCCAGGGACCAGCGATCAATGCGATGCCCCGCCAATCAGCCGCTGTCAGCCTGCCATGGATGCTAGCGTGTGTCAGATCCTGCATGGCCAGCGCGTAACCGCCCAGTGAGGGCCATTCACAACCATCCGTGGCCATCTCTTGGCATTCAGCCTAGGGCTGCGGGTCGCCGGCCCTGAGGACGTCCCCTTCTTTTCAACCGTCTCTTTTCCCTCTCAGCACTGCGAAAAAAAAAAAAACACGAAGGTGCAGGCATCTATCACAATGTCGCCGAGGATTGTTCGTGTCTTTTTCATGGTTGTGTCTGGTCTGCTCGGGTTCGCGACACTATTGCAACTTCCAAAGCCCTCGACTCCTCACGGCAGCCCTCCGCAGCATGTCGACTGGTCGCGATTTGCATACACTCAATATGCCACCGACCGGTCTTATCTGTGTAACTCGGTGATGATGTTCGAGGCCCTCCATCGTCTCGGAAGCAAAGCCGATCGCGTGTTGGTGTACCCATCCCGATTTCTCATGTCGGAGAGCGACCGTTCCCCGGAAGCGCGTTTGCTGCGCTACGCAAGGGACCAGTATGCCGTCAAGCTCAAGCCCATCGAAGTCATCCTGAAGGGTGGGGGAGGTGGTAAGATAGGTTGCCTCTTTTGCGACAGGATCTCTAACTAAAGTGACCCCAGCCCCATGGTCCAAGAGCTACACAAAGCTCCTCGCATTCAACCACACCGAATATGACCGCGTTCTGAATCTAGACTCGGATGCAACCCTGCTGCAGGTCTGACGATCCCTCGTGTTTCGCATCGCAAACTAACCCGCGTCAAGACAATGGACGAGCTCTTTCTGCTCCCACCTGCCCCAGTCGCCATGCCAATGGCCTACTGGTTTGATCCAAAAGATCGAGTATTCACCTCGGGGCTTATGCTCATTCAACCATCTACGGCAGAGTTTAACCGCGTCATGGACGAGATCAACGAGACTCCCTCAGACACCTACGACATGGAGATCATGAACAAGTTCTATGGAGACAGTGCGCTCGTGGTACCGCACCGTCCTTATCTCCTTCTGACGGGGGAGTTTCGTTCACAGAACCACGAAGCCTATCTCGGCGACACGGGTGAATCGTGGGATGCGGACAACATCCTGGAAACGACGAAATATTTGCACTTTTCTGACTGGCCGCTTCCGAAGGTATAACCCCCCCTCCCCCTAGGGATCATTTTTGGATTGGCTGACCTCTTTATTTTCTATAGCCGTGGGTTGCAGCGACTCAACACGTCATCGAACAGACACAGCCTGCATGTGAATTCGATCCTACGACGGGTCAGCATGACTGCCATGTCCGGGAACTTTGGTTGGGGATATATAAGGACTTTATGGTTAGACGACAGGTAGGTCCATCCGCTCTGGCTTCGATGTACCCTCTGATCAATCTGACTAACGATGAATAGGGCATATGTGGCACTGCTTTACAAAAAGAGGACGGATCATGACGGGTCGGGGTCTCTTCGATTGACGGTATTCTACGAATATGTTCCATCTACCAATGAACGCTGGACGTTCTTATGCATCTTTCATACGCCCCATAGACTTTAACACTTGGTTTATATGTGCTGTTGCCTTGCATCACAAGCGCATCTTTTCCCTCGTCGCGATTCTGTTCAGATTCTTGATTGCCTGTGCCAGAGGCTATTTAGTGTATTATACTTGTGAGATAGACAATTCTACTATTTTGCCTGATATTAATTGGTAGCCTTAGTATAGAAGCAGCAAGTCGGCATCATGGGTCATTTACTTTCACGGGTTTCTATGTGTCCTTGAAATGTATTTCATAGAGAGATCACCCCCTTCTTCGCCGAAACACCCTTCTTCTGCACATCGAGACCATACTGGACATCTTTCAAACCGTTCCCGACAATGTAAAGATCGGGTTTGGCTTGGAACTGCCCGCTGGTGAGTGCTTGGGGCAAAAACTGGCCCCAGATCCACTGGGCGATATGTTCGTCAGGTTGCTCGATGATCGAAACGGCCCGGACTATAAGTTCAGACATCCAAGTCAGTCATTCAACCTCACCCCACGTCAATGGCACATGGTTAGACCCACCGTATTTCGGAATACATCGCGGAGTCGGCTGATCGCATGGCAGAACCGCTGCGGTATTCAGCGGCCTCTGCAATTGATCGGCCAGTGCTGTGATAGCGGCAAAGCTTGGTGCCTCTCCAATCGCATCATACACTCCTACCAAGTCCGTATCGAGAACCGCTTTGGCGATTGCATCGACCACCGTGGGAGATTTATAGTCAAAGACAGCGTCAGCACCCAAAGACTTGACAAAGTCATGATTGGCGGTCGATGCGGTGGTGATCACTTGCAACCCCGAGCACGACGCCAACTGGATGGCGGTCGCACCGACCGATGAGACACCGCCCCAGATCAGGATGGTCTGACCAGTCTTCTTCTTCTTCTCGCTGGCGAGCGAGGGGAGTGGGAGGTTGAGGTACTCGCTCCCATACAGTCCGGCGCAAGCGGTAGTGATGGCCAGCGGGAGCACCACGGCTTGCTCAAACCCGAGCTCGGCGGGTATCTCCGCCACCAGCTTCTCGGTCAGGATGGTATAGTGCTGGAAGGCCGAGTTGGCCGGGTTCTGGGTCAGGAGGCTATTGCAGTGACTGTCATGGCCTCCAGTGTTATTCGGGCTGGGGTGTAAGGATCGGGTAGTTGGGGAACTTACGCAATAACGGGCTGGCCTCGTTTGAATCGAGTGACTCCGGCACCTACCTCCTCGATGATCCCGGCAGCACCTTGTCCTAAGATGAAGGGGTAGGTATCAAGATATCTCCCGAAAGTTCTGGGTTGAAGATTCTCAGTAAATAAGGAAGAGGGTCAACGATTAAAGCAGCATACTGAATCTTCCAATCCACGGGGTTCAGAGGGTAGAGTCTCAGTAAGATCTGAGAATAGAACAGATGTTGGTGACATACTATTGCAACGGCGGCGTTCCGGATGAGCACCTCCCCTTCTCCGGGCTGGGGCTTCGGGCCTGCCTTGAGAACGAATGGATAGGCCTTGGATTCCGTGAGCCAGGCAGATGTGCTTGTTTCCATTGCGATCAGATGTCGAAGCTTTAGACTACGTCTCCGGGAAGCGAATCGTGAACTTCTGACTAACGGTCGGATTGTCTTGATCAATCCCAGTACGAAGGTAGAGATGCGGAGGACAAGAAAACAGATGGCTCAAGGCCACATAAGTAGTCGCACATTCCCCGCTTTTCAACTCGTTGCCATTGGTGATTATTCAGACTTCGGATATACGAGATAATTCTGGCCCATGTTAGCCCTCACCCGCACTTAGAGTCTGCCCACTGGGGTCCGGCGGGGTGTCTTCACAGGGTTGCTGGCTTGTAATGTGTAATGCGATATGATGGAAATGCGGCGTTGATCGCAAAGCTTGGATCACATGCCATGAGGCCTGGTTGTCGATCTTCCATCACTCTAGCCGCGGGTGTTAGCTGAAACCCCCTTCGCCAACTGGTCGCCAATTCCCGGTTAGCTAACAGGCTTACCCGCAACTTGGCCTTGGGCCTCAACCCGTGCGCGAGCTTCGTAAGCCTGGAGCTGGTGAAGCCTCCTTCATGGGGACAATTTGGAGTGCCGGACGGACTGGAAGATCTCACTCTACTTCGACTAAGCTCGGCACCCAGATGAAGGACAGCAATGCCACCGAGAGCTGTAATACTACCATTGCAGGATTCCTTGTACTCTGATAAGGAGGACGGAGATGGGTCATATCGACAACAGCCTTTTCGCCGATGAGGGTCATGCTCCTTTCGTTCCTCACGTAATTTAATTTATATCCCAGTTCATTGAGAAAATGAGGGGTTCGATTCACACGGTGGCTAAATGAAGAATGTATATACTGTTGATCAGCTTCATTGAATATTTTCATGCAGCTGCCTGCTCTTCCCCGCTGCAGCATCTCTTTGTGTTTGATCTGATTGCCTTGGGTCATGCTTCTGGTCTTGTGATGTAGCGAAAGTCGCTTGATTACTCCGTCCATGGGTCCAAGCTATAGCATACTAGAGTAGGAAAATAGCTGAGGAGAATTATCGCTCATTGGACTGGTCCCGGGATCGATACGCTGTCCACCGGCTGCGTCGCAAAGGACAATAGTCGGACTTAGGGTATATTAGCACATATCTGGGCCTATTGACAGCTACTCCCCAGATCTACTACCATTGAACCCTGAACAGTCGTGGAATGAAATGCTCGCCCCACATTGTGTGGTGAATAGGTAAAGTCTACTATGCGATTTGAGCGGAGTGAAGGGTACATACTCGGTCAAAGGTCTCATTTCCGTCGGGACCCTGAGTGGGGCTTGTCATCACGGCCATTACCACCACATTCACTAACCTCTGCATCCATTCTACTCAATGACATATTACTCCGTGTCTGAGGATTGAATCAGGTCATGCATCGAGGAATTCCACCCAGGGCGTGTCCCCTAATAATCGCTTGGAAGTAACTATTACAGGAACAAAGTTACACCAAGCCAGAATCAGATGCTTTGTACTACAAATTGCATGCTGCGTGCCAAGTGAGTCGATCCTTTCGCACTTTCTTCTACCTTGACTTTGGTGTGGAGATATTGAAGGGTACTACGGAGGCCAACTTCTACCAGGAGGGAGAGAGTGAGCAATGGCTCGGGGAGTGGTTGTCGCTCCGACAAAATCGCGATGACCTCGTGGTAGCTATGAAATACTCCGGATTCTATAAGCCCGATGCCAAGATCCGCTATAACTATCAGGGTAATCAGAAGAAGAGCATGATTTTGTCCTTAGAGAACAGTCTCAAGAATCTTCAGACGAGTTACGTTGATATTGTGAGTTGGAGTACGCTATGTTATCGAGCGAGATCTAACTCCTCCAGTTCTATATCCACTTCTGGGACTTCTCAACTCCCATCGAAGAGGTCATGCACGCTCTACACAATCTCGTCACTGCGGGTAAAGGGCTGTATCTGGGAATCAGCGACACCCCCGCCTGGGTTGTCAGTTCAGCCAATCGCTGTGCGTTGGGGATCATATCATTCGTCAAGGTTGGTACAGTTATGTCTAACATCAGCAAATCTAGACGCGCGTGGAAATGCCCTCATCCCATTTAGTGTCTACCAGGGCAAGTGGAACGCAGCCGATCGGGATCTGGAACGCAAGGTCCTCCCCATGTGTCAACACGAAGGCATGGCCTTAGCGCCCTGGGGATCGCTTGGTCAGGGTAAGTTCAAGGCGGAAGCCTGGGATGCGTCCAACAAGGGCGGCCGGAACATGTTTGCTCCCCCGGAGAAGTACAAGAAGGTATTCCAGGCTCTTGAAAGGGTTGGCAAGCGGAAGGGCACATCCCCCATCAACATTGTATGACCAACTTCCAGCTTGGATTTACTTACACTGGGAGTGTAGTTATGACCCCCGGGTGTTCTGCGACGACATTGGGGCTAATATGGATTGAGACTGAGACTGGGCATTCGACAGCACAGGTGGGCAGCACTTTCTATTATAGTCATCCTGCTGTGTACTCCAAGCTTGTGTTGACCGAGTATATAACCTGCAGGCCCAGACTACGCAATGAGAGCCTGAGGCCACCTACTTAGTACTATCAAGCACGTGAGATGGTCAATACCTTCCTAAGTAGGCAGGCGGAATATTGAAATGATGCCCCCGAGTGGAAACCGGCGTGGCCATAGCATCGCCCTATAAGAGGGAAGGCGGAGTTCGAAACCGCAACCCGGCATGAATGCTTCACTAGAAAGACCCCGAGCGACATAACATGATCCCCGTCTCTCTGCTCTCCTTCAATTCACACCCCCTTTGTTTATGTTTCAAGAGATCTCAACATTTGGTTTATCGGACATGAGCTAGGACTTGTCCACGTTCCATGGTCATCCGCAGGAGACCGACCAAGAAACAGGCAATATTATCATAGAAAATGGACAGGTCCGCCATCGAACCAAAAAGGCCTGCGCGGAATGTAAATCCAGAAAAGTCAAGTGTGACGGCGATACACCATGCGCTCCCTGCCGGCGCCGAGACGTTCCCTGTCTGTATAGAAGCATTAGCCGGGTGAGGAAGAAGACCACGGCAGGCCAGAAGAAAACCACTCACATCATTCGTCCCAAAGAAGGCTTGTCCCAAAGATCAAATCCTTCTTCAGACCCCATGTCTGCGTCTCCATCAGAACAATTGCAAATGGAAGTGGTTCATCCGATGATCAACGCTACTGAATCATACTCGCCTTCTCACAGCTTACGACTCTTCTACGACAGCTGTTCAAACTTTTCTTTCCTGCAACACCTTCATAGGAGCCTGGTCAAGGGCCATGAAGAGGCTCCCTCGGCAGCATCTAGGCAGAGGGATACGTTGCGGGAACTGGAATTATACAAGCATCGGCAGCTGTTTTTTGCTTCCCGTTTCCCTGGCCATCAGCGGCCGATGCACAGTGAAGGAGAGCTCATGTTTATGTCCCATGAAGGGGCAACTTCCTTCCTAAATGACTTCACCAGTGGTGTCTATCATCTAGTGCCCTTGCGCCCGATTGAGGAGCTGCAGATGATGTTAGGCCTCCTCTATCATAAACACCCTGATCGGCGACTGGAACGAAGCCATCGGGCGATTATCTATCTAGCATTGGCAATTGGAGCATCTGCATCCAATCAGTACGACTGGGCTGAAGAAGGCCAAAGCTGAGAGTGATATGCTCCCCGATATGGTGAATCTGACGGCTGTACACATCTTTCTGTTTATGATAAGTGACTCCCTCCTGGATTGAGGATTTCCGCTAACACTGCTCTTGATCTCACGCCATTTATCAAGCCGTAAATGGTCGACCGACTGCTGTGTACCTTCAGCTCGGTGCAGCCTCTCGGGTGGCATTTGCCATTGGACTTCATAAAGACATCGATTATCAATCCCCTGGAGAGGATCGGGAAAAGCGATTGGAGGCTAACCGGACAACATTCTGGTGCCTTGCTTTTTGGGAATGGTAAGTCATGGTGGCACCTGGAATCTAGCTCCAAAACCCATGTTAACGATAACGGTCAGCTGGACAACATTTGTCTCGGGCAGGCCCAGTTCCGTGCACATGGGCGAAACCTCATGCTTGTACCCAACTCATCAGATCTTTGTGCAAATGCTCGGTCGTCTGGGAATGACCATATCCAAGGCAAAAGCCTCTATGTACGGGCCGAATCAGTTATCTGCCTTGGGTCTATGGCGCGCTGCGCAAGGCCTACATGCTGGGTGTCTAGAATTTGCCGATGAAACTCGCAAGGCTCTCGGATTCAGCATAGACGGAAAGATAGCCTCCCATGTTGTAGATATACGACAAGTATATCTGACGAACTGTACGCCTCTATCGGATGTCAAATCAGCAGTTACTGACGAAACACAGTCTATCAACATACGGTCATGTTAATCTTCAAGCCCTTCCTCATCATCCACGCCCTGTTGCAAAGTCCATCTGCCACCAGCTTCGTCCAACAACACAAGCACAAGTCTCCCCAGGAAGCCCCCTCGTCCGAGATCACATGGCTTACCGAAGCATGTACTCGCGCTATCGACGCTACCTCTCGATTGATTATTTTCCTCTCAGAGTCCATCGACTTGAACCCGGTCATAAAGGTATGAGTTCGCACTCAAAATCCCCATGATTCATTTCAAAACCCCTAGTTGGAGCTCTGCCTAATGAAGGCCACAGACTCAATGCTACACAGCGTGGCATATTGAGTACGCCTGCTTCATGCTCTTCCAAGACATGGTTCGAGATCCCACACTCACCAACGCCCGGATGCTGCCTATAAACTCCGCCATCACCTACCTTTCCAAATTCACCAGTACCAAAGTTGTCCCCGGCGTGACTCACACCATCGTGACTTTGCGCGATAGCATTTTGAACCTTGCTCAACGATCTTACTCCCACCCGACAAACGATGCCCCGGAGCAGGAAGAGTTCCCGGTGCGACAAGATGCCCTTGACACCGAGAAGCTCCAAGGCCATGACTTGATCAACACGGACCTATCTGATCCCTTTCCCCACAATGGTCTGCATGACCCTTTCGTTCCTGACGGACTGGATTTCGAACAGCTCCTTTTTCAGGCCGGAGACTATGATATAGGATTCGATCCGGTGCCGGCTGATTGGAGGATCGACTTGGGCTGGGATGCAGATTTGGCTTTCACAGAACAACTGGAACATGTGAATGGGTGGGGCTCTTCCTGCAGGGATCAGGAATATCAATACCTTTGCGCCTATCTGCAGTTGCTTGCAGGATTATCGTAGCTCCGTTGGGCATTCTTTGAACAATGTATATGTGGTATAGCAGTCCGTTATCAGTACAAAAGGGTCCATCATGCCGCGTTCAATACGAAAGGACCCAACAAAAAAGCATCCTATGCCAAGAGGAAATGTATCGATGACTGGGCCGGATGGTAGGGGACGGGCTGATCGACATATTCCGGGCAAAAAAAGAGCGAAAAAAACAGCGAAAACCGTAAGAACAATCATGATACATTCACTGATATACTACAGATGGTAGAATACATCCATCAACAATCTAAAGCCTAGATCATCAAGCCTGGCTAATCAGAACCGACTTCCACGCCTTCCAGAATTTGCTCGACGAAGCAACGATCACCGAGATGATGCCCTTGAAGTCATCCTCATCGCACTCATACTCGTCCTCCGTGAGAGATTCGAAGCTAGGATGCTTCCCGCCCTGGTCCTCTGCGTATGCGTCCAGCAAGTACGCCGGAGCGGAAGCCAGCTCAACCTTGACCATGCTGGCCTCGCTGGGAACGCCCTGGTCATTCATGGCGAACAGCATGTACCATCCGGGAAGAAGAATTCCGGCGTCGCTGGGGAGGGTGGCAGAGTAACCGTGGCGGCCCGTGGGATTGATAGCGAGGGGAACACGACGCTGGTCGGTGTTGACGGTGTGGGTGGTTGATCCCACCCGGACCAAAGAGGCAGACTTGATGTCCGAGTCGGCGGTGAAGGTGATCGTCTGGCCGACAGTGACCTTTGCATCTGCGCGCTGGATTTTGGGACGAATGGCTCGCTTGCCGTCGGTGAAGAGGTACGGGGGAGAGAAGATCTGAGCATCGTAGTGGTTGGCCGAGCAGTTCCCGCAGAGGCCACCGCCGCCGTTAAGAACGGTGGCGTCGGGCAGTAGCATGGAGATACTGTGGTAGACCCGCTTGATATTGTTGGCACTGAGGGCAGTGAAGGTGTCGGTCTCGGGGTCGTACATCTCGGGCGTGAATTGGATCTCACCCTCGTGGAAGGGCTTGCCCCAGGACTGACCACCGGCAATGAAGACCTTGCCATCCGGCAAGATGGCCGAGGTATGGAAGACACGCTCGTAGTTCATTCCCCCCTTGTCTGTCCCATTAGCGCCCTTTCCGGCCACCTCCACCACGGGCGGTTGATACTCGGTTCCCAGAGTAATGAGATACGCGTTCTTGGAACCGTACGAGCCATCGTAGTGGCGTTGGCCACCGAACGTGAGGATCTTCCCCTGGGTAGCATCGTACATGACAGCACTACCAGACATAGAGTCCTTGTCATTGCCACGGGGGCCGGCGTTGTAAATGGCACCGATGGGCCGGCCGTTCCCATTCCGGTAATCGACGTCGAACCAATGCATCTCGACACTGGGACCCGCCTGGAAGACACTGGCCTTCTTCCAGCCAAACAGCCAGCCGTGGTTATCCGCGCGCCAGGCGCCCAAGCGGTCGTCGGTCATCATGGGTTCGACCTTGGCCCCGGGACGGGTTTCCCACCGGGCATCCTCGCCAGGGTAGTAGACCTCGGCGTTCTTTTCCACCTTGTCGCCGCCACTCCAGGAGCCTCCGATCACAAAGATTCGGCCGTCAGACAGGGTAGTCGAGGCGTGGTACCCGCGCGGAATCTTCATGCTGGGCCCTTTCACCCACGCCGTGCCATTGTACACACTAGTGCGACCCGAGTCGGCGCCTCCACTGACCACAATGTTGCCGTCAATGTCCATGGAGGTACCGGGGCAGAACATGTCGTGCTTGGTTTCGAAGATCTCGCTCTGGGTGAGGATGCCATCGCGGTTCATGGTGGTGGTCAAAGTCTTCCCACCAGGGGAGGCAAAGAACTGATCGTCGGCCCAGGCCGACCACAGAATGATGTCGCCGTGCTGGTCGACTGCCGATGACACGGGGACGATGGGAAGGTCGATGGTGGGACCCCAGACACCCGTGCTGGGCTGCTCCGGGGGGAAGGAGCCCTCGTTATAGGCATAGACGGCCAGGTTGACGACCGCGATCTGCCCGGTTCGGTTCTGCGTCCGATCGGGAAGCGATTCGCTCTCCGCCAGGAGTTTGACATAGCGAGCCGGCTTGGGGTCAAAGGCCGACATCTTGGGGCTCTTGTTGGATCCCCAGGTGCCGTATGCGACCTCGGTCCAAGTGTTCTTGTCCCGCGAGATGGAAATGCGGTGCTCCCCAATCTGGCCGGCGGCCTCGTGCAGCCGAGGCAGCATGGTGAGTCCGGGGACATGGTACTCCTTGCGCAGATCAATTACGATCCACGAAGGCTCGTCTTCGTGTGGGTTGCTCTGCCAGTATCGGTCCGCCCGGTCGTCGATGGCATAGTGGCACTCGTAACCTTGAAACCGGCTGGAGCACTCGACCTGCCAGTTCATAGTGGCATTCTCAGAATTGGTTTTGGGAATGAGCTCCGAATCTGCGGGAGGGGATTGGTATCTGACTCGGCCCGAAACCTCTTTGGCCGCGTCCACGCGATCGGCGTCGGAGGATTCGTAGGAGAATTCGGGGGGCATGAAGGCGTCGACAGCGACCGTCCCCAGGAGGAGGCCAGAGGCCCACTGGAACTTCATTTTGGAGATGACAGTCCGCGGAAGGTGGTGATGCGAGTGCAAGAGAGACCAGCAACCATGCAACTTATATAGGGCCCAACCGAATGGAAACAGCGTCAAAGCCCGCGCCGGCTGGATGGAAGACGGCAAGGGCCGCCACCCGATCGCCCATTCTTGCTGGACGGATCGTCGGTGGAGATGAATCAAATCCTCAAGTTCCGATCGGGTGTTCGTCTCCCATCCCTTCCTCAATCGGATGAGGGGCAGCATCCATCCCAGTCGAGAAGCTATTGTGTCTCAAGGGCCCACTGTGGATCGGCAAACCCCATCGATCATCCTGCGGACGGCTCGGTCTGCGCCATCTTCCAGTGCGTGACGTGTGGCGGTTCCATGGAAGGGCGATGATAGCTATTCACGTATCTCGGAGTTTAAATCTCGTTGGGATGGATTCATTCCTGCGGATCATTCCAAGGGCGCGGTATTGATGCAGTCTGAACCTCAGTCGAACATCAGCAGTCGGCCAAATGTGCCAGGATCTGCGAGAGGCCCCAGAGGGGATCCACTCACTATCCCCACCGTTCAGCTGAAGAAAATGACGCAGTCTGTGCAGATGGTCATCACCCACTGCAGATCGTCGATGCGCCTACACAGTAATGGCCCAGTTGGCCTCGGTTGAGATCGGCGTGCACCAGCCTCCTGCCAGGCAGAGCAAAGTTACCTTGTCCAATGCAGATGCTAGGTAGCAAAGATCTGTTCATTATCCTACACTGAAAGTCTCGATATTATGTAAGATCCCTTACCAACTTGTCTGCATAGGGCATATCATTCCAAGATCCATACACGTATGAAGGTAGGGGCCCTAATAGCCCTAACTACCCAATCACTTACTAGTACTCCGTATACGAAGCTCTCCTGTATGGACCCAGTCTTGAGATACATCAATTTCCAAGATTGACTGATGCTATACTATACGAAACAAGTGGAGTAGGAAAAAGACGGCTAAAATAGCGCGAGAGCCACCCGCGGAGGTGGGGTATGCAGAACCCGGACGAGGCAGCGCGATCATCATAAAGACTTTCTGTCACAGGATGAACACTCTTCCCCTATCCTGATTAGGTATCCACAAATCACCAACCCTTCATTACGAACTGGCAGGTGGCGAGATTTGCAATGGAGGGGCAATGAGAGGCCAAGGAGGGGAGCTGGTTGTGTCCATCGGCGCGGCATACCTTCCTTGGCTCGAATACGCATGCCTCTGCGATGGTTGTCGGCAGTGCATGGCGTGGTCGCTTTCTCTTTGGAAGATTGACTTAAAAAGGGCTCTCTTTCCTGGCACCAAGTACAATTAGTGCACCTTGGTTGCTTCATTTTCTACAACACGTACGCATCAACATGCCCATCAAAAAAGAAGACCGCGTGGTCGATACAGACAACATACAGGGCAGTATCTGGCCCCGTCTGCCCAAGTATTATGAATCTTACCTCTTCTTCAAGATCACCAACAAGGGGCGCTTCAGGAAACACCTCCGAGCTCTCGTTGATAAGAAGAAAATTACCACTGGTAGTCAATGCGAGGAGCACTTGCTCGCAGTTAAGGAGTTCGAAGAAGCCTGTGCACACTCTCGACGTGATGTGCCTGAGTCCGAGCGAGAGCCCTTTACCGCGGTGAATATCGCCTTTACCCACATGGGTCTGCTCAAGGTTTGCCTCCTTCACCCTTACGTTATTCTTTCGATCGCATATGTCCTTACCGATCTTCTACTCTCTAGGTTGAAGACCCCGCGGTCGCTACAAGATTCGCCGAGACCCTCAAAGAAGATCGAGACGCGTATTGCAAAGAGCGAATCAACGAGGGCCTCTTCGAGAAGGGCATGTTCGATGATCTCGTGTACGAAGGAGCCGATAGCCCTCCGGCATTGCATCCGGATTTCCGCGCTCCTCCCGGAAACGAAAACAAGAAAGATCCCGAACGGTGGGAATGGCGAGTCGATGGGGTTTTCATCGTGGCTGCCCATACTTCCGAGGCTCTACGCGCGAAGATTGGCGAGGTGGAAAATGAATTCCATACTGGGGATGCGAATAAGATCAGTATGAGGATTGCGTTTAGACGGGATGGTCAGGTGCGTCCGGGTGCGGACCGTGGAAAGGAACAGTATGTTTCTCCTTGTCGTTGGTCAGAGTGTGATGCTGATTCATGTTGATAGCTTCGGATATGAAGATCATATCTCGCAACCGAAGATCAAGGGCTTGGATGATCCCCCGGCCACGGGTGAACCTCATGCCTGTCCTCCAGGGTTCGTTACCACATTTTTCTTTCTAATCCTGAACTGTACTGAGGAGTGCCCTGCTAACATGTATTAGATACATCTTTCTCGGTCACGAAGGTGATCCCAACAAGAAGAGAGGCCCCGCATGGGCCAAGGAAGGCAGCTTCTTTGTCTTCCGTCAGCTCGACCAGAAGGTTCCTGAATTCAACACCTTCCTCAAGGAAGCGGCACCGACAATCCCAGGCACCAACTACAGCGGAGACGACGGCCCGGAGAAGCTAGGAGCTCATCTAATGGGCCGATGGAAGAGCGGTGCGTCTATACCACATGATCACAGCGCCCCCCCCCCCCAACGAGACGAGCTAATCGATCCATCCAGGATGCCCCATCACCAGCGCCGAGCGCCCCGAAGCCATCGACCGCGACGTCCCGGAACTAGCATTCTCCAACAAATTCGACTTCCGACCCAAGAAGAGCATCAAGGGATGTCCGTTCGCGGCCCACATCCGCAAGATGCGTCCCCGGGCCGATAAAAAGCAGGATATCGGAACCGAAGACGATGGGGACAACGAGCCCATTCCCGATCTGGAGACTGATGAGATTCTCGCAGAGGGACAACACGAGGATGCCAGTGTCATCCTCCGTCGGGGAATCGCCTTCGGGCCTGAACTCACCGAGGAAGAAATCGAGCAGAACAAGACGATCGAGCAGCGCGGGATCTACTTCACTTGCTATCAGAGTTTGATTCGGGATGGCTTCAACTTCCTCATGACTCGTGAGTGCCCTTTCTTGTTTTCGTGCAGTGGGTGGTTAGCTAATAGATACAGGTTGGGCGAGCAACGCATCCTTCCCTGAATACAAGGCTAAGACCTACCCCGATGGGCCGGGGATGGATCCGTTCATCAACCAGAGGTTGCGGAAGGATCATCCCACTGGGCATATTAGTCTGTATGATGGAGTCAACCCGGATAGAACCGTCAAGCTGGAGCTTGGGTTGAGTCCGTGGGTCCATCAGAGAGGTGGTGAATACTTCTTCACGCCTTCGATCAAGGCTCTGCGGGAGCAATTTTCTGCTCCTTGATTGTCACCATTGTTTGATAGTTTCTACCCGGTAAATATGACACCATTGGATTTTCTTAGTCCATGACCCATGCTTTATCGCTAGACTGTCTGAACGTAACCCCTGCAACTCCATATGGGTGTCACCTGGGCCTCCACCCAACATTTGTACGACTTATATAATTCTACAATCCCACCTTCCTCTTGTCTTTGTCCTCTATTGTGCTTACCCTGTATCGTATAATAATCTATCCAACGCGGATACTTTACAAATAGCCCGCACATATTCCTCCAAGGGCTGATGATCGTACAGGTGACCACAATGGGTTGAAACTAGGGCTTCCCGACCACAAGCCCTCAAGAACATTGATTCGCTCTCCTCTCCTCGAGACATTGACACCTCAACCACTCACCACGACCTCAGAGATTGCACGCTAGTAGATTCCCCACTGAACTGGCTGACTCTTAATATTGCCATTGCAATTCATATTGCCCTTAGCACCAATTCGCCCGTCCCGCGCGAACGGGGCAATCGCGTCGTTGATGAGATCAATGACATCCTGTCCCCCGACCTTGAAGTTGACGTTAGCGGCCGTCTTGGTCGCTTCAACGCCGAAATGACAGCCGGCATGACTTGCAATCTCGCGCTGGTTATGGCCGATCACCTGGGTGGTCCAGGCAGTTCTGCCATCGCCTTCGATCTTCGTGATGCCGTGGTAGTTCTTCCCGCCGGAGATGTATGCGGTGCCCTTGGGCGCCGAGAACTTGTTGTCGCGGCAGGTGGTCTTACAGGGACCGACATCAGTGACCCGCTTGCAGGTGCAGGTCGTCGCCGCGCCGTCCGGATACGCCCGGTAGTACTGCCAGTTGTCCACGCAGACGCCCGTGGCGTTCATCGTGTCGGCGTCCAGGTAGCCCCGGAGACGCTGGTCTTCTTCGTTGCACGCGTGACCGGCATCTATGATAAAGGTATAGGCTCCGGATTGGCGCCACACGGCGGGGAGGGCGAACCCAATAATACACTTGCGAATGTTCGTGAGGAGGTCATTCTGGGCATTTCCGGTCGCGGGCATCTCGCCTTCCCTTTTGCCCTCGATGAGCTTTCCATCGGACATGGCGGCCAACAGAGCGTCCAGCGCCTCGTTGGTTCCGTGGAAGAGGGTAGTGAGCGTCAGGGAGGTAACGTTTGCCCAGCCATAGACGACCTGCCCCAGATAGGCAGAGAACTCATCCTGATTCTCCGGCGTCCATAGAGTCCCAGTTCCATTTCCTCCGGATGGCAATGCGTCCTTGGCGATGGTGGTACTTTGTCCGATGAGGGTCATGGCGGTATCCTTTTGCGTTATCCAGGGCGCTGCCGGTTTTCCCCGCAAACCAGGTCTGCTGCTTCAGAACGGTGTTGAAAAATGGTCCAGCGCTTCCCAGGGCCCCCAGCGTGATCATATCGACCAGGAGCAGGAGCCAGGTGTCGTCTTCTTTCGGCGGAATCGGCGCAAACTTGTTCTCCATATCCTTGAGCGCCGTGCTGACAAGGGTGAGAGCCTGGAACAAAGTGTCATAGTACCTCTGGTACATTTCATGGATTTCCACCAGCGAGTTCCAGATGAACTGGGCCGCGGGGCCCGAGGTGGCACCGTCGGCCCCCTTTCCGCAGTCCACGGTGCTGCAGCTCTGACCGAGTTCACCGCATTGCTGCTGCCCCTCCAGGTGGGTCGTACTTTTAAACGGACAGGATGAAGGAAACATCGCGCTGCTCCTCGGTATCCTTCCAAATCCGGACCACGTCGTCCCAGGCTGCATCGGTGCCCATCAACCGCCACCGTTCCGAGGGCGTGTAGTCGAGGAAATCCACCACCACCGGGTGCGTGCAGTCGAAGCTCGTCCAGTTCCCGTTCCGCGTGTGGTCGGCCTTGGGGTTCTTTCCAGCTTTGGCCAGCTGGATAAAGTGGGCCCAGCTTTTCGCCGGCTTGGGGACATCATGGTACCTTTGAAGGTCACTCGCCCAGTCCAAGGTGCCTCCCAAGCCCCAGCTCGCGTACAGAGAGGCGCGCTTCGTTTTGGAGGCGGCGCTCATGTATGCGACCCACTCGTCGGTGTCATATATCAAGACGTCACTGTTGCTGGTGGGGTCGACATAGCTCTTGACCACTCGAGACGCATTCTTCATGATCTCGGCAATTTCCGCATCGGCCAGATACCCAGCGGTGTCCATGCCGGGGCCCTTTTGGGCATGGGAAGTCAAGCGGTCGCCCGTGTACAGGCAGTTGGGGCCCGAGCAATTAGGGTCCGCCATCTTGAAGGATCGCCCGTAGCTCGTCACGCCCACCACCACCTTGGCGCCAGGCACCCCGGCCTTGGTGATCATGGCCAGGGACTGTTGGGTCTCGGTGAGATTGACCTGGCTGCGCAGACAGTTGCCCGTGCCACAGCCATTTTGCGAGTTGCTGTTATGCGCATCCCACTGCCCGTGGAGATCATAGGTCATGTAGACGATGTAGTCGATGACCTTAGCAATGTCCGCGATGGGATACTGCTTCAAGTACCAGTAAGACGCCGGGGCGGCAATGGAGACGGACCTTCCGGGCAAAAGGCTCTTGAGAATCACCAGGAAGGGCCAGGTAATTGGGGCTATCTTCCGCGGTACCCGGGTCGAAATCGGGGAGGTCCGGCGCACCGGGGTATTCCCAGTCGATATCGACCCCGTCGAGGTCATGTTGCTTGATGAAGTCGGCAATCTTGGTCGCCATCGTGAGCCGATTCGCCGGTTTCACACCGTTGCGGAAGATCTGGTATGTCGCAGGCATGGTCGAAAAGTCCCACCCACCGAAGGAGAGGATCCGCTTGACTCCTGAGACTTTTCTTGAACTCGCGGAATTGGTAGGTGGATAGTTCATCGCCCATCTTGACCTCCCACGCGTCAGTCAGCGTGCCGAAGCCGAAGTGTAGATGCGTGTACTGCGACGCATCGATCTGCGAGGCGTCCTGGAAGAGACACTTTCGGCTCAGGCAGTAGCCTTCGTAGTAGGCGATTTTGATCTCGCCTGATCCCGCGCCCTTGACACCATCCATGCCGCAATTGGAGATGCACCCGTAGGTGCCTGGCTTGGCCGTCCCGGGGGCTCCAGTGTTGGTATCGATGCAAAAGTCCGAGGTGATTCCGCATTGGCCCCAGATATTGCAGCATGCGTTTAACGGACACGGACTGAGATCCGCGATCTTCGAGCCATTCGTGGGTGGGATGGTGCCGGGCTTCTGCGGACCGCACTGGGCATTGGGAATCTCCGCAGGGAAGGGAGGGCTCCCCTCACGCAAGCACAAGACCGTATCCTTGAACAGGAGCTCACAGCCATTCCAGCCCCAAGTATTCTTGTTGAACTTCTCGAGATCGGCGATCTCGAGGCTGTGTTCTGCAGCAAGGCTGGCGCAGTTGTCATTGGCCTGGATTTGATGAGTTTTGCACGAGCCATCTTTGTTGGGCTGGGGCCGGAGATCAGGGAGGTCGCCACTGGAGCAGCAGACGTGCTGCTTCGGTTTTAATGTGGAGCAGAAATCTGCACCCGGGTTGTACTTGGTGCAATCCGCCCCCGAGATGCCGCATTTCACGGCCAGATCTGCGCAGCCGTTCCCAGCCTCAACCTGTACAGTCCTACACTTATCTTCTGCCCGGGTAACAACGTTTCGCGCCAGGTTGCGAACCCGGACTGTTGAGTTGGTAGTTGTGTGGTTCCCATTTAGAAGAGGCGTCGTGAACGTGGCCGAGCCCGCGAACTTGGTGGACCCGGAGAAGGACAAACACGTCGCGTTGGCCCAAGCCTTGATGGCGCTTTGGATGGGGGCAAACGTGCCATTACTGGTCGCCATGACCCCAATGACATGCGTGCTATCATAGCCCTCCTCGCAGAGCTGCATGGCCAAGCTTTGGGGTGGAAACCTCGAGCTTGTCCAGATTATCCTGGAAGATCTTGAGCGCAGACTGGCTGAGCCCCTGCTTCAGGAGACCCTGGCCCACGTACAGACCAATCGTTGCCTGTCCCGACTAGCCGTAGATGATAAACGGCCTGTCCGTCGGGCCCGGCTCACTCTCGGCATACCGGCGCATCTTCCTTCACAATCGATCGCAGTCCCGCACCCGCCAGACCGAAGCCCTCATGCCACCAGCCGAGTTCAAACTCCACGTCCACGGACTCGGCCGATGTAATCCGCGCCGGGGAGACAGGGAAACTGGCAAAGTCGGGTCCGTATGACGAGCAGGCTTGAATGCGATGGGTTCCGTGCCGGTCATCGACATCATCAAAACAGGGAGAAGTCGTAGAACATGGTCTCTTTGCACTTGCGGATCTGCTTAAAGTCCGCGTACACGGACCAGTTGCCCGTGTTGGGCCCCGAGGTGCTGCAACGCTCCGGACAGACCGAGGCACTGCCGCGGCAAACTGGGACTGATGGAGTTTCGGACGCCTGGGGTGGCGGTGGCTGCTGGTGACCAGACGAAGAGCACGAGGGCGGCTGCCGTGCTGAGCCATGTCGGGGGCCTCATGGAAAATGAGTGTAGACGACCCAAAGGGTCGAAAGGAAAACGGAAAGGAATGTAATGGCGGGAAAGACAGGAGCAGACAGTTTGTGCAACAGTAGAGAGCGTAGTTGCAGCGCAGGTTTCCCAGGGAAGATACACCGCCCTTTCGGCGATTTATACTGCAGACATATGTCTAATCCTAAGCCTTACTCCCCCTTGCCCTTTCTTTCACTGATTCCAAGAGGATCTTCATCCTCTGCTTCGACTAAACGTTACATCGCATCCCCTCAACTCAGCTGTTCCCATGCCGTATGGCACTGATACGAACATATCCAAGTCAACCACAACAAAGCCGCTCATGACCTAGCGCATGATCAGCCCAATGCCAGTGATTTCATGTCGTACACCAATCTCCCAACTATGCTTGGCACAGTTTCGCCCAGCCACTAAGACTCGCCCCTTTATAGGGCTACAGGCGGCGTGGCATCTCATTCGGACATTTACGTGTGCCAAGAGAGTATCTCGGTAGACTAGATTGTTATCCTTGATGGATAGAGGAAGGTACGTTCCTGTATTAGCCCAGCGAGATGGGCTTGGTAATGAACAGACTCCGACACTCCAGCCTCCATAATGCACGCACTTATGCACTGCAGCCTGGAGTCTTTGTTATCCCGACTCTCACTTCGGAAAGTCTGGCTCCCCCTGTCAGGCAGGGATCAATGTGCGCCAGCCCCTGTGACATCAGGCCGCCATGCGGTCAGATGGCCCAGCTCAGGGCCCTAGGGCGTTATGCAAGCGGACGGCCTTATTGCACGGGGCTACCTAACTAACCAATTCCACTAATTTCGGTTAGGGCTGATGCGCATTGTCACTCTGCAGCGTGATAGGTATTTGTAGTCGACCACCTTTGTTACGGTCTATGTAGGGATATCAATATACCTTCTGCACCAGTAGCTGGAAGGATTTTTCTTTCTTAGTCTACGCGGCAGTGGCTCTCACAGGGTATTAGCGGGGTTAGTAAGGTGGTGCACAGGGAGGAGAAGAGGGCAGAAGAGTCATAGATTCCGGGCTTCGGGGGAAGAAAAACAGCTTCTTGAATAGGTAGGTAGGCGGAAGACATGTACTACAGGCAACTTCATCTTAGATTTCTGTTCCCGGGAGACATTATGCTGTGAACACCTGCTATGCTGTTGGGGATACATGAATGCCCCGGCAACTGCCTACCGTGTCTCGGGATTTATGCACACATTGAACATACTGAAAGTGTCCAACTACAGGAGCGCGACCCCAGCAACTCCCAGGACAGCCGAAAGACACGATATACTCAGGCCAGCTAATTGCGGAGCACCATTCTCCTTCTTAAGACAGTCATCGGGCGGGTTCAGACCCTCGCAGAGCTGTGTACGGTGAGCGGCGGCCATACTCGCCGCGCTATCCGGGTCGATAGCAACGCGACCAGGGGTCCGGGGTGTAGCGGGTGGTATTCGCCGTCGAATTGGTTGCCACGACGCAAGTGTCGCGGTCTACGGTATTGGTGTCCTGGTGCGATCGCATCGTAATGTCCGTCCCGGTGATTCCAATCCCGTTGCAGTCCCCGGGACAGGTGGAGTTGGCGGTCGCCGCGACAAGATCGACTTCTCTGGAGGTTGGTATCGTCGATGGTGAAGTATCGCGACGCGGAATCGTAATGGTTGAAGAGCTTGACTCCATAGGCATTAGCCCGCGACTCGTCGTCGCAGCTCTGCCAGTAGAGCTCCCAGATTACGGACCAAGACCCCGTGGTGTTGATGTTCCGGACGTAGTGATCGGCGAGGTAAGGGTCTGCGCTGCCAGTCCAATTCACCCAGCGCCAATCGTGAAATAAGGTCTTTTGGCCGTTTACTTCACGGTTCTTGCGGACATTGTAGACGACTTATATGCCTTCGCAGGTGGTGAGTCACGAAAGTCTCTACACATTTCCTCATGCCACTAGGTATGCAACGAATTAATAAATGAATAGGGAAGCGTGATGCGCTGCGGAATGGTATGGTGCAATATTCCAAATATATATTGCGAATTTTACGACATCCACAAGACATCCCCAGAAATACAAACATCTAAATCGGGTGTGGAATGCATGACTGAAAAGAAACCCACCAACTACTATGGAAAGAAGAAAGATCTCCACAACATTGGCCAACTTTTCAGCAAAACCCAAGCAGTCATAGAGTACAGTCCAGTGAAGCATTGAACGAAGCACGCCGGGCACTCAATTCCTTAGTTTCTGCCTCAGGCAGAAGGGGGGGAAAGCGGTGAGATTCTACCGGCCATATCGCAAGCTAAACCTACTTTGGTAAGCGAGGATGGCGTACTCGCTCCACGCCATTCCCAACCAGGAAACTAGGGGCGCGCATACAAAAGGGCAACTCTAGCACCCTGCATTCAATCTAATTAGAATGTGCTGGCACTTCTCTCGGCATAATGCTTTCAGACCCTTGCCGACATCTTATCACGGGTAGCCTGGTGGTTTTTCCCTATGCATCTTCAGTTCTCTTTGTTATGGCCCCTTTTCCACAGTGACTCGGGTTAAAGGTGTAGAAATCTACGGATAATAATTGAATCCACTGCCACGGGATTTTCTTTTCCCACTTCTTCGGAGTCGGTAGGGAATTATATAAGTCGATCCGAGAGGACGAAAAGAAGCTTATCATGGGGATACAGCTCTGAAGGGGTCAGAAATTAGTGCGACGGTGTCAGACTGGTGCCAGAAAAATAGCTCAGACAGCTTCAGAGAAATCCTAAAGATGAGCTCCCGAGACTAGTGAAACGCTTCCAGTGATATCTGGCCAACTCGACCAATCACGGAGCTGCATCGTGCAGCCCACCAGAAAACCGAAAACAATTGGGGTTTGATCAGTGGAGCATCTGACTCGGCTAGCCCAATGAGATTGCAGGGAGCCAAGGGCTCGAGGTGGCTTGTTGCGCCTCCTTGCTAGCGAAGCTGCTTATTTTAGTGATGTTTTTCGACTATGCTAGTGTGTTTTGCTGTCCATGACTCGTAAGGTGTTTGAGGCGTTTCTGGCCATGTGGCATCTTGGTCAGGCTGTGAATCGAGGGTAGACTTACAGGGAGGAGGGCATGCTGCGCAGGTGTCAGTTGTTGGACAGGACATCGGACGGGCAGTTCCGCTCCGCAATGTCTTGGATCACGCAGCTCCGTCGGCGAGAAGTCTAGAACCCTGCGTCGATATCTCTCGGACGGAGTGCACTTCCTGAAAGGGAGGACGGGGGGTCTGAGAGCGCCGATGGTTTCAGTATGGGACACCTGCCAGATAAATTGGGTTAGTGACACTCTGTCCCTGCTTATCCTTTCCCTCACAAGGGGCCACTAGGGACTAAGCGCTGGCGGATACGAACTTACAAGGCTATCCGGATATATTCAAGACTAGTAAGGTAGATCATTACTACTTTAATCGTGCTAGCGGGAGGGGTAGGCGCCCGATTATCTTCCCACATCTGCAGGGGAAAAGTAGAAAGGCAGAGTTGGCCGGCTGGCGTGCAGAGTAGGACAAGCAAGATGGGGTTGAGTATATGATTGTCAAGGATCTCTGTCCACCAGCTTGTTGAGAACATACCGTAGAACTAAGAGCAAATCCATGGAACGAAAAGAACTGAAACCCCATATATGGTATGAAAACATTTTGCCTCCTAGAAAGGCCCCTTAGTATTAGCCGGCCCCAACTCCATAGTATGAGGAAACGAAGTGACTAGGTCGTTACAGGGACCAATAGCCCCAGTGCTAGTCACACCACATTCCTAGGGCATGTGTCTCCTCGTTTTTTTCTCGCTCCGGTGTTGGGGTAGACAGTCCAGCATCATTCTTCTCTTTGATCATAAGGTAATAACGTTGCACTCAGCAATATAATAGTTATTAAATTCCCCCGTGGCTGAACGGGATAGAGTAATGGGTAAGCCCTAATGCCGGCAGTCTGTAGAAGATGCGCCAATTGCGGAAGGATCGGGGGCCGGGATTGTTCCTTTGGACCTCCAGTTGTGCCCGGAGATATACCCGGTGAAGACTTTCCACGTATGACAGGTTATTGTCTGATCCAGAATAATATAAGCGTGCATATGGTAAGCATGGGAACTCCGTCCGGCTTATCCGGATTGCAATCAAAACTAGGCCCAAGTCTGCATCCTTTCCCATCAACGCATGGGAGTGGATACCCAGACCCTGGTAGTGTCCATTCCTTCATAATCTGACCAGGTGTGAAATTAAGCATGACGGCTCTGGAAAGCCGTCGGCCATCCACCCTGCCTCGCCTGGATACGCTCCTATCCAGTTGGTTCTCACGAACCTCGTGCAATCTCAAGCCCTTCCGGAAGGAATCCGCTGAGTGGAGTAACCTCCACCGGTTTATTGCCCAAGATGTTTGGATGAAACCACTTGATATAGAGCAACCAGAACTAGATGAATTCGAGGTCCTCAGGAGAGCATCCCATCCACTTTTGCTTTGTCCCCGTTCCACACCGAGTAGATTCAAACCTTATTTAACCTCCGCGCTGCCCTCATTGCTTTTGTTGCTGGCATCATCCTCAACCATCAGCCATCATGCGTTACGCACTTACAGCACTCGCCGCTCTGCCCGGGCTGGCTCTTGCCTACTCCAACCCCGAGTCCTGCTCGGGAACATGTGTCGTCAGCGACCCCGGTCTTATGCGCCGTGTGTCGGATGGCAAGTACTTCCGCTTTTCCACCGGTGGTGAAATCACCTTTGCTACGTCGGACTCGCTGTTCGGTCCCTGGACGGGTGTGGGATCCGTTGTCCCCGGTGGATCCCGCATCGATCTGTCCGGTAACACCGATTTGTGGGTGAGTTACAGTCCCATGCGCATCATTCAACCCTCATACACAATTCAATCCTTAAAAAAATCCAATCACTAAACAGTCCCCTATTCCCAACCCAGGCCCCCGACCTCCACTACATCGAAGGAACCTACTACTGCTTCTATGCGGTCTCGACCTTCGGCTCGCAATCCTCCGCCATCGGTCTCGCCACCTCCACCACTATGGAGCTCAACAGCTGGACCGACCACGGCTCCATCGGCGTCGCGTCCAGCAGCGGCAAGCTCTACAACGCCATCGACCCCAACCTCATCAAGGCCGACGGAACCTTCTACATGAACTTCGGGTCCTTCTACGATGACATCTACCAGGTCAAGATGAACTCCGCGGGTACCAAGACCGCCGGTAGCGCCGCCTACAACATCGCCTACAACGCCACGAGCACTCACTCCGAGGAGGGCGCCTACATGTACCAGTACGGCAACTACTACTACCTGTTCTTCTCTTCGGGTGCGTGCTGCGGTTACGACACCGATCGCCCGGCTGCTGGCGAGGAGTACAAGATTATGGTGTGTCGGAGCACGGAGGCGACTGGGAACTTTGTAAGTGGCTCTGCTGATACCGCTGGTATGGTATGTTGCTAACAAAGGGGTGGTGAGTAGGTTGATAAGAATGGTGTCGCTTGCAGGGAGAGCGGTGGTTCTCCTGTCCTCGAGAGTCACGGTACCGTCTATGGCCCCGGTGGCCAGGGTGTCTACGATGACCCGAAATACGGCACCATCCTCTACTACCACTACATCAACACGGAGATCGGCTATGCGGATGGCGATAAGCAGTTCGGCTGGAACGTGATCGACTGGTCTGATGGATGGCCGTCTATCTAAGCTGCCACCTGTGGTGTATTGAATCGATATTCCGATGTACATAGTGTTGACTGGGGTCGTTGGAAAAGAGTGAGAGTTTGTATATACCTCTGTCGAGTAGGATGTCATAACAGTGCTTTTTCATATGAGGCCATCCCGTACTAGCGTCTGAACCAGTAGACCGCTTCATTCAAGACTCACCGGCCCACCGTATTCACAAACCCCCGATTCGTTCGCCTCCATTTAATCCCTAAAAACCCTTTCCCGCTCGACTGCATCGAGCCACGAGTCAAAAGATGTATAGCACTGCCTCTGGAAATGATATCCGCCAACACATCAACATATAACTATACGCTTGTAAGGGTCCGGTATGCAGCCATGTGGGACAGATGGCCACCGGCCTCTATGCGATAAGAGATAAGCTGCGTGCGGCCACATGTGGGTGCCACGACCTCGTCCAGTCGGGAATTCTTCGGCTCCTGTGAGTTTCTCCAGAACTTTGAATACGCTCGTGTTTCAAGTTACTATCCACACGCGCCATCGTTAAGGCTACAAGATCCGGTGCTAATAAGGCCCTCTTCCAGAGCTTGCCTGCGCGTCAAGGTCTCTGTCCATCAGGCAAACGGATCATGTGCGGAGCCAAAGAGAGCGAATGTTTCCCTCTGGAAGGGGGCAAGGACGTATCTAGCCCCGGGGGAATTGGGATATAGGATGGAATTGTGTGTGTGTGTGTGTGTGTGTGTGTGTGTGTGTGTGTGTATTCCGGGTCCATCTCTGGAATTGATGACCCACTAGTAGATGTACATTTATAGCGTCTGTCCTCCTGGCATGTAGCTTGTCTCATTGTATGTCCCAACATGCATTGTCGATAGCAGATGCAAATAATTCAGACAGGTATTAGAACCTTTAAGTAGTTGGAGACGACGGTGTTCTCTTTGGGTGCAGAGTAGCTGGGTCTAGGATCCGCCGTGCACTCTCGGCGAGTTGGGTGGAGGGTATGTGAACAACCCTCATTACTGGCCAGAGAATATGAAGAGAAGGGCTCCTGTTTTCAGCCGCAGATCATTCATCCTAATCGGCCCTAATTCAGGATGGGAAAGGCTCCAGATAAGCTGAAATCGTGATGGGAAGTCGGCAGTAGATGGTTTTTAGCTGCGTGGGACTCTGTTTAGAGTAATAATTAATAGCAGAAAAACCGGTCTCGAGGCACTAAGTAGTGTAGATCACCGAAAGCGTCTCAAATCCGGAAGAAAATAAAGGCCTTCCAAAAATTGACATTATAGAAGACTGCACGGTCCAAAGATGGTATGTTTTGTTGCTTTCAGGATGTCAATGGGACCATTGTAGTGTAGACAGGGGAGTTCTCAACGAATGGAGACCGAACAAACTTCATGGCGATGTGGTCTTTCGTATCCTGGAGATCCGCGGAAACTTTCCGAATTCGACAATGCTCGGGCACGTATGTACTCCCGTCGGGGTAGCGCTCCATGCCCGCTTCTTCGATGTCGACGATGCGTTCCGCACAGAGACCCGTATATCGATCGGGCCAGACACCGTGATAGAATGGCGACTCGAGCATCAGACGAACGGCCTTTCGTCGAATTTCTGGATGACGACATCGGGATGCCACCAGGAACATGGGCGGGGTGATGCCCAAGTCGAAGCTAAACAGGAGACTGTACTCCTTAGGCGCATGCTGCCAGTCAAGGACGACCTGCTCGGCGAGGTCGACAATGGCTCTGAATTGGTCAATATATCCATCGAACGTGGTCTCAAGCACGGTGTAGTAGGTGCCCGTGATCACAATTGAAACGTGATAATAGAGTTCTAGGAGCTGGTGACTACAGTCCTGGAGGTGCGTCGCCTGGGAAGACAGGTCCGAGGAGTCCAATGTGTCCTTCCAGTGGTGCAGCACAGAAATCGGGTCCCGTACGGGCTTATGAGGGCACAGGACCTCCTTGTTTTCTAGGGCTGAGAATATGTAGTTCATCGCGCGATCAAAATCTCTTCGCGCAGCGTCAAACGAGGAGTATGATGGCGGGATTGTTGGAGGCGGTAGGCCGGGGGTGAAGCCGTATCCCCTCCAGCTATGCCGCGAATCCATACAGAGCGAGAACTGGACTCGAAGCCGTTGGATAATGGGGGTGATTTTTTCATTCATGAACTCTAGAGTGGGTCGGGAGTAATCCTTGAGTTTTGTATAGTTGTCGGTGCGTGATCGCCACCAATCGATCAGCTTGAGGGCCGCAGTCAAGTGAACCAAGCAGGCAGCATCACCGGTGCGGAATTGCTCAAAGCAGAGGAATAGAATGCACAAGACCATGGTGATGTCGGGACGAGAGGACATGTCAATAGATTCACCTCGGAGGGATTGGATGGCGTGGTTATAATGTCTCAAGGCTAGCATCTGAACCGAGAGACTGCGATCCTGGGGAGATTGACGAATCCAGGTGAGCTCCTTGGCTGGCTGTAGGCTCTCATGCACTGATGCCAGGGCAGTGATGGCATGTCGAACTGCAGGCTCGACATGTGCAATTTGGAGGATGACAGGAACCCAATCATTGGCATCTTGTTCCCCGAAAATTCGATGGGCTGTTTGGCCGCGAAAAAACGCCAAAGCTCGCCGTTCTTCATCAGCTAGCTGGTTGGTAATAGCGGCGGTGGGACGGTCTACGACAGGATACCCTTCACAGATGCGCTTGGTGGAGAGACATCGCAGGCAAGATGGCTTCCGCTCATCACATTTCACACGTCTTGCATACGTTGTTAGTATTGTTGGTGCCTAGTTCCGAAGTAAGAGTGGGGGAGGGTGGGGGGGGGTCCAGATTGAGGTCGAGGCGTCAGTACCTACCGAGATCTACAAGTACACGCGGGGGAGGAATTGGTTAGCAAGGTATGCAGATATGATAAGCACTGGCCAAGACATGCTCACTTGCAGGTCAAGCAGCCTGTTCGGGTCTTGGGCCTTGGGCGCCGTGAGACTGTGGTCATCGAGGGATTGGCGGCATCCATGGTAGCATGGAGCACATGCCTTGGAGCCGAAAGGGGCCCCAAGGAAGCGAGCTGGAAGGTGAGGGAGGGACAAGAAGGGGGGCTGGAGGGGTCCCAAACTGAAGGAAAGAGATTGAGGGCGATGAATGACGAATAAACCAGCAGCGAACACATCGATGTCACCGGAAGGGCGTGGGGGAGTGACTAAGCCGGCCCCTCTACCCGATACAGGCCATTACCATCGGTAATTTTCAACAGGACTATACCCCGTGCTGTGCCCTGCCCCAGAAAAGCTGTCCAGGTGGGATGGTTTCAATTATTCTCGCTCTTACCTAGCTCTTGGGTATATAATCCCCCTTGCTCGACATTCAGCTTCCCGTCTCGCACACAAGAATCCACCATGACACAGCTATCGCTTGCCGCTTTGCGCCGGACAAAACCCCCAAGTCTCAAGATCTCGATTGGTTTGGAGGAGACAGTCCTCAAGCCCTACTATACCTCTGGAGACCGTATCCAGGGCACTGTCACAGTCACAGTTGACAGAGAAATTCCGTTCGACCATGTCAGTCTGACATTCAAAGGTCCTATATCCTCACAATCCTCCCCGCATGATCATATAGATGATAACCCAGAGGCTAATAATGGCGATAGGCTCAACACGGGTGACACTCCCGCAGCCAGACACCGTCCTCCGGCATTGCGAGGCCTCCCATACATTTCTCCAATTGCACCAGCCAGTTAAGGAAGATCGTCTCACTGTAGGGTTCTTTCAGCCAGGAGTGGTCTACACATTTCCATTCGTCTTTGTTGTCCCTAAGTGCTTGTTGCCCAGCTCGTGCACCCATCCAACAACCGATGCCCACATCCACCAGACACACACCCAACTACCCCCAACGCTGCGAGTAACCAACATATCACAGATGGTGTGTCAGGTTACGTACGGTGTTGAATTTACGGTGTCGCGGCAGTCAGAGAAGAATGGCCGTGACCAACCCCAGAATGAGACCCTGGGATCCGAGACAAGGCATGTGATGGTTATACCTACAGCTGATCCAGGAGCGACATCTCGCGTTGAAGGCATATTCAGCCGTCTCAACTCCAGCCACCCATCTCAAGACATTGCCTCACAGGGGAAAGTTGCATGGCCATTGAAGCAGCAGCGATGTTCAAAGGAACGCCTGAGAGGCCTAGGCAAAACATCGATATCAGCTGCCGACACCGAAATACAATTTCCTGTCTTTGCAGACCATGATACCATGCAGACACCATCTTCAACATCTGCAATCGTGTATCTGCGCTTTGACCCCGAAACCGAGACCCAGGAACCTCCTCGCATCCGCAAAATATTTCCGACTCTCCGCACGACTACTTCCTACAGTACCATACCTCATCGAGCAAATCCTCCACTCAACAAGCCCGTTCAGCAGCATCTACATCATGGAGGCTTACATGTCGAGACCACTCCACTCGGACCTTTAGGCAGCACCTCGCTTATCCAATGGACGCGACACCGCACCGTTGCTACTGCTCGTCCCGATTCTGCCTTCGGTAGGAACAGCGATGAGGAAGAGGAGACGCCGATTATATCCAATGAACCGCACATTGGCCACTGTTACATTGCTGCTATCGAAGTGTCCATAACCCTTCCAAAGAACGATAATCGGAAGGGTGGACTCCTGTTACCGACCTTTTACTCGTGTTATATTTCCCGAATCTATGCGCTCGAGCTTTGTGTATCCTATTGTACGTCAAGTAGGACGAGGCTGCCTCAGAGAACTGTGGTGGAGGTCCCGATTCAGGTGACTCAAACAAGAAAAACAACAGGCCTGGAAGAGTCTATGGAAATGCTATTTGAGATAGGGAGAGAGACGACGAGCCCCGATCTCAGAGTGACAAGGAGATATGCCAGCTGCAGCCGCTTGTCGATTGTAAAGGACACAGAGGGGATGGATCTGCCGTGGCTCACAGGTGGAAGAGAGCCACACCAATTGCCTAGCTATGCCGATGCTGTGTCCAGGGGTTGAATCTGCTCTCCGGTGAATATGTTAGAAGAAAACGCAGAGGTTGCAATTAACACACGCATCCTCCGTATCAAAATTACATACAAATGAAGATTTCCGTCCGAAGCAACCGCGGGGCCCCACTAACTAGAATTTCCTACTCTTCTCATTGGTTGCCAAACACTAAAAGCGAGCCGGCCAATCGGAGGGCCCTCCGAAGCGATAACCTGGGTGAAGCCCTATGACAAAGTGATCAGAGAGTATTAGTTACTTGAGAATCCCATTCTTCTGCATCTTTGACAAAGTGCAGACAGCTTCAGGATTTTTCATCTGAAGTATGCATCATTCAGTGGAAAAGGCAACGCCTGCCTCGACCCCTGACGCGGAGTTGGGCTCTGAACTGAGCGATCAGTCGTCCGAGAATCCAACAACTGGAGTGAGCTGGGCTTTCCCCGAAGGGGGTCGGCAGGCCTGGACGTGTCTGCTAGGATCCTTTCTTTTGATGTTCCCATCGTTTGGGTTTCAGGCTGCTGGTAATAAACACTCACCTTAAAAAGAGATACTGCAACAACCTGCTGACGTTGTCTCCCACCTCTCAGTTGGCACCGTTCAAGACTACATCACCACACACCAGCTCGCGGGGTATAGCGTTCTCGATGTGGGCTGGATTACCGCCATCTTAGTATTTTTGACGCTTTTCCTCGGTGTTCAAGTCGGACCTCTCTTCGATCGCTATGGACCTCGGATACTGCTAGTGTGTGGCACGACCGCCAGCTTCACCTCGTACATGCTTCTCGCCGAATGCTCCAAGTACTGGCACTTCATTCTATGTCTATCCATTCTCGGGGGTATTTCCTCGGCAGTGATCACAACGGTATCCATTGCCGTCCTGAGCCATTGGTTCCACCGTCGACGAGCGTTGGCCTCGGGCTTCTGCATGGCGGGCTCCTCCGCCGGAGGCGCAGTCATCCCCATCATCCTCCGGACGCTGTTCTCACAGTATGGATGGAAATTTTCAATCCGGGTAATCGCCTACATGGCGCTGGGATGCTACATTCTGGGAGTCATTCTGGTGCGCGGCCGACTACCCCCGACTGGTGGGCCCAGCAAAGCCACGATCGACTTCCGCGCATTCCGATCCCTCCGCTTATGTTTCTTAACCGTGGCCGTGTTCTCCTTCGAATTTATCATCTTCGGTTGTGCTGCGCTCTTACCGACCTATGTGCGCTTCGCGGGCATGTCGACCGACGTACAATTCTACTCCCTAACCGTCCTGAATAGCATGAGCTTCCTCGGACGGGTTCTTCCCGGGTTTGCGGCGGACAAAGTCGGCCGGTTCAACGTGCTTCTGTGCCTGGTAGTTGTCACTCTGATCGTCATGGCGGCTGTGTGGCTGCCGTTTGGATCCCGCGATGAGGTTACGCTCTATGTCGTTGTAGCCATCTTTGGGATCGGCTCGGGGGGGTGGCTTTCGCTGGCGCCGGTCTGTGCTGGGCAACTGTGTCGTACGGAGGAGTATGGGAGGTATTACGGCACCATCTATTTCGTCGCTGCGTTTGGGGTCTTGTTGACGGTTCCGGTCGGGGGTGATCTTCTTCAATCGACGACCCCGCAGATCCTCATTGGGTTCTATGCGGCTGTGTTGCTGGTTGGGTTTGTTTCTTTGGCGTTGTCACGGTGGGCGTTGTTGAATTGGAGGTGGAAGTGGAAGGTGAAGGTGTAGAGGATTCTGATTGCTGGCGTTCTTCTATCGATTGAGATCTAGCCCTTTTTTTTAGGCCATTGCATGCCGGTCGTTCACGTAACCACGACCGAAGTCAAGTACACCAAAACAAGGTCTCGGCATCCATCTATTATCCGAGTGGTTTTCCCTCCCGTGGCCGCGGTGGAGAGAGAGTTGTCTGGTTGGCCGACTCGCGTTCAACCCCCATAAGCCAATCGGAAAACCTGCAGGATGACTGTTATCATTGAGGACTGGTGCCGCCGGGACAAGCCTGCAATTTATTGTCATCCATGGATCCATTCGTCTTTTTTACGCGGACTAGTTCCTATGGGATTGCAACAAACTGCTGACCTATCGACTTTCGTCTCTCTTGTGTCGGGATGCGAAACTCGAGGCCGCAATTATATATTTTGCGGGAAGGCTAGGCTGGTGAGTATTAGGGCTAAAGCCGAGCAAACAATCACCGGGATTTGTTTTCCCCCTTCTCTAACATCTCTGAGTGGCGTGTGTCGGCTTGACTTCGTCGCAATAGATGATAGTGGTAATCAGAGGCAAAAATTAATTGAACAATAGCAAGACAAAAGCAGGCTATATCACCCAAAGCAAAGAAGTATCTAGCACATACGACCATAGGGTGTGGAGAACAGGGCTTCCCGTCCGCTCAGCCGTACTTAAGCCACACGCCGGGAGGTTAGTAGTTGGGTGGGTGACCACCAGCGAATCCCTTCTGTTGTATGTTTTTATCCCCTTCTTCTTTTTGCTTTACGAGTTGGATATGGTGTATAGAGTAACTGGGTCGGTCGACAATAAACCGACTTTGGAGAAGAGAGACATCTGCTGGTGCTCTTTGTGAGGGCCTTAGACATCAAGAGCAGGAGCCGACCCGGTGTGGCTGTAGCTCGCGACAGGTTATGGGAAGGCCAAATGAGAAATTACCAAGGACGATATTTTCACATCATTTTTACTTACAGCCGGATTTCTTATCTTTAGATATCCCGGTACAGCCCATATCAACCGAACCTCAAATTGCAATCGAGGTTGCCGCCTACGGTGGAGCGTGGATGCCTTGCTGCCTGGCGGATGCCTACGGCTCCCGCCCACATTTTCTGCCTCGGGCATTCATCCATATTTCTAACTGTTGACAGACCATAAGACCGAGAATCAGCGACCCCATACAAAGACAATTCAGAGCATGCACTATCATTATTGAGGCCGATCACGCTATCACTGCCCAGAGGGTATTTTCCAATTCACCACCACGAAGGATACCGCAACATGGCAACCCCAACCCTTCCATTCTGGTTGCTGCCCAGTATCTATTCGTCGTCCCGATTTGGAGAATCTCTACCTCCCACATGGCATGTGGTCTTCACATGTCCCATGGAGGACCCTGAACGAGTGGCAATGATGACCGAACTCAGCTCCACCGATGAAGAATGGCCAGAACGCCCCCAGGCGCAGATGCGGCGTCTGGTCGAGATCCCTTGGTTGACAGATTGGGCGCCACCAACATCCATTGTTTTCACGCTTATCAAAGACGATCCTTTGATCATCATTGATGATCAGTCCCCGGTTGATCACACGGCTATCATTGTCTGGAAGTCGCCTGGGGCATCTTCCCCCGAAGCTGCGCGCGTACCGATCGACCGGGCGAACGTGCTTCTAGGCATCGCTGCTAAGGGGGAACTATCATCAAACTACCCTCGCATTCTGCCGGAGCCGAAACAAGGACCATTGATCAAGGTAACCCAGCCGAGTCGCGCTATTTGTAAAACATACATCAACGCTAAACCAGACCATAGACAACCAAAGCTATTCTTCCACCCCATCTGTCCGGGCTACGCCTCGACCCAACAACCCCAACACTAATCTCTCTCGTGCATCTCCCACCAAACACCCAGGAGAATCTCGAATCAACCATCGGCCACCGCATCATCATCCACAACTGGCCACCGCACCAAGAGCCATGTTCCCGCGCCCAGCTCTACCGAATGTTCCAGGCGCTGAAGATCTGCCACCCAGGAAACGACCAAGCCTTCGCCCTCTTCATAGACGAGGACGCAGACAGCTATCACATCGTTCGAGCAACTGGATCCAGCGTTCCCAACATCTCGGACCCCGGTGCCAAAAAAGTGGAACTCAGTACCCTGCCCTTTGAACAAGTCCAAAACTTCTGGACCGCAGCGTGGAACCCAGAGAGCCGGACCCCGAGTCGTATGCCACAGGGCCCATATCGGTATAACCCTGCCATGTGGGAGCTACATACCTTTGGGGGGGAACCTATCGTCGACCCGGACGATATTCCCGGCAGTCTCGACACAAGTATCATCTTCATCCTGGAACCCATGACGCCGACGGAACTCCGCAAGATCCGCTCCGAGATGTTCACGCAGTCTGACGAACCTTACATGTGGGTCGACGTCTCGGATCGCCTCATATCACCCGACATGCAGGGACTGCTCGCATACTTCGAATCCGAAGAATTCACCCACCACGCTCCGCCAAGCCAATTCCTTGCCATTGATCGCAAAACTCTGTCAGATGCAATGGACCCGATCGATGAGCGAGAAGACTGGGAGGCTATTATCGTCGCTTCTTATGAGGGTGGGGATATCTGGTTTGAGGATGAGGAGCATCGTGCCTTTGGGCATATTTCTACGGGATATGGGTATGATCGGAAAGATTTTGAGGAGGCGGAAATGGCTTATATTAATTTGAAGATTGAGAATATGAGCTATGATGAGCTGTGTCCGGATGGACGGATGGTCTATTGGAGTGCGTATCGGGCATGGGCGGAGAATCATATGGGGGGAACGTTTGCGCGGTCGTTTGGTCCGGAGGGGATGAAGGTTTCTTCAGATGTTTAATTAGATTTTATTGGAAATTTCGTATAGAGAAAGTGTGAAGTTGTCATAATCTGCTCCGCGGTCCAGGCATACGTTTCTTGATGTGAAAAGTTTTTGATCATAAGCTCGCGCGTATGGTTTGGGGCACGGTGCCATTATTCCGATGATATCTATGTAAACCAAAAAAGAAAAAGATTGTGAAGGAACATGTTTCAATTTAAAAAGGATGACAGAGAAAAAACAAGGGGTGGGGTTAATCGCGCTTAGCCGTCTACTCGATCTGCCTTGACAACCTCCTCAAGAAGCTGCAGCGCCAACGAGATGCCTGCACTTTCCCCAATATCCAGAAGACGCCTCATAATCCACTTCCGAGAATGACTGGCAGTGACCGGACATCTTCCAACCATTGTAAGAGGCCAGACCAGAGTATAACAACCCGACACGCTGGGCTGGGCGGAGGGATTGAAAGCGACGGTTCGTTCAGGGCCCGAGGATACGAACCCTAAAACCTGTGGAGCTGTCGACAGTATGTCGTCCCCTAGCTTGGACAGGGTTTGCTGCGTGTCGTGAAACAGCCGGTTCAGCCTCTGCCGGGTAACCGGGTCGAGGTCTGTGGCGAACATTTTCTGCAACAGATACAGTAAAATCCGACAGACAACCATTTGAATACACCGCGCGTTGTTCCAGACTCGGATCGCCCAGGAGGAGCGGTAGAGATCAAACCGACCGTCGTGAACCAAGTTCGGGTCCGCCCCGGGGTCTTGGATGATTGTGTAAGGTTCTTCGATGGCAAGGAAGGCAAAAACGGATTCACAGTCCTGATGAAGTAAAACCGCTTCCTGTAGGAGATCAGACCAAGGAACCTCCCCTTTGTTTTCTCCGACGTTATACATCAGGGTGGGAACCCGAGTGGCTACCACCCCCAGCATCCAGAAGCCACTCTGAGTGTTTGCATGTCGGGCTGCTTCTTGTTGCAGCTCTCGGATGCCCTCCGGGAAGGGTTGATTAGCCTGGATACAGGCAATGATCAGATCGGCACGGAGCTGATTAAACATGAGGATTCCGGCCTTGGTGGTGAACTGGCGCTTGCCGCGGGCCATGGCCAGCGTGGCCGCTCCCTGAACATGTCGCACCCACGACTCAAAGTTGGAGACATATTCAAACACCCCCAACGAGATCACCGACATCAAGATGCTGTCCTTGACGCACTCGACCGGGGATGCTAGTGCGGCGTTTACACTACTGATTGCCTCGGAGTACTTGACCCGCGCGTGTTTCACCAGTTCGGGTCGTCGGGAGGAATTTGCCAACGCCACGAGGCCAACCGCCGCCATGCTGGCTAGCAGAGTGGGGTGCTCGGCATCAGCGCTAAAAACGACAGGGATGTAGTTGAGATATCCACGCGACGGGGATTGGTCGCTTGTGATGAAGTTATGCAGGAAGAAGTTGACCCCGATCTGGTCCACGTTGGCCCCCAGCTCACGAGGGGGTGGAGTCGAGCGGTTCGCCCCTGTCAGGGCCTTCTGCTTCGCCCTTTTCTCTTTGGATCGCTTGATGGTCCGGTCGGTCTGGTCGCGGAAGACGAGTTCCCATTCATCGCGGTACCCCGGGCAAGCCTCTCTCATGCGAATGCATTGTCCACAATGGGGGACCTGTTGGTCGCACTGGACCGGGACAAGGCAGGTTAGCACGGGCCTCGTGGATACGACAGGCAAACGGAGGGACACCCACGCGTCGCTTGATAGCACGGCAGTTACCACAACTACGAGAGGCTCTTGCGCGAAGCACGTTACCGGATGACATGACTACCTGATGAGTCGAGCAGTAGGGGACAAGGAAACCGCAGGGTGATGAATGTTAAGCGGGGGGCTGCTCCACCGAGTTTAAAGAGCTTAAAGAGGCAACTGAAATGCTAAGACCGACGAAGAATAGCACCGTAAGGTAGACTCCTTAATAGTGTGTCATCAAGACTGGGACCGGTCAGCCTTGGGACACAGGAGCTGAAGGATCGACGGAGTGTTTAGGACCTAATTGTCGAAAGAATCCTAGCTCTCATCCTCAAGCTTTGCACAAACAACGTGGCTCGACTTTCAAATCCAACCGAGCGGGCCAACCAAGAAGCAGCTGCGGAGACTGTCAGCCTCCATGCCCAAACCGCCCCCACACACCAGTTCCTGCTAAGTGCTGACGTCGGTTCATCGGGTTTTGGCAAAAAGGCCCGACGATCTTCAGCCAGCCGAGCTTATCGATAACCACAGCCACTTAGGGTTTGCCGAGATCTCCCGTGATTGGCTCGTTGGGAGCCCGCTTGGGGTCCACTCGTGCCGTCCCTGCTAGTCCTCATCAGGCATGCGAGATGCTGGACCAGTAAACCCTCATTCCTTTCAATGCTTCAACAAGGCTGTGTTTCGGGTGTCAGGGCTCATCGCAAAATTCTCAGACGCATAAGAGGCGACGAGATGTCTTCGAGGTAGCATCCACAACCATCTTTCACCTCATCCTCTTCCTCATCTACTACTCCACCTCCTCCACCACCACCACCATGGGCAAAGTCACCTACAGTGATGGCATTGCTATCCTCCAGCTCATTATATTCCCATTTATTCTCGGTGCCGCTATCTTTATCTGGAGTCGAACGGGTTTGAGGGTCGGCAGCAAGATCTGGCGATACCCCGTCACTCTCTCTCTCATCCGCATTGCCGGCAGTATCTCCTCTTTGATCTCGATCAACCATGATTCCTACAATGTTGAAGTCGCGATTGCCGTGTGCGAGCTGATCGGCATTGCACCTCTGCTACTAACCTACATCGGAGTCCTAAGACAAATGTAAGTCCTCATGCCTGAATTCTACTATCACCAAACTAACCTGATCCCACAGCGACACGGAACAGCGGTTTCCTCCCCGCTTCATGAAACTGATCACTCTGGTCGCCATCATCGCTCTCATCCTCGGTATCGCGGGCGTCAGCAGTGCCGATGACAACCAAACCGGCTACCGCCCGGACACCATCGTCAAGGTATCCATGGGCATCTTCCTCGTCATCTTCGTGATCTACAACCTTGCCGCCTCCTGGCTGTTCTTCCAGCTCAGTTTCAGTATGCGGAAATTCCAGAAGAAGCTTTTCCTCGCCATCGCACTGTCTTTCCCCTTCATCTTGGTCCGGTTGGTCTACGCCGCCATTGGCGATTACGCCGACATTGCCAAGTTTTCTGTCATCGGGGGTAGTCCCACGATCTACCTGGTGATGGATGTGTTGGAGGAGATTGTGGCCATGGCGCTCACGATGGTTCTGGGGATGTCGGCGGTGTTGGAGTCGGATTTTGTTAAGCTGACTCCGGCGCAGATGGGGTCGGAGCCGAAGAATGATCAAGTCTAGGCTGGTGCTTAGCCGGGTGGTTTTTAAGCGTGATTAAATGCCTTTATGCAGCAGCATGTTTGTTTTTATTGTTTCACGGGTTATATCCAAACTGAGTGAGTGCGTTACTAAGATGATGGGCAAATAATGATATGATACCAATAGTTTTCAAGGAATCTACCGTATAATATTTAATTTTTCCCCATAATTGTGCTACGAAAAGCTGAGATAATCATGACAATAACCTTATACTGTCTTAGCATGTCCTAGTAGTGGCCAAATAATACTGAAACATTGATTAGATCAATCGATATCCCTGGCGTGAAGCACTATGAGTAACAGAGTTCACTCTTTTCTACTTCTCCGCTTGTATGTTGGGCACCCTGGCTGCTTCGCTTAGCACACTCGGACCCTTCTCCGTCCACCTCAACCAGAGCTGTCACATCCAGCCTTGTCCTTCCCGATTCCCATATAGCCAAGATTGGTTCCGCGAAAAAACTACGGAAACCCCACTGAAGTGCCGATATCTACATCAGTCCGTGCTCATTTCACTATTTTCTCACCCATCACATCTATGGTAGCTTCTCGCTAGGTTGAATCATTTCAATCACCGCTTAGAATACATTTAGGCTGTAAGAACGTACAGTTCCTCCTTGAATAAGATTGCAAATCAGAGGAAGATATACTCTGACAGGACAAGCATTAAGTCACGGTGCCATGTGTGACTCGGGGCCCTGCGCGTCGATCCTACGCACGGACATCATCCCCTGTCAGAGACGCGTGGCCGGAGGGATTCGTGGCTTGCAGGGAGGGGAGGGGGCGTTCTAGGGGTGACATATAGATTTCCAGCAGTTCGAGGCTCGGAGATGCCGATAGTAAATAATAGACGATGAAGACTAGTTATGCTACGTACATAGACCGCTCCATTGTACGGTAGTAGAATCATCAGGAGAAGAGCGTTATATTTGACCCAATCAACAGTGTCCTGGCCCAGCTGTCCCAATGTGGGTTGAGTCGTAGCTTGTAGTAGATACCGCAGAGCTCACCGAAATTCTAAATTCTAGCGTATTCCGGCCCTTTCCCAACAGAAACCAACAGTACTCTCAACCTTCACGTCCTAGGACGAACCACACCCGGAACCGCAAACGTGAATCTCCACCCATCCCGTCTATACACATCCACCCACTCCCGCAACCCTTCGGCAACGAACCGCTCCAGCACCGGATCCTTCCAATCCAACCCTACATTTACGAGACCCGTCTGACTCCCATTCCAGCTTAACATGCGGCCCTTTTCTCTGAACTCTTCCCAGACAGGCCCTTTATCGCCATAGATAAAGCTCGTATTTGCATCGGTCAATCTATCAGCGGTTTCGGCTAGCTCCGGTCTCGCACGAGAAGCAGGCTGATAGAAAAAGATCGAGTTGCCGAAAGAGTGCCACGCGTAGCCGCCGAGTTGGTTGGTATACCCGTCGGGGATGTCGATTGAGTAGAGGTAGATTTTGTGGGTGGGGTGGGAGGTAACCCGGGTTGCGAATTCGAAGTCAGGGGCTGTGAAGAGGGTGTGGGTTGCGAGAGCGAGGAGGGAGCGGAAGGGCGAGGTGTCGACGGTGGGTTGTAATGTGGATAGGGCTATTTCTGCGCATCGCGGGTCGGGGATGGTGTGTTGGACGTGGTTGATGGCTTCTTCTTTGGTGAGGTCGGATGGGTATCTAGGGTTTAGGAACAGCGCGGCTTCATCTTTCATGTGCCCGATGATGATCTCAGGACACCAGGGAGGTAGTTCCGCCCAGTATTCCCCGGATGAGATTTTCGCGGGATCCCAGTCGACGAACCAGTTGGGGTCTTCGATGGGGAAGGATACCGGGAAGGAGGGGAAGATGGAGAGTAGGTCTTCGGCTGTGTGGCTTCGGAGGGCCTGGAGCTTGGTCTGGTATGGTGCAGAGGCATCCATGCCTGTGTGTTGGAGGAGGGTGTTGAAGGTTGGCTGGGCGTCGGAGACCTTACGGAATAAGAGATGGGGACTGGAGCAGATGATCGCTTTCGAGAATAGGGGGACTCCGTGTTTCAACAGGTAGAAAATGGATGCTGCGCCCGCGGATTCGCCTGTGGCTGTGACTCGCGAGGCGTCGCCACCGAAGTGTGCAATGTTTTGTTGAATCCATTGCAGTGCGATCGCTTGGTCGTTGAGCCCTTGGTTCAGAATTGGCACTTCGCCAGCATCCTTTGCTTCGTCAATGAGCTCCTGGGACGATAAGAAGCCCCAGATGTTCAGGCGATAGTTGATGGTCACCACGATGATGGGTTTGCCTAGATCCATGGATCGTTTGACTAGATGATTGCCATCTACATGGCGTTAGTGATTGTTAACTGGTGATGAGTATATGCATCGAATAATAATGGGAACACACCAAATTCGGTGGCATTGTTGCCTGTGTTGAATGATCCGCCGTGGATCCAGACCAGCACCGGGAGCTTGGATGGGTTCTGCGGGGACAAAGCACTCGGGGGTGCATATACATTGAGATGGAGACAGTCGAATTCATGGCTGTGGTGCGACACAGCCAGCTGCTCGAACATGTGGTCCATCAGACTGTGGAGCGGGTCATACAACTGGGGACATTGCGGGCCATATTGCACAGCATCCCGTCTACCTTGGATGAGCGAAGGGTCTACCAAGGAGGCGGGTTTGAACCGGGCGGGGATTGTCGCATATTGAATGTTCAGCAGATTAACTACCCCATGGGTCGAGATGAAGCCGTCCAGAGCGAGGCTTCCGATGTTGAACGAGAAGTTCGACGCGTAGTTATTGAGAGGCATGGTTGAGGTGTTGACGAGTTCAAGTTGAAGATGCGGGGATGAGGGGTTATCGGGTAAGATGGACGGATACCCGAATCTAATCAGGATAATCAGATGGATGTCTGTGGCTAATCGGCAAAAAGCGATGCCCCCACGCGGGATTGAACCGCGGACCTCTTGATTACAAGTCAAGCGCTCTACCACTGAGCTATAAGGGCGGATGTGCATTTGCCACCGCCTAGTTGCTCATCTTAGCTTGAGTCTGTAGACTACTGAGACAAAAAAGATGTTGGCGGGAAAAAAACAAAAAGAAATGCCCCCACGCGGGATTGAACCGCGGACCTCTTCATGACATGATACGAGTGAAGCGCTCTACCACTGAGCTACAAGGGCTTATTGTTTTTCCGTCAGTATTCTTTGGTTTATGAAGGACACTATTTTACATTCCAGATATCTACTTTCGATGTCTTGCCCAACACTACCCGGATTTATTCTGCTCATAATTACATGACATCGACCTTTGCTACGTGCTTAATGGGCTTGGTTCCCGAATCAATCCGACATGGGTATGAATGGCCTGTCCACCATATTTTTCCAAGCTGACGGAAACCCCCTCTCCCACGCGCACGAACCCATTCCGCTCATACATTTTGATCGCTGGGCCCTATTTCTGTCAGTACAAAGCAACCTCAACCCACCTAAGAACCCTACATGTAAATCCGTATCCAAATAGCAAGCTACACTATCTCGATCTGCCTCCTCAAACGGACACCGAATCAACTTCGACGCGGCCCCCATTCGCTGGTACTTAGGATCGGTAGCCAAATTACCACAATCTGCATCGTCAGCACATTCCATCAACCTTTCTCTGATCATGGTAGAAAACATACACCAATTCAACCTCCTCGGAACTCCCAATATCTCTCTCCTCATGTCCACGATCTTCGGCATCAACTCGTCCATATAATCGCCCCCGCCTGCACTCTGGCGCCGAGGCACCGGGGGTAGCGTCCTGGATCGTTCCTCGCGTACTCGCTCCTCCTCTTCCTCCGTAACGGGTAGAGTCCAACTGATGAAGCTGGCAACATCCCCGCTGTCGAGATCCCGGATGATCCAGTAGCGTCGGTGCGGGTGGGTAAGATCGCGCTCGAACATGGTTGTGAGGAATGTGAGCTGCAAGGCGGATTCTTCTTCCGATTGAGGGGTTACTCTGTCTTTGTCTTTGTCGGCTATAGAGGCTTGGAGCAATTTGGCGAGAAGAGGGGCGTCGGATAGTGTTGGTAGGATGGGGTTGGATAGATACATGGTGGAAGTTCGGAAGGTTCCGGTGGAAATATATATTGCGAGGGCTGGGTGATGCTGAGAGGGGGAGCGGATTGCCACAATTCCCAGAGAGTCGCTGCAAATATATCATTTGATTTTCTCCGCTAGAACTATGCTTAAATCTGACAAGGATCGATGGTCGGATTAATTGGATGATAAAAGAGGTGTTATAGGTGTCTGCCTGGATGGCGCGATGCTTATCGCTCAAGGGTTCAACTCAACTCTTATCGCTTATCAGTGGCTCGCCTGCCAGTCCAGCGAAGTCTAGGAACCAAAGTCCCCTAACTCATAACCCACTATGTAGAAACTCCCACGATAGTGATGGTACACTTGGCTTTTTCCTCGATTGCACAAGCGGAATATGGCCACAATCTTTCATATAATGGATTTACTCGTTTGTCTGGAATTTCTCTGCCCAACCCAGAATAACTATTCAACCTTTATTCGACCTGACAACTTTGGGTCAATGTGAATGAAGTGGTTCTGCCTATACTGGATCACCCCGCACTTGCAAAAGATTTCACAGGCGGAAATTAAAGCTTGCCCAAGTTGACAGCTCTTCTACCAATGAAAACCTCCAAGGAGGGCAAAAAAGCGGACGGCTTAAAGTCTCTTTCATTCAAAACCCTCAAAACAGGGATGGACTCGTCATCTCGGACAAGCTTCGAGCGGGCCGGAGACAGGATTTAAGTGTTGACAGTCACCACGTCGACAAAACGGTGTCATATCGACACCGTACAACCCGGTCTGGCTGAGATGAGACAATGCAACATGTCACTGCAGACCATAACCTCGAAAGGCATCTACCATGGCCTGCCAACCTTCCCAGACGACCTCACTGGTCTCACCGCAATCGTATGCGGCGCCAATGGCCTTTCGGGCGACTACATGGTTTGCTTGCATACCCACTGTCATTGCCATTGCTGAACCCATCTAGCTCCGTGTACTCTGCGAGTCCCCTAAACGCTGGACAAAAATATTCGCTTTGTCCCGCCGACCCTCAAGCAAACAATGGCCAAGTCACGTAGAGCACGCCTCTATAGATTTTCTGAAGCCACCCTCCGAAATCGCTGCTCAAATAAAAGAGAAGAACATCAAAGCCGACTACGTATTCTTCTTCGCCTACACCCAACCCACCCCGAAAGAAGGCGGCAGCATCTGGAGCGCCATCGAAGAACTGGTCAAACAAAACAGTACCCTCCCCTCCCCTCAACCCAACCACAACTAACCCGCCCAGCTCAACTCCTCCAAAACTTCCTCACAGCCCTCACCCTCACCTCTACCTCCCTCCCCAAAACCATCCACCTCCAACTCGGGGTCAAATACTACGGCATCCACCTCGGCCCCACCACCGTCCCCCAAGAAGAAACCGACCCGCGCATCCCCCTCGAACCCAACTTCTACTACACCCAAGAAGACTTCCTCCGCACATTCGCCCACGAACACCACATCTCCTGGCTAACCACCCGCCCCTCGGGTATCCTCGGCGCCGTCCCCGACGCAGCCATGAACATCTCCCTCCCGCTCGCCATCTACGCCTCCGTTCAAAAACACCTCGCCCTCCCCCTCGAATACCCCGCCGACCTCGCATCCTGGGAAACCAGCAAAGTGCTCTCCAGCGGACAAATGAACGGCTACCTCGCCGAATGGGCCGTATTATCCGGCCACGTGGACCAGAGCTTGAACGCGACGGATGATTGTGCATTTACGTGGGAGAAGTTCTGGCCTCGACTGGCGGAACGATATAATATGGATTGGAAAGGGCCGGATGTGGATCCGGACGCGGGGTATAAGGAGGTCGAGACGCCGTATACGCCCCCGCCTCGCGGGTTTGGTCCGCCGGGGAAGTTTCGGTGGAAGTTTACGTTTGCGGAGTGGGCGAAACGGGAGGAGGTGCAGGGGGCGTGGAGGGTGATTGCGGAGAGGTATGGGTTGCGGCAGAGGGAATTGTGGGATACGGATCGGATTTTTGGGTATGTTGATGCTGTGGTGGTGTGGTCGTATCCGATGCTGCTTAGGTGAGGTTTCTTCTGCTGGAGGGGGAGGGGAGAGGGGAGGGCTGACGTTTGCAGTACTACGAGGGCGAAGAAGTTGGGGTTCTTTGGGTTTGTGGATAGTACGGAGTCGTTGTTTAGTGTTTTGGATGAGTTTGTCGAGTTGAAGATGATTCCGCCGATTGAGTGAGGATTGCAATGTCTTAGGACATGCAATTGCCTCGCGTGTGAGAATGATGGGTCCTGTTAGAGTGCAGATTGTCGGATTTTCTTGAAACAGGTAGAGGATTTATCCAGATAGAATGTAGTTCTTCATTATCAAGCATCGTCGTTTCTATTTCTTGAATACCTAAATAAGCTTCCCATCAATAAAGTCCACCACCTGCACCTTGGCCAGATGCTCCTTGACATTCTGCACCACCGAAATATGAGCCGGGTCCTGGTTCACGAAATAGTCGCGGTCGGCCGTGTTCTCGAAAACGGAGACAAATGCGTGGCTGATGCCATTCTATTTTAACTTAGCTAATGCTTTGGTGCGGTGTCGTTTGGTTGTAAGGGGAGCTATGTACCTGAAGACCCTCGATGGAGACATCAGCACCGGCTTTCATGGACACGATGTAGGGCTTTCCGGTCTCGGGGTGGACGCAAGACTCGCGCAGGGCCTTGACTTGGCTTGCGACCTAAGCATCAAGGTAGAGATTAGTATTGTGAGTCCGATGATGGTAGGGTGTGGGCAGCATACATTCTCCCTGACTTGGGGAGCCACTTCGGGCTTGAACTCGAGCAAGACGACATGTGTAACCTGCATTTTGCGTGAATGGACTGAAAGATGAACTGAAAGATGGAAAGACAGTTGAATGCATCTACTTCTAGCCAGGAATCACGGCATTATTAATCTTTACCACCGCAGACAAAAACACAGCAGAGGATCAATTAATCAGCACCCTGAACCCACCACCCGAATAACTATGCCTCAAGGGATATGTCAGCAGAATGGAAATTCTCTCCCCGTCTCGGCTCTCCAGATCAAATTGATGCTCATCTGATTTTCTGCGCGGAGCGGGATCTAAACCCTTTCCGGTCGAGTGGCGAAAGCTTAAACCCAAATCCCTGCGCAATGCGTCTCAGCACTCTATTCAGATATCTACCACGGTATCACCAAAGGATGATATGGAGCATGGACCAGTCCCTTCCGCAACAGTACTAAACTCCAACACATTGACGAATCAAAACCAATTTTCCAAACTTAACTCAGACTTTGAGAATCCCGGTCGCGGGTGGTTTGAACGGGCGTTGGTGGGCCCAAGTGGAGCAGCGGACATTGACGGAATGGATGATCTCACTGGTGCATTTGTCATCGTGAATGGGGAGGGGCATTTCCACTGCGTTCTTGATGGTTCTTGCTCCAGATGCCGATGAGACATATATAGGGTGTCAATTCCCCATCCTTCCCACCATTCATCACAACCATCCTACCACCCCAACACATCCACCACCATGCCTCAAAAAGCCATCATCGTGACCTCCCCCAAGCAGGGCGGTCTCGTCACCGACCGCCCCATCCCCACCCTCCGCGACGACTACCTCCTCATCAAGGTCGTCAGCGTGGCCCTGAACCCCACCGATTGGAAGCACATCGCCTTCCTTGCACCTCCCGGCGCTCTGGTCGGCTGCGACTACGCCGGTATCGTCGAAGAAGTTGGCCCCGCCGTCAAGAAGTCCTTCAAGAAGGGTGATCGGGTCTGCGGCTTCGTCCACGGCGCCAACGCCGTGCAGCACGAAGACGGCACCTTTGCCGAGTACATCGTTGCCAAGGGTGACATCCAGATGCACATTCCCGAGAACCTCAGCTTCCAGGAAGCCGCGACGCTGGGAGTGGGTATCACCACCGTTGGCCAGGCCCTTTACCAGAGCTTGAAGCTGGCCCTTCCCACGGAGCCGGCCACGAACGGCGGCGAGATCCTGATCTACGGTGGCTCGACGGCCACCGGAGCGTTGGCCATCCAGTTCGCCAAGTTGTCCGGATACACGGTGCTGACGACGTGCTCGCCCCGGAACTTTGATCTGGTGAAGAGTCTGGGTGCGGATGTCGTGTTCGATTACAATGCCCCTAACTCGGCGGCGGAGATTCGCAAGTACACGGGGGATAAGTTGAAGTTGGTACTCGATACCATCTCGACCGAGGACAGTGCCAAGTACTGTGATGAGGCGATTTCGACCGAGGGCGGAGAGTACAGTGCTCTGTTGGCGGTGGGCATTGAGCGCGCCAATGTCAATGATCGTTGGACGTTGGCGTACACCGCGATTGGCGAGGACTTTATGTTCGGCCCGGAGCTGTGGCCCGCCAAGCCTGAGGATAAGGAGTTCCAGGAGACATTCTGGGGCATTGCGGAGAAGCTGTTGGCGGAGGGTAAGGTGAAGGTGCACCGTCCGAGCGTGCGTCCGGATGGATTGAAGGGTGTGTTGGAGGGACTGGAGCTGCTCAAGGCCGACAAGGTCAGTGGGGAGAAGCTGGTCTACAACATTGCCGAGACTCCTTAGACGAGTACTCTTTCTTTCATGTTATTTAATTTAATGAACGGGTCTTTATCGAGTACCTCGGTTGAATGCGTACACTGCACCGGATTGGTCATTGGATCGGGTGTCTTGGCGGAGTGGGGATCCGCTTCCAGAGCGGAAACTAAACTGGATCCGGAAGGGGGTGCCGGGATGCATTTTCAGGGATGGCATCACAGCTAGGGAGGTTCCTATCAGCTGCTATTCTGCATTGTGTACCTCTAATTGACCTAATGCAGACCTCTCAACATGCTCAAGAGCCAGCGCCAAGTACTGTAGAGACAGTTCGATCCTTTGGATTGATCGGAGATACAGCATTTGTTTATTCGTCGCGAGTCTATGCCAGTCTCCGTATTACGCGATCACATGATAAATGAGTTTCCGCTTGCTATAGACCAAAATTGCCAGCTTCCTAACCCTGAACGATCCTAGAATTTTTTATTGCGAGTGCTAAAGTTAGAAGTGTTCACAATTCACCCTGGACATGTGCGAATTTATCTTCCCGCACGAGCAGCGTGCCTGATCGAGCCATTTGCAATTGGAATAGCATTCACTAATACTCTGGGTCTGGAAGAGACGCCTAGAAAATCACTAATTTAAAGATATCTCTGAGTTCTTAAGGGAGGTATACTTCCTTGGGTTGATGCTGTTCGACTGTGGTATAGCTCTCACCATTGGCAGCGCCATCATTACAATGGAATCTGATGTCTTATTGAGTAGAAGAACCTCTTATGTTCAGGATACACCGTTCAGCTGGAGTCAGTACTAGATGCCGGCGAGCCATATCATTGAGCCGGCCTTGCACACCATGTTCATCGCATCGTGGATATGGTCGTATGTAGGCACGTTTGTAGTGGAATTGCTCCCATATAGCGATTGGCATCTGATTCCAGGTTTGATTGTCGGATGTGGTTCTATGCGGTGACATATACAATTCACGGTCAAATTTGTCCCCGCATCAATGTGTGAATGATCAGGTTGACCGGGATCCACAATTGCCCCAACGATAGGCGCGGGCAATTGAATTGCCCAAGTTGCACGCAACCGAAGACATTCATAGTGGGCTGTTTACAGAATCCAGCCCTAGGCTAACATTATCTGACGTTAGAACAAACTTTAAACCATGGCCGTCTCACATGGCATCTGCATAGAGCAAAAGCAAGATCAGATTCTCACTATCATGAGTGTATACAAGACCAAGATAGCAACGCTAACCAACATGTCTCTGAACATGACACTAAAGCAACTCACATACGACAAACCACGTCATCAGTCGGACACCTGAGATGACGTGCGACAAGAAGACATAGTTCAGCTTGGCTATGATCTGACATGCAGTTGGTGGTGAACTGCCACGGCAGCATTTGATACACAACTCGGCCAAACATGTTTCAGCCAGGTTATCCATACTAGGGATGATTGACAGCATTGAATTTGCGGGGATGCATCACGCGGCCGGTGATAGCACAAGTAATCGTGCTCTTGGACCAACAAGATCGCTGTGAGACTTACGAGCTTGGTCTACCCTCACTGGTTGTTTGTCCACCGACATCGTTGTCAGGATGCATCTATCCAGGCTATTTAAAGGGCCAGAAACACATCAATGCCTCGAGATGAGTTCTCTCACTGCATTCATCTCACAATGGACGAACTCCGGGAACTGGCGCTGCAAACCTTCCGGCAACGATCCTTCAGTCCCATCGGAGGCATCGTAGGCTACCATTTCCTCCAACTCTCAGCAGACCAACAGGATTACATCCTCCATGAATCCGTCATCAATGAAAAAGAGCTCCCCATCATCCTCGAAGGTACCACGAATAGCAAGCATCCTTCCCTCACCTTCTTCCAAATCCCCATGGACCGAGCCCAATCCCTCCAGATCACCCGAGCAGCCTTCCTCCACCTCATCACCGCCATCGGGTTCGATCCCCAAGTCCTCTACCTCCTCACCCACAACTACGATGACTACCACCATCTCACCGGGTACGACACCGCCGCCACCGACTACCTCGGCACCTCCCGCTTCAGCTTAACCTGGACCCGGCACCTTGAATCCCAATCCACTATTGCCCTGGTCCTCGTCCGCCGCGATAGCCCGTTCCCCGAGTTACTCCATCTGGCTAATACCTACCGGAATCATCTGGCAAACCCCCGACTCCTTCCTTTCCTGGCCGTCATCTATATCACCCGCGTCGTCGACCGCTCCACCGCCCAAGTCCTCGAGAAGATCCACTACGTCGAGACCTGCACGGGCTACGGACCCAATAACCCCATCTCCCCCAGCACGCGCTTCAACATCACTGGCTGGAGGAAATCGGGGCTTTGCGAGCGTACTTTTCCAATAAACACCGACAACTCGACTTCGTTCGACAAATCATCCCATCGATCAAGGAAGGTACCAGCCAGGCCGATAACGACTCCTTGTGTATGGCGCTTCCCACGATCGAAGACATTACTCGTACCCTGGACGACTACATCGCCTACTTGGAAGAAAGGACCAAAACACTGGGATCCATTGTAATACCCCCCCTCCCCTCTCTCACCCCCACAGACCCTCGCATACCGGCTACTAACACCCGCAAGCTCTTCGCCCTGCTCACCCACGAAGACGCCGCCGCGAGTACCGATCTAGCCGAAGCCTCTAAGCGCGACAGCTCCGCCATGAAGGCGATTACGATCCTGACGATGCTGTTCCTTCCGGCGACGTTCTTCGCCACCTTGTTTATGGTGCCGACGTTACGGTGGGATCGGGAGGATGTGATCCAACGTCGCTTCTGGGTGTATTGGGCGCTTACGATCCCCACTATGGCTCTGGTGTTTGGGCTGTGGGGAGGGATGTTGAATATGGAGTGCATTCGGAAGTGGGTTGCAGAGGTGGTGGTGTGAGGAGTAGGTGGGTGGGAGTGAATTGTGTGGGGGTGTGGAGGGCGGGGCGCATATCATTGATTTGATTTGATTTGATCCAAGTGACCCAAATTGTATCCTATTGAGCTAGGGCATCTGCTTGTGTGATTCCGCTTCACAGCATTACCTGTCTCACGTAACACCACCCAGACCAGCCCACCATCCGGCGTAGTACTGTCGATCGCCGCGCCTCACGGGCACGGCAGGTATGCATGAATGACCGTGCGGCCGGAACAGCGTTGGTGTTACACCGCAGCGGCTAAATACGAGGGATGAGTCCAGGAGCCCCTAATCCGGGTGCATATCGGCGTCGTGGCCTGACGATCGAGGTGTCGAGTAACCCGCATCAGCTGACCGCATCTCCGATGCACCAATCCATTCGGCCGCATATCCAATCAGATAGCGAGATCTCCGCCTCACTAGCCTGGCGGCATCACATTGATCAAAATGGAAAACGATTCCTACGAACCCTATTGCCTTGACTGTCTCCTTCCCTTCGGGGTTCGTCACGGGCGTATCCGTGTTGGATGGCGATAATGGGATCATGGTCTTGGAATCGGATTCGATTCCATGTTGACTTTCATTTCACAAGATCTAGATTGTATTGGCAGACAGACTGACCCATCATTTGAAGCTCTATGGATATCCCAGATCTAGAGTATCACTAATGTTAGGCATAAATGACTCACTCCATCAGCAACACGCCCCATCTTCCACCTCTATCCTTTATAGTACTCATCGAATACCTTTCCCGGATTCATCAACCAGCTGGAAACAGGTTAGTACCCACCTCTCGACAGAAAAGGACAGGAATCATACTGTGGATCAACACTCCTTTTCACGCCCCTCATAAACTCCATCGTCGACGCACCCAGTTCCTCTTCCAAATATGCCTGAATCACATTAGAACAAATTCCAACAAGATCAGAATTACTAACCCTCTTCCCCAGCCCAATGCCATGTTCGCCCTGTTTGATTGTCAGATTCTGGCTCGGCGTCAACAAAGAAAACAAATAGGGCTCACTCACCGAAACCGTCCCCTCCATCTCCAGCGCTCTCTTCATCATCCGCGACACGCACGCCTTGACAGCTTCATATTCCTCTGGCTTGTCCGGGTTATACATGACTGCTTGGTGAAAGTTGCCGTCTCCGACGTGGCCGAGGACGGTGGAGAAGAGGCCTAGGTGGCTAGACTCGGTCTTGGAGAGTTCTGTGCGTATGTTATCAATCCGAGAGGCGTGTTAGAGTGATGAGAGAAGTGGCTACTTACCAACTATTTCAGCCAGTCGGGAAATCGGAACGGCTACGTCTGTCGACCATATTTCAGTTCCCTCGGGTCTGACGGCGAGCATGGCCCAGAGAGCTTGTTTCCTGGCTGACCAGAGATTGTCGCCTTCTTCGCGGGAGGTGGCAAAGACGAGCTCGTTGCTCTTGTTGGCGGAGAGGATGGTGCGCGTGCGGTCGATGCTGTCGGTGATTCCCGCACGGGTGCCGGTGAATCTGCTAAGCGTTAGCTTGTTTGGCAATATGGGCATGTCACAATGTGTGATGTACTTGAGGAAAAGTGTAGGTGCCTCGGACCAGAATCTCCCACCGGCACCGCCGTTCTGGTTGATGATTTTCATCTGTACGTCGTCCATGAATTCCAACGCTGCGAGAGGAACTCCATCGCGGATGAGTTTGGATGCGGCGGCTGTTGCGTCGCCCACTGTAGGAAATGTGGCGATTCCGACACTGCTTTCCTCGGGGATAATGGCAAGCTTGAGCGTTGCCTCGGTGATGATACCCAATGTACCCTCCGATCCGGTAAACAGTGCGTTCAGGTTATACCCGGCGGAGGACTTGCGCGGACGCCGTTTCGTCTTGATGATGGTCCCGTCCGCTAGCACAACCGTGAGATTAACTACCCAGTCCTTCATCGTCCCGTATCGCATCGCATTCGTGCCGCTGCAATTTGTCGCTACCATGCCACCCACATACGCAGTTGGACTCGGGTCCATGGGTAGGAAGAGTCCGGTAGATTTAATCTGCTCATTCAGATCCGTCCATCGTACACCTGCCTGCACCGTGATGTTCATATCTTGCTCGTACAGTTCGATGACCTCATTCATCCGCGACAAGTCAATACAGACACCAGAGTGCGGAGCGGCAAAGTTCCCTTCCACGCTGGACCCGGCACCGAATGGCACCATGGGCACCTTGTAGGTAGTGCATATCTTTGCGATCTGGGACACTTCCTCTGTCGTTGCGGGGCTGAGAACTGCAATTGGTCGCGCGGTGGTGTTGGATGTAGACCATTCGGAGTATCCGTGCGCTTCGATGTCATCGGCGTCCACACTTACATTCTCGTCTCCGATGATTTTTCTGATCTCTTCGACGGCCTACCCTTGCCGTTAATTCACGTCCAGTAAGTTCAGAGAATTGACACATACCCGCAGCATCGTCGGTATATCCGCATACTTGGCCCCCGAAGGAACATGCTGAGTATCAGTCTTGGCATGCCAAGCCTCGGACGCAAGGAGGGTCACGGCGGCGGTTGCGACAATCGTCCCCAGGATGGGTAACGTGGCAGACTTGCCCGAGGAGAATTGGACGTGCGTAGAAAAATTCGAGCGCCTCCTTCTGCTGATGAACGGGGACCGCCACCAGGCGTTTGATGAAGATCGCCGCGCGCAGGCGCGCAGGAAGCTTGTTTGCGAGGCTCTCATGGCTGGAATACGAGGTCTGATAAATGGGATGTCAAATCTCGGTTGATGAGGATCGTCGAGGGCCGGTCAGGCGCGGTCCGTGGTTGCCTGGCTGGGATCCGTGGTCGGTGGAGATGATCAGGATCTTCAGGGTCGCTGGGTCATCTTTCTTCTAGAAGAATTCGAATTGTTCGATGATGATCGACGGGGTGTCATAGAGCTTCAATCATGTAGGGGTAATGTAAGAGTCTAAGAGGTGCATTGGCTGTCTCAACCGAATGAACCGGACGCCGAGGACGTTGAGGCGAGAAAGGCGGTTGCTGGGATCGCCCGGTTGATTTCCGGATTGGGATGCGGCTGGAAAACGCGGGGAAAGGGGCATCACGTGATAGTCTGCACGCAGGAGCAGTCAGGTGATCGCTCAGTGCAGAACCTGCCAGCCAATGGGATGGCTCTCGGAAAGACCCTGTCGACGCCTTAGGCATGAACTGCAGGCATGGTTATAGCCATCCCTACAAGCCATCTAAGTGTCTACAAAGGCGCATATAACTCATAATTGTGTGTAGTGTTGCAACTACTATACTATGCAACGTAGTGAGAAGATATAGATGAAATTCAGACACATGGTCGTGTGGCCTGGTGCTGCTCCCTCCACCGGATGCCCAGTACACTGGCAGTATATTCGAAATATATATTGTTGACATGCAGTGCTAGTAGTACAGTCGACAGGAAATGGCAAAGGTACATCACAAAGTACCATCTTGACTGGATTCCTTACCCTCCTGGTTGCTTCCAATGATTATCTGAAGACAAGATTCGCCAGATATACATGGTATCATTCTATGAACCAGCTCATCCATTCACTCCCAACCCTCATGACTATAACACTACATTGTACCGAGTTCCACTAGGTTATAATCACTCTTGACACTGAGTACAAAATACCTTAGCAGAGACACACGCTGTCCGCATTCAATTACCAGAACCAGTGTTCTTACTGCGTACAACAGTGTGTTTGCACAGCACCACTCACCATTGACCAAGCCATCTAGAGTAGTCACTGATGACTCTTCTCAATCGCAAAGACCGAAAAGTCTTAGCTCCAGCTAGTGTTTAGCGAGAAGAAGGCCTGGACTCGAGCCTTCTCGCCCTTTTCCGATTGCCAATAAACAGGGCTAGGACTAGCTTCAGCCAGATCCAGCCTGGACCAGAACCCCCGTGGTCTGTGAGCAAACCGGTCGTGCCACTCGGAAAATCAAATCCTCTTACGTGATCGATTAGGATCCATTGGAAACCGAATAATCCCTCTCGGTCCCGAGAGACAACTCGTCATTCCGTGGAAAAGGCACGGCATATCGCGCACTCTCCCCATTCCCGAACACCATCGCCACAACTTCGAGAGTCAAGAGTTAGCTAATCGGAGCTTCATCTCCGATACCAAAGGATCCCGCGCTGATCAGCACGCCGCTCTTCAGGCAAAATAAACTCAGATAGGCTTTTCCGCGGGGTCCAGCAGTCTGCTGATCGGGTAGTCTAGACTACCGAACCATCTTTTGCTTCGTTTGTGTTCTCGGACTCAGACAGATGCGCTCTATCCGATTGTAGATACAAGCCCGACCGGAGAGAACCTTGGGAGTAGTAGGATACTGGTGCGTTGGACTATTGTCTGCCAGGACAGTCAAAGCACCCTCTCCGGAGTGGTCGGACCGACCAGGGATGGATGGCAAGTTGGTCTGTCCTCTCTCTAGTCTCGATTCATGCCTATTCTTAGTAAATCCGGGCATCATTGGCTGAAAACTCTTGAGGAATAGGCTAAAGATACTCGATATGATGCCATCACCCCGGCAGCCGGCCGAGAGGGAGTAATTGATGCTATTTTCATCCTCGCGATGGAGCCAGTGGATTATATTTCCCGCGTTTCCCCGTCTTTCCACCGCATATGAAACGTTTACACCCGCAGAGGGTCACTGTGGTGGTTGTGTGGTGGGATCAGATGTATCACATCGAGGGGTAGCGAACGAGTTCGAGGGTCGGGGGGAAAGAAACAGGAAATCGACCAGCCGTGTCGGCACCACCTTCCGACTCTGCTGCACTATGCCCGGAAGGTGTTTATTATTGCGTGCTAAGCTTCCGAGTGGACCGGTGGCCCAATTTTCAGGGAGAAGTGATTGGCTTCGGGGATTTTAGGCTGCTTCAGCGGTCGAGGGTTCGCTGCTTGGGGTCTGGTGGTGGTTCCTGGCAACGGACACCATTTCCGCTTGGGGTTAGCAGGGAGAAAGGAGAGTGAGCTCCCCAAAGTTGGGAAGTTGAGGTCGAGCATGAACGGTGGGGTTTCAGCTTGAGACGCGCCAAAATAGGGTTTGCCGCGAAACAACGGTCGCTCATTGGTTGACCTATTCTTAGCTCAGGGATGTGAGAACATCGCAGTTCCCCAGCGTGCAAGAGATGATGGATATTGAGATTGAGAGAGTTGTATGACCGTGTGGATGAATAATGTATTAGAACAATGTGTGTGCATGAGTAATCGGAAAATCGTGCCTATTGATCAGGCCATCGGGGGCAGTCCCGAAGATCATCCGCAACGCCCGGAAGCACCAGCAGATCCCCCCATCTTCGGGCACATTCCAAACATGGGCTGCAGATCGCTAGTGCAGGGGTCGCGATCGTGATACACTCCACTCAGCTAACCCGTTCCGCGCCTGCTTTTGCAGCCAGGGCATTTACTTTTTTCCGCTCGAGGAATCAAGCACTCGGATCGGCTTTCCGTCGGCTGCCGCCTGGCCGTACCCCTATACGCGATGCTTTGGCATACTGCCGTGAAGAGCACACCACTCACCAGGGAGTATCATTGCTCCCACTCAGTAAACTCGTCACATGTGTCGAGTAGTGTAGCTTCGCCAACAGCATTGACTCCGATCCGTGACCCCGAGCACGGTCACTGGGCCTCTTCTCTAGCGCGTTTCGATGCAGCGACACCGGCCTGTTTACAAGCCGACCTTCCCTTCCCAAATCGGAGCTCTGATCCCCGGTTTGCACCCGGCCTGTTCCCCTTTCGACCAGTGCACTGGTTCCAGTCCCAGAGTAGTCGACCGTCCCTGGCCGGCTCCACTCCAGCCCGTCCGTGCACGTCTGAAAACCCGGGTGAGGGTTCAGTCCACGGTTCACTAACGTGCTTGGCAGGCCCCGAACCACTCCCTGGACGCTTTTCTTAGAACTTCCACACTGACAAGAGCAACCAGCTATCAAACATCCGCGGTTTCATACCCCCCTGTCCACGGGGAGGCAGCCATGGCTCAACTCCAAGATGCGGGAAAGGAGACCACGGGAGAAAAGGCATATATAGCCTCTGTCACCACCACATCCAGTTGACTTTCTCTCCATCCCATCCTCATCCCTCTCACCAGTCTTTTTCCTCCGTTCTTCGTTTCCTTTCCAGATCGCCTGCGGCGTATCTCTCTCTCTCTCTCTGTTTTCTTGCTTCTCCGATATTCTCGTTCTCTCGTTCTCGATTCCCGTTTCTTGAAGGTACATCCACGCCAATGCCAATCCCGCTCTGCGGATTCCACAGCTAACACAATCCAGAAACCGAAACGAATTCAAAATGGTCCGCTTCTACAAAGTTTCCGCCGCGACCCTCGCGACTGCCGCCACCGTCTCCGCCATCCCCATCCCATGCCTCCTTCCCTTCCTCAGCGGCGCTGGTAGCCTCTTTGGAAACTCCGGCCTGGGCGCCAGTCTCGGTCTCGGCGGTAGCGGCAGCGGTAGTGGAAGTGCTGGTGCTGGTCTCGGTGCTGACCTCGGCGCCGGTCTGAGCGGTAGCGCTGGTCTGGGTGCCGGTCTGGGCGCCAGTGCCACGGGTGCTGCGGGTGCTGGTGCTTCCGGCGGTGCTGGTCTGGGTGCTGGTCTGGGTGCTGGCCTTGGTGCTGACTTGGGTGCTGACCTGGGCGCCAACGCCGGCCTTGGTGCTGATCTGGGAGGCTCTGCCACTGGCTCTGCCGGTGCGGGTGCCTCGGGTACCGCTGGTCTGGGTGCTGGTCTGGGTGCCAACCTTGGTGGATCGGCTGATTTGGGTGCCGATCTGGGTGCTGGTCTGGGCGCGGGTCTGGGAGGTTCTGCCACTGGCGCGGCTGGCGCTGGTGCTTCCGGCGGTGCCGGCCTGGGTGCTGGTCTCGGCGCCAACCTTGGCGGTTCCGCTGGTCTGGGTGCCTCCGCTGGTCTCGGCGCTGGTCTTGGAGGAAGTGCCACCGGTGCTGCTGGCGCTGGTGCTTCTGGCGCCGCCGGTCTTGGTGGCTCCGCTGGTCTCGGTGGCAGTGCTACCGGTTCTCTCGGCGCTGGTGCTTCTGGTGCTGCCGGTCTTGGTGCCGGCGCTGGTCTTGGAGGAAGTGCCACCGGTTCTCTCGGCGCTGGTGCTTCTGGTGCTGCCGGTCTTGGTGCCGGCGCTGGTCTTGGAGGAAGTGCCACCGGTTCTCTCGGCGCTGGTGCTTCTGGTGCTGCCGGTCTTGGTGCCGGCGCTGGTCTTGGAGGAAGTGCCACCGGTTCTCTCGGCGCTGGTGCTTCTGGTGCTGCCGGTCTTGGTGGATCTGCTGGTGCTGGTCTGGGTGCCGGTCTTGGAGGTAGCGTGACTGGTGCTGCCGGTGCGGGTGCCTCGGGTGCTGCTGGTCTCTCTGGTTCTGGTTCTGCTGGCCTTGGTGGCTCCGCTGGTCTCGGTGGCAGTGCTACCGGTGGTGCTGGCGCTGGTGCTTCCGGCGCTGCTGGTCTCTCTGGCTCCGGCTCCGGCTCTGGCTCCGGCTCCGCTGATCTCTCTGGCTCCGGCTCGGCTGACCTCGGTGGCTCCGGCGGCGCGGATGTTGGTGCCTCTGGCAGCGGCAGCGGCGATGTGAGCGGTTCTGGCTCTGGCTCGACTGATACTGGTGCTTCCGGCTCTGACAGCGGCTCCAGCGGTACTGATGTCGGTGTTTCCCCCACGACTGCGGATGTTCCCAGCGCCACCACCACTTGGGTCAGTGCCTCCACCAGCGTCTCTCTCGGTCCTTACGGCGGCGCCAGCGGCAGTGTCACTGCTGAAGGATCCGAGGGTGGCGACGACGATGACTCCTCCGACGACAGCGACGACTCCGGTGCTGATACCGGTGCAGATGCGGATGGCAGCGCGGATGCCGATGCCGATGCCGATGCCAGCGCTGATGCGAGCGCCGATGCCAGCGCGGATGCCGATGCCTCTGCCAGCGGTAGTGGAAATGCTAATGCCAACGCTAGTGCTGGGGCCTCCGTTAGTGGTAGCGGTGAGGCCTCTGCTAGCGCTAATGCGAAGGCTTCGGCGTCCTTGAGCTTCTCTGCCTAAGGTGTGCCCCCCCAATCCTCGCCATCTCTATGCCTCCAGCTAACAGGAATAGGAGTTTCGGAGTTCATCATGCCACTCGAGTGACACGTCCTCGACCACGGGAATCGATTGTTCAAAATCATTTGGGATATGTATAGGGATGGGAAGTTTTCAATGTTGTCATTCGTTCATGAGTATATTGTCTAATTAGTGTCGTTCTTTGCCCACTGTCTATCTTATTGAGATATCGAGAGAGGATCCAGGCCAGTCTGCCATAGTTAATTGAATCACGCCTGTTGATAGTTCATTTTCTGCTTTCTTTTTTTTTTCCCTGTTGACTTGTAGTCAAGCCATTGGCTTGAGTAGTTGCTATTATCTGTGGTAGGAGACTTCAGTGTCGATAATGGCTTCTTGCATATCTCTGGACGAGATTTCTGTCCTACAGAGCACTGAGTGAGTTGAATGGATTAATGAATGCCTCCATAAGAATGTCTTTTGCCTGAAAGTGTCCGAAGCAGCGAACATAGTGCGGGACAATAGCGCTAAGAAAGAGCACCGTTCAGCGCCGGTGGGAAAGGTCCAAAGGCGCAAAATGGGGCCAGCCAAGCGAGACCCACAACCATCCATCTAGCCGAAGAATGGGAAAAAAGCAAAAAGAATGACCTACGCAGGACTCGAACCTGCAATCTCTTGATCCGTAGTCAAGCGCCTTACCATTGGGCCAGCAGGCCAGTTGTTGAAAAATTGGGCAGTACTGTGTTACATAAGGCCTTCATATCTGGGCCAAAGCGCAGGATCGAGGTTTTGTCTGAGGGAGGTAGCGAGGTATCAGGATAGCTAGTGTTGTAGACCTTACTGTCTGGGGCTAGGTGTTGATGGCTGTTGTCTTGAATGCATGGTAAAGTGCAGATAGATGTTCGATATGTTGATTTATGCTTGTTGGATTACTATGAGCTCGTTTGCGTCGGTGCCGATATATATTCCTGCTTGCTGTTCCAGTCATGCACCCTACTTCCCGATAACTTCAAGATGTACCAGCTCAATCCAAAGCCCCCACCAAGCAATAGCCCTGGATATGGCCATCTACTCCAAAATAATCCTCCTCCACCTCGTCCTCCCAATCGACCCCATCCGAAACGCCGAGGCAAAAATCTTCGCCAACCCCACCCTCTCAAACACCTCATCCCGAACCGGCATGATCATCAACGCATAGAAGCAATACCAATCGCCCTGGTGCTGTTTCTCGGGAATATAGTAATTCCACGTGTCCATCTCCTCCATGGAGAAGTCCTTCGCCGTCGAAATGGCCGCAAATTCAAATACCCCCTCGACGCGGGGCATCCATTCCTTCTCTCCCAGAACGACCGTCCCGCACCAGTCGCCCGCCCCATCCACAATGCCGAAACGGCGAAGGCCGGGTCCGAGATCCGAGGAGAATGCTGCAGTGGATAAGCTTTTGGTGGATAGGCGGAAGCGGCCGGTGAAGGTGGTAAAGGCTAATTGCGTAGCCTTGGAGGGCGGGGTGGCAGGTGCGTCCGTATCCTCGGGGCTGTGAAAGTCGCCAATAACCTGGTCGATATCCATGGGAGATCGGCCGTAGGGAAACCGATGCTCGGGGAGATACCCCTCCCATCGGCCACGGTCAAATGCGCCGGACGATGGTTGCTCACGGTCCCAGACAAGTTCCCAGCTACCATCCTCCCCAGCATAGCGCCAGACAATCCACGTCCGAGTCATCAACCAGGCATGCAAATCGAACAGAGCCCCACTCAACGTCGAGAGACGCCATTCCACCGCATGGTCCCACCCACACCAGCCCCAGCTGGGAAAGCTAGCCGGGGGGAGGGAGTCGCTCGGATGCGGAAGTCGTGAACCAACGGCCTTGGGCTCCCACAGGACCGCCCAATCGAAATACCGGCGTGGGAGGCCAAAAAGCAGCTCCGAATTGAGCCCTGTGGCCAAATCCTGCCCCAGGCCCTCGAAGGCCAACAACTTATCTCTCGTAAACGTTAAGGTCCGACCACTGTAGATGTCCACGCACGACGCATACCGTCGTAAGGGGTTCTCCTGCAACCCGATGTATGGCGAGTCGATGAAATCCAAGGTCCAGAGCCCCCGGTCCAACGGGAGGGAGATTGATTCGCGCCAGGTCGCATGCGGACATTGCCAGAGGATTTCCGTTGGGGTGAACACCGCACACCGTCGCGATAACAGCCGCTCCTGCAACGTCCAGCCCCGAGAATCCCAATGGGTTGCAGCGATCAAGTCGGCGACCGGAGGGAGGGTAGTTAACTGGAGTCGGTCCATCGCTGCATAGCCCTGCGCTGGATGACGCGTGACACCATCGACTCCGGACATTCCATCCGTCGATGTACCGGAGGCGGCGCACACCGTCAGCACGGCGTTGCGGTAGATGCGGTCCATGATTGCGATCTCCCGCCTGACATCCTGCTGATCCCCCTGGTTGATGCAAAAGGCGTCCACCCAGATGAAGTTGATTCCGAGGGAGCGGACCACGTGGAAGGCATTCCGGACGGTCAGGGGGACCTGGTCGATGACTGTGGAGGAGTATTTGCGCAGGGTGTCCCAATCCACCCCCGCAGGGATGAACTTGCCCCAGACGTAACTCAGGGCCGCGTACTCAGTATGGGGGGATGGCGTCGGGACTAATCGGACGGGGTGGTTGCTTACATCGAGAAGCCTTGCCGGCCGGATCGAATTCGAGCCCCGGGCTGGGTGCCCGCATGGATGCTGTTGCGTGCAGGTCCGGAACCATTGGCCGACCAGTGGAAGATTGGCCTGAGGGGTGATTCTCTTCCCGAAGCCTAGCATCATCGACGACTGGTCGTCTACCGCCAGCGGAACGATATGAAAAAAGGGGACGGATCCGCACGAGGTGGAGACGCGGAGGCGTCGGGTCATGGGCAAGCTCGCGGAGGCGCGCGTATCGAGCTGCCACTCAAGTCGGCAGGAAATCCGGTTCCCATCCTTGTCACGGCCATCATCTCGGAGATCGCATTTGGGGCCTGCACGGGCGCCATCGTAGATGAGGCGGCAGAATTGGCAACCCCACCGGCGATCGTAGATCGAATCGAGAAAGCCGAGGTCAATGGGGTCGAGCCTTAGGGGAGTTGTGTCCGACTCGGGGGTGGGAGCAGTGGGATTGGACTTGAGAACTGTGAATTCTCGAAGGGAAAGGGGGAGAGCGGTGCAGTCACTGCATAGCGATGGGGTCCCGTGGCTCGGCGGGGTTAGAGTGCAAGGGCTAGTCATTGCGTAGATGTATCTGCTTGGATTTGCAGGGGCCCATAGGTTCTTCAATTGCTGGCAGAGGGGGGGTTGTCTAGTGAGTTCGCCATTTACCTACAGATCGATATGACTATGTCCATGAGGGGAAGCGCGATGAAAAGCGAGCCTGAGTTGGCAGCCAGGCAGCCAGACAGGCAATGACTGACCCTAGTGACTAAGTCGCCGAGCGATGCCTGCAGTGAGTGATGCCCAACTTCCGTACCCAACTTAGTAGTGCTCGCGACTGCAAGGCGTTGATGCACCATTGATAGGCGGGTCAATTGACCACCGTTGAGACAAGAGGTAAGATGAGACATCCGCTGAATACGGTTATATAAGTCATAGTCCAAGCTATAATATACATCGAGATTCCAACTGAATACTAAAACATGAGAGATCAAATCTAAATACCAAACATCGCAACTCTCTCCTTAGCACGGCACCTCAAACCTGCGCACATCTTCCCCAGTATGTCAAGACAGAGCATTCTATCCTCACTGAGGGGTCCCAACCACATTGTTCAAAGTCTTGTAGTTCACCGAATGCTGAGGAAGGTCCGACGCCTTGGGCTTGCAACTCGCCGTAAGACCCAAGTGGCTAGTTTTACCCAGCATGTGCTTAGGGATACCCAACTGGAGGACCGCTTCGTCTCCCTTAATGACAGACAGGCGAAGGGTCTCATCGGGTGTCTCGTGGCGGGTGTTCTTGAGGTACGAATCGATATTCTTGGGTTCATACCACAGCGTCTTGCCGTCGTAGGTTTCGGGAATCCAGGCCTTCTTGGCCGCGAGCCATTTGCTATGGTCGGCGTAGATGACACAGTGCCTAGCAGGTTATACATGAGGAAGTGGGAACATAGGCATGTGTTGGGTGTATGAGATCATACCAGTAATTCTCGGGAACCTTCCATTGTCCCGGAGCGGGCGTGAGGTAGACGACATCGCCCAGCTGAATGCCGCTAGCGGTATACCAGACAACAGTCTCATGCTTGTTGTAGGCCTCGGCTTTTTTCTACCGTTCGTGGCATGGGTCAGTTATTTGGCGGTGGAATGATGAACGGCGATGGGCCCTACCTCGTCCACGGTTCGATAGCCAATGATGACCTTCTGGTCGCGCTCCGCCAGTTCGACGGGAGCGGCAGCGACATAGTTGACCATGGCCAGAGCCACGGTCAGGATCTTAGTAGCCGAGAAAAGCATGGTGTAAGAGAGTAATGCGCAAATGGAGTAAAGTGATTGTAAAGTTGAAGAAAAGAAAGCACAAGGAGTGACTTGTTTAGAAAGAGTGGATGTTTAAAGAGAGAGACTGATTGTTGTTCTGCCAGAGAAGATGATGCGAGATGAGTTGTTGAGACGTCCACATCCTGCTATTTATGTGCGAGACGACTCTCCTGGAGATTGCCTAGACATGCTGGTTTGCGTTTCAAAGCACGATGCTTCCTCGAACAACTGGACTCCGAATCCATGGGGCCAGGACTGAGACAGGGTGACTCTGTAGGGCTACGTTGTTTGGACACAGCACATCCGGCCCCAAGTTAGTTCAGAAGCAGTCTCGACTAGGTTGCCTGGATACGGGCACTGTTGGTTGTGGCAATTCCCAGGGTCGCTGCGCTGTTCATCAGTTTTGTGGCAGAAGCTGTGCGGGAAGACCCTGGACGGCTGGCACCGTTTGAATTGGGGCCGAATCCCTCAGAATGGCCACTAGTTGGGGCCAAATGACCAAATGCAGCATGACGAGAAACCGCCCCAGGGTTTTAGGGTGCTGCCTGAAGTCAGCATCTTCTGCACCGCCCCACGGAAGACCGGACTAGGCGGACCCTGATGCACCGCCCGCTTTTAGCCTCGCAGCCTTATCTTTCATTTCCCTACCTGTCCACAACCCAGCTAAACAATAACACAAACCCATCGTTAGCTAAAGAAATTAAATCCCCCAAACCAACCCAAGCAATCTACCACACAGACCCAATGGCTGCACCCGAAACCCTCCGGTCCATTCTCTGCGCCGAGACATGGCTTTGGAATGACGGCACAACGTCCATCACCTTCTACGAGAACGGTACCGGCAGGGTACGAACCCCATTTCCCGCATCCTACCATCTCTAACACCCCCCATACAGCTAGTCTGCACGACCGAATTAACCGCCTGGATCGTCGCCGAACTCGACTGGAAGGCGCACGATCCCTCCCATCTCGACCAAGTCGTCACTCTCGACAACAGCAGCTGGAACCCCACGACTATCAGCGACTTCAGCATCGAAATGACACTCACGACGCGCCGTCCCCCAGACGGACCCGCATCCGACTACCCGGGCAGGGTGAATGAGCATTGGCTCCATGACAATGCCTTCCGACCCAAGACATACCATCTGAAACTGGAGCAAGGTAGATTCCGAAACCAATTTGACATCATGCACAAGGTGCGCGATGGCTTGCAGTATGCCTTGCGGCTGGTCTTCGATCCATCGCCATTGCCGCCCGACGGGGAATGGAATGAGGAGAGTCATGGGCCGCATGCGATGAAGTTGTGGGAGTATACGCAGTTTAATGCGAGGAAGTATGAGGAGAAGGATTTGGGGTTGTGGGATAAATTGATGGTGTGGTATGAGAAGTGAGGGGGCGTGGATTAACGTATATGATGGAATCTAATCGGATATTGGTCGTGTCTAATAATATTCAATGCCCGTCCCATCCAGGCTGAGTCCCGGATCCCAACCTTTTCCTCCGAATATATGGCTTTGGCCAGTGCTGTTCATGCCTAGCAAGGACTGTGATTCACCCCGATCGGAGACCACGGGATCCTCGGAGATTGACGATGCCGAGTGCATAGCCGATAGCTGGGTATCCCAATCCGTGGAGAGACTGGGCACCGACGCCGCGGACGCATATTCACTGCTCTCGGCATAACTACTCGCAAGGTTCTCCGTCCCGGTCGGCCCGCTCTGACACACCGAAGTCTCCGCCTCCCAGCCCGAAGAGTGAAGTTTCCGTAATTCACGACTGTAGATCGTTCGCGCCATGACGTTCGTCTCCAGCGGAGGCAGTTGCAGACCACCGTTAAGAGCGAACGGCGGTTGCATGCCCAGGTTATCCAGCTGGATGAGTTCAGAGTCCGGCATGGTCTCAATGCCATTATCTCGCTTGAGAATGCTCAGCCAGACGGGATTATCGGCACAAGTCTGATTCCACGGATCATCGCAGCCGTAAATGACGACGCGCGCATGGTCCTGCAGCATTAAATCGGTGGGGACATTACCAACCGTCAATTGCTGCTGGATGTAGGCTGTGAGTTCTTGTTGTAAACGACGCCAGGAGTTGGCATCATCCTGGTATCGAAGGGCGGGCTCGTTGATCTCCGTACTATGTTCCAAATCATTGGTCGCAGCGGCAGTGAAAGGATTCATGGTCAAGCGTTCTTGTCCAATTAAATACGGTGGCATGGCGTTTGCCACTCGGTTTTGTACGGCTGGCTCGAATCCCCAGTCGCCTTGCCAGTGCCACATGTTTGCGCCCGCCTTGAAATGCTCCGCGAGATGAGCGAACCGCTCGTCCCAGGTGGAGAAGTTGGCGCTGCAGAAGCCACTTCGCGACTTGTGCTCTCGTAGAGTACTCTTCCAGCTGTCCATCGAGGAATCAAACCGGACTCCATGCATATATCGCAAATGCTGGTTGAGGTGATCTTTCCGATAAAAAGTCCGTTCCCGGGGGTCCTTCTCCTGGCATGAGAAGTAGTTGTGTGAGTCTAGATGGTCCTCATCCGGATGAGGTGTTCGACAGAAGGCGCACACCATCGCCCCATTGAATGGGAAGACGCCTCCTAGAGGCGAACAACTCCATGTTTCGAGCGGAAGATGCAAGGATTTCTCATGCCGCTGCCAATCATACTTGGTGGCAAAGGTGTCGGTACAAAAGGTGCATTGAAACATGCGAGAACTCCTAGCCTTACGCTGAGCAAAGGAGTTGGCCAAACGGGCGGGTTTGCGACGGCGTTGGCGGCGGTGGTGTTTTCGATCTCCGGAGGAAGAACCGTGGGAAAATGCAGCTGTGGAAGAAGAACGATTCGAAGCGGATGATCTCTCCGTGTCGAAGCTGCTCACTGATGGCGCCGGAAGGACACCCGACATATCACAACTCGAGTTCTGGTCGTATGCATGTTCCGATGGTAGGCTCTTTCGACTCTCATGATGGGGCAGACTGTGACAAGGATCCCGAGGATGCTCTGATATAGCGCGGATAATGTTGATGGTTGCCGCCGGCTCGTTTTCGGGAGGCGAGTATCGCCAACGCTCGAGGGGCGTCATCAGGGAGACACTGTGCTGGCTGGGGATGTTGATAGCGCCTGGGGGGCTGGGGCTAGGGTTACGTGGCGGAGCAGAGCGGCCCTTGGCCCGGCGCCGGGCGTTGGCAAACCAGGTCCGGATTTGAGTCGCTTTCAGCCCGGTCTGTAGCATCAGGTCGCTCATATCTCCCTCAGTGGGATACGGGTGCTCATCGTGTTGACGGAGCCAGGCTTTGAGAATGCGGATGGTCTCCCGTGAAAAGCGAACACTGCTCATTGTATGTCTGGCGTCAAGATCCCTCAATGGACCTGGGTCCGACGCCTTCTTTCCAGTGGCATCCGGATGCGGTTGATCATTGGGGTCTGACAGCCGGTCGAGTGAGGAAGTGATACTGTCCCGGTCGTTGACCTCCGTGCAGTCAACAGTTCTATCCTTCCCCCGACCCCGTTGCATAAGCCCAGAAGAGGCCTCATCAAAGTCAAAGTACTCCATCAGGCCGGTCCGAGTAAATGAGCGCCGGTGGTCGGAATGGCACTTCACTTCGGAATATATCGGAATGGACTGGAGCCGATCCGGGAGCGTTCCGAGCGCCAGAAATCAGAAGAGAGTCGACTGTAACAGCCCCTTTAATCGCATGTAACACAAAGGGCGTCTCTCAGATTGAAAGGGATCAGGGCACTGGATAGGAATGGGCATCGTTGAGATTGCGACGACGAGACGACGAGCAGGCGCACGCCTTAAGGACGACAAGGGCCCGGGCTTTTCCCACTTTCTTCCCCGCCCAGAAGCCTGAGGTTAAGAGTTTACGTAACTCCACCCTTCTCCACCACTCAGTGAGTCAGATATCGAGCTGCGATAACTAGCCACCCCGCCTTGGCATCGGCTCCATCTTGAAACACGTGCTTATTGACCGCCTGCTTCAATCAGATAGGCTTGGCTGATTTATCCTGTAAAATTCACCGCTTTGATGCCTAAGGCTATGTAGCAGCCTCAGGCCCTTCGGTCTGTGGTAGGAGGCAGGATATAGCAAGGTACGACTGGAACTGCGAATGAGCCAGGTTGCAACAAATCCTAATGCCTGGGAATAAGGTTAATTTTGCGTGGTCAATGCTGCGTGTCGTCGTTAAGGCGTGGAGAATGAAGGGATCTCCGTCATGCGGTGGGTCTGTCCAGCAACCCAAGCCTACACCAGTATCAGAGCATCTATATAACCCTCCACTGTCCTATGCTCGACTGACACCAGATGATACTCTGAGCAGGCCCTTGTAACCAACAACATGCACGAAACAGCACGCCAAGTTCGCTACCAGCTCTTTCAATACTATCTGAAAGAGTGTAGACCCCCGACCGTCATGGAATTGGCCACGCTCTGCCATCTGAGCACAGCAGAGATCCAACAGGTTCTCGATCAGCTGGAGGACCTGCATCACATTGTGCAATACAAGCATGATGGACGCTCGCCGATGCCTATTGCCATGGCCCATCCCTTCTCCCATCTGTACGTGCCACCATACCAACCACCCTAAATGTCCTTGCTAATAAGATCCAAGCCCAACGACATTTGCAGTGGTATGTCACCAGCCAAATAATCCTCACAAAGGCTTACTCACACCATACCAGGCCCAATGTACCCGACGCTGGTGGACCAATTGCATCTGGTGTGCCCTAGGACTAGCCGCCATGCTCGCTCCCCTCAAAACAACCATCCTGACTCGCTCGGGCTCCATCGGCCAGGAACTCGAACTCACAATCGAGAACGACCAGATCAATTGTACCGGACATGCTGGTGAACAAATCAGCTCGCACGACTGCCACGCTCACTTCTCCATCCCGCCCGCGAAATGGTGGAAGGATGTGCGCTTCGCGTGCGGGACGATTCAACTGTTCGCAACTAAGGAAGAGGCGTTGGAGTGGCCGCACAAGTATGGGTTCTATTCGGGGGAGGTTATGACGCTGGAGACGTTGTGGGCCTTGTCGAAGGTAGGTCTTGGGACTGGTGTGGGGTAGAGTGCTGGCTGACGTGGTTAGGCTTGGTATCATGATAAGAATACGTATGAGTATGATAGGAAGACGCCGGAGGAGGTGGAGGTTTTGTTTAATGAGCTGGGGATGACTTCGACGTTTTGGAAGGCTCGATAGAGGATGGTGGGTTGAATATATAGCCTGAGGATTTCTGTGTATATAGAGTTAGTTGATGCAGCGGGTAGACCACGATTATATAAGAAAGCATCGCATTTGCCTTTCCTAATGAGAAAAGAAACAGGGAAAATGAAAGACATACATGGATACGTTGGAGGTTCCCTTCCCTCGTTTTAATCTCCCTCCTCCACCAACCCTACAAAGACCTAGCTGACCTCCACATCCAGCCCGCATTCACCGACACCGACGGATTTCCAGTCTATGAGGATCCATCCGGGGGCCTCTTAAGCCACATCATTGCCCAAAATGACCTGATAGCTCTCCGCCTCTACCAGGAAAGCCCTCCCACGAAGGCCTTCTGGGACGCCTATGAGGTACCATCCTGGCTTCATTTCGTCGTGGCAGCCGAGTCCGGCAGACTTGAGGCCCTCTGGGTAATCATTGAGATTTATGTCGCGAATCCAGAGACGTATTCCGAGCCACTGGACGAGTACCCACACAGACTGGATTTTCACCTATTCATGTGGCCTGTTCTGCGGCGGACCGGGAGCTGGCGAACTCGTTGCTGCAGCTTGAGCCACTCGTGGGGAATTTGCAATGATGGAGATATCAGTGGCAAGACACCGTTAGTGTATCTGCGAGATGAGCAAGGAGTGACTGCCTTGCATATTGCCAGTCTGTTTGGGAATATTGAAGGGGTTCAAGCGTTGTTCAATCATCGTGTTCTGGGGTGAGTGGCCTAGTCGAGGACGAAGACGGGGACGGGGACGAGGCCACACATAGCTGGTCTTTGAACCTATGAGAGTGAACAGCAGGACTAAGTGTTGGCTGTTGACATTATCAAAAACACCAATGGTAAAATTGTCCAAATCGCCTACAACCTGCCTGTACCGCGGCAGTCGGATTAAAGTGAAAAATATCTGAATCGTTAAGATAGATATCAGAAACCACCAAAGAGGCGTCCAGAGTAAATGCACCGCCCCTAGAAAGGTCTACTGTTTGATTCAATCGTCGTTTTCCAAGACATTGGGTATATTGAGTGTCTTGAGACATGGTACGGTGGAACGCGGCAGGCGGCAGGCGGGACAGGGATGGGTGAAACCCTGGATGACCAATGCCAAACTCAACAAGAAACCATCTTTCAACATCTTGAATAAACCTAGGTACGTAGAAGAGAGGCTCAAGCCCGGTATCGGTGGACTCAGCTTGATTTGTCAGACGCACCCTGACAAATCCAGGGTTCGGCACTAGCCGAAGAGCCCCCATGACGTTTGCGGATCCAGCTGCAAGGCCCTCAACTATTCTTCCTTCGTAGAATCCTCCAGCTGAGCATTGAGATATGATTTCAAAGCATCACGGCGTTAGCTAATTCCGTCCGATATGCGTTCGTCATTTACATATAAACGGTCGCTGTCTTGTCGCTATAACGAGGAACAAACAGTCCATCTCAACCCATCTCCTCAACCAATTCTCATCACTCATCAAGTACAATGGCATCCTACCTCATCACCGGCACCTCCCGGGGCATCGGCCTCGCCATGGCCCGCACCCTAGCCTCCAAGCCCGTCAGCGAAGTCTCCGTCGTCTTCGCCCGCAGCGCGCACTCAAACCGAGGAACTGAAGCAGCTGGTCGCACAATCTGCTGGTCGGGTCAAGTCCATTCCAGTCGACGTGGAAGATAAACCCAGTGTCCAAGCCGCAGCCGCGACCGTTGAGCAAGCTCTAGCTGGCCGAGGGCTGGACGTGCTGATCAATAACGTGGGGATTATGCCATCTACGCCAAATGGCATTGAGACAATGTAGGAGAATATCCTGTTGCCGGTAGGCATTCATTGACGGAGGCCAGGGACGACCTTGACTCCGTCTTTCACACCAACGTTACCAGCGCGCATATAGTAACCAGTGCATTTCTACCGCTGTTGAAGAAGGGGACTCAGAAGAAGGTGATTAACATGTAAGCTTATACTTTCCGCCCCCAATCCAGATGGTGGTATATCTGCTCACACCATCAGCTCCACCACTCTCGGCTCCATCGCCATGGCGCCTCGATATGCGCTCTTTCCTGTACCAGCCTACAAGATCAGCAAGGCGGCTCTCAATATGCTCACGGTGCAGTATGCCCACTCGTTCGCGGACCAGGGGTTCACGTTCCTGACTTTGTCGCCGGGTGTATGTTCTACTCCCATTCATCCTATCTCTTAATGAAGTAAACAGACTAATACTGTTGTAGTGGGTAAAGACCGGCCTGGGTGGCGACAGAGCCGATTTAACCACCGAGCAGAGCGTGCAGGGCCTACTGGACATTATTCTTCCCGCGACGCAGGCGGACAATGGCAAGTTTATCAATATTCGTGTGCCGGGGTGGGAGAAGGCGGAGGGGATGAATCAGTATGATGGGGCGGAGGCGCCGTGGTAGGTGGTAGTACTGTTCTGTGAAAGTGGTATGGTTTGGATAGGAGGAAGGATGGTATCGAATGTTGCGACGGAGTTGCTGGTGCACAGTATGACGTTCAACCGAATGCGGGCATAAGTCTAAAAAGAAGAAGGGTTAGTCTTGGGGTTTCCGAAACGGGGGTGGAGGATGGATACATGGCGACAGTGGAAGGATCACTTTGCATTTGTTGCGCAGGAGAGAGGTTTCAGGTTCGAACGAGAGTTGGCTCGGTTGTTCATGAACGGATGATTTCTTCGAAGGAGAAGGGGAAGGAGGAAGGTCTAGATTCAGCACAAGGTAACAGAGAATTAAACTTTAGACTAGTTGAATCAACACCACTGCCGTGATTCACTACCCCAGACATCCCTATCCAATGGCTCTGGGTGACCACATTGCCAACGCCCTGGCAGTCACCACAACGCCACTCGCTTTCTCTTTCTCCATCCCCATCACACTCGATATAATACAATGGCGCACATACGAGGTGACGCGTCCATCGGATCCGACTGACGCCCGGGCGCGTGGCTATCAACCCATTGGCCGATCCCCAGGTGCGGCTCGGCTGCACCGAGAAGATGCGGCGACCCCGACCAAGAGGCGGATCGAGGCAGACAGAGGCAGAGCCGAAGCGAGGGCGAGGCACGCGCTGCAGGCCAGAATAAGCGAGGGGCGACAGCTGAAGAATTCCCCACGCACACGAGGCCCGGCCCGCAGGATCGAACCATGGAAAATGCAGCCGACGGGCCCTGTTCACTGGGTGGTTCCTGCATCCGCTAGGTCCTTTCAGCTGCACCACATGATAAATGCAGTGCAAGCGAGTTCAGCTGAAATGGATGGCTGAAGGAGTATGGGGTGATGATGGTAGTCGCAGGCGATGATAACGAGGAGTATTTAGGGCTCGCTCGCGACCGTCCTCGTCGGGTGAAGAAACCAGCAGCAGTCTCAACTCACGATTAGCAGTCTTTTGCCTTTTGCACTCTTCAGTTTATCTACCTTCCTTTTCTATATTGCTCATCTACACAAATAGTTTCAATCTTTCTGTGATATCTAATCTTTCACCATGGCCCCCGCTATTCTGTCCGATGTCGAGGTTCCCCCCTCAGCCCTTAAAAAGGAGCTCAATGGAGCCAAGGCCAACGGAGGCAACAACACCAGCACCGAAGTCGTCAAGGCCAATGCCAGCGGTGCCGTCAAGAAGCACACCAACGGCAACGGCACTGGCCTCATCTCCGAAGCTATACTACCCACTCTCTATCTCGGTAAGGAGACGGGGATGCTACGGGGATCAACCTAACCGGCCCGAACCGTGCGTATCTGCTCCGTCGGAGTCCCTAGGCTTCTCCGATCCGCTCACGGAGAAAGGTGGACCGGAGACACCAGGGCATGGCGGTGTCTATCATCAAGTACTCCGGAACAGTGAGGAGTGAAAGTCCCGAGTCTGAGCCCCCATAGTCAAGCTGCAGGTCAGAAATAACCCTACCATGCATCTGCCGAATTGTGACGAGGACAATCAACATAAGCTGCTTGGGCCGGGGGGCGCTTGAATTTCTACCGTCTCCCATCCCGGCGGACCACACGGGAAATGTGGGTCAAGAATTATAGCGTGTCTGCTGTAGGGCGCAGGGCGTGCGTGTCTGTCGGCTGTCCAGTGTCCACAGCAGCTGGTGGAGTCAGGATGGAGCCTTGAGTAGCCGAAGCCAACCCTGGCCCCCTCGGCCTTCTGTCCGAACTGCCCTAGACGATCCACTCCCGATCACCACTTTTTTTTTTTTTTTTCATCTTTTTGGCCATCACACCTGACCGCTTGGATGACTAGGATCATAGAGGGAATCTCTATCTGGTATGGATGTCGACACCATCACCAAAATGGAGGACACAGTGCCCCCGGTCGCAGATGAGGCCGGGTCGACTGTCTCCTCCTCCAGCAGCATTGTCGCCTTTGGGGATCATGATCCCACCAACCCAGTCAACTTTTCGCGGGTACGTATATTGCTCTTCTCGGCTTCATGTCTTTCATTCCGCAAGCTCAGACACGATGCCCTGCGACATCACTTGCTGGACTCGACTGACTGATCGGCTGGATGGAAGCACAGTGGCGGAAGGTCCATGTCATAGCCGTCGGCATCCTCTTCACCTTCAACAGCACATTCGGATCCTCCATCGCATCCGGCGCCCAGACCGAGATCAAATCGTACTTCAATGTCACCTCCGAACCGATGCTAGTCCTGTTGACATCGCTCTACATGGTTGGCTTCACCGTCGGACCACTGGTCTTTGGCCCGCTGAGTGAGCATCTGGGTCGACGAACAGTCCTCCGGGGCACCTATATCGGCTACACAGCTTTCACTCTGGGCTGCGCGCTCGCTCCAACCTTTCCCGGTCTGCTTGTCTTTCGCCTGCTGAGCGGACTCAATGCGGCCGCACCAAATGCCATCACGGGCGGTCTGTATGCCGATGTCTTCGACCACCCCGATGATCGCGGGAAGGCCATGTCCATCTTTATGGCCATGACGGTGCTGGGTCCCGAACTAGGCCCGGTCATATCCGACTATGTGTCGCAAGGGTCGTGGCGCTGGGCCTTTTGGGTGGCCCTGATTGTGGCTGGCGCCGGAATGCCAGTCATATTCCTTATGCCGGAGACGTATGCCCCGGTGATCCTGCGCCAGCGCGCTCACAAGAATCGCGGCCTGACGCGCATTCCCACGCTTGAACAGATCTCATTACGGAAGGCGCAGCGTGCCGAGCTGTTGCGCGTGTTTAGTCGGCCGTTTAGGATGCTTGTTCGCGAGCCCATCCTCCTGTTTTCTTCGTTGTACATGGCTTTGATTTATTCCTTGCTGTATTTGTTCTTCCAGGCGTATCCGATTGTGTTCCGAGGTAGGTCCAGATTTGCCAAAGTAAATTGGGGTTGGTAGCTGACCATAGCTTTCATTTTCGCAGAATTCTATGGCCTGTCGGTAGGCGTGTCCGGACTGGCCTTTATACCTAGTAAGCGGCCTGTTCTTCATGTCCTGAACACTCTATGCTAATGACTTGATGCAGTGATCATCGGATCTTTCATCGCCTTCGCCATTTTCCTAACCTACAGCACCTTCCACAGCAAAGCCCTAGCAGCCAAAAAGTCCTGGGCAATGCAAGAAGAATTCCGTCGTTTACCACTGGCAGCAATAGGTGCCCCATTGTAAGCCACATCTCCCCCTCTTCCACATCCACCAGCCTCCTCCTCACCAAGACAGAATCACAATCAGCCTCTTCTGGCTGGCCTGGATGCCCAAACACGGCATCTCCCCCATCGCCGCCATGATCGCCGGCATCTGGTTCGGCACCGGCTACCTCCTCATCTTCATCGCCATGCTCAACTACCTCACCGACGCCTACAAGAGCAACTCGGCCTCCGCGCAAGCTGCCGCCAGTACCATGCGTTCCGCTGCTGCTGTCGGTCTGCCGTTGGCTGCTAACCCCATGTACGATCATCTGGGCATCCATTGGGCGAGTTCGTTGCTGGGGTTCGTGTCCTTGGCGTTGGCGCTGATTCCGTTTGCGTTTATTCGGTATGGGGATTTGATGCGTGCGCGGAGTCCGTTTTGTGCGACTATGGCGGGGACGTAATTGTGTGCAAATTTAGATATGGTAGACCTATGCTGGAGTGAGGAGCATTGAGGATAGGATATTTAGTGGGATCTGGAGGAGTTGGATAAGGGTTTGGTTCAAGATCTGCAGCTCCTCTGGTGGTCCAAACAAAATATACAACGCTACAATATCTACAGACACTTCATTTAGGGGAAATTATCTTCAATTTCGCTTAATCTAATAAATTAGCCATTATGCTACGCTGGTCCGGGACTCTTTCCTGAGGCTCTCCACCGAGCAATATGTTCCCCTATGTATTCCGTTCATTCTCGATTTCCTCCACAGAATCTAAATCAGCCGGCCTACTGCTCGCCGCATCGGTGAAAGCGCAGATATCGATGAATCGGCCTCGTCGCTTGTCGATTTCGTAGGCGCGATGTCCATTGTCGTCGACGGGAAAGCGGCAGATATAGTCGGCGCCCCTCATGCAATGGGGTACTCGTGTTTGGGGACCCCGGGTGAACCAGGTTGTGACGATGGACTTTTTGGTAATGGGGACGGCGGACGTGGAAGTTCTTGGCGTCCCAGTAGAGGACGTCTGCTTGTGGTTGGTTGTGAGACATGGTGGGGATGGGGATTGTTGTATGGCTTGGTCAAAGATGTAGACCATTGTGTGAATTTGGCAGGAGAGCTGCATGGGAAGAAGGGGTCGAAGGGAATGGCATGCAAAGTGACGTGGTATACCTATGGCTCCCTGATGTCATCGGATATGGATGAGTCTGGCAGTGATGATGATGGAGTTATGTGTTAATAGTTCTGCAATTCGCCCATGCTTCACTATGAAAGTTGTATGGCGTGGGTGAAAGCCAGAAGTGACAAGGTTCACCTACATCTTTCACCCTGACGCCATTAAAATGTTGAGTGACTTCACCTATCTTCCACCGGCTGCCTAGAGTACCAAAATCACTGAGTTTGAGGAAAATCTTGCGTCAAGTGCATTCACATATCATCGTGATCTCATCATCCATAACCACATAGAACATCAATCCAGCGGCCCGTCGCTGTCGCCCAAGGAAAGGCGGAGCAAGTGAATGACTCACGTTTCCCACGAAAACACATTTCATTTGTTGCACCTCTCTGCTGTCCCCCGCGGTGTGAAGATTACTTTGGTTGACTCATACGGCATGCTGAACGCTTCGTACATCCAATGGCTCTGCATCTTCGGGTCCTCGAGCCGGATGTGGTACCGGAGGAGTATGTTGACCAGAGCTAGTTTCAAGATGAGGGTAGCGTGGAAGCGGCCGGGGCTAGATAATTGTAAGTAAAATTGAAGGCGAAAGAAATAAATAGAATGAGAAACCGTACCACGCCAGAGATCCATACCCCCAGATCAGATAGTGCTCAGACACATCGGCGTACCGATGCGTGGAATCCTTATGGTTCCCGTCCACGAAGCGTCGACCATCAAAAGTCTCCGGGTCGGGGTATGTGGCAGGGTCGTGCGAGACGTTGTAGGAGGAGACGCAGATGGTGGCACCGACAGGAACATGAGGCGTCCCGTCAGTAAAGGTATAGTCTTTTAAGGCCTTGCGGCGAATGTTCCATTTATCCAACAAGACCAGGCGCGCGGTTTCGCGCATAAAGCTATCCAGAAGAGGCAGCTGGGTCAGCCGCTGATAGTCAAGGGGTTGGGTTTCCTGTGCCGTGCGAATCTCCTCGTGCAGGATCTCCTGCCACTCCGGGTTCACACAGAGCCGTTAGAGGAATGTATGTAAGTTGACCCATGGCTGGTGCGAGGCCGCGAGGAGAAGGCCCATCAGGGCTTGTGTGAGGGTCTCGGGGCTCCAGTAGTCGCGGGTGGCTTGGGTTTCCTTGGTGAAGATGTCGAGGAGTGTGAGCTCTTTCAGGCCGGCTGGCTCAGTCCAATTCTTGGTTTCGCTGTCGATTATAGGCATGAAGAGATTTAGAATCAGCTTCATGGCTGCGCCGCGGCGGGTTACGATGGTGTGTATGAGCCTGGTTGTGCGTGTTATCGGTGGGTTATTCAAATGGCATAGTTCTGAGATGGTGGGAGTGACATACGGGGATATGACGCGCGGCATCAGCTGGAAGAGTGCCATACATCTGACGGTCTGCTGAGGATGGTCATATACGGCCTTGCTAAAGGCAGGATTGGATGCTAACCATCGGATTAGCTAACACAATGAGTGGATAGATGAGGGACCGCATACTCAACTCCTCCCCAAAGAACATCAAGCCCATCATTCGCGAAGCCATGACACGGCATGTCTCAGCGAGTGGTAAACACAAGGAGCCATCGGCATGCATCTGCGCCGGGGACAGTTCTTTGTCCAAAAGCCGTTCCAGCCGGGTTTGAAGATACGGGTATAGCTTGGCCAGTTGGGCTGGCCCAAGTACACTCAGAATTAATGCATACAGCCGTGATCGCGTCCGCGTGATCTTGGTCTCATCCTGGTGAGCGATTTTCATCGTGTGCCGGAACCCAAACATATCGGCGTAGACAGCACACTGCGAGAGAACAGGCGACTCGCTGAGTTCTGTCATGGCTTTCCTGGTGGGCTGGACCAGGATGGGCTTCGGGGCCCAGGGGCGATAAAATTTGCAATTGTACTACGGAATCAGCGATGTATGATCCTGATCAGACTATGCAGAGATGTCACTTAAAAAATCTTTGATTATCTGAAAGAATTGAAACAGTGGGGCAAAGGGGCGAAAAAAGAAGTTGGCGCCCTTGGAAGACTTGATCGAGAAGTAGATTTCAGAAAGAGTAAGGGTGATGCTAGCAAGATAGAAAGGCCCCAAGGGCAGAAGTTCCCAGGACATGATGGTGGCTGATAGGGTAAGTAGAGGGATACAATTCCGCCAACCGACTGCTTGCCTGATCCATTGCTGTTATATAGTCGGTTCTCAGCTTCCTTTGGACGGACCATCATATGCAGACCGGCCAAGTATAGTACCCCTCATTTGACCCAAGAACACCGCCATGTTTTCACCCCTGTACTGCAGGGATCTAGAGCTAATCGAGTTGTATGGAGGTGGGGGACAGTCAAGATAAGCAGATCAGAATTCAAACTTGGACCATCAGGAGCCTAGAATCCGACGGGTAGGTCTTTGAAAATCAAGCTGGCAAAGCGCCAATTCGATTGGGCAGCAAGTTCGGAACCAGGCGAACTGTCTTGTAAACAGCCCGGGGATGACTTTCTACTGTCTAGATGGCATTTGGCGGCGCTAATGTCAAGTAATGCACTTGCATCATGCAGAGGGAGCCTGGAAGGGTTAGGACTGGGCAGTGACAGCCATGAAACTCCTTGCAGATGTGCCTATGTTGCCAATGCTGGTGGATACTTGACTTCAAGTCCAAGGGTTGCAATGACATGGGTTGTGCCGTTGGAGAAAGAAAAATCCTGGTCTCTACGGCGCTTCCGCAGTCCGTCCCAATGAGTCCATTGACCGTTATTGTAAATTACACTACTAGACAAGACACTCTATCAAACCTGATCCTCCGAGGTCCTCGCCCCACTGTGAGAATGGCTCCCCGCCTCCACCATGCAGCTGTACTGACGCTTGCTAGAAGGATCGAGCCCATTCAATAGCCACCGATTGGTCCTATGAGCCTCGGACCGGCTGCCGCTTCGGGCCGTCGAGGGCTTTGGATAAGAATACCGGGAGGGCCCGGAAAGCCGAGGGGATACGCGCACCGACAGCGGGCGATGGTGGCGGAAGAATAGTGCCATAGATGGCATGGAGCTGGTGGTAATCCCTACGCACATCTCCACAATGGCCATAAGAAAGACCTTTAGCGTGTAGTAGGTGAAGTCATCCTCGTGTGAGTTTAACAAGGTTCGGAAGTAGATGCTCAGTGAAGAGGCGACACAGGCGCTAGAAGCGAGGTTGGTTAACTATGTCCAGTCGTGTGGCTGAGACAAAGAATGGGAGCATTTGACTCACATCAATCCTGTGGCAAGCACGGCCATCACCCCCAGCCTCTTAGTCAACTTCATCTGAAGATTCCAAATGGGCACCATTGGGAGCAGCAGAATGTACAGATCGAGGACAAGGCTCCACACCGCGATTGGGATAGAGGTCTGCAGGCAGTGGTTAAACCTGGTTGACACAAACGAGTCCCGCCACGACTGGCCCGGTGCGGGGCTGATGTAGTACAGCATGGCTATTAAAACGGCTACATAGAATCCCCAATTGACAAATAGCCCAAAGTAGATGGCGTAGCGCTGCCACCGAATCCTCCGGAACATGTCCAGGTAGATGAGGAAGAAAGTGGTTTTCACGATGGGCCACACAATATAGGCCTCCCAGTTGGCAAAGTAAGATGACTGAATGATCGCAATTAGTTCCCATAGTTGTGTATGTTTTCTTATTCACCTTTGACTGTTTTCCTTACAATGATGAAAGAATTACTCAGGATATGGGCGACGGAGAGATCCCACATGTGCGTCCCGAATTTCCCCTTGACCACCGCTAGAGGTGGAGAGTCAGTACAGGACGGCCGCGGGATACCAGGGTGACCGTACCAAATATGCAGGCGATAAAGTAAAACGTGGCTCCAATCTAACAGAGGTTCAGCTGAGTGGCGTTCTTGCAAGCAGCACAGCGGTTGGACGGACCGTTGATATCAGTCGAGTCCAGTCATCTGGGGCCCATCGTTTCTGGACCTTGAGCTTTACATACAGACTCATGCCCACGAAGATGTACATGATACCCATCACCAGACCACCGACCACTAGGAAGAGGTAGCCCTCAGATGGGAGATCAGTAAGGTTGGACACCTGTCCTGCCGGGGGAGTTCCCGCAGGAATGTGGGCCAGCTGCGCTGGATCTAGTGAGACGAAGGAGCGCAGAGCGGACGTCATGACGGCCACAGAGAAAGATGTGATGGCTCAAGTCTGGGCTTGCATGACTGGCTATATACTTTCGATATGCGTCCGCGGCTTGAGTTAAACACCGAGCAACATGATCGTAGATATTATCATCGGCGTTATTACAGTCGATCCTCTCGGCGCTAATACTGCTATCAACATGTGTCGAGCGGAGAATTGTCTACTGCAGGGCTTGTGTGGTCGGCTGAATGTGCCGGCTTGCTCGTGTGCCGGGGGTCTGACTGGCCAATGCGGATTGCGGTTGGGAGCCATACCCCTGCCCAGGAATTAGCGGGCCTTAGACACTCATTCCCATTGAAACTTAAGGCCAATCACGCAGTCTGCCTGCCGACCTGGTTGGTTGTGCTTGTCAAACAAAGACGGGAAGGTAGGGCTACTGTCTTCTGCCTACTGGCTTCACTATTCCCGAGACGAACCGTCTCGCCATCGCTCTTGACAAAAGATCCATGTGTCTCAACATGCGAAAGCAAGGATATCGATGCTGAGGAGTCAACATGGCATAGGTGAGACTGAGTGTTGATTGTAATGGTGCTCACGGGGGTGAGTTTGTGACCTGCGCGCAGTAAGTTGCACTTGTTGTACAAAATACAAGATATCGAGGACTGTGGCGCACATGCGGTGAGCAGGAAGAACGAAGTTCTTTGTCTAAGCTGTCATATAACCCCAGTCATTAAATGTACGTGACTATTTTAGTCCCCGCGGAGTAAGCACTAAGCCCGGAGCATGCACAGCTCGTAGCTAAACACGCACTAAGCACCAAGGAAGTCATGATAATCCCTGGAGCTATGATTTGAGTCATCAGGGGGGCCCTATAAGTTTTGACTCTTGCGCACCAGAAACGCAGCCGCGCGAAGCGGCGGATCCCTATCTTTTCATTTATCCTTTTCCGGTTTCTTGACATGGCCACGCCACAAGAACGACACCCAGAACTCTTCCGACCCGTGAACAGCGAATCACCGCAGGGGAAGCAGCGGACCGTGCGTCTAGAATGTCTACCTGGGATTCAACCGGACCGGCACTGCATGTAAGTACAAAGATGGTCTCCTAGCCCCACGTCAACATTTGTAAACACTCGCCCTAATCCTAGATCCACCCACGCCAACCAGCCATGTGTAACGCCCTCGAAACCCTCGGACTGACCTGTTGGCACTCTACCCAGTTCATGTCCAGTAAGTTCGGTGACGTCGAAATGTGGCAGGAAGCCGTAAACCGGAAATTCTTCCACGCCCCCGGGCCAAAGTACGGGCGGGCGGAATTCGACCAGCTGCTCCACGATTACGGAGCTGTCTCGTCCGACACCCCGGCTATTGCCTTTGCGGACGACTTGATTCAAGCTTACCCGGACGCAAAGGTGGTTCTTGTTGAGCGAGATATTGACTCGTGGTATCAGAGTTGGATGAACAGCGTGATTAAGAACGCCTACCACCCTTTTGTTACGGTGATCTACACTATCGATCGGTGGTTTACCCACGCGTTGGGTCACGTGCATAGGTCGACCTTTGAGGGCTGGTTGGGGATCAAGAACCCAGAGGATGCCAAGCGCGTGAGTAAGGAGAAATACCGGGAGCATTATGCGCTGGTGCGGCGGTTGACGGCTCCGGATCGCCTGCTGGAGTTTAAGATGAGTGATGGGTGGGAGCCGCTGTGCGAATTTCTGGGGAAGCCAGTGCCAAAAGTGCCATTTCCACACCTGAATGAAAACAAGTGGCTGGATGAGAAGGTGCAGACTGTGTTGCAGCGTGGGATGAAGAGGTTGGCGTGGAAGGTGATGCTGTGGGTTTGGGCGCCGCTAGTAGTAGCGGTGTTGATCTATAAGGCGTTGTAGGGGGTTTAGTAGCCAGCTCTAAACAGGAGTACTTGCCCGAGCAGGCCGCGCATAAATTATTATCCAGATGGATACATGACTTGAAGATATTTTTATAGTGAAGTAGATATTAAATAAGTCTTGGCTATTCACACATGTTTTCACATTTTGGACGCAACCATGACATACTTACATCATCACAAGAGTACACCATGGGATGACGCCTGGTGACAGAAGCTCCTTCTACATCATCACTGACACTTGGTGACGAAAGCTCCTTCTACATCATCACTGACACTTGGTGACAGAAGCTCCTTCTACATCATCACTGACACTCTGGTGACGCATGTAGTTCACAGTAAGAACTTTTTGGGAGCTGAGGTATATTAACCCGACATTGTTTAAAATATTCCTGCTTCGCTCCTCTTCTCTTCCCTTGCGATCAACATCTTAGAAATCCCAGCTCAAGGTTGAGGCCTCTATTTGATATAGTCTTCTACCTTCCTCCAAATTCCGGGTTTCATTCCATTTCTGTACTACCTTTGACTACAGTTGCTGCTTTGAGGCCAGTCCTCTTGTGCTTCCCCGGACCTTTACTCTGCAGACATATTCATTACCCTTTTGCGTCCCTTATCGGTGGTCTTCCGCTACTGCGTTGGGCTAAGGTATTCTTTCCCGCGTTTGTTGGAGGGTTTCCCCGTGGTAATATTCCTTGCTTGGATCAGTTTGATGACCTCCGTCCTACAGCGCGCTAGGACCCAATTCGAAATTTCCCTGCCTTCCCTTACCTGTCTCTGATCAGTGCAGAGCCCGTCCACGAGAGCGGAATTACCAGTCATGTCTCGTGTCTCATCCAGGGGCTCTGACTTGGAGATGTCTTACGGAGGGACAATGACAATTACTCTCACGGGACATGAGCAGCGTAAACGCCGGAGTAACGGTTCTAGCTCCGATGAAGGGAATTTGACCTCCGATGGCTACGTTAGTGAGGACTTGCGTGTGGGAGACATGGATATCTGTGCACTTCCGGTCCAAAGCATCAGAATCCCAAGAGTCAATCATCCGCATTCACGTCTTTCTACCCCTGGGAACCCCGTACAAAGGTCTACTCCGTTCCATTCCGATATGTCTTTGATAGTGCTAATACCTGTCCCATAGGGCAATTCAAGGAATCCTCGCATCTCACAACATCGCGTACAGGTCGATCGAGTTTGTTGGCCGCCGATCCAAGTGGGATCCCCATTCCCAACCGAAGACAACCGCCCTTGTCTTTGCGCGAAGAAATAACATCGACAATACTTGGTTACAGGCCTGTAGGCAGATTCGTACCTACCTCATTCAACAAGGATTGCCGGAAGTATCGATCGAAATTGCAGACCCGAGGGCCTTCACCCCCGCCAACATGAGCCCCATATTAAATACAGACGCAATCCACGGGAAATGGCCATCCGTCCGAGAGGCGATAATGAAAAACATCAATCTCCGAGACGTTCTCGTTGTCGGTTGTTATCGGCAACTCGAAGATGACACGAGCACTCCGACCGTCGTCATTCTGGTAAAAAATACCAGCACCAGAATATGGAAGCATACCCGGGAGGTGGTGATCGGGATACTGACCGATTTCAACCTACCAGGTGTCGCGGTTGACATTTCCAAAGACGTCATTCGTCGGGCTGGTCATTGGGAGGGAGACTTTGATGAAAGGTCAATCCAGGAGCCCGTGCGTCCCGGAGAGAGTTTGGGGATGAATTCGGACCATCGTCTCGCAGGCACCTTCGGGGGATATGTAGAGGTTAAATCCCCTACCAGTGGGAAATGGCGGACATTTGGCCTCACCTGCTTCCACTGCGTCATACCAACGAGGGATAAGACCCCCCAAGAGATTAAGACGGGTGAGCTGACCATTACCGCTCTATTCAGCCTTAGACTTGCTAATGGAGCTATGATAGTGTGCGAATATTGGAGGCAGAATGGCATCCCAGTTTTTGATAAACAAGCAGAAAAGGAACTACGCCTTCATTCGCCGAGCCTGACAGATCTGGACGCCAAGGTGCGGCGTCTGGAGAAGAATATCGGCGAGCTCTTGGATTGCAACGCATATATGTCCGGCACGGAGATGGAAGCCGGAGGCTTGCTGGAAATGCCGAGGAGCCAGCGGCATGCCTTCTTGGCGACTAAGAAGCAAATTTCCGATGCCAGTGACCTTTATAGGAAGATAGGAGAATTCCGGGACAAGGCGCAGTACCAGTTTGGCTTCGTTGCCGCCGGTTCGGGGCTCCGGGAGAAAAGGGTAAAGTCCATCCCTAACAACAATCTGCTTACAAATGCAGACTGGGCCCTTATAGAGGTGCCCCAGCACAGACTGGGATCAAACAAGGTGAGCAATTTGCCAAGCACCGTCTTAAGCCGCATTGTTTGACGGCGTCTCGTTATAGATCGACCACCAGTGCGCATTGTGGAGCTCCACCATCCACAGGCCGGTGACCGAGCAAACCACCCTCCACATTCACGGGAGTTCGGGCCATTCGACGGGACGGTACAACGACCTTGCGCCGGCGTTCGTCACCGAAAAGGTGGTGAACGGAGAGATAGTCACGGTCGAAACGGTGGAACATTCTGCCCTTGGGGTGGGCGATCAGCGTTTCTCCCGAGAGGGAGATTCGGGTGCCCTCGTCCACCTGGTTGGGGGATTGGTCATCGGAATGGTGTTTGCCGGATCTGACACACGGAATCTCATTTTCTTTACAGATATCAGAGATGTTTTCGACGATATCAAGGCCAGAGTGGGGGCCACCGATATCCGGCTGAGTTAGTGACTCTCGGACGTAAGCACACGCCTATCACTCACTTCCAAGTCTCTAACTGGGACAAACAGGGTGAGCATCCGGAATTACCACTGCGTGTACCGGAGGGGAGAAATTGTTATCGAAATAAGAACGGCCGGGCTGGGGCAACCCGGAGCTCACTGGATTTTGCCATTGCACGTCAGGGGTAAACCTACCTGATTAAGCAAGGCATGGTCATTGGAAAGACTCTGATCCATGTATAACCCCTTCGACCTTACTATTGGTTATTCTCTTACGCAATCAGACTTTAGGCTTGTTAATGAATTTTGATATTTTGCCTCCTTCACGTCATGTTAAGGTTCCTCTATTCAGTCGGCATGTCCTGTAGAGATCCCCCAACCACCAAAGCCGATATTGCATTTTATGTCACGCAATTCGCAGGACTAAGCAAATTGCTATCCAGCTATAGTCCCATCCGGCACACTGGCAAAGAGTAAAGGCGGGATTTACGGCTGAAAAATGCCTGGATGCATAAATTGCATCTGTCACATACCCCATGATCACTGTAGTGACTCTATATTCCTTTCTTATGTACTTCCCAGTACATACGACCATAGGGTGTGGAAAACAGGGCTTCCCGTCCGCTCAGCCGTACTTAAGCCACACGCCGGGAGGTTAGTAGTTGGGTGGGTGACCACCAGCGAATCCCTTCTGTTGTATGTATCCCTTTTTCATTTTTTTTATTCCGTATGTGAGTAATAGGCTAAATAGATTGGAAATAGAAGGATAACACGCTGTTTTAATACGGTGTAACAATTCCACGTTATGGATAGTGATAATTATGGGACAAAATAATTGAGAATTTGTGCCAACGAATACGCTACCCGCCTTACCGAGTCGTTGGCAGCAGAAACATATTATGATAATTGCGACCATCTTTGGACTGTCCCTAAACCGTACAGGGATATCATTCTAGTCCGGGATCAAGGTCAGAATTGATTAGGTTAAATCTTGATAAGTGCACTATTTTAAGAAAGCATCGCCCTATACATAGGATTACTGTTACTGTACAACAAAAGGGATGCTTATGAGTGAAAGAATAGATCGATTATGGCAGAGGATGGAACCTCGCATCCCAACCACAGCATCAACAGCCTCCGTCCAGCCGTTTGCAAATATGGGCATACCCACAGGTGCAGTAATCTTGGTCAAAGATCTCGTAGAGGTTGGGCGGCACGTAGGATATACCGACAGTGACATCCGTAACACTGGCGTTGACTGTATTGATCCAACAGGGACTATCATAGAAAGGATCTTCCCCATCCACGGGAACGAGCTGCAATACCGGCAGGTTGAAGAAGCAGGTGGGAAGGACTCCAGTGCTAGCCACCTCGGTGATGTCGACGGACTGAGACCCGTAGTACACTCCCGTTGCATTCTGACAGGCCTCGGAGTTGACTATCATTTCCGTGATATTGATCCCGTAGCTGGTGATGCTCTCGATGATAGTCTCCGTGGCATGGGTGTTGTGCGCCTGTCCCTGCTGGCAGTTGGCAGCCCCGGGCCAAGCCAAGGTATAACAGATGTCATCGATGAGGTAGTCGCCCACGCTGGTACATTTCTTGGGCTTGACGGAGGCGTCCTTCAATACGTAATAGTCCGCAGCGGCGAGGGCTGCACCGACAAGGTTCATCTTCAGCGTGGCGTTGATACTTTTCTGCATTTCCAGCCAGGTAGTACCGTCATAGGTAAACAATGGCTTTACATTGTAGAAGTAGTTGGCGACGTCGTGGGTGAAGGGCCCCTCGATAAGGCTGCTGGGAAGATTGCTGGCCTCGTTGGGGTATTCGAAAACCCAGGCACTTATGTCGACAATGCTCTTAGTAGTCGAATTGTACAACTCGCTCATGATATTAATGAGCTCTGTCTCGATGTCGGTACTGTCTGGCAGTGTGTACAAGCTGGAAGCGAGCAGGCTGATGAAGGTGTTAGCCGTGCTAAATCCAGTGTCAAGAGGGTCGGTCAGCTCGCCCGATCCGGGTAAGAAAGTAGAGGAAAGGCCAAGGGCGGTAGAGAGGGCTGATTGAAAACTGGAGAAGCTCAGCACACCACTCTCCACGGTGGGTGAGAACGTGTCCACGATGACAGGGATGTCCAAGGCTGCGACGCTAGCACTGCCGTAGAAAGCCGAATACCACTGAACCAGGTTGGCAAAGAGTGTTCCCACCATGTACTGGGCCCAGTATAACCCACTCTCAATCTCCCCCTCAGTGCAAAGATCACCTAGAGCCTCCTGGCATGGCCCAGTCGGAAAGTCCTGGCAAAAAGCGTAGGCAAAGGTGCCGGCCATATCTTCGTCCCAGTCCTTGGGGTTACCCGCGTATTCAGTAAGGACTTCGTCGATATAGGCAGCTCCCAGCATGACATACTCATCCAGCTCCGCTGTAGTATTGTCACCCGCAATCAAATCTATGCATGTAAGATTCTGATCCACGTCCAGACCTAATTCGTCGATCTCGACCTCTAGATCCAGCAACCCCGGAGTGCTGGGGTTGACATAGACCTCAAACTCTTCCAAATCAATTGCCCATTCGCTCGTGCCCGCAAAGTTGAAGGTTTCATAATAAGCTGTCCGAGTGCTCTTGGTTGTGTTGGTCATGTATCCCACCCATTGAGTTTCGTTATACACCAAGATATCAGAATCACTGTCAGCATCAAAGATCCACTCTGCATCGGAATTGTCTGCCAGAATTTGATTGATCCCCGCATTGGAGATATAACCTGTGGTCTGGGTGCATGGCCCGGCCGCTCCTCCGGCGGTCCATGTGCAGGATGAGGAGTAGCAGCCAGCAGTGGTCATTTCGAATGAGCGCCCGTAGCTGGCCACGCCCACCATGATGGAACTGGTGGCTGCCGGGGCTTTGGAGATCATTGATAGTGCCCACATAGTCTCCGTGAGGTTTACATGATTGAACAAACAATCACCTGCTGTACAGCCAGACTGGGAGTATGCGTCTCCGAGATCCCATGTTCCGTGCAGATCGTATGTCATGAAGACAATGTAATCCACGACCTCGACCATCTCGGCAATAGGAAAGGCCTTTAAATATCAATAAGACGCAGGCGCAGATATGGAGATTGACTTGGACGGCAAGGCCTCGCGTAATGCCGTGAGAAATTCGAGATAATTTGAACCATCCTCGTCGCTTCTAGCAGGGATCCCCTCGATATCAGGCTCACCGGGGTATTCCCAGTCAAAATCAACACCGTCCAGGTCGTACTCATCCAAAAAGTCTACGACATTCTGGACCAGCGTATCACGGTTGGCGGCTGCGACACCTTCACGGAAAATCATATAAGTGTCCGGGCTGGTGGAAAAGTCCCAACCCCCAAAACTGACGATGCGCTTTATGTTTTCCAATTCCCGGAAGTAGGTGAATTGTTGTTCGGCACCGGCAATGCTGATTGAAAAATTGGAAGTAATATTCCCGAAGGCGAAATGAACGTGGGTGAACTTTTCGGGACTGATAGTGAAGGCGTTCATCTGGAGGCAAGGTCGTTCCACATTAGAGGCTTCAAAATATCCCACTGCAGAGAAAGACGACGGAGCGGTTGCGGTATTCACAATAGTTGTACCGCAGTTCGAGATACATCCATTGGAACCCGGAGGGGCAGTGCCTGGGGCGTCACTAGCAGCTAGGGTATCATTACAATAATCTGGGGTAGCACCACACTGACCCCAAATATCACAGCAGGCGTTGAGCGGACATGGGTTTAAAGTCGCCCAGTCCCCCACGGTAGTGTCTGTGAAATTAGTACCTGGCACCTGAGGACCGCAAACAGCGTTAGCCAGAGCGACCGGATAAGGGGCGGTGCCATTGGAAAGACAGATGGATTGACCGGCTTGTAAGTCATCACAGCCATACCACCCCCAGGTATCTGAGTTGAAGCTATCAATCTCATCCTCGGTGAGACTGTACGTAGCTGCGAGTGCCGAACATGAGTCTCCAGAGACAACATCGTAGGTGCAACAAGTTCCATTGGCGTAGGCAGATGGGGCAAAGTCAGGGAGGTCGCCTGACGAGCAACAAACATATTGCCCCACGGTAAGGGTCGAGCAGAGATCGCTGGATGGATTGTAGTCGTAGAAGTCATCGGCTGAGATCCCACACTCCTCGACTAGAGAAGCGCAAGAGTCCCCCGAGATGACCTGTACGTAGGAGCAGGTCGAACGGCGGTGCAGGGAGTGTCGGGCATGTCCATGGGACAAGGAATGACCATGTGCACTGGGAGATCTGGAGTGCACGACGCTGGTGGTGTTGCCTGTAACTGGCGACGAAGCATTGGCGGTTGACACATTAGTTGGATCTATGGAGAGCAGCCTAATACTGCCAGTATCGCTCGCGGTAAACCCAGAGACGCACGCGCCGTCACTCCAGGTGCGAACATGTTGCTGAACCCCTGCTAGGTCTCCGTGTAGGTCGACAGCAATTCCCAGAGTATAATTAGCATTTCTGCCACATGATTGCCACACCCATCTATCGCTGGACTGGACGTTGTCAAATAAATCGGCAACGCCATCCAGCAAGGCATGAATGTTTTGAGCGCGTTCAAGACTGCCTCCAACATAAATAGCCGCCGCCACGTTCTCAACTTCCGAGTAGGCAAAGATGGTCGACTTCTGACAGTTGCCCAGGAGATAGGTCTGCATTTCCTGCAAGGCCATCAGAGTCTGATTACCCTTGATACCGGGGGAACTCTTGGTAGTAGCCTCGGCATCCCAGCGGCCAACCTCGTAGTTAGCATCGAGGGTTGAGATTGCGCTGGCACATGAGGTGCCACCACTAGCGCTCTCCAGACCATCTGAACCAGTTGTGGTGCAGCTGTAGATGGTGTGATGGGTGGCGCTATCATTCAATGGGTTCTGGACCATGAAGTCTAAAAGCATTGTCTGGTTGCATTTTGAAACCCTGGTTGTACTTGGGTACACAAACCACTGGGTGGCGTCATAGCTGTCACATTTGGCCGGACAGCGAGGAGGTTTCTGGACTCGTGCACGAGCAGAGACGTTTGCAGGGGAGTTAAACCCAGATTCCAGAACAGAACTGCTGAGGGCACTTCCTTGCCCAGCCAGCCACAACACTAGGAGCTGGGCAATTGGCAAAGTCCCCCACATGGCCTCTGGAATTCACGACACCAGAATGATAAAGGAACTATTCACTAAGAGGCTATCGAAAAGTGAAATGGAAAACAAGAATAGAAAGGAAAGATCAAAGAAAGTGATGGAATGAGTGAACTAAAGGAATGTCGCACATCTGCCTGGAATTGAAACTGTGATGGAAAGAGAATGATCTGCCCACCATCGCGAGAGGGGCTCTTTTATACCCAAGGAGACGAGTGAAAGCACTAATATGTCGGAAATGAGGTTTGGCTAACGACGATTTTTCCTGTGATAATTCGGCTAGTGCTGCCACAGCGCCGCGGTTCCAGCATAGTTCGGCCAAGTCAAATGTATACTAGATGAGACCGGTGCTGTTCTATACAGACTAGGTGATGCTCAATTGTGGTCATTGCTGCCGACATCCCGGCCCGAAAATCGTATCATCAAAGGAAGCCCAATTCCTACCATACCCTAACTCGTACCTCTCATCAGGTCATTGTGGCATATGCTTTTCATCTACATGATGTTCCTCAGCGAGAATCATCATACGTAAAATCTCAATCCAGAGGGTAGAAAAATATGCAAGCGAGTCGCCAGGTAAGTTCCCCGACCTCGGAGAAATGTAAGGCACTAGTCTGATGCTACATGCTTCCGGAAGATAGGTGCGGATATTACGGCTGAGAAGTGCCTGGCTAATGGCTCCGCCAGAGGGGATGTAGATGGGTCCAGGCGACATTACCTCTGGCCCAGAAGCGAATTGCAAGTGGCCATGTGCTAGTGCTAGTGGTGATACAAAGCGCCCACCTGGGTTCGTACCTTGTCCCCTTTCCCCCAACCCCCGGATAGCTTGGGTTCATTACGCGCTGTTTCCTGCTAAGCCTTTGGCCGCCACTTCCACAGCGTCCTTCACCGTTGTACCCTCACTACGAATGAGGCCACCCGTTCAAAAATGGACACTGCACAGCACCTCGACTCATGATGCATGATCTAGCAATTAATGGTTAATACCGAGTCGGTAATAATTACCTGGGTCAGGCATCAGGTGCGGCAAGACTTGCCCAAACACCAGTCTCTGCCACGGATCCTTCCGCTTTCTTCTGCAGTGAGTAAAGGCGAGTCGGGGTTTTCACCGATGTGAGTGGACGCCGGAAGTCCAAGGGAAGTCAGAAGGGCTACATCGGAGATAAGGGACGAGCCAAAGATGCACCGGCACTCTAGTCCCATGGTCCGGCTACGACCGGCCCTAAGGGCCTACTGCCTAGCCCGCGCCACAGCCCCTATCGACCTCCCCCGGAAGCGTTCCGAGTGAGAGTAGTTCGTTCCAGTTCGGATTCAACAGGGCATCTTCTCATGAGGGGAGCTTGAAATTTGTCTTTTGCCAAACAGGTAGTTCTGACGCCCATTGCTAGCCAAGCCCATCCGGATGTTATCTATTTCTCTACTGCCCGCCAGGGACCAGCTGAAGCTTAATTGGGGCTAAGCTTTGAATAGGAAAGGCTTGGTCGGCAAACTGCCCCGGACACTAAACTGCAAAGGGGGATGGCTTCGTGCGCCACCAAATTAACCGGACCATATCCTAAGCCACTATAGGTACTTTGGTCCGTTCCTGGTAGGTGGGTTGCCACTCGGCGGTCCGACGGCCGTTCATCGGGCGAACAGGACACCCCCCCCTCAATCATCTCCAGGGGCCGATATAATGACTACACGGAATCCCGGCCCCAGAGAAATCCAGTTTGCAGCCAACCTCCTAGAACCCAAATGCGTGGTCCGGTAAGCACCCAGGCTGTCCTGTTCAGCCTGGCCTTTGCGGTCACAATTGCGGCCAAGGACGACCCGGACTATAATCCGGCTCTCAATTTTCGCCCTGACAATGTCACCCTGAGCAACCTGTACTACTGGGTCGGATCGTATGTCAGAGGTCTACCCTGTTGAATTAATGCTGATGGAGCAGGTACTACAATGGCACAACAGACGTGGAATTGTTGCCCTACGCCGGGCTGGCCTCCACGTACAGGTCCCTGTGCCCCAATCTCGCCAACACGACGATTACCAAACAATATGAGACCGTGCTAGCCCTCACTGAGCCCAGTACATATAACACTGGCTACGACCCCGTCAATGCCTTTCTCACGTTGTGGCCTCCCGGCTTCAATTTCTCCTCATTGCCTTATCCAACCTCCTCAGACGAGACGCTCGAGCTTGACTCATCATTAGAATTCGCCTTATTTTCCTCCGAGTGAGTGGTGCAATCCGAGAATCTTATAGTGGTCTCGACTGACATGTTACAGTCCTACCTACTGGGTAGAAGGCAGTGTAGAAAACAACTTCAATTGGACGCTGAACGCCACCCAGAGCCCACCGTATAGTCTCTCCAGTACCCTCACCGAGTACGACGGGCAGGGGGGCTTTTCTTCCAATGTGACCAGCTGCAACGGAACGGACACCGTGGAATGGACCTTTTACCCTCTTCCCTGGAACCTGAATGGAACTGGGTATAACCTGCCTGATCCAGTTATTGATCTCGAATTCGATGTGAAAACTGCCAATCTCTCTTTAGAGGGCTATTTCATCGGCTACGAGGTAGTCAAGGAAGGCTCCAAAACTGGCAGCAGTATGGTTCTCGCCGTAGGCAAGCTGAAACTTACCTTCTTGGGCGTGTTGGATGCATACCACTCGGATGTTCTGGTCAATACGACCGATACCCCGACTTGGCTGCGCACGGTGGGATTTCAGAATAACTCCCTGAACGTCGGGTATACCAGCGTGGCAAGTGGTTCATCGGTGCTGGGAGCTCTGGCAATTGGCGCTTGGATATTCCTGATGTCTGCAGCGTTTTCATTTTGCGCTTGAACATGCCCGTTCTCAATCCTCTACGCAAGGCACCTTGGCTGGGATACATGTCGACTGACGATGGCTGTATACTTTCTTTTCTGTAGGCACCTTCACACTCTGCCCGTGGTTGGTTTGTGACGGCGGGTGAGCACAAAAGGTAGCCATTGCATGAATTGCATCTGTCACATGCCCAATGATCACTGTAGTGGCTCTATCAGTCAGCTGTATATGCTGTACGGAAATGGGCAGACATGTTGATTTACGGACCCCAAATCGACTGTCAATTATTATTTTCCACCCTCTGCAGGTTCTTCATTTTAGTTGGTCTAACGCCCGTGAGAGTGGATGTAGATTCAAGCCCCGAATATGGAGTGGCCGTCGGACCGATATCGGGGTGACTTAAGCCAGGACTGCAAGCCTACAACTGTGGGAAGTGGGACCATCACCAAGACGGGTAGCGAGCCGAAACTACCGAAGTTACCCTGTCCCCTCGGTCAAACCCTTAAATGCGGGAAGTACGAAGTCTATACAGGACATTCCGAATCAAATATTAGGTGTAGCTGCATTCGATCTTCGTCACCCATTTGATGCCTTAGAAGAGCAGGAACGATATGCCTGAATGAGAAAATTCTTGACTTGGAGGTGGTGGTATCTGAGGTGATGGAACCTGTGATGAAGCGCTGCATGGGGGATACTCTCCAAGATTTGAAACTGCCGGTGGATGACCCAGCGATCCAATCTTTGGTTATTGACGAAAACAACATCTATATTCCTTGCTTAAGTACGGCACAGTACATACGACCATAGGGTGTGGAGAACAGGGCTTCCCGTCCGCTCAGCCGTACTTAAGCCACACGCCGGGAGGTTAGTAGTTGGGTGGGTGACCACCAGCGAATCCCCTCTGTTGTATGTTTTTGGTTTTTGTAATTTTTTTTCCATTTGTTTTTATTCAATTTTAAACAAAGCTTGTCAATATCATTTACCCTCAACCCAAATCCCAGTTTCCTCTGACCCCTCATCTATCCTGCATCTACTACCCTGCCCGAGGCTGGAGACCGGACGCGTCCAGCCAAGGAGGTCTAGAGAAAGTGATGCTGATTGATGATGGTTGAATCATTCAATACACTAATTTTTGTCCGCTATGATACCTATTCATCAATGAAACCTCCTCTTCCTCGGCTATATTATCGCAAATCTATACATGAACTTCGTGGACAAGGGCCCTACGTCGAGACGATGTACATCATGGAAGAAAGAATAGACATTCAAATCCAGACTAACATCTCCGGATACGCCTTGCATATACCTGTCTCGGATGTCCTGCACATATACACATCATCAAAACGGGGAGGCATCTATGAAAGGAATGTACTGTCGCGGGCATGTAGTGTTGGACGCTGGAACAGTGCCCTGGAGGTATGCCTGGATATGTTCAAAGTAACAGTCTGAGCCCCCCTGGTCGATGACCGTATGCTGAATAAAACGTCCCGCGAGTAAGCCTAGACTCTTGGTCCAGATTGAGAAAGGAGAATAACTTACACCAACGGCTTCTTGCATTAACAGAACCGATCCGGCAAACCGAGAGGAAATCTTCCGCGCCCTGGAACGAGATAATGTTAGCTAGTAGCATAACCAATGGCGATGCGATTTGGCCAAAACGTACGATTGCAACGGTGTAATAGGGTCGATGGTATTACTCGTAAAGACGATCGGGAAGGACGTAGGCCGTTTTAGTGCGCTTATTTCGCCTGCATCAACCCTGGTTAGACTTGATTTTGGAAAATGTGGTCGCCCATTTGGCCGAAGACGATGTAAATAGAATGCAAGAAAAGAGAGATAGAGAGAGAGCGAGAAGGACTGTTGCCTACCGTGAACCACCATGCTATCAGGCAAGTGCGGCCGGAATGATCGGCATAAGATACCTTCCAGATAGGTGGGGTAGATATCACCGATGTACTTGCTCTTGGAAGTCATGTACTCCGCCCACATCTTGAACTCTTCAATGGTAGTAAGCCTGTTTCTGCGATACGAATCGGTGCATGTAATGGCAAGACGGGCATCGGTTATAGCGTTTGACTCATCATACACACCCGCGAGAGCAGAGAAATTCCCACGCTCGGCCTGGTGTAGGATGTCAGCCATGCCGGGAAAGCTTGACAATGGGGTGTAGATTGTGTTGAGAAAAAGAGACTTTAGGTCTGAATAAGTGACCATTGTCGGCAGGTCTGGATCGCTGATGCCGCTTAGCGGGACTGGATGGTTCTGAAGCTGACGGATGATGCTGTTCATTCTTGCCGTGATGTTAGCTGGGGTGGGTCCCCAGAAGGAGCACTTTGCAGCGCCTGCGGAATGACAGAAGGTCGAGAAGGTTTCCATGGCCTCGTCCATTTGATCCGCATTGTCCGTCCAATAGTTGTTATAGTATTGCTCGGCGTTCAGAACACCATCGAGGATCATTCTCCCCACGCGGTCAGGAAACATAGAAGCGAAAGTGCTTCCAATGACAGTGCCATAACTGATGCTATAGCTCCATAGCTTGGCGTTAGATGGTGACTGGCCGTTCATCTCGGCCTCGGCTTCGATAAATGTGAGCAAATCATGTGCAACGGCTGGCGTCGTCACATAATATGAATGGGGTGAATTGTTCTCCACCGCATTGTTACACCACTCGCCGTAGATAGAGCTGGAATAGTACTGCTCCTCAAGCGATGTTGATGAGATATTGGTGGCGCCGGTCCTATGCAGTCGATAGAAAGCTGATCTTGCTGTTGCGTCCTTTGAGAAGCAGTCGAGATGCAAGCCACTGTTGTTCACACCGCGAGGGTCAAAGGAGACGAAGTTGTACTGCTCTCCAAATACCTGCCCGAGAAGATTCTGATATGTGAGGACTAGGTCGACACCAGAACCACCCGGACCGCCTAACGAAGTGTCAGTCCAATCAAATGAAGTTCAGACACATTGCATGACAGATACAATCAGATCATACCAGGGTTGATCACAATGGTTGGAGACTCAGCGGTGGCAGTTTTGCCAGCCACCTTGATGAGGGCAATCGACGTTGTGCCAAGACTCCTGTTTGAATAGTCCAAAGGAACTTCCAGTCTAGAGCAGCCAAAGGCATCGAAACACGGTGTCCATGTGAGGTTGGCCGATGGTTCGATCTAGACGGCTCGTCAGAAGCTTGAATACCTCGAGCAATGTGGTACGGTAAGCTCCCGGACTCACATTGTCAAATGAATAGACCATGCACCGATCGTGCAAACTGTGGGCTATCCATCCCGAGCTCATGATAAGGATGAGCGCATTCACAAGTCGGTTCATTGTAATCCCTGGGGCTTCTCATTGATTTGTTTGTTCAGTTGCTTGCAATAGCAGAAACGGTTTCGATCCTAGGAACTCCATTTATACCAATTGAATTTCCTTCGACAGGAGTATCAAGTCCGACGGTTTCAATAGGCAGCGGCATTCTTCCCATCAACTCAAGATACCTCCTGCGCATGATTGGTTTTTGTTCCGCTTGTACGAGCCAGCCAACGAATATTTTTTGATCACCACCAAGTATAACCAAGTACGGTGGGTGCGGGGACCGATCTCGTCCTTGTAAATGTAGAGCCGACCCACAAAGTTGACTGCTTATATAGTTCCCGCCTTGTGATGAATATTGAATAGGAGAAGGCTCGGCTTCCTTGGCACCCGGCTGAACCGAGATAACCAATCAGGACTTATCACAATGTGAACTAGTTTATAAGAAGCAAGATTTATGTCAGATTCCAAAGTATCCAGCAGTCCCACCTGTACGAACTAGCCAATCAAGACGTATCATGCAGCCCACTAGATTCCTATTAATAAGCTTAATGCCAACTTGAACTGGTCTACGGAGTAGCTTGAGGCAACCTATCCCATCCTTCCCCATCACTGACAACTCCCCTTTAAATGCCCCGCTTGTACGAACCAGCCCATCAAGTTTCCGCAACCTCCGATTCTTGTACTCCGTACCGTCCGCCTTTTCTCACTTCGCTTTTCACCACAAATGATACGGCGATAACTTCCTCATTGACGTGCGAACCTACGGTTAGCTCATCATCTTGGACTCTCATCGGCATCCCATAAGCTCCCTTCGAAGCCAATACATGTAGGTGGTGGCTTACGGGTCGTGGTGGAATTGACCTCTACCTGAAACAGTGCGCATTGCAATCTTGTCCGGATCACATCACCAAGATGGACGAGATGAAGAGCAAGAACTATGCCTGGAGAAAAAAGCCTCGCAAGTTCGCTCCTAAGTCACGACTAGGCTGTAAGACTTGCAAGTAGGTCTTGACCAAATGTATTGCTCTAGAGTGATAGATTGTGTTCAAAGGCCTTTGAACTGACATCCGCCAGGATAAGACGAATTAAATGCGATCTATCTCGGCCTTCATGCTTGAAATGCCGTTCTACCGGTCGCACCTGCGACGGCTATAATGAAATGCCCCTCGCATGCAAGGCCGAGAGGATTCAACCGACTCAATATGCCAGGGAGATTGTCGACAGAGTCGACAGCTGCGACAGTGACCACCCCTGTACCACGGCCAGTGCGTATGAGCCAACACGATGGCATTCGAAATACCATGATCTCAATCTGCAGAATCTCGGATCCCTTATGGTCTTACCCGTGACTGGGTCAACTCAGGCGGAAGCAATGTACTTTTTCCAGGATATCTCAATCAAGGATCTGAATGAATACCGCCCTTGCGAACCTTGGCGGAAGATTCTGATGTTTTTCTCCCAAACCGTGCCAGCAGTGCGGCATGCGGCCATGGCTCTGGCCTTGATCCACCGAAACTACCTGGATCGAGATTCTCACGAGCGGGGATATCAATCGCCTTCCTGGAAAGATCGGCTACAGGATAAGGCTCCTTTGATTCACTATAACCGCGCCATTGAACTTCTACTGAACCTGGAAAGTGGTGACAGCGCCGAAACAACCGCTGTCACGCTTTTGGTCTGTTATCTCTTTACCTGCTTTGATCATCTGGCGGGCGACGACGTACAAGCAGTGAAGCACCTGCGCGGAGGTGTGGCGCTCTTACGCAGCATTGAAACCGCTTCATTCAGCCACTGTACCTCTGACAATGCTCAATCCTCGGGGGTACACGCAATTCTCTGCCAAGTCGCCAAACAGATCCACCATCTGGACATGCAGGCCGTCATGTTTCTGGTCGACTGGACTCCAGCCAACATTCAAGAGACATTCATGTCCCATCTTGCACTCGACGACAGTCCCTTTCGGTCACTCGACCAAGCTGCCGACCACCTCCAGAATCTCCTCACTCAGGTAATGAGGCTGCGCAACACGAATTATCAAATATCCCCGACGGATACGATGTCACCGTTACCTTCTTCGCTCAAGGACATTGTCCTAGGGCAATTGGAAACGTGGTCAAATCTGTTTGAAAACCTCCTGCAACAAGACGGCCCCTCTGGGTCAGACTTTGGAACGGGCCCTCTCGTGTCACTCCTACGCTTACAACATACTATCGCCTGGATTCTCCTCAACGGGTACGGACCTGGCCGAGAGATGGACTATGACAAATTCCTGCCCCAGTTCCAGCAATGCGTCGCCTTGGCGGGCGAGGTAGCGGCAGCGCATCAGCGGTATTCGGGGTCATCCAGGTCGACCTTTACGCCAGAAATTGGATTTCTCCCCGTCCTGTACATCATCGGGGTGAAGTGTCGGCATCCGATTGTCCGTCGTCAGGTCTTGAGTATTCTGCGGCGGCAACTAATACGGGAGGCGGCTTGGGATAGCATCTCTACTGCCCGGGTGGTGGAGCGGGTAATTGAAATTGAAGAAGGTGCGGGGGGAGAGCAAATGGTCCACTGCATGGAACAAATCCCCGTATGGCAGAGGATCGAGGCATTGTCTTATACATATGTCCGAAGGGGACCGCCTGCGGCCAGGTTGGAGATTACATATACATTCTGCGCCAGGGAGGGTGTCCACATTGAATCACTCATGATTTAACGATACTCGATCACAAACAGCAAGCTGTGATAAGGAATCAAAGAGTAACATCTCCTCTGGCTCTTCAATTCAGACCCATAGACCGCGTATGAGCCATTCTTGATCATCGCTCAAGGTCGAACGGAAACTGTTGCGCGGAATCGACAACAGCCGGCTGAAATTGTGTATATCGGAAAACGCACGCAGTTTAAGCCCCGCTCCTCTACCATTTGGCTACTCCATAATGTGTGCCAGTCCAGCGTTCAGGAACTTCCGGCATACTACCATCATGAGGAGCGCTTGTTTCTGGTCTGGGAGCCGGTAGCTCTTTCAGTCACTCAGACCCTGGCATCCGAGTGTATAACCACGGAAGGATTTCGGGGAAGAGGTTGTAGGCTGGAGGTGGTCAGAGCATATACGTATTTGCAACCGCATCACCGCACTGATAAATCATTGACCAAAAATACGTATCGCTGTATATAGTCGCAATAGCAAGTTAGTACTGGACTTACCGGTGTAAAGCCTGTTCGTATGATCAAATCTAAGCAAGTTCTGGGGAGTGCCGCTGGCTCTTCATGCACCTTACTTAGGGTTACGGATGAGTGCCCGCCAAACATCTATCACTAAAACCAGTCCAAACTTGTAAGCCGAGCAATCCCTCATATCCATATGACATCTGTCTGATTTGCCAATTTCACAACTTAGTAATATACAAGGAACCATTCCTCATTCTAGCATGGCGCATAAAATCATAGAGTCTAGTGAACAGGGCTCCACCCGTCCACTTAAGCCATTGCCCGTAGCCAATCCTTCGCACTTCCCACGAAGTAAGCAAACTGCCCCCGCCTAAACATACTCCTCCTTGTCGTAGCACTTCTTCAATCCCCCATCGCACTTCTCACCCCCATCCCAAACCGTACTCGCTAGTGACAATCTCTTAGCACCTTCCATCTCACCTTTCTTCTCACTGCCAACACACCCCTCCTCATCGCCCTCCACACACCTTTCCCTCTTTCTCCTCCCACCCCCCACACCCCGCACAACCCCCCACCCCGTCGTGCCCAACCACAACCCCAAACAAACCATATCCAACCAAACAGCCGCCTGCATTCGCCTGACCGATGACGTGAACCGCACGTCCTCCACTGCCGCACGCACAGGAAGGTATAACGTTCCGAACACGCCCACCTGGGCGAGCCAAAGTACCATGATGATGCCGTCTATCGTTGACCATGACGCGTGGATGGCTGGGAGAAGGAGGTTTAGGGTAGAGATGAGGATAGAAACTGTGGCGACGAATTCGGCGTAGATCCAGCTCGCTTGCGCGTGGGTGTTAGTGTGAGTTGCGTGGGCGAGATCAATGCCGTAGAGGGCGGCGATGATGATGGCGAGGAGGAGTTGGGAGGTGCGGAGGGTGGTTTGTAGAACTGATCTGGGATGCATGGGTTTGGGGTTGGGTCGGTGTGGTTGTGGGGGCGTTGGGATGTGTTTGGTCATGGTGTTCGATTTGAAGGATTGTCTGATAAAGAGATGAGAAAAGTTGATGCAGAGGTGGGACGATGGAATATAAAGACTGCAATATATCGAAGACTTGGGTTCTAACCAGAGCAATAAGGCATCCAGAGTGATATATTTAGGACACTGATAATGTGGGTTCCCGTGAACTTGTCCCAATATAGTAATTTTCGAGTATTCGTATTTTGCATTCCAGGTCCTGATCTGTCGGTGCTTTCTATTGGTCGGACCCTGCCGATCATCCCTGGAACGGACCCACTGCTGCATGGCCGTTTCCTTCATTTCCTTGACTTTTTCTTGTCGTGCTACAGATTTTTTTAGTCCACTCCACCTGAGTTTATGTCATGCATTCAACCCATCATTATGGTAGTAAGCAGCCCACATTGTCCCATGCTATGTGTTCATTGTGCTATGGTTAAAACCATATTCATTAGAGGCCCGCTCACCCATTACAACCCCGGTCCTTCTTCGCGACATTGACCGATAATCTGAACCAGGGTGGAAGACTCAGCCTATCAAGTCTGTAGCGGAGGGGGGGACTGCATACCAGGCATCTACAATTGCTATAGCTTGGATACCATGGTATTTACTCAATAGCCCAAAGATACTATTTTGGGATTGTCCACAAAAACGTGTGGTACATATATATCTTCGTATACGGATAGTTAGATTGAAGTGTGGAACGATTCTGCAAGATGTCCGTTCCAGATAAGCTTTGCTTGGATGGACTATTGTTCTGAAGCCTTCACTAGTGAGGCTATTCCCCCTCCTCATTAGTTACCGCCAATCCCCACTAGAATCGCACAACCACGCGACCCGAAGACATGTCGTCTGGGATGACCCAGCGACTCATCCGGGAATAGTAACAGTCAAGCATTCGGAAAGCGGGTGTTGCGCCGCCCAGCCCGTCCCACGTGGACCGAGGGGCATCCCGCTAATCTTTGTGGAAGATTGAAGCTAGTGATGAAGCCCATCACAGCCCTGAGTCTGCTACTCTCGAGGTCCGATACTACGCCACTTATTGATCTAAAGTCTAGGCTAATCGGAGCAAACATATTCATATAGATTCATAAAATAAAAAATCAATGAGAAACAGCAGAAGGATATCTGCCCAAAGAAACCGCCGATTCCGACGTAAGAGGCCCGCAAAACTGCTCAGCGTCGGCCCTCTTCCGGGCCTTCTTGATAAGCCGTCCCGGATGATACACAATGAACACCGCAAAGACCACAAACATCATAAACGCATCAAATACATAGATGAAGGCCTCACTGGTGTTCAGCACCGATGTCTGCGCCGAACCAAATTGAATCGTTCGCACCAAGTTCCGGATCATGAGGGCCGCACACGCCACGTACAACACCCACATATACCGCTCCCACGCGAGCGAGGGGTTTTGAACGACGAATGGCGTGGGTTCACGACCCAGCCGTTGATGGAATTTGACCGCAATCCAGATGAAGAAGCAGAAGACGAAGAGTGAGAAAATCAACCCGGCCAGCACCACCTTCTTGCCGATACTCATGATGTTGGCGTCGCCGGTGACTTGTACACCGGCACCGCCGAGCTGCGTGCAGAAACACAGCACGTCGTTCAAGACGAAGACCCAGGTTAGGCGTTTGGTGCGCATGCTGGAATGGTGCTCGGCCTGCAGAGAACGGATCATCCGGCCAAGAACCATGTAGACGGTGGCGGCGACGAGTGGGGGCGCGCAGAGAATCAGCATTTCCTGCAGTGACCATGACCGAATGTCGGTTCGGGATTGATGGGACCAGGCTCGACCGTAGTATCCGAATGTTTCACCTATACGGAATCCTCATTAGCGCCAGTCGCGAGGGAAGAACTGGAGAGGGTAACGTACAGACACCACCTAATATGAGGGGAATAAAATAGGCGGCGCGATAGGGGAAGGTCAGGACGAGGTGGACCACCGTCGCGACTCCAAATAATCCCATAAAGGCATATCCGGCCGTGGCGGACGGAGTGTAGGGATAGAATTCCACCCAAGGGGTAGAGCCGTTGACACCTGGATGAAAAACAATGTCCATGACGCAGTTCGATGTGTGAAAGTCAACAATCTGGGAGAAGACAAGCAATGCGGGTGTAATGGTGGTTTCGGCTTTGTCAATGATCACCACCTGTTGACAGCTTTATCATCTCGGTGTTGCCTGTTGTCCTAGGAATGGTTGCTCCATCAGGTCTGCAGGAATCAGACATCCTTTTATTTCCAGCTCAAGCGCCACGCAGCTCGAACCATCAATTTAGCTAGAAAGGTAGGGCGAATCAGATGGGCAGTCGAAGGGTTTGAAAAGACGAAACGTGAAGCAGAACAAAAATAGAAAGCAGCAGAATAAAGTGGGCACGAGTACGACAGAATTGCCTCTTTGGGAAAAGATGACCCCTGGCGGAACGCAAAATGCGCAACCCTGGATCGCCCGCGAAAAGATTTCGAGATCGTCCTTGGCCTTACCTTTCCCGGTAAAAAGAGCGTATTCGTTCGGCCCGAGTGGGTTCGGCTTTCTGCCGGCCGTTGTTCCACAGCCCTGTTTGGATTGTATGGGAATTCTGGGGCCTGATGATATCAGAACCTTAGTTCTATGCAACCGTTGACGTGTGCCATGTCTTTTCTATCGGGACATAGGATATTTCACTGGGATTTGCCTATAAAATGCCCCCTTGCACTGCTCTTTCCCATCATCTAACTCCATCGCTTTGCTCTCATTCAAAATGTGGCCGGCCATCGTTTCGGCGCTCTTCCTTGCCGCCACGGCATCCGCCTCTCCTACCTGCAAAGTAACCCCATACGACGCAGCATGGCCGTCCCATGCAGACTGGGCAGCTCTCAATGCCTCGATTAACCACCAGCTCCTCAGCACCGTGCCCGTAGCATCGTCCTGCTGGGCTGGGAATCCGTTTGGTTCGTCAGTCTCCTGCAGCGCCGTCAAGGAGGACTGGGCCAACGCCGCGTGGCAATCCCGGTTTCCTGAGTCCATTGACTACCCTGTCTATGCGAATAACTCCTGCCTGCCACCAAATGCTTCCGGCTACCTGGCCGAACGCGGATGCACGATCGGCGGGATGCCGCAATATATCGTGAATGCCACCAGTGAAGAACAGATCGCGACAGCGGTGAAGTGGGCTTCGGAGCGCAATATCCGCATTGTCATCAAAGGAACCGGTCATGATCTGAACGGACGGTAAGTAACCTCATGCCGTAGTGCGGTTCGATCTAATTTCTGACTGCCCTCAGATCCAGTGGCGCTTTTGCTTTGTCCATCTGGACGTACCACCTGCGCAAGCTGGAACGCAATAGCGCCTGGCGGCATCCGACTACCAATGCATCTGAGGACGTGTACATTGTTGGCAGTGGTCAGCAGTGGGGCAACGTGCTCAACTTAGCCCTTGAACAAGGGAGAGTCGTCACTACCGGCCAAGATCCCAGCGTGGGCCTCGGCGGGTACATTCAAGGCGGCGGCCACGGTCCCATTTCCCGGACGTATGGACTCGCCGCGAGCCATGTCCTCCAGATGAGAGTGGTGACGACAACGGGCCAGATCTTGGTCGCTAACGATGCCGAGAACCAAGACCTCTTCTGGGCACTCCGTGGCGGCGGTCCCGGTCTATATGGCGTGGTCACCGAGTATGTCATCCGGCATCATCCAGTCCCTTATAATGTTATCATGGGCAATGTCCTGATAGCCCCTAAGGATGGTAGCAACGCCAGTGCCGAGAGGTCCTGGGACGCTGCCGTCCGCCACCTTTCTGCACTTCCTGACCTCATGGATGCCGGACTGGCCGGCGCTTGCATGGTGGCGACTGGGGAGATGGCCACATCGTTTGGATCACTCAGGGAGTTTACCACCGGAGTCGTGATCAAGCAAGTCTTCTGGTCCTTCAATTCCACTCCTGCTGCGATGGAAGCCCTGGTGAACCCCGTTCTGGCCAACATCACCCAGGCAGCTGGAGGAAATAACTCTCTCACCGTCTCCTTCTCGGCCTCCAATTCCGGCAACTACACTTCATTCTACAGTGCCATATCCGGCAGTGAAGTCGCCGGTGGAGAGAGTCTGGTGTCGAGTCGTCTCCTCGGCCGGGCCGAGTTGAATGACACGCCATTCTACAAACAAAAGGAGTACCTCAAGATCGCCATGGGCTCGCAAAACTCCACAGCCGGAACCTACGCCACGGTGGGACTGCAGGGTGGACCAGGTGTCCGTAACACGCCCGCCGAGGCATGGGGGGCCCTCCTTCCCGCGTGGCGCTCGGCCTATCTCCACTTCATTTCCAATGGAGCTACGGTGGACTCGGTAGCTGCTGGCTCGCCGAAGCTAGCGCTGGAGAGTGCCGCTCGTTTCAACGAGGCCAAGGAGCGGATGTGGAGAGAGTGGTCGCCGAATTCAGGTGCCTACATGAACGAGGCCAATCCTTACGACAGCAACTTTAAGCATGATTTTTACGGCGCCAACTATGACCGTCTGGTGCAGGTCAAGGCGAAGTATGACCCGAGTGAGAGTCTGTTTGTGCTGTCGGGGGTTGGGAGTGATAAGTGGGACTATGATTTGGACAGTGGTCGACTTTGCAGGAACTGAGTGATGAGCAGCTGTGTTTCATTACCCTCTTCTACCTGTATATATGCTTTAAGGCCTTCGAGAAGTGAAGGAACAGTTCTGGTAGCCGAGCTCATCATTTATCCATCCAACATTATCCCTAGAAGAGCATAAACTAGCAACGACATATATTCGATTATTCCGTTCCTTGTCTTCAACTGTATACCGACTCGGTCCATCACGTCCCTAGCTCCCGTGACATACAAATGTGTACAACATCCACTTCACCAAATTTGAACATGCAACCAACCACGGACTGAACTGAGCTGGCCGCTCATGAGCGCAAGATTCGCGGCAACACCACCGATCAAGGTGCTGTAGTGTAGTGGTCATCATGAAACGTTGTGGTTCTCCGCAGCGCCGTTTCGACCTGGGTTCGATTCCCAGCAGCGCCATTCAGTGGCGTTTGTGCTTGATCTTTTTTTTTTCCCCTCTTGTGGGGAGGTATTTTTGTTTCTTATATTGTCAGATTTCCTTGGTTGTGGGGCGAGGGAGTTGTGGTGTTGGTTTACATCGGACTTTTCTCTAGCCCTAATCTGGATGTCTTCCCCGGTGCCCCGTACAGCAACCATCAACTCCGCGTCACTATCATCTTAAGCCAACAATAGCTGTTCTTGTGATGAATAGAATGCGATAGATAAGACATGGTACAAGAATAAAGAACAACCACACTACGAACATTCCACGCACGACAGGACCTACCAACCACACCCACACGATACTACCAAGACAAAACAAATCAATTCACACACCTAAGCTACACTCCCATCCACAGCTCATCTCCTCTGCACAATCGGCAACTCACTCATCACGCCCGCCATATCAAAATTCTGCGCGGCCAACATATACGGAAACCCGACCTTCTTCGCCCTCCCCACCCACTCCACCGCATGTTCCGTCTCCACCATATCCAGCGTCAAGCCCGTATTATATTCATCCATATACGCCTTCCACTCGCCCATCTGCACCCTTACATCCGAGTGATGATGATGATACCGCACCGTCACTCCTTCCTCCATGGTACTGGTAATGAGATGATCCCGGAGTTTGCGCGCTAGATCTTCCAGGACGATCAGGTCGATGTGCCCTTTGATGCTTTCCCGGGTGACGTGTAGGCGTAACGTGCGGACGACGCGCAGGAACTCGGCGAAGACGGTCGTCGTGGAGATGGTTTGCACGGGCCCGACGGGGGCGGGGCGGTGGAAGTACACCGGGATGGAGAAGGCATGGGAGGCGTTTTCGAGGAGTTTCTCGACGGCCCATTTAGACGCGAGGTAGCCTTCTGTTCCGTCGGTGGGCGGGGTGCCGGTGGCGGTAGTCTCCGGGTAGCTGTCTTCGGTGTGGCCCGAGAAGAGGTGGATGGCGGCCGAGGACATGAAGTGGATAGGGATTTGGCGCGGAGCGGCCAGGCTGACCAGGACTTGGGTGGCGAGGACGTTGGGTCGGCGGAGGACTTGGTAGTTATCCCAGAGGGAGCGGTTGGCCGCGCTGTGGAGGATCACGTCGGCTTCCGTGGCGAGGAAGGTGAATTGCTCGGGGGTCAGACCGAGACGTTCGTCCAGCAGGTTTCCGGGGAATTGCACGATTTTGTCGGATTCGATGGCGAGTTTGCGGGGCCCGGGGCCGTCTTCTTCGTTGAGGCGGACGGCGACGAGGTAGATCTTGGAGATGCGGTCGTCGGCCACCAGCTTCTCGAGGACGTATTTGCCCGAGTGGCCGGTGGCGCCGGTGTAGATGACTCGGAGGTCTTTGCCTGTTCGTCTGGGGGGAAGGGGCTCAGTGGAGGGAAGCGCAGGGAGAGGGAGGTTCGGGGGCACGGCGGTTTCGGCGGCCCAGTCGAGCAACACCTCGGAGGCAGTGGACTCGATGCGGGCGGCCATCTTGCGGACGGTGTGCGCCTCGGCGAAGTCGATCATGGCCAGAACCGCGTTGAAGGTCTCTCGGATCAGATACTGCAAGGGGATGAGAAGTAGGGAGTTACCGCCCACTTGGAAGAAGTCCAGGTTAGGGCCGACAGGCGCGGAATGCATCAAGTCCCGGGAGAGCACCACTTCCCAGATGCGGAGGAGCTCGGTCTCCAGGGGAGTCAGATCTTTGGCACTGTCCGTGGCATCGGATTCGCCCTTGGGGAGTGGAATGGCGCTGATAGCTTTGCGATCGATCTTGTTATGGCTGGTCAGCGGCATGCGGTCCAGCGGGATCATCATCGCCGGGACCATGTATTGGGGAAGGGGCAGGTTGTCCAGGAGTTGTTGGAGATAGACGTCGCGGTTGGGGATGGTGCAATCGCGGGAGAAGACGACATGCGCCACGAGGAACTCGGGGTCGCCGCGCACGGAGACAATCACCTCGTCCAGGGCTGAGGCGCTGGCACGCCAGATGGCATGTTCGATCTCGCCGAGCTCAATGCGGAGACCGCGCAGCTTGATCTGGGTGTTGCCATCCATGCGTCCTTCAAAGAGGAGAGCCCCGTCGGGACGCAGGCGGCCCTTGTCTCCGGTGCGATACATCCGGGTCCAGCCCTGACTGGTCCAGGCCTGGGGCGCAAAGGCATCGGCCGAGAATCGATCCTGGGTCATGGCATCCAGCCCGAGGTAGCCCTGACTGACGCCCGCGCCACCGATGCAAATTTCACCCGGCATTCCCACGGGTAGCGGCTTCATGGCCCGGTCGACCACATAGAGCGAGTAGTTCGGGAGCGAGCGTCCAGCGGGGATGATCTCGTCGGCAGCTTCCTCGCCATAGGGGATCTCGATGGCATGCGACATGACAGTGATCTCGGCCGGGCCGTAGGTGTTGATCAGACGAAGGCCTGGTTTCTGAAGGGTTCGGAATTCTTCCTTCAGACTGGGCTTCAGCTCCTCCCCTAGACTGAAGCCGTACTTCCAGTTAGCTGCAGCGGTCAGATGGTCGGCACCGAAGCGGATCCAGTACGAGTACTCGGACGGGGTGGCCAGGGTGTAAGTGATGCTCTCTTCCTGAATAGTTTGGGTGATCTGGACGGCGTCTCCGCGCTTGGGCTGGCTGATGATGCACAGCGTGCCACCGTTCGCTAGTGCGGTGAAGATTTGGTGCAGTGACAGGTCAAAGGTCAGGGCACTCTGCTGGAGCACGGTTTCGGCCCCGATGGAGAACTGCTTCGTGGTGACCTCGATCACGTTGCGGATCGCGCTATGGGGAAGCAGCACGCCCTTGGGGGTTCCGGTCGATCCACTGGTGTACAGGATGACAGCGGTGGCATTGGGCACGGCGCGGTTGGGGACCATGGAGGCCGTGTCGGGCAGAGCGGCAAGCGTGGTGACGTTGATCAACTTGGTCGTCTCGGATGCCAACGGAGTGGCATATTTGGCCGTGGCCTTGTGGGTCAGAATGACCTTGGGCTGGCAGTCTTTCAGAATAGCCGCCAGACGAGGCATGGGACTGCGCAGATCCAGTGGGACGTAGACAGCTCCAAGACGCAGGATGGCAAGCAGCGAGCAAATGGTGGCTGCAGTGGGTTGCTGGAACACGGCTACCCGATCTCCATCGCTCACCCCAGCCTCAAGAAGGGCCGTGGCGATCTTGTTGACCTCGGCCATCATATCCTGGTAAGTGAAACGGCTACCCTCGCCGTCCTTGAGGGCCAATTGGCTGCCACGAGTACGAGCAATATCCTCCACACGCTCAGACAAGGTGGCGGGCCACTCCGAGGCGAGATAGGGGCCTAGCAATGTCAACATGGGGGGTTTAACCATCATGTATAGGGCATAGCTTACCTCGCCCCAATTCCGCAGCAGCCTGAACCTCCGACTCGTTAAAGAGCCCCGGCTCATTCAACCGGAGGGCAGGGTTACTTGAGAAAGCTTCCAGGAGATTGACGTAAACCTTTAGCATCGTCTCCACCTCGGCTTGGCCATAGAGGTACTCCTGAGCATTGATCGTGATGAACGAACTGCCACCCGCATTCTCCATGATATCCAGGTTAATATCATAAGCATTCTTACCATATGACCAATCCAGCCGCTGCACCTCGACATCACCGAGCGTCAACCGCTCCTGGATGCCCGGGCGGTAGTCCATGAAGACCTGGAACAGGGGGAAATGGGTCGATGATCGCTCGACCTGCAAGTTGTCCAAAACAACATTGAACGGCAGGCGGGAGTGCTCGAGGGCTCCGTACGCGGACTTGCGGGCCTCCTTGACGGCCTCTCCGAACGTGGTCGAGAGTTTCGATTTGAAGCGCAGGGGGAGCAGGTTGACGAGGATGCCCATGGTGCGGTGCAACTCGGCATCAGCGCGGTTGGAGTCCGCAATACCGATGGCCAGCTCATCGACATCCAGGAAGCGGAAGAGCATGGTCTTGAACACAGCCAGGTAGAAGTGGAAGGCCGTGGCCTGGAAGTTCCGGCACCGGCGCTTGATACGCGCCACCAGGACGGGCTCAATCCGGATGCTGGTCGTGCTGAAGCTATACGTGCGCAGCGGCGCGCGGACCTTTGCCTTCGCGAAGGGCAGCAAAGGCAAAACAGGTGGGATGGTGGCGAATTGTCTGCGCCAGTAAGCCACCTCGCTCTTCATCTTGCCGGTTTCCACGTCCTCGCGGAGCTGGCGCGAGTATTCGGGATACTGGATCGGCGTGGGCATCTTCTCGCCGCCGCCGATCCGCATGAGCTCCTGCAGGAATCCGGTGAAGCCAGCGCCGTCCATGGCGATATGGTGATAGCCGACAATCAGGTAACTCAACCGGGGAGACTGCTCCAGGAGCAGAATGCGCATCGTCCGGCCCGATTCGAGATCGTACACATGCTTGTCGAGCTGCTGGTACGCGGTCGTTGCCTCCTCGGCACGAGTGATCTTACGGCGCTCCAAGCGCAAGGGAGAAGTCTCCAAGATGCCCTGCATAGGACGATTATCCTGCTCGAAGAAGCAGGTCCGGAGACCCTCATGCAGCTGCGCAGCGACTTCGACCGCCTTGGCCAACTCGGCCGGGTGGGCATCTCCAGTCAGACTGTGAGAAAAGGTGATGTTGAAGGCGGTTGGGTCGTCAACCGAGTGTCGCAGGAACCAGAATCGAGCCTGGGCATAGGACATTGAATCGGATCGCATCACGACCGGCTCAAACTCCTCGCTCTCGCTCTCGACCCTGCAGTCATCGTACTCGGGCTCCGAGCTGGCAGCGGTTTCTTGCGTGACGCTCGCGCTCTCCGGGGTATCCAGGACGATACTGGGGACGGAGGCAGCCAGGTCATCCTCAGAGGGTGTGTTGGTGTCAGATTGTGCATCGACCTTCGCCTCCTCGTCACTGCTGGTCTGTACGTTGGGGATCAACTCGGGAGCCAGCTTCTCCAAGCCATCGGCGACCAATTCTACCACTGAAGCACCACCCAAGATGCGTAGCACGGGGATATCCACCGCCAGTTGCTTGGTGAACCAGGAGCGGGCCTCAACAGCGACAAGGGAGTCTACACCCAGTTCAACGAGGGGTGCGTGCTCATCCATATCCTCGGCAGGCAGTTGCAGCAGAACGATGAGACGGTTCGAGAAACATTCTACATATGGGTTCAGTCTACTATCCAAAACTGGGAATGGGCAGAAACATACCTTGAATGATCTGCCTGGCCTGGTCCTTGCTGGTAGCTGCAAGAAGTTGCACCTTGACCGGCGCCACCGATCGCTTGGACCCAGAATCCGCTCTGGCATAGTCCTGCTCGGAGCGCCAGAAGTGAGAGAACTTCGGGTTCGCACGCCAGGAGACTCGATCATCGACCACGGGGTCAATCATGCGCAACCCAGTGACGATTTCCGGATTGCAGCCCGAGTCGGGCGGACTGGCCAGGACTGCTTCCCCAAACATCTGCTGGAAGTCCGAGGTCGACAGCGGGTACGCTCCGTACGCGTGCAGATCGCCGGGCTTGATCTGGCCAGCACGAGTGATGTACCCGGCACCGATGATAGCGCCAATGTCCATCACTGATGCAGCCAGACCTCTTGCTCGGCGCTGGGCGGCCAGGGCAGCCATGAATCCGTTGGCGGCCGTGTAGCTGCTCTGGCCACTGTTGCCGACGATCAAGCCGAGCGAGGAGAAAAGGATGAAGAAGTCGAGGGGCTGGTGGGAGAACAGCTCGTCGAGGTACTTACTGCCCTCGACCTTGGGGCGCAGCACGGGCAGCATATTGTGGATTTCCATGTTGGAGAACATGATGTCCTGAAGCACCATGGCAGCGTTGGCCACACCGGCAATGGGGGGCATGGTCTCGCAGATGTTCTCGTAGACGGATTGCAAGGAGTTCTTGTCCGTGATATCCCTATCATTATAAGTGAGCAATGGTTAATGCAACAAGTCCAAGGCGGGGAAATACATGGAATAAATCTTGAGGTTGGCTCCCATATCCGCCAGCCTCTTCAGCCATTTCGGATCGATCTTAGGGTTCCGGCTGGTGAGAGCAATGTGCTTTGCCCCCAGGCGGACAAACCACTCGCACAGGGACTGTCCGAGGTCAGCAGTCAATACGATCAGGAAGTATGTCTTATCGGGGGAGAAGGAGACGAGGCGTTCAATAGGCTCGACATCCACAGGAACAGAAGCATCCGCCAGCCAGTCAACAATCTGGAAAGCGGGCTCCGCCGCGGCCAACTGAGGCACATGTTTCACGGCAACGGCGGTTACTGTATTGTCGAGAGCCACCGCATCTGCTTCCTGTGCGTAGGAGCAGGCCTTCTTCAGGAGATCTTGCCCAGCAGTATTGCCGGTCAGACTGGACCCGGAAGCAATGCGGGAGGAGACAGACGCCAGCGTGAGGACTTGACTGAAAGGAGGAAGAGTGGCCACCACGCGACGATGAATAGCATCCTGGGCAACATCTCTGGACAGATCCAAGAAACTGGACACTCCCGCAGGGAGGATGGTCCTCACGGCGCTCTCGAAGGCGAGAGGGTGAACGAATACTGAATCCGGGCCCGCGGCAGCAGGGTCATCGGTAACCTGATATGCTCGTCGTCCCTGCTCAGCAGCCCGCCGGGACAGGATAGCGAAGCATGCAGGCTCAACGCCACGAGTCAAGATTCCCTTTTGGGATGGAGTGGCAGAAATGGCGAGCTGAGCAAGTAATTCCCAGCCAACACGCTGAAGAAGACTCTGATCTCGGTCGGGTTGCACGGTGACCGAGACAGTGTGCTCCTTGGGGACTTCAATAAATGAAGCATTCGAATCCGACAGAGCAATGACGATCTGACCGGTCTCTTGGACCACTCCCAAAGAGACGAAGAAGTATCCCGCACCGGCCACGTTGACGGACGACAGAATGGAACAAGAGACACGGATGGAGACCAGCCCTGGCGTAGACGAACGAGCATCCGCAGCGAGGCGGAAGCCCGAAGGCTCAGCCGCAGAAATCGACACCTGTGCCGTCTCCAGAGCCATGTCCTGCCGGATCTGCCGTCTGCGGGAGTTGTAGCGATTGTTCTGGGCCTCATGCTCATACATACGTGGGATGAGCAACGCCTGGTCCTTGGTCACTCGCCATTCAGGCTCGGTCGACCATAGCATTTCCCCAGACATAGGGTCCTGCGCAGTCCAGAGATCCGTCGCGCGGAGGCGCAGAAGCATGCTACCGACGAGGTTGGCATCGACGACACCCTCCTGATCGCTGTCGAGGAACTGCAGTCGCATCTCGTGCAGCTCACAGCTCAAGGATCGACCAAGACCAACGGTCATGTTGGCGTACGGGTTCGCACTCTGACAGCCCCGTGTAATCCACAGCAGATTGCGGGCGTTCTTAAACAGGCCCTTGAGGGTCTGCAGCTTGTCGGCCGTCATGTCGAGGAAGATTGGCTCGTCCATCTCCACCAGGACCAGCACTGTGGGCGGGATGACCGTGTCCGGGGTGACCTCGGCCAGGCTCTCCAGGATGGTCGTGCTTGCAAACCGCCGACCCAGCACCTTGCTGATATCATTTGTCAACCGGGAACTTTCCAGCGTCTGACCACCGATGATTAATAGCTCGCCCATATGCTCGGCATCGGTGGCCTGGGAGTACAGCGGTTGGCGGAGGAAGTCGACACGATCGTCTAGGGCTTGCGCGACACCGACCGAAAAGGGATATGGCAGAGTGTCTGCTGGCATCACGATGGTATCCAGACCCGAGAATCCCGTCTTCTGGAGCACCGAGTTCCATTGCGCAGGCCGCATGGTAGGCGCCCAGCGACGGCTCGGCTCCTCACCTTGCCACCAACCGGACAGTCCACCCATGATGAAGCCCATGCGACTGGGTCTTTGGTCCGTGATCTCCAGGAGCACCAAGTAGCCGCCGGGCTTCAATAGGGCTCGCACCTGAGGCAGCACGTCCTCAATCCGCTTGGTGGCGTGGATGACATTGGATGCAAAGATGAGGTCGAAGGAGTGAGGTTCCATGCCTTGGCTCTGGACGTCTTTCTCCATATCAAAGGCCTTAAACACCATTTTGTGGGACAGATCGGCAAACTTCTCCTGCGCCTTCTCGAAGAAGGCCGTGGAGATGTCGGTGTAGGTATACGACCGGAAGGCAGAGCCGAGCTGGTCCAAGACGGTCCTGGTGGCACCTCCAGTACCGGCGCCTAATATCATCTGTCAGTCGTTGTCAGAGAAGGACACCAGGAGAACACTTACCAATCTCCATGATATTCAAATGGGGATAGCGGTGCGAGATCTGCTTGATGACGCCAGCCGCCCATGTGTTGGCCACATGGAAGCCCAATCCATCAGTATAAAAGTCGTTCAACATGTTATCCTTGGTCAGATGCTCCAGCGGGTTCGAGTGGCCTCGGACCACCGAGGGATAGGACTCCCCGACGGACCGCATAATGCGGAGATCGATGTCATCAGGGTATCTGCCTTGCGTTAGTACATGGCTCATCCCAAACGGAAGAAGAGGGCAGCCTTACTGCGCAAAGAGCTTGTGAATGTCTTCCTCGGTATCCTTGACCCATGCGGTCTCCGTATAAGACCGTTTCCCCCCAGCCACTTCCGCAACGAGATGCGCAGCAAAATCCAGCAGACGCTGATGATGGGGAGCCGCGGACCGCGCCTCCTCGGCAGAGATCTGGTAATGAAGCTGCTTGAGGTAGAAGTGCGCCACGCGTTCACAAGCATAGGCGCGCTCAATTTCCTCCGGAGTTGCGCGATGGTCTGCCAGAACGGATGCTCCATCCGCTTCCGCCCGCTTCCACACCATCTCGGAGAAGATGTTCCGGTCATCTGCCTGGGTCGCTTTGGTGAAAGGCACCGATGAGACACCCTCGACCTGCAACATGGCCTGCTGCCCGTCTGGGGCAAGGATCACCACATCACCCAGGGTCTCGTTCGCTGTGACGGTTTCAACCAGGGTGGCATCAAAAGAGAGCTCGAGAGGCATGTCATCCTCGGATACGCAATGGAAGGGGTTGACTCGGATGCGTCGAATGGATGTGGGAACGTGCAGACTCCACAGTGCGCCATCCCCGGGATAGCTCAATGCGGCAAACAGGGCCTGGAAGGCGATGTCCAGGAGAGCCGGATGAACCAGCAGTTTTTCGTCCGTCGGGATCTCAAATGTACCCGTGGAATGGTTCATCTTGCGCTGCAACGAAGTCATCGCACGGAACGACCCCGTGTATCCGTAGCCGAGCTGCGAAAGCGAGCCGTAGAAGTCATCCGGGTCGATATCCACCATGTTGGGCAACGACTCGGCGCGCGGAGGCATCGTGCCCGCCGTCGGGGCCCCCAGGAGCAGCGAGATACTTCCGCTGCCCACCAGGACGAGCTTCTCCGAGTCCTTGTTCGGGGGGGTCTGCACGGTGAACTGCGCTGAGAAGCTATCTCCCTCTCGGCGGGTGATGTTGGCCAAAGTGAGGACCGTTTCAACGCTACTGGCATCATCCGGGAAGGAGATGGACCGATGGATGGTGAGATCGGTGACTTCGACAACTCGGACGGGTTGATGCTCGCCGACCTGCAACAAGGCTGCTTCCCAGGCCATGGCCGCGTAAGCCGCGGCAGGGAAGACCGCCTGGCCTTGCAGCTGATGGCCTTTGAGCCAGGGGATCTCGTTCGGGATCAGGAAGTTGCGCCACTTGACCTCCGTGTCGGTGATGTCGCCGTAGGGGACACCCAGCAAGTTGTGGACAGGGCCAGACCGAAGTCGCTGGCTCTTTTCCGTACGAGACTCGTACCAGTAGGAGCGTTCGTGGTCCCAGGGATACGCCGGCAGGGTCTTCACAAAGGATACGGGGCTGCCGTCGGGGAAGAATCGTCGATCATAGGCAGCAAAGTCGACGGTGGCTCGGTCACAATGCGTCCAGGCCACGCCCAATGCCTCCGCAAAGGTGGTCACATCGTTCTTGCCGCGGGACAGCACGCCGGTGTACGGAGTTTTGCCCTGGGAGACATCCTGCATGGTCTGGGTGGCCGGGGCCTGCAGAGCCGGATGGGGTCCGACCTCGATGGCCAGATCGAAGGGTCCGCTGTGGGTGAGGGCGGCTTCCAGGGCCGTGGCAAACAGGACCGGCTGGGTCATGTTGGATTCCCAATACTGCGCAGCGAGGTCAGCCGGGCTGCCCACGATCTGCTCTCCATTGCGCACGCTAGAGAACCACACGGGGGCATCAGCGGGAGGCGTCTGGGGTACGATCTGGCAGGCCTTCAACGCCGCGACATAGGGCTCGGCACAGCGCTGCATATGATGCGAGTGGTACGCAGTATCTACCCTCAGCACGCGGGCGAACTTTTTCTCCTCCGTAAAGACCAGCTGGGCCTGTTCGATGGTGTCCTTGTCACCGGAAAGCGTCACACTGGCCGAGGAGTTGAAGGCCGCCACGCTGATACGACCCTCGAATTCGGGAAGCGCACAGAGTTCTCGAGCGTCGTCCAGCGAGGTCCCGGCCGCCATCATTGCTCCGGACTGTCCCTCCTTTCCACCGGCCAACTTCGCATAGAGACCGCGGTAGTAGGCAATGCGAATGGCGTCCGTGGCGGTGATGAACTTGGCCGCATACGCCGCGCCAATCTCGCCAGACGAATGACCCACGACAGCCCTGAAACGCACGCCGGCACTCTCCAGCATATCCACCAAGACAATCTGCACCGCCGTGCACAGGAGCTGTGAGACGGATGCCTGGCCGATGCGGCCATTGTCGTCGTTCATCATCTCCTGCTCGATGGAACAAGGAGGTCGGTCGCTGGGTGGGAGCTGGGCCAACGACTTGTCGAGAGTGCTGATGATCTTGCGCACTGTAGAGGAGCTCCGGAGAAGCTCTCGTCCCATGGTGGCCCATTGTGCACCCTGGCCGGTGAAGATGCCCAGGATACGATCTCCACGCTTGGAAGTCGACTTCACACCGACGGGGGTTTCTCCTGCCGCCTTCAATTTGGCCTGCACCTTGGAGATCAACTCGTCCGTATTCGCGGCGGTGATGGCGGACCGCACCCCGAATGTCGACCGCTTGGTATGCAAGGTCCATGCGACATCGCGAAGGCTGGGGGTGGAGTCACCCTGCAGGTAGTCCGCAAAGCGCTCCAGCATGGCTACCAAGGTTCGTTCGGACTGAGCCGAGAACACGAATGGAGTGGCGATCAGGGCACTGGCTCCATCGGTCACCGATGCTTTGGGTGGCTCGTAGCTTTCCAGAATAGCATGGCCGTTGCTACCACCGAAGCCTGTACAATTGTTAATATCATTTTGCGCTGGAACCAACCCCCCTGGCATAGTATGCTACTCACCGAAACTATTCACACTTGCTCGTCGTGGAGCACCCTGGGGCAGAGCAGGCCATGGCTTCAACGTCGTGGGAAGACGAAGATGCTTGGCGAAAGGAGCGACAGCTGGACTGAGACGATTAAACAGTAAGTTGGGCGGAACCTGTGCATTCTGTAGAGCCAGCGAGGCTTTCAATACACCGGCAATACCCGCGGCACCTTCAGTGTGGCCAATAACCGTTTTGATGGAGCCGATGTAGATATCATCCTCGGGGGTCAGACCCTCCCTCGAGGCGAAGAAAGCATCATTGACGGCCTCGGCTTCTCTCGGGTCACCCACCATGGTGCCTGTTCCGTGGGCCTCAAAATACTGAGGACGATCTTCTCTGCGGGAGAGATCCAATCCCGCACGAGCATAGGTCTGGCGGATGAGGTCTGCCTGTGCGGTACTGCTCGGCATGGTGATACCACGGGTCCGACCATCCTGGTTGATGCCGGTTTCACGAATCACGCACTCGATATGGTCCCCATCGGCAATGGCGGCGCTCAGGGGCTTGAGGATAACGGCGGCGACACCTTCACCGCGGGCGTAGCCGTTGGCATCCGCATCCCACATCTTTGCGCGTCCGTCGGCGGCAATCATGTTTAGGTTGCTCAACACGACATAGTTGTCTTGGGCAGTCAGCTGGATGAGCATTTGAGGGGAGGTGAAGGGGAGGGAGGTACATACGTGGACCGATGATTAAACTGGCACCACAGGCCACAGCGACCTTGGATTCGCCACTGCGCAGCGATTGCATGGCCAGATGGATAGCCATCATACTCGACGAGCAGGCCGTATCAATAGTCATGGAGGGACCATGCCAGTCAAAGAAGTATGAGATACGGTTGGAATGGATACTGCGGGATGTACCGGTACCAGCATAGGTAGGCGTGCAATCAACATCTCCCTGTATCACATCGGCATAGTCACAGCCCATCATGCCTACATAGACTGCAGTTGGGGACCCTTGCAGACCCTCAATGGTCAGGCCGGCAGATTCGATTCCCTCGTAGACGGTCTCGAGCAGCAGACGCTGCTGCGGGTCAATGGCATCAGCCTCAGCGGGTTGGATGTTGAAGAAGTGCGGGTCAAATCGGCGAATATCCTCTTTGATGAAGTGAGTGTACTTGGTGGTGCTGCTGCCATGCCGGGGGCCATCAGGATAGCGGTAGCCCTCCCAATTGAAGCGGTCCTTGGGGATCTCTGTGAGACAATCTCTGGGGGCTTGCAGCAGGTCCCAGAGACGGGATGGGCTGCTGGCTTCGCCGGGGAACCGACAGCCGCTGCCAATGATGGCGATGGGCTCGGGGGTCACAGATGAGGCAGTCATGGTAGGCAGATTCACGAGAAGGTGTGGGGGAATACTCTGCGAGCTTGATGGGAAATCCGGATGCTCTACGGTGCTGTGCTCCCTGGTTTATAGAGATGTTCCTCGGCAGCATGCGCTCGGAAGTGGAAACCGCCCCCAGTCGCCGGTGATCCTTCCACGCGACGAGGCTCTGCGTTGATTCCCTCCACGTGGGTGGAAAGAGCCTTGCATTCTGGAGGAATAGTACATGATGCAGGAGAAGCACTAGAATGGTTGTAGAAACAAAAAATGTAGATTGACAGCTCCGAGGGTGAATCCTGCATAAGCCCTAAGGCACGGCGCCCCACCGCCGATACCCCCGCCGATCTCACCCCCCACCGACCACCGACCTCCCCCCGATGCCCCAAACCCCTGTTTCTAATCCATTCACGTATGTACATTGACATCGGCTCACTCCTGGTGGGGAATGGCACACACTAGTTTCACCCCTGACACATCCTTCTGCCGCACGCGTTGAATAGCGTCCAGAATGGCCGGAAATCCCCCCTCCTGCACCTCAATCGGATGGGGGCGTAACAGCCCCTGGTCCAGCAACAACTGAGCCTCCCCATACAACTCCCGAGCAGTCTCACGCATGTTGGGGTCAGCGACTCGGTTGTATGGATTAGGCCACGCCACCTCGCGCCCAAACAGAGCTGGATGAAAGACCCAGTCGGCCTTGACAGTCGGACGCGTGGCCTTGACCCGCGAAGAACAGACCGCGAGAGACGTATACAGACCGCCGGCGCGGCCAATGGTGGCGTAGCAGAATTCCATGGAGCTGGTCTCCGAGATACAATCCAGCACGTAGCGCAAGCTGTTGCGCGTGTGACCGCGAATGTCGGCCACGCAGGTCGGCGATCGGTAGTCGAAGACCGCCTCCGCCCCTTTCTCTTTCACCAGGTTGAAGTTAGCGGGCGAACAGGTTGCGATGGCATGATGACCGGCGTGGCGTAGCATCTGTAAAGCGAGGGTGCCCGAGGCGCTACTGGCACCATACACCAACACGACCGCGGGTTTCTGTCCGGCTGTGTCTAGTCCCAGCGATCGCAAGGCTAGTCCGATGGTGCCCACCCCAACTGGAAGGCTGGCAGCCTCCTCCAGGGGCATGTCGGAGGGGACTTTCATCACCAGGTCGGCGTCTGCGGCGACGTACTGCGCAAAGGCCCCGTCGGTGGGCCGCAGAGGGTTCATTCCCTGCACCGCGGCACAGACCCGGTCACCTTCGCGAAGTTGAACTGCCAAGTCCACAGCTGACCCGATTGCTATGACTATTCCAGCCAGGTCGAAGCCTGCCGCGGTGTCCGTGTAGGCGAAATTGTCCACGGTATTGACATCGACGGGATTGATAGCCACGGCCGCAGTGCGAATGATGATTTGGTCGGGGGAAATAGACGGGATCGGATGATCGTGAGCGATAGCATAAGCTCCTAGACCAGCTGCTACGACGGCAGTTTGGCGTTGAGAGGGATTGATTGCCGGCATTGTGTCGATGGAGGTAGTTTCTGTTGGGAGGAGAAAGGGATTGCTCAGCCGAAGGGGATCTGATGCTGCTGCACTGCCTGTAAATACTTGATCCGGGCTTGGGCTTTGGCCCCATCGACCGGAAGGCTCCCAGGACCGACCTTGGGCACCGACAGGGGCAGGATCAGCGCCTACAAAAATGCTGGCCGGTCCCTTCCCGGGCGCCGCACGCGTGAGGCCTTCATCGGTACCCACCCTAACCAGCATGAGCGACTCCAAGGAAATTTCAGAATCTGCTCCGTCGTCAGACCCGTCGGAAGAGGCAACACCTCCTCTCAGTCCACTCCGTCTGAACATTATTGTAGCTGGGTATGTATGAGTCTTGGGATGCAATCGGGTTGCCAGTCAAGCTGACTCTCTTTCCTGGCAAACATAGACTATGGATTTCTCTCTTCCTCGCCGCCCTCGACAGCACCATCATTTCTACCGCGCTACTCTCCATCGCTAGCGACTTTCATGGCGATGATCAGTCGGGTTGGATCGTGACCGCGTACCTGTTGACATACAATGGTGACACCCCTTCGGCCTGACCTGCGGTACCCCTGACAAAACAATGGCTGATGTAGTGGGATGGGAACAGCCTTCGTCCTCATTCTGGCCAAACTTAGCGACGTGGTGGGATTGAAGCCGCTGCTGCTGGCCTGCAATGCTCTGTTTCTCGTTGCCTCGGTTGCCTGTAGTGTGGCAAGGTCCATGGAACAACTGTGAGTTGTCTTGTTTCGTAGACCGTCTGTCTGTGCCCTGACCGAGAGTAACAGGATCATATTTCGCGCCATCGAGGGTATCGGGGCGTCTGGCCTGTACTGCCTGGTCTTCATTGCAATCCTACAACTGGTCTCCCTGAGCAAGACCGGCATGTACTCGGGGATTATCAGTTCAGTCTTTGCTCTGTCCAACCTGGCTGGTCCTCTGCTTGGAGGAGTCATTGTCGACAACACCACATGGAGATGGATCTTTTACATGAAGTAGGTTGATTGATCCCCCTTATCTGTTGACATCGCGTAGCGTCTACTCACTACATTTCCGCCCACAGTATCCCTATCTCCTCCATAGCCATCCTCATTCTCGGCTCGATGATGCCTGCCCCAGCATCCACCAGTTTCCAGCTCAAAACACTCGCTAAACTAGACTGGGTCGGGGCGGTCTTGTCTGTATCCTGGCTGATTCCCCTTCTATTTGCTCTGGAAGAAGGCGGATCGCAATACACCTGGAAGAGCAGTGTGATTATTGGCACATTGACCGGAGGCATTGTGGGACTCGTCGCCTTCCTCGCCTACGAAGCCTGGGTACAACGATCCGCAAAGGAGGCCATCTTTCCTGTCCGATTCTTGTACGATTCCATGCAAGGGTTGCTGCTTTTGTGAGTCCTTCCTACCAAACTACTGAACCGATCGCGTAGCATCTCCCATGACCGAAACTGATTTTTTCTCTCTCAGAAACATCTTCTTCACCGGCTTCGCCTTCTACACTGCGATCATCACCCTACCGCAACGATTCCAAGCCGTCAACGGTGTCAGCGCAGCTAGAGCCGGTGTGCTAGAGCTAGCATTAACCCTATGCATGCCCTTCTTCTCCCTCGTTGCAGGCATGTCCCTCAGCAAACGACCGGAGTGGACTTATTCTGTGCTGATCTTCGGCTGCGCTTTTCTCCTCATCGCCACCGCATGCTTGAGCCATCTCCCCGTGCAGAAATCCGTGCCTGCCACCGAATTCGGATTCCAGGTCATCATGGGTGCTGGTCTGGGGATCATCTCGCCCACCCAGTACTTTGCGCTGAAAATCAGTTTTCTTCCGCGTGATACAGGTACGTTTGAGAGAAAGGACGACCCGGAATGTTTCCGAACCATGCTAACCATACATGTATAGCATCCGCAACGGGAGCCATGAACATGCTCCGTGCCATGGGAGGCTGTATCGGGTTGGCCATCACCTCTAGCATGTTAACATCCAAACTCGACGCCGATCTGCCCTTGTTTCTAGCTCCGGATCTAGTGGGTCGGGTTAAGGAGTCGCTGGACGATCTGAGCGGGTTGACGGCAGAGCAGGTGCTGAAGATCCGTGCAGTCTATGGAAAAGGGTATGATAGTGGATTTCAGGTCTTAATTGCGTTTGCGGGTGCGAATGTCCTCATTGCTGTCCTTCTGCTGTGGGCTAGTCGCAAGCGGGGAGGAGTGGATGGGATGTTTGAGGCGATTCGGTTGGCGTCGGAGAGTTAGGGAGGATATATTGTAGATGGTGGAAATGGAACCCGCGGTTCAATTATATAGTTTCCAATTTCCTTCTGCAGTACCGTGCTTCTCTACACACCAACATAATTTAACGCAACGCTCCAAAACTGTCAAGTCATGCGACCAACAGATTATATATATCAACTTTGGACTATCGGGGAATCTCACGGCATAGCAGCTGGCTCGTCTCTAGACATTTCTCTAGTATATTATCTCATGATAATTGTCAGGATCCTGAGTTTGTGTACCTCAAACTAATATATATATATATATATATATATATATATATTGTAAAAATACCCACTTTTTTGCAACAGGAACAGCATATATCGACGCTGCAATCATGTTCTATGAACAGCCCAAAATTCTCAAGTCTTAGCTTTATGTTCCTGCTAGATGAATAAATATATGTTATCTTCTATGCCATGTAACGTGGTTGAAGATCTCTGACTCCAGCAAGTTCATCTTAGTAGAGATTCACTATGTCCTCTAGAAAATATAGGCCATCTACATGCGACACCAAGGACTCAATGAAAAACTTCATGGTGTTCCACTGAGGACATTAATAGAAACTATCCACCACATCCAAGTGATTACATTAGGTTTGTGTATCCTAAATGACTCAACTACATAAAGCGACGCCTCCAAGCAAAGAGAAGGGGCCTGAGGCCACTCGCGCGAGGCCCCGACAATCCCACAGAACTGAGAATATATATTGATGCGCACCACTTTGCAACACACGCTGCTTGCCTGACCAGCGGGTCAATTCCAATTCAGCCTCATCTCTACAACCTCTCCAGTATCACTCCAAACTCCTATTTTTAAGGAGACTAAACCCTGACGAGAAACTAGTCACCCTGGCCCCACCGCGTCGGCGGTCCGACAGCCCAACCCGCCGATCCACGCGCCGATGTCCGCGCGCCCTAACTAACCGCTCCTAGGGTGGGTTTGCGAGGCGACCCTCAGGCGATAAGAAAGCATTGGGGCTCCAGCCGAAGAATAAGCTTATTGACTGAGATTACAGTAATGCATTTGAATGCACTTTGGAGCAAAGCATACCCGAATCACACACCACGAGGGTGGAATATCAACCATGGCTCGTTTCGATCCAGAACCTATCCTCTTTTATGGACTGAACGACAAAGTGGTTGTCCTGACCGGTATGCCCTTGCTCAATTAAGTCCGTATTTTTAAAGCACCAGCTGATTGATACTGAATAAGGAGGTGCTCATGGCATCGGTGCAGCGACCGTATCACTCCTGTACGAAAACGGAGCACATGTGGTCTTTGGAGATCGAGATGGAAGTGCCGCAAATGTCATTGAAGAGAGGTATCGGGACCGAGTACACTTCGTGCATACAAATGTATCGAATTACTCGTCGGTGTTGAATCTCTTCAAGGTGGCTTATAGCAAACATGGACGGATTGACCATGCATTTGCCATTGCGGGGATCTCGGAGCAGACGAATTGGTTTCACCCTGGCTTGAATCTGGAGAGTATTGAGACAGTGAGTATCTCTCGTAATCATATGGAAGATGAACGCTTGGGACTAAGGATATCCAGATCCCAGAACCATCAACCCTCAACGTCGACCTCCTCGGCACCATCTATTTTGCGCGAATCGCGGCAGTCTACCTCCGTCAGGGCGTTTCGTCTGAGGAAGACTCAGCCGACAAATCCCTCATCCTCGTCAGCTCGATTGCCGGCTTCACCGAGTCCCCCGGCATGCCGCTTTATTGCGCTGCTAAGCACGGCGTGCTCGGGCTCATGCGCGCCCTCAGACCATCCCTACCCGCCTCCCATGGAATCAGTGTCAGTGCTGTCTGTCCGTGGATGTCTGCAACCGGGATGGTGGATGACATTCAAGACGCGTGGCAAAGAGCCGGTCTGCCGATGAATCAGCCATCCGAGGTGGCGCAGATCATTGTGGGACTGGCTGCTGTTGGTGAAGAGGGAAACGGAAAGACGATCTATGTAGAAGGTGGACGAGGGTGGGATATTGAGGCCGGGTTGGACGATACGCGAGAAATCTGGATGGGGAAGAGTCAGAGTCAGAGCTGGCTGGAAGGACAGAAGTTGTTGATGGCGCATCCGGGATCCGCGGCGTATTGGGCTTCCAAGGCAACTGAGTAGATTGTACGGGATGTTGAGATGGGATCATTATCGTACAAAACGCTTGAAGACAAAGTACAGACTATATACCCCGGCCTTTAGAAAAGGTCTCACAACTGGTTCCGCAACTGGATGACAGTCATGGGCCGCTCGGGCAATCACCCAGTTTTCGATCCCGGTGCGTGGTGCTCCCTCGGTGAAGTACATGCATTGCATCATTTTCTGCGTCAGTTTCTGCGCTCTGAATGCTCGTTTAAACATCTCTCTCTCATACGATGCAATATAATCATCCAATGCCCGGGTAGGGGTTGAAGATGAACTAGTGATGGCCTCCGCCAAACGCATGGCATCTTCGAGAGCAATATTGACACCCTCGCCAGCAACCGGTGTCATCAGATGTGCTGCATCCCCGATCAAAGTGATCCCAGGTCGATGAGTCCATTTGAACCCCACCGGCAACATATAGAAGGCATTGATGCGGATACTGCCCTCGGACAGACGAATCAAGTCCAACAACTCCTCACTCCAACCCACATACTCCTCAACGATCTCCTCCCTAGACAGGCCCAACACCAGTCCTCTCTTCTCCCTAGCCCATTCCTCTGAATACCGTCCCCAAACTGAAACATAAATACTCCCATCCCCCATCTTCTGCCCCATAATCGACCTCCCATCCGAAAACGCAAACAAATTCCCCCCTCGAACGAGCTCACAACACCCCGGAGCCCTCTCCCTCGCATTCGGAATCGACATATTATATCCCGCAAGCCCAGAATACTCCGGCTCTACCACAGCTTCCTGCTGCGTAGAGGACGCCGAACTCAATCCCCCTCGAACCCGACTCCACGCCCCATCCGCCCCAACCACCAAATCAAACCCCCCTTCCACAACCCCATTCTCAAACCGTACCTCCACCTTCCCACTCTCCCCATCCACAACAAACCCCCTAAACCGATGCTCCCATCGTACTACTTCCCCCGGGATCGACCCCAACAACAACCCACGCAATTCCACCCGATCAATCTCCGGATTCCCCGCCAACACGGACGGAAGTTGGAAATACGGCTGGGTATGTTTATCCGTGATCGTCAAAGACGAGGACTCGAACCTCGCGAAGTGCAGAAACTCCTCGTAGAGATCTGCGGCTTTGAGCGCCGCGAGACCGGTCTTGGGATGCAGGTCGAGCGTCCCTCCTTGGGTTCGCGCGTGCGGGGACGCCTCGGCTTCGAAGACGCTCACGTTGATTTGCTTCCGGTAGAGGAGACGGGCGAGTAAGAGGCCGGCGGGACCGGCGCCGATGATGGCGATTTTGGGAGGGGGCATTTTGGGTGTTGATCAGGGGCTGACTGGGCTGGGCTGGGAGGGAGGGAGGAGGGGTTGATGGAGGATTCTGGGAATGACGGAGGGGAGAGGGCCCTTTATTTTGATTGACCAGGGGGAAGGAGAGGGGCTCGCAGTGCATACCGGTTTGGATCTAGTGGTTATCTTAGGGGATGCGTTGGTTGGTGGGTTGGTGCCATAGTTCAATTCAATTCAATTCATATTCTTATACCTGATCGAGCCCACTAAGTAAGATGCTAGCTATGCAGGTGCTTCACTGTTTAAAACAGGAATATGGCCCCGAACGCTATCAAATCCCTCAAACTCATAGTAAACATATAAAATAACGCATGCTACAATGTAGGAAGGTTATTACTATAACTTAATATAACTAAACTAGATATAATAAAAGTAAAGTAAAGTTATATAAAAATAATTATAAATAAGTATTATAGCTGACTAGCTAGTTATCTAGCTAGCTATTTATAAATTATTATTTTTTCTATTTTTTATTTATTTCTTTATTTCTAATATACATATTTTTTTTAATATGCGTGGTTTTTCCTGCTAATTTAAATAGAATATATTTAATCTTTCTATCTAGTGTTTTTAGTATCTATTTCTATAGTCTTGAGACTTATGTGTTCCTAACCTAGATTAAAATTAAGATTAAGATTAAGTTTAATCTAATTAAATTATCTGAGTAAGTTTATTTATAGTATAAATTTAATAATATAATAGATTACCTATAGATCTAATATAATAAAATTATAATTAATAATTTTATTTTTTGAAATAGATTTTTATATAATAATTTTATCTGGTATCTGATTATATAGTCTTATAAAATAAAAATATATTAAAAATATATATTTAAAAATCTAGAACTTCTCCCCGCAGCTATATTAGTTATTTTTTTATATTTTAACTTTATATAGAAAGTATACTAGACCGATCCTATGCGTGCGCATCTATATAATTATAAATATATATATTTTAAAAATATTTTTATAGAATATTAGTATTTTTTTCTTAGAGGAAGTTTTAATTAGTTTCTATATTAATATTACTATATATTTTATTTTTTACTATTTAGTCTATTTCTTCTGGAACTTACTGTGAACGGTTTTCTTAATAATAAATATAAATTAGATTATTTATTTTTTTAGTCTAGTCTTATATTCTGCTACTTATTTTATTTTAAAGTTTATAATTTTATTTTTTTTAATCTTTATATAAATAAAGATTTAATAAATTATAAGATCTGTACCTTACAGAGTTTTAAACTTATTATAAATAATTTTTATATATAATTATTTAAATAGATAACTAGAGATTTTTATTATTTAGATTACAGCCTAATTATTAGTAAAAATATAGATTTTATTAAAATTATATTTTAGTAGGATACTTTCCACAAGAATAAAGATTATTTTAATATTTTTTAATTTAATTATATATATGGTTGAATCTACTTTAATATCTAGATATATTCTTTAAACTTATTTAACATGGAAGCTAATTATAAAAGTTTTTATATCTCTATAGTAATTACTACTATCTATATATAAGATAGCGGTATTAGTATAGTAAAGTTAATTATAATTAGTAAATACAGTCTTATAAAATTAAATATTATTTTAAATATATAACTCTTAAAAGATTAATATAAATATATTATAAATTTTTTATACTTTTTCCTGTTGCGGAGTGGTGGAGATAAAAATTATATTTTTTATTTATTTAAAGACTTTAAACGGGCTCATATCTCTAAGTATAAATGTTTTTTTATAATATTAGTATTTTAAATCTTAAGATTAAATAATCTTTAGCTCTGTCTGAATATATAAGATAGTTTTTTTAATTATTTACTATATAAGTTATTTTATGGATAATAAATAAAGTTTAATATTAAATATAGTTGTAGTTATATTCTTAAAGATTTTATTAATTAGAATAATTATATATTTTTAGATTTTAATAAACTTTGTCTCTATATAAGTCTATTATTTAGTAAAGATTTATTAACTAGTAGGACTGTACTATATAATAATTCTATATAATAATTATAAAATAATTATTATATAGTAGATCTTGTGTATAAGAGTAACTAAGATATTTTATATAAAGTTTATAATATTTTAAAGGGTTTTAAAGCTTTTATTAATCTTAGTAATAGTTTTAGCCTAGTAAATATTAAATAAAAAGATCTTATTAAGCTAGATACCGAGATATTAAACTAATTTTAAAGATTAAATAATAATTAGTGGATTAATAAAGATTATAATAAATAAGTAATTATAGTCCTTCTATTTATAGTATTTCTAAATATTAATAATTTTTAATAGTTTATTTAATTTATTTAAATTAGAATTAAGAGTATAAAAATTTCTAAAATAAATAAATTTAAACTTATTAAATATAAACTTTAATGCGTAATATTATAACTATATATTAGTTTTAATAAAGATTTTCTTAAGTAGCTACTTATTAGTAGTGTAACTTCTAGAAATAACTAGAATAATTATATTATTTATTTAATTAAATATTTAGATCTTTTTTTCCGGGTGGAATTTAGAGTAGGTTTAAAAAAAATTATTAAATAATAGAAATAGGATTAGTAAGATAGATAAGTCTTATAAAATATTATTTAATATTAATAATAATTTATTAATATATTTCTATATTTAGAACTGAGTAATGTGGTTATATAAAAATATTATTATTTATAATATAAAATAACTTAATTTTGCTTGTCTGAGATTGTATAAAAGATATATATATAATATATAATTATATATCTCTAATATATTTAATAATAATAAGCTGGTGATGTGATTTCTCCTCTAAATATTATAGATTTTATTAAGGATTATTTAGATTATATAATTAATTAAAATATTTTTATAATTTTTAAAATATCTATAAGAAAGTAAATTATATTTTTTACTGCTTATATAATATATATAATAATAATTAATTTTAGTAGTTTTTTAAGAATATTAAGTAGTATTATTAGTCTATATAATTTAAGTAAGTAGAAGTTATAAGACTTTTTCTTATAAAAAATTACTATAATTAATCTCTAGAAGTATTTAGAATTATATTTTATATATATATATAGATATTAAAGATTACAGTAAGTGTATTAATAAATATTTTTTTATTAATTAATATATACTATATATAATTAAAAATAATATTAATATTAAATATTTTATCTGCAGGGGTATGTTTAATAATATTTTATATTTTTTATTTTATTATTAAAGAAAATTCTAGGATCTTTAGTTTCTTAATTATATTAATATTAGATAGATTAATTTCTAGAGACTCTAGGAAGAAAATTTATTAAAAAATTTTTATTTTTTATTTTATAATCTTTATATTATTATTTAGATTTTTAAAAATTAAAATAATCTTATTATTCCTACTTCTATTTTTAGCTTATTATGATATTTATTATATTCTATAAGATTTTTTTTATAACCCTGCGTATGGTATTTTAATAAATATTTTATAAAATATATTTAATAATTTTTATTTTTTTATTTTTTATTATTATATATTTTTTCTACTTCTTTTCTATTTATTTATTTATATATGCGTATTTTATTTTTTTTATTATTTTTATTATTTTATGGTATTCCAGAATAAATCTAGAATTAGTTTATTTATTAGAATTAGTCTATAGGGTTGACTCTATAATAGCGTGTTATATTATTTTTATAAGATAGTCTATAATAATATTAATTTATTTTAAAATAAGATTTTCTAAGTAGCTCCACGGGTCTTTTTTAAGATTTATTTTTATAAATTTATATATTTTTTTTTATATTTATAGTTTTTTAATTCTTCCTTAGTGTCGGTTTCACTAATAATATATTTAGGTTAATAATCATAGGTATTAAGAGGTGATTGGAGTCAGTATATATAATTAATATAATTTTATATATAATTAAATAGTTTATTAACTTAGAGATATTAAAAACTAGATTAATTATAGTTTAATAGTCTGCACGCTTCTAAGTGATAATATCTAATTTAAATTAGAAATCTAGATTAATATTATTTATAAGAATTAGTAGTAGGTCTATTTTAAAATTAGATTTTATATTCTTATTATTCCATGTAAGGTAGTAAAGATTAAAATTATTTAATATAAATTAGTCTTTATTTTTTAATTGCTTGTTGTCTGATAGGATTAAATTTATTAGAATATTTATAGTTATTTTATTATTATTATTATATATATTTAATAAATATAAGATTTATTTATATTTATTATAAAAGTAGAGCTCCTGCATATTATATAAGTATTTTATATATTATTATTTATTTAAATTAATTTTCTTAGAGATGAATATGTATATTTATATTTAATTCTTTATTATAGTTATTAGATATAGTAATTAGTGGCTATAAGTAAAATTATATATAATATTTAAAATAAAATTCTTTTATAGTTTTTAAATTACGATGATATTTACTTTAAAGATTTAAGAATTTTATAAGAAGTATTCTATTATTATATTCTTTAACTTATTTATATTATATTAGATAATTTATAATAATTTTTTATTTATTATTTAAATATTTCTAAGATTTCTCCGGTTTTATAGCGTAGACAAATATAGTAAGATAATAAATTATTTTTTATATTATTAATTCTATATTTTTTAGATTATATTATGATATTAAGTATGGAGCTACTTAATAACTTACTTAATATTAAATTAAAAAATATTAAATCTTATTTTAGAGATTAAAAGAGAATTTTTGAGGTTTATATTAAGATATAAAGGTTGGAATTAGGGTTATTACTATTAATTTTTATTAATATTTTTATTATTTTTTATGTGGGCTTTGACTAGACTAATTATAATCTTTATAAAACTATTAATGCTCTGTATTTAAATTTATATTTAGATTTAAAATATAAAATTCTTTAGATTTTTTTTAATTATATGTTAGTAGTTTTAATTATTTTACTTATTAATTATATATATGTGGTTCTAGTTGTTATTTTCTTTCTAATAAGCTATTATTTAATTTTATAGTTAAATAACTAGCTTATCTAAAATTTAAGAATTAATCTAATTTATAGTTCTATAAGAATTACTAATATTATTACTTTTTTATTTTTATTTTTATAATTAGCTTATTTATTCTTGTTCGTTACTTTCACTGCTGTGTGTGTTTTAGTAGATATTAGATCTATTATTTTTATATTTATTATATTTATTATATTATTATTAGTTTATTAAATAGAGAATATAATAGTATTTTTAAAACTACTATCTCTGGAGATGCTATCTTATAATAATTTATTTATAAAAATTATTCTCACTAAGGATAAGATAGTTTAGAAATAAAAAAAAATAAAATAATAATATTTAAATAATCTTTTAGTAAATTTAATTATAATTTATTATATTTTTTTTATAAGTTAAACACGTCTGATTTTATATATAATATATATTTTTATAATTAATATACTTTAGTTTTTTAATTTTATTTACTTTTTTTTATAGATATTTATAAGTTTAATAATACTTTATATAGTACGCGTAGATTATTTAGTTAAAATAGATACTTCTTATATAACTATATTATTAATAATTATAATATTAATAGATATGTAATATTTAATTATACTTAATTATAATTAAAATTTAAAAATTTTATATAATATTATATTTAATTACTTTATTTACTAGAATAAAAAAGATAAATTTAATAATGATTATTAAAGACTTTTATTTTTTAAGATCTTGAGGAGAGGTAGTTAGCTAGTATATATAAAAAATCTTAGTATTATTATTCTAGTAGTAGATATTATTTATTAATAAGATTTTACTAATTCTTTTTAACTAAATAAAATTAATTAATTTAATTTATATTTTATAAACTATAATTCTTTAAATTAGATAGTAGATGACTGTATTCTTTCAGAGTTTATATATTTATAAAAAATATTATTAGATAGTCTCTATCTTTGTAGTAAAATAAAAATTAAGATTTAAGTTATTTAATTTAAATTACTATACTGTAATAAATTTTATAATAACTAAAAAAAAAAATATTAGTTTAGTAAATTTAGATATATATTTTTTTAGCCTTTTCTAAGATATTCTTTAGAAGTATTCTATAGAATTAAATCATATTTTTTAGATTATTAAGTTTAATAATGATCTAAGTTTTCTTTATTAGCTTAAAGGGGGATATATCTATTAAGATTAATTTTAATTATATTAAGCTAGGTAGTAGTATATCTTTTTATATAGTAATATTAGCCTAGTTATAAATATTAATAGGGAAAAAAGACTTCTTTATAGTAATTTTTAAAAAATATATATACTCTTCTATATTTTAACAGAGTGTCTTAATCTTTATGTAAAGAGCTTCGTACTTTTACTATTAAAAATATCTAGAGAAGTTTTTTAGTAGATCTACTAGGAATTCTTATATATTCTTAATATAATTAATGACTAGTTTAAGTATCTAAGAGCTTTTGCTTACTTCTAGGTACCTAAGTATTATATTTATATTATATTAAAGATTTAAAGTATATTCCTAGAAGTATTCTGATTTCCTCGTGGAGATAGCTAGACTAGATTAGTTAAGTATTTTTAATACTATCATTGCAATAATCTAATAAAATTAGTATTAGATAATAGCAGTGCGAGTTACGAGAAATTTATTAAAAGATGAGGCCTCTAGGGCCTCGTATTGTGATATGATTTCAAAAATTCGATTCCTGCGTAAGTTGTTGTTTTTTTTTTTTTTGGTGCCATAGTTTCAGTTCCCTGTGGTTATGTCGGGACCGGGGTTGGGCGCTAATGGGTACAGGGGCACATTGTGAGCAGGCTAGCTCAGTGATGCATGTAAGGACGATACTGCGAGAGCATGCTTTACTACTGCACAGTAGCCCACATAGGTATCAAGGGGCTTCAGTCCACGAATGAGTGGTTGTGACATATGCAGAACCGATACTCTAGTTGGGCAGGGGTTAACGGATAGGCGGGATCGACTTAGCACGCCATTAAGCATTTTTAAGTATGTCTGACTATCTTTTGTTTAGTGGATAATGGCGTTGAACTAGCAATTATGTTACATATACTGGTGGGTTACCCTCAATATCTATTTCATCCGAGCCTGTGTCCGATGATCACCAACGCCAAAGCCCATTTCAAAAGTTTGTCTTCCTAAGCAACTCAAATCCTGCCTCAACCTTTGTTCCTGCTCCTCTAAGGTGACTAGAAGCAACTCTACCGGTTCGACAATCCGAATATAACCCCCCTCGCCACCGCCACTTCCCTGCTGCTGCTCGCCACGACTTACGTACAACGACAGATACATCCGCACATAGCGGCTGACGCGATCCAGCAAATGAGACAACAGCTGGGCCTTCAGCACGAGGTCCAACTCGGAATTCGACGGCGGCATCATCAGGTGGGGTCCGCGGACCATGCCTTGAGCCGATTCGGCGCGGGAATGTTGCTGGAGAGCCTTCACGAAGTCGATATACACCCGGAGCAAATGGATATAACAGGAGATGACGGCAAGGGCGGTGGCGCCTTCTCCGCTGGAACTGGATCGCTCCGACAAGGAGTTGTGGGCGTGAATATACAGGCCATGCATGATGACAGCCAGGGCTTGCGATGCTTTGATCACCTGATTGGTTTTGATCTCATCGGAACGCGCCTCACTGCAGTTTTGCATTTGGCAAAGGCTGAGATGCAAGTCGAATAGACGTCGCATACATTCATCCACACTGGCATGATGATTCAATTGTTCCATCTCGCCACTGCCATTGGGGGTGTCGTCATTGCGCCCCCTCGGCATTCCTTGGGACACCGTCTCCATCGGAGAGTTTTGTGGAAGCGGAGAGCTATGCCCAAGAAGATCGGGAACAGACGATTGACTCGGACTGGTATTGTTGGATTCACTGTCAGGCCACTCGGCGTGTGATGGAAGGAAGGGGATCTGTGACTGGTCTAAGTGTTCATCGGAGCTGAATAGAAACGGATTGTCGAATCGATCCCGCTCTACTCCCTGGTTTGTCGGCTCGAGGAGGATATCAGGCATCGCCGTGCCGCGGCCCGTCTCGGCGGTCTGTTGGGGGTGGTGGAAGGGGAAGGGGTAGGAGTAGGGCTTGAAGCTCGCAGATCCCGTCCCCACATCATTGTCGACCGAGGTGGGTAACCCAGGAGGGAAGGATGGCCAATAGCCTGGATCTGTGCTGGGGGTAAGGAGCTGTCCTTCATGTGAGGAAGTATGTTGGGAGTGCGGTTGATGCTGCAGTTGTGGAGAAATCTGAGGCACCTGCGGGCTGGTTCGCACATGATTGTGCGGTCGTGATGCCACCGGCGGAGCACCCCTGGGAGAAGGGTAGGATCGAAGCACTGGGAAACTGTGCACGCAGGCAGCATTTGCGCGTTGGCACCGGATGCACGGTCCATAGCCATTTGGACTCCGGGTGCATCGCACCTTGTGTCCATGGCACCGATCACACGCCTGCCGCTCAATGCGCCTGGTGACATGTGCAGTCTTGCGGAGACTGGGGCTGACAGGAGGATACGGAATATTGTGATCCTCGAAGCTGGCGTTATTCATCGTGCAGCTGGGTTCGAGAATGTCCTGGGTATGATGATATGCCGGGAGAATAACTAGACCTTGTTGTCTCTACAGGAACAGCTGTCTTCTTATTTATTTTGTTTACTTTTCTTCAACGAAGAGAACCCCATTAAATGAGGCCGAGGCCTCATTAGCGCTTATTCAGGTGGGAGAAGAGCTATGAGAGAAGGGGCTACTGTCTCGCCTATCTTCCAAGACCTCCTGGATGTGGTAACTTCGGTCGAATAGGCGAAATCAACCGGGTGGCCTATCGTTTAATCTTACGGTCCTAATCTTGGCAAGTTATCGGTGTCAATGATAGCAAAGTCTCCAACATTAAACGGGATCCCTGCAACTGCAAGCAGACCGCCGCCTCTCACCAGATCTGACGACCAAGGGAATTGAAGAAGGCTTTGAAGGATTCGCCACGGTCCCACTGATTTTACCGGAATATTACCCGCTCAACACTGCAGAGAAAGCCCCATCGCACGAAAATCTGACGGCTCCACGGCCGCAAACGTGGTTATGTGGGGATTAAGCAGAAACACTAAACAGTCTGGGGCCAACACGACACGAGGCACGGAAGAACCGAATGGACCGAAGGCGTCCAGGAAAGGAAAATAAAGACTGCTTCTTGGACTACTCGAAGGAGATTAGATAAACGGATCAGATTGTTTAGTCTGAAAGCCAGGATGAGCCCGTCACACCCTAATAATTAGCCTCGCTCTAACCGGCTTGGGCATGCTGTGCGATTGATTGTGGCAATTGTAGCCGCCAGGACATGGAATCATACCCGACTATGAAACAAGCTCGATTCTCACCCACCAAACAGGACGCTGTTTGCGAAGAGAATCCCTGCGCGTCTAAATGGACGTAATCATTGGAGGGAACTGACAAAACATGCAGTGTTGATGCCCAGTCTTTGTGGTACTTCACTTCACTATCAGGAGCTGTTCATTTAGGGCGCCAAGATGCGATGTATGGGCGTATATTAGAGCGGTCTCCCCCAGACCAAGTCCGGTAGCCAGAGGACTTGAGTGACTGTCCGAGGAGCTCACAATTCCTGTTACCCACTATGTCGTCTGATACTTCCCTCTCGAGCATTCCGGCGTGTGCAGCCTGGGATCCCGCCGTCAGTCCCGGTGACTATGGCTACCGACCCAGCCTTGCTTGGGGCATCGTTTTCACAACCCTATTCACCCTGATAGCTATCGCTCAGTTGGTCCACCTGATCCGCACTCGCGCCTTTTGGACCTTCTTCTTCATTATGGGCGCTGTCCTCGAGGTCCTCGGATGGGTTGCCAGGGCTGTTAGCTACCACTGCCCATACTCAAGGGCCTGCTTTCTAATGCAGACCGCCACCCTGATCATGGGTAAGTTGGATTCCCATCTCGCCCCCCCCCCACATCACCTCCCTCGTATACCAGGGTGCACCATCCCATATCTCAAACCGGTCACCTAGTCTGATTCTGGAACCCCCAACAGGACCGTCTTGGACCCAAGCAGGCATCTACGTGACTCTCTGGGTCCTAATTCAACACATGGGCCGACACGCCTCCCCACTCCCTCCACACATCTACCTTTTCATTTGTTTCCTCATCGATGTCATCTGCCTAACCGCCCAAGCCACCGGCGGAGGCCTCGCGGGGGCCGCTTTCAGCCAAGGCACCTCCACCACACCCGGTACGCTCACCATGGTGGTAGGCATCATCGCTCAGCTCGTCGCGGGAGTGATTTTCTTCTTCCTACTCTCCATCGTCCTCTACCGTGGTAGTACCGAGCTCCAGGCCAATCGACCCTTATTCCTCGTGGCCGCCGCCACGGTGTTCTCTACGTTGATGATGATCATGCGTAACGTGTACCGGTCCGTCGAGCTGACTGAGGGCTGGAGAGGGTATTTGGCTACCCATCAGCGGTATGTCTTGGCGTTGGATGCCCTGCCTATGGTGCTGTCTATGGGGGTGTATGTGTTCTTTCACCCGGGGGCGCATCTGAAGCGGATAGAAAGCGAGGATGAGCAGCAGGAAATGGCCACTCGATCGAAGACGATGAAGCATGCGGTGAGAGAATACTTCAATCTTTGATCCAAAAAGGCTTGAATCGGGTCGGTCCGTGATCCCCGTGTCCGTGTCCGTGTGGGCATCGTGCTGGGTTGGGTTGGAGAGGGATAAGCATGACTCGAATGCCAAGGAGTTGCTAGGAATTTGGGCTAGAGGTGTTGGAGACCTATCCACCGAGATTTCTGATGTGGTACGGTTTTGGTGTATACAAGAGAGTGTAGGGTGGGACCGCGTCGGTTACTAGACTAGTTGCATTGGAGGTATAACAGAGCATATAGACGACCAGTGAAAAAAGCGAGTCGTTTCCACTCTATTAATAGACCCCATTAAGTCCGTTAAGTCCTGTAATAGTCATTTACCGATTCGTCCCAAACCCTACGGGAAGATCATCAGGCCCTCATGAATATAAGTAGAAAGGGCGAGACGCTGTCAAGTAAACCGATAACTGCTTCGCATTGTCTCTGACTGATAATCTCCCTCAAAGCACTGCTACATCTTCACCCAAATTTCAAAATTCCATCCTCCACCTTTCTTCCTTCCGAGCCAGTAACTACAAATAACGCAGCAAATGCACCCGCACGCCACCAAATCCTTCCACATTATCGGCCGAGAATCTCACTCTGTCAGACGGTTAAAACCGAGAAGGATTCACAGGATGAAGTGAACCCAAACAAGGTGGCTGAATATACCTTGAAGAAAATTCTCTATACGACATGCGTATCAGCCTGGAGCAAGAAAAACCTCGTTGACACATCGACTTGTTGAAATGGGTATCCCATTGGCCCATCATCCTATCAAGGCGTTTAGGATGATCTGGGCAACTAAACCCGAATCAATACTACCTTGCGATCGTCCCGCTATTGCATGCCTTAGCGCCGATGCTCGGGATCCTCAACCCTCAACAGGAAACACCCTATTTAACCTTTGGCCCCCAATTATTTTATAGGGTCGGTATCGTGTATCGTCCGTCTTATGCTTTCGAGAGCTGGCTTTCGGACAAGGGATTCTTCCCCTGAGAACATGCCCGAGGAATAAAAGCCCCACTGAGACATTTTATATCAATATTAGGCCCGCCAAGGTCAATATCGCAAATAGGTACTAGGGTTCACGAATCATATTTTCTGCGCTACGATGCGATTTACTGAAATAATTCTCATAACCCTAGATGCAATTAACCTGGCGGAATTCGGGGTACGGCAAGTGGGGCCGGCATTAATTGAGCGTCAAGGGACGGAGGAAACGGCCATCATTCACAATGGGATCTTTGCGGGTTTTGGCTGGCTGTTGGGATGTAATCACCTGGGTTGAATGAGGTTAATTAGGACATCACTGATGGATTATATCAGGCCATATTTTGACTCTTTATTGGTTATGCTCGCTCTTCTTACCACCGATAAGCAGTCCGCTCTCAAAATATAGTACGATTCCATATCTTACACTGAGCAAAGTCACCTGGAATCAGAGACCGCGATAAAGTCCCTACCCCAAAAAATTAATAATATCCTCGGCGGATATATTGAATCGTTTACTTCAATGCTGGTTACGGACGCAGTACTTACTAGCGGGTCTTTTCTCTCAAACCGCTGCCTCAGAGGGTTAGGATTACCGTTACTACTTAGCGTTTTGGTGTAGTCAAAGTACAATATATGTGTCTAAAGACCTGTTTAATACAGTGATAGGCCGTGTTTTGGCTGAAGGCGTGGCTGCAGATGAGATTAAGGTTGGACTGAATCTTTGTCATCATAGGTCCTGGTGATTGTGTGGATGTAGGTGTCTAGACTCTAGATTGTGATACTTTCTGATGGAGGAAAGGGAAATGATGAATTGGGGATAAGGGATATGCTGTTGTCGTGAGATGAAGCAATTAAATCGCAGAGTTGAAATTTTGTAGAATCAGATGAAACAATATCTTGCGTATTGTTATAGAAATCTATCTACTGTGAGCTAAAGGAAGATCTGTGAATTAAAGTTGAACAGTTTTCAGTATGATTATGGATTAGCGAGATAACTTCTGTTGATATAAATGAGTTTGTCACTTTGTGGACTGGATATAAATAAGCATTATTATTCATTCATTGACGGATTGGATACGAAAGGCAAGTACAGTTAGGCTCATTATAGCTAATCCAGATTAAACCCTGGGTGAAAGTTTGTGCAGAAAGAACTATTATTACTCCTTGTCACCATTTGATTTTCCTACTATTAGTCTTAGAACGCACTGCTCGGTAGTCTTATGACGTTCTCCCTCTAGATGGATAGCGAAGCGTTCACTTTTGTAAAGATTGCGCCTTAATTTGGCCATCCTAATTATTATATGACTTCAACATGACAATAGCCTTCTCTATTCAACTAATCAGGAACTATACTACGAAGTGTCTTGATAAAGATATCAATAAGCCTACCAATTGACGGTTTAGTAATTGGCGAGTGGTTTCAATAATCACTATACCCAATGTAGACTAAAAGAGGGGTTATGATGATTCAAACACCGGGTCACCGAGGAATTCTCCACACCAAAAAGCACCAACTTGGCAGAGTATGGATTTGGTTTATATCGCTGACAACACATCTGTTATTGCTATTTTGGCTGGCACATTACCGTTCATATACTCCTTTATACTGCGCCTGAGGATATCTTTTATTCAATGAACGGAGTCAATAAACGATATCTCATGACTACCCCAGTCATGTTAGTGTTTTTTACATGTTATCTTACCCCGCGTTCTGAATCAAGAAAAACAAAACACGATAGGAAGAAACCGAGACTGGTAAAAACAGGAAAGAGCATAGAAAGGTGAGATAGGGGTAAGTACAACGGGTTGTTAAATACTCCGGTCAATCCATTATGGTAGCTTTGTATACTGCCTCCATCTCCTTGGCCATCATTCCCACCCCCTCAAAAACACTATCCGCCCGAAAGGACGCCATCAACGCCTCCATCCCCAAGTGCAACTCCTCCATCAGTCGCTCTGCATCCTGTACCTCGGTCTGAACACTCGGCCGATCAAGCAAATAGTAAACACTACTCAAGTTCCCTGCGTAGGCTGCCGCTCGGACGCGCCACAACACCATAGTCAACGCATAGAAACACTGCAGCTGGCCACATGCCAGATATGGTATAGAACGTGGTGAGCCCAGCGATGGTCGCGATCGCGACACCCAAGAAGCAGTGTTCTCTCCATCAGGGGCGTCGGCCGCGTCGGAATACGCCGGGTTCGGGGACGGCAAGCGGCGAGAGATGCGCGACACGACAAGGGAGGATTGAAGACATATACGGATTGACTCCTGTTCGGTGAAAGGGAACAGCGAGTTTATCTCGTTCATTCGGGACGGGGAGAGCTGAAAGGGGCGAGAAGATGACCGACCAGTGTTGCTGGCAAGAAGATCACACTGTTCGCTGAAGAATATTGAGGGTTCTGGGAAGGCGCGAATACGATGGAGGGCTAATCGAGCCATATGGAGGAGGGCGCTGGATGTGGCCCATAGAATGCGCTCAGAGTCAGCCTCGGTGCCTTGGCAGTTGGCAATGCAGCGGTATCGGTCTGCCTCAGCCGCGAGGTCAAGGAGAGAAGTGTCTAGGCTTTTGATCTCTTCGCGTAGCGAACTGGGAAGTCTAGGATTGTTACTGTTGTCGCTGTTATTGTTGTTATCACCCTGGATAAGCTGACGTTCAATGGAGCAGCTGTGGAGAAGGAGTACTTGTGCGTTTATCAAAAGCGGCCATGGCTAGAGCACGTCAGTTTGAAGAAGTCAAGTAAAGACATGTAATTATTCACCTCACGACACCCGCGAATTTCAGGAAATGGGATGGTAATACGGAGATCATCACTGGTTATGATCGGGGGCTAGACGAGGTTAGCATGTTCACATAGTGAAAGTAAGTCTCACAAGCAGACCGACGCAGTCATTAAAGATGACAGGTAAACGAGGGAGATCTAGTTCGATCAGGACGGTTTTATAACACGGATGAGAAGCAGGAGGACAAACCGTCCCCCACCAACAACGCCTGCGCGCATCAAAGCAATCTGTCAGCGACTTTTGCCCGTGCAGAGAAAGGTCCATAGCGACGGTCAGGGCCTGGTTTGCCCGGACGCGCATTTTTGCAACATTTCCTCGCTGACAACATTCGTACAGAGTGAGAAGCCCCAATGCCAGAACGGACTCCATCTTTCGAGGAACATCGGGATGCAAGGTGCTTCGTGGGCCCTTAGACAGATCCATCTCAGAGAATGACTCCAGGGAGTCCTCCACGGTCTCCAGCGCTGAACGCGCATACAGATCAGCATATGAGCGTCGCAGTGTGACAGCTTCTTCGTGCGCGGCATAAACGTCTCCAGGATGGGGGATCAGAGCAAGAATTGCCGCCACGGCGAGTCCCAGTGATGACGTGGGCCAGTAAGGTAGAAGGGAGGCATTTGCGTGAGGCGACTGAGGAATTAATGTCATGTACCTATCGCTATATTGGGACTCTGCGGGTGGGGGTAGCACGGGGAAATAAGGGTGAATGAAAATGTAATACGCGTTGATTCTGGGAAACGAGTCAGTCTCACAACAGCTGTCATAGGCTCGACATACAGATCCTGATCGCATCGGTAAGCTCGGAGACTCCATGCGGAACGATCTCCAGTGCGCAGAAGCCCATTGTCGGTGATACCGCTCCCACTGCGTGCCGATGGAAACCCTATGCTGCTGTTGTCTAGAACTCGACCGCACCGTTGGGGTTCTCGTTCAACAGGGGATGGCAACAACACAGGCACAGGAACAGTTGCATCGATCTCCGAACGACGATGATAGCCTTCACTATCCGCATCGGAAGCTTCGACATGAATCCCAGTATTGGTCTCATTGGCCAGCCGTTCAGCCCTTCTCAAGGCCAGTTCCTCGGCGGCGGCGGCACCTCGCCGAGCACCCCCTCGTCGACTGGGCCGATATTGGCATTGTTGTCGGTGGGTGGAGCACTTTATGAATCAGCTGCATTCGGATTGATAATTCCAAGAGCACGCCTACATTGGCGCAAGGGTTCTGGCCGTTGCAGCGGATTTTGGAGGCGCGGCTATCCGTCATTCATTTCCATGATTGATGTCAGTGGCGGTCCGGGCGTCGATTCCTGAGGTATTGGTCACTCACCAGGCCAAACAGGCTAGCTTCACCGGTCGAGATGGCATTCTTGCTCACTGTCGCGTGATGTGCCCTCAATCCGCCGATGGCTATTTAGTAGAGCCCATGATCTTAAAATGACGGTGACTGTGCAAAAGAACAGGCTGGAACTTCAGTGTTTTTATCGGTGTTTGAAAGTGGGCCGGCGGAGTAGACTGGCAGAATTTCATTCCGCTTCCATTCTTGAAGTACCATTCACTCTTTTTTTCCCCTTTGGTAATCTTGTCGGTTCTTTCAACTGAGCTGAATAAGAGACCTTATCATGATAACTTCTATGGAGGCTTGCAATGCCTCACAGAGGGTTTCTCGGAGCTCCATAGCATCTGGATCATGTTATTGCGCCACTTCCGTCGTTGTCGCACGGCCCCCTTCCCCTCTTTTGATAAGATAAGCCGGCCACCACTAACTAACTAACTAGTTAGTTATATAAACCCGAAGGCCATAGACCCCGCGTGGCCTCTCGTATTCTGCACAACACCCCTCCTCTTGGCACCTTTCTTTGTTGAAAGCACCACAATGACACAAGGAACAATCTCCCCCATCCCGGCCAGCGCTGAGTACTACGACTTGGGCTCGTTTGCCCATACTATCACCACCAACAGCCCCGACACCCAGACCTGGTTCAACCGAGGTCTAACATGGGTGTACGCATTCAACCATGTAGAAGGAGCCTACTGTTTTGAGCAGGCAATTGCACATGATCCCACATGCGCGATGGCATACTGGGGTCTCGCCTATGCGGTAGGCCCCAACTACAACAAGCCGTGGGAAAAGTTCGATCCGAAAGACCTGTACGCCTGTGTCCAACGAGGCTACGATGCCGCCCAAAAGGCAAAGGAGTACGCAGCCACCGCGACTCCCCTCGAACAGGCTTTGATTGGAGCAATTCAGTTCCGGTTTCTCACCAACCACCCGGCGGAGAATTACCCGGCCCTCAATAAAGGCTACGCTGCCGCCATGAAGCCGGTCTACGACGCCTTTGGCCATGACCTGGACGTGGCCGCCCTGTATGCTGACGCCTTGATGAACATGACCCCATGGGCCTTGTGGGATCTGTTCACCTGCAAGCCGAACCCCAAAGCCCCCACCATGGAGGTGAAAGCCGTGTTGGAACGAGCGCTCGCGCAGGAGCAGGACGGTGCCCTCAAACACCCCGGTCTACTCCACCTATACATTCACTTTATTGAGATGTCACCTACCCCCGAGCTGGGCATCAATGCAGCTGATCACCTGCGCAACCTCGTCCCAGCCGCCGGTCATATCCACCACATGCCCACCCACTTGGATATCCTCATCGGTGACTGGCGCCGGTCTATTGCCTCCAACTACAACTCGACCGTGGCCGATGACAGGTACTTTCAAAAAGCCGGAGCGGCCAACTTCTATACCTTCTACCGCATGCACGACTATCACTCGTTGGTCTACGCAGCCATGTTCGCCGGTCAATCCAAGACCGCCCTGGACGCAGTCACTCGCATGGAAGCCACACTGCCCGATGAGGTCATGCGGATCCAGTCTCCGCCTATGGCTGACTGGCTGGAACAGTTCGTCCCTATCCGCTTGCATGTGATGGTGCGCTTCGGCATGTGGGAGGAACTCAAACGCAAAGAGCTGCCCCACGATCAGGAACTCTATGCCGCCACCACCGCAGTCACCCACTATGCCCGCGGCGTAGCCTTTGCCGCGACGGGGGACATAGCCACCGCCAAAGAGGAAGAGAAGCTCTTCCACAAAGCATGGGCTCGCGTCCCTACGACTCGTCGCGCTTACAACGGCAAAATGGTCGACGTGCTTCAAGTCGCCGCAGCGATGTTAGAGGGCGAGATTGAATATCGCTGCGCCAACTACGACAAGGCTTTCGCGGCCATTCGCCGTTCGATCGATATCGAGGATAAATTGCCCTACAGTGAACCGTGGTCGTGGATGCAGCCGACCCGTCACGCATACGCGGCCCTTCTCATGGAACAGGGCCATCTAGAAGAAGCAGCACTGATCTATCGGGCGGACCTGGGTCTGGATAGTACGCTTATTCGTCCGCGTCGACACCCCAATAATGTCTGGTCGCTGCAGGGATACCATGAGTGTTTGGTTCGTTTAGGCAGGTTGGAAGAAGCGGCTGTGATTGAGCAGCCAGTTAAGCTCGCCCTTGCGGTGGCGGATATTCCGATCAAGGCGTCGTGTTTCTGTCGCTTGGATACTTCTCAGGCGCCGCAGGTTTTGGACTCGTGCTGTTCTAAGGAAAAGAACTGCTAGGATGGTTGAACTGGCTTGTGGCTTGAATCGGGCGTACAAAAGCGTTCTCTTCGTCTTTGGCCTTTTCTGTATAGTATGGCTTGTCGCCTGCCTTTATCAAATTGGCCACCATTTTCATGTCAATTATCATGAATGCAATTGGATACTTGCTTGGGTCTAGCGTGCATCCTCAAGCCCCCAATCTAAAGATCCGGACAAAAGGGCAACTCTATACTAGTTATACTTACAGCCACTCTCATTATAAAGTATACATATTCCAGACACTTCCCACGTGTCCCCTATTCCGGACCCTATCATGGCGATTAAAGGGTGGGTGAAGTCACTCCAAGGCTGGATGAGATGCACCGGACATGGCGAAGAATGTCCTGATGGGGATCAGGACACAAAATAAATTTGGCAGCTGCCAAGGGAAATATATATTTTCTCATCCACAATAGTTGTCACAAATATGGATTTAATGGTAAGAGTACTGTTTAGATGCAACATCATTCTTCAGGGATCATGGGATAAGAGGGGTTGGTTCGGAAATACCTCGGCCCGCTTATCCGCACCGCTGCTGACTCACCCCTCCTCGAGGGTCTCATTTCTCGACTGAGACTCCCTTCCTACTTGGCAAACAACAAGAACACAGGCAGTGAACCTTAACGGCGAGCCTACATCCATCATCTACGGCAGTGAACCTTGAACGGCGAGCCCCTACTTTTAAAAAGAACCCAGCCCGAGATGGTGTCCACCTCCTCCGCTGCTGACGAAAAGGCGTTGGTGGTGTCCCCGTGGCCTCCGGAGAACCAGTTGCTTCAATTCCGCGCCATGTCCCGCCTGGCAGCTCAGCATTATCCTGATGCCAATGACATAAAACTGTCGAAGGAAAAAAGGGCGTCGGAGGATTGCCCAGGACAACGGGGCCTATAACAAGGGTCGCGAGGGACATCGAGTTCCGCGGTTGATGCCTTGGGGTTGTTTTTGAAAGTGGACCAATAGAAACGATATCGGGGTTATTGTAAAGGGGATTAATCTGGCTGGCGAGGATGTGATTTTTCAAGATACGGAGGTGTGCTCTTTCCTTTTCTTCTCTGTTCTTCCCCTTTTTGCTTCATGGGATGACGCCGTGGTCAACCTGGCAGACCTTGAAAATCAACTCCCATTTGTCACCATAGCTTCTTGCATCACAGAAATAGTTATTCTACAGCCTAGAGGGCCTTGCGTGCTTCGCCTAGATCACTTGGGAGGTCCCTGCACCTCATCCGACAAGCCCGAACTCCCTGATATCACTCCGGAAGATGGGTTTCATGTCTCGCCGCCAATAGGATGATTCCAACATGCATCTAGTGAGCTGGTGCGCGGCTTAGCACGGCAGGAGAGCCGAAGCTATACGGTTTCAGGCTAGCTCAAACCTGAAAGCATTGTCTGGAAAGAAATCAGCCTTGCTGGCGGGGGACGTGCGCTGGTGGGCGCAGTCAAGGTGCATGGTTAGCGTCTACTGCGCCGGGTCCTCCCTGGGTATACCCACGGGGGTATGAGAGGTTCTCTACCCGACTAGTCATTTGTCCCCTCCAAGCATTTATATTGACTGACTCGCACAAACTTGCTCACATCACCTCTCTTTCGATACATCCTTAGCTGCCATCTTCCCATCCTCACTGCTTCCATCTCCCAGGCTACTACACCTCCCCAGGTAACCCTCCAGTCAACCAAAATGCCTTCACCCACTCACCAAATCCACCCCAAACCATCCCTTCGAAAGCCACGCGCCCCCCTCCAAAAGGCCACCGTAACCGCAACCGCCACCCAAAACGCGCCACCACAGCCACCAAGGTCAGCCAAGACGTCCTCGACAGAATCCAAAAAGCCTTTACGCGAAGCAAGCACGAAGCGGCCAATGAATCCGAAGCCAAAGCCGCCATATTCGTGGCCACCAAGCTCATGCGCCTCCACAACGTCACCTACGCAGACATTCTCGCCAACGACACTGAAAACAGCAACAAAGAGAAGTACGGTGGAAGCAGCGAGATTTCCATCACGCACACCACGCCTTTCAAACGGCCCCAGCACGAGACATTCGTCAGGAGACTAGCCTGTGCAATGTCTATCTTCTTCGATTGCAAGTGTTATTCTACTGAGCGGCGGATGGCGATCGTGTATACGTTTTATGGCATTGCGGAGAATACAGTGGCAGCGGCGCAGGGGTTTGAAATGGCGCATAATCAGATTTTGTTGTGGTCGGGAGCGTATAAGGGTCGGTCGTCGACGTTTAGTTATCGGCTTGGGGTGGCGGATGGGTTGGTTTCAATGGCTTATGAGGAGAGAAATCGGGAGTTGATGGAGGTGAGGAGGAAGGAGCTGGATATGATTGCTGCGAGGGAGCGTGAAGAGAGGGATCAGCGTCAGCGGGAGGTGGGGAGGTTGGAGAGGTTGGAGAGGTTGCCGTGGAATGAGGATTCGGGGACCGAAGATGAAGAATTTTCGGGCGGGAGTCTTGGTGAAGGGATTGGTGGGATTGGTGATGGGGCTGTGGATATGGACGAGGCTGGGGATCACGAGAAGGCTGACTTCAACGAAGATGATGAGAATGTCATCGATCTAACCGGTGACATTGACGACAATATCAACAGGCTGATCAAGACGGAGGAGCCGGAGACTTTCAGCTTTTCTGCTCCGCCCAGCACCACGGTGAAGTCTGAGAAGAATGTATCTCCTCCTGCAGCTGTCAAGAAGGAAGAGCCAGCGGCCTCCCCTTGGGCATCCGAGATGCAGTTGACCAGGTTCCGTGCATCATCTGTGCAAGTTGCAGAGGACTATCTCAAGGATCATAAGATTAAGCTGAGCTACAGGAAGCCACGCCAAACCGCTGCTAAAGACAGGGACACTTATCAGCAGGGCCGCAAGGATAGTAAGGACGTCGAGTTTCGTTGATGCCCGAGAATTGAGTTAAACATGATGAGTCGAATGCGTTTTATTACCTAGGTCTATCGTTTCTAGAAGCTGATGTTGGAATTGCTCATTTCTATGCTTGTTTTCATTCATAATGATAGTTACCTGAGCCGTGGTAAAGCTCCGAATGTCAGAATCATGCGTCCTCATATATATGCTAGGAGGTAAAAGGGACGCAAGGCATTGTAATTGACGGATCATAGAACTTACGCATTAGCGATAAGGAAAATATCCGCACGTTTTGCCTTGAACATCCCCCATCTACAGAAATCCCATGTTATAGCCATACTTGATAGCCTTTCGGTTCTAAGCCAGGTCACTACAATCATCAGGCGCTCAGTGGCCATGATGCTGGCCTGGACGCGTCAAGGATGATCTGGTCCCGGCACAAGCAAGAAAAATCCTCAAGTCGTACCAAGATGTCTGCTAACTCACAGAGCGACAAACTTTAGCAGATTAGCCAAATCAACCCGATCGTATGTTAATGATCACAGGCTAGCTTCGGGGCATTATCTCATCTTATTCAGTTTAGCATTTGTTACATCAGATACCCATCCTCCCTCCATAATCACCCATAACCAAACCCTACATTAATCCAACACCCCAGGCCCCCGAGAAAGAATCTTATACTTTCCTATCTCCCGCCTACCAATGACAACATCGACCTGCAGGCCGTCGAGCGCATAAAAGTCCGTCTGATAAGTAGCAGACCCCCTGTCAAAGCCCCAAGAGACATTCCGCACGATGCCATCTGGTTTCAAAACAGTGTAGTCTTTCCTTAAATAGTAGTCAGACGACAGAAGATCCGAGGTTTCCTCTAGGGTCAAGTCAAGTTGATCAACGAGGCTTCGTCGCATGACGCTTACTTGGGCCATGGTGGCCAAGTGCATCGTGGCATCTTTCTTTTCCAGGTTATGCGCAATCAGGTAGCCCTTGTCGCTATTGTCGGTATCTTCCGCCGGATGTGCTTCGCTGGTTGCTGTGGGGGGGGATGTGGCCCTGGGAGCAGTGAACGTGACGGGGATTGCGAATAGACCCATGGTGGGTGATGTTGATGATAGAAAGAAGAAGAAGTGGGAGAGGAGAAGGGACGACTTATATATCAAGTTGTATCCCTGAGGTAGGCATTTTCCGCATGTAGGCTCATCCCTGAGGCAATCCCCGATTCTGCGCCCGATTAAAGCCAGAGTAGATTCATGATGTGAAATATGGTCTAGCTGTCCTCCGACATGTCATGACGTCTCATGTATTTCCTGCAAGGGAAACCCGGGCACCTTGAATATTATATAGAAAGTATGGACCGGCTCGTTAGCTACAGGCATAAAGGCAGAACTACAAGGGAATAAAGGACGGCTGATCGCATCTTTATTGCACCACAACCAACCCGGGGTATTCTTAGACGGCCATTCAAGCCCATATATATCCATTGTTTGGTTCATATACAGATGCTGCATATCCGATGCATGGTCCAGAAAACAACCATTTATGGCCCAGTGCATGCTACTAGCAATGTACCTAGTGGCAAGTCATTGAAAAGAACGATTGACCGTAAATTACACGGAAAGCAATGATGATAGGACATAGCTGCTTTCCAATGAGCAAATAATTTCAGCATTGGGTCCAAAGAAGCCACATCCGCGACAAAGTCCTTCCAGAGTCGTTCAACAAACTCATTACCAGCGGATTCATTCAACAAAGGCGGTCCCCTGAATGAAATAAATCCGAGCCATTAGCGCTTGCTAACGATAAGAACTAGAGACTGAGGGCTACTCACGGATCGATCTTGTTGCTTTGTATGAACTTCCCATGACTCTCACGTCCAGCAACGGCAGTTGCATGAATAGCTGTCCAACCAGCATGCTTCAAAGGCCGAGACGATGTCCTGCGGTAGATGTACATGATTAGTTTCAGCCAACGTGGGATTGCCCGGTCTAAACCCGTCGATTCCACAAGACCAGGACAGAAGTTGTTGACAATAACCTCGGAATCTGAAACAACCCTGCCTAGGCGGCGGATGAAGGCATTCACAACAAATTTACTGTCCGAATAGCGTAGTAGGCCTTGGTAAATCTCCTTGTCGTCATAGTAGCTCAGAACGTTCTCGGTGGGTCCAAGAGGAGTTCTACTCAATGTGTGGTGATACTGAGTTACGGAACCGACAAAGGTTACGCGTGATGAGCTTTTGCGCTTTGCTGCTGTGGCCCGCAAGAGTGGGAGGAGCTCGAGGATTATGAGGAAGTGGGTGTAGCAATTGACTGTAGGACGAATATAGAATTAGTTGAGGTACTTTGGGAGCGTGGCATGATTGTCTAGTCTCTTAGTATCAAAGAGGTCCGGTACCTTGCATCATCTGCTCATGCCCGCTTTTGCTTCTCTGATAGTGCATTATATTCATACCACCATTGCACAAGAGCACATCTAACTCCGAGACCTCTCTCTTCACCAGGTCACAGAGTGCCAGTCCCGACTGATAGTCGTCGAGATCCAAATGGAACATCTCAACGCGGGCTGACGGGTTAGCTGCAAGGATCTCGGGGTCCTGGCGGAGTGCCGCAACGGCGGCCTGCCCCTTGTACTTGTCTCGAGCAGTAATGATGACTGGGGACGCCTTGAGAGTGAGCATTTGGCGGGCAGTCTCGAACCCGATTCCGGAATTTGCACCCGTGATCAGGCACGTTTGTCCCTCTAGGCTTGTTCCTGGTGGGGTTGGCAGAATGACTAGTTGACCCATATCTGGAAGATAGGAAAGAAAGATCAAACCAAAACAGGGTGTCAGCCAGATAAAGGGGTTTTAAATATGATAAAGCCGGTATTATAGGAATTGCTGCTGGTCGCGTACATCGTCTTCTTCGAGGGAGCCCTGAGAATATTTATATTATCTGGGACAAATCTGCCCCCTCATACTGCATTTATCAGCAGGAAAGGCAACGACATTTCTGATAGCATTTCGACAATGACATCGACATCTTGCACCCATCCTAAGCTGTCCGATACTGCGTCACAGCCGAAGGATCGCGCTAGCAGGGGTCGGACACGCTAGTCAACCGGGGTCTGCCAGCGAGGATCACAGCTGACGCTTTTCTATCCGTTTCATCATCTTGCCACGACTCCAGTTCCTCTCACAATGGATCTCGAATCCGTGCATGCTGCCGCTGACTCTCTGCAGGCCTCAATTCCCTGTTCGTCCTGCAGGTCACGCAAGCAGAAGTGTGACAGATCGTGGCCCATTTGCTCGCGTTGTCAGCGGTGCGTCCACTGAGCCCAGCCCCTGGAGACTATGGTAACAAATTCAACAGGCTGCTACTAAAATGTCATTACTCTACCCCTAATCCATCCCCTCCCTTATCAGACTCGACAGACACGAGTTCTGGTCGGTCACTAGTGCTGCCTAATAATCCCGAGCAAGCACTCGCCCAGGAATTTCGCCTCCTCCACGAGACAGACTCATTTCACTTCGCCCAGTTGACAAACCTGATGAATAAGCATAAACAGCAGCTAGTGGACATGGCTGAGATATTTCTCTCCTCTTGTCAAAGGTGGGTAGCGATCCTCCACAAAGCCACTGTCAGAGAGCGCTACCGCAATCTACAGGTGCATGGGTCTCGGGATTTCTTCCTTCTGCTACTCGCCATGGGCATGATAACGCGGCCTCTAATGAGCGGGAACAAACCTGACTTCCTGCGTGAGTCCATGTATGAAGCGGTGAAGCAGCTGTTTTGGGACAAGGACTCTGTCGCCCGTCCCTCAGTGACTCTGATCCAAACAGGGGTACTACTATCAGTGTACGAGTACGGACACGGGCTCCTGAATCCTTCTTATGTGACTATCAGTGTCTGCTCTAGCATGGCACAAGTCATTGGACTGTGTAGTCCTCTGCAAGCCCCTTCTCTTCCGCGTCTGGGCAGCCCATCGTCTCAGGATGAGGTGCTGCATACCTGGTGGGGCATTGTCATCCATGAGCGGTTAGTATTCTCTTTGATTAATGACCCATGATATGCTGCTAAGGTTTCCACAGTATGATCAGCCTCAAGAGTCACCTGCCGATCCGACACCTGCATATGCAGGATCCAAAAGTAATGGACAATAAATTACTTGAAGCGGAGCTCCACACGATTATGCCAAAGCTCGCGATTGATAGCCACTATGCAGCTTTTTACCTACCGGCTAGAGCTGCTATTTGGTCAGATTGTGTTCTTGAAATAGTTCAAAGCCCTATCGTATCTTCCGAGGAAAGCCGTTTACGATTTCGAATTGTAGATCGAGGTCTGGTCCATTTCCTAAGGATCCTAGTACAGTTGGAAAATGAGGACATGCTGTGAGGCGATTGCCATCAGTCTGAAGTTAGTAATCCCATCTTCCGGTCGGACCAGTCTACCTATACCTTGAAAATCATCCCTCCCACACCAGACTGGAATATCATGGTCCTAATCATCTCGTCTAGTGGCATTTTTCTGTCTCCATCACTGGCGCCTTGACTCCCGTGCCGCCTCAGCCTTTACTGACCAGGAAAGAAATGGATCATCACAGGCCATCAAAACAATTCTTACCCTTCTCGCAGACATAGCCTCTGATAACGTGTATTCTCACAAGGGCATGAGTGAGCTAAACGACGAGATGATTGAGGTTTTCCCATACACGATCACCATGATCTACCAGCTTCTACTCGAGATGCGAGACTATCTGCCACCACCAGATTACCCGAGTTCAGCAGAGTCGCCTCAGCCACTTGATGCTCTGCAGAGTGAGATGAAGATGATGAAGTATGTATTGGAGAGGCAGAGTGTGCGGTGGGAGATTTCGCGTACGTATTATTTCTGCACTCGTGATTCGATTCTTCAGCCCGAGAATACAATTCTTTAGGTGGGTACCTACTAACACGTTCTACACACAGGTCAATATGTTAACAACTTGAACAACATGCCGGGAAATAGTTTGTATGTGGCGAGTTGACAGCGATGACACTAATGCGAGGTTCTATCATATTTGCCCTTTTCTATTAGCTCGCCGGTACCGCTATGGATTCTCTATGAACGTCCTCGATAGCTTTGGTTTTTTTAGTCTGCCATCATAATCCACCGCTGTAATTGTCTACCGTGGTATTGTCGCTGTCCACATTTTGCAGAAGTGATAACCTGCGGCACCCGCAAGGGTTCAACCGAACCCATGGTTGGGTTGGGTTTTTAACCCGCAGTGGGTTCGGTTACCCGATTGCCACCAAAACCGACCCAGTGGGTAAAACCGGTAGAGTTGAACCCCAGGAGCCCGAGCCGAGCCGAGGTATCTACCAGGCTGTGGTTGTTGACTTTCCCTTTACTACCAGTTAGTTGTCTTTTACAGAGCTTACTGGCTCAGGGTATGATGCCCAAGGCATAGTTGAATTACAACAAATTGATTGGCAAATTGAGTATTCCGCGCATTGCAAGCAGATCCCAATTTTTGATAAATCATACTTCTGTCACACCTCAACTCCAAACACAATATGGCAGATTAAGGTCTATATATGGCAACCGAATATATCAACGCTTCGTGCGATACCCATCAATGAGGACACGGAGGTCATATAATTCGTACCAGTGTCTCAGCTGCAGCTCAAACGATTCCCCTTCAAATTCGCGGAGATAACGACCCACATCTGGTCGGAGACGGGGGAAAGGTATTTCGTCACGAATGTCAGTCTCGTCTTCATCGCTCTCGCTGGATTCGTCGGATTCAGAGGGGCTGTAGTCGGGGTCGGACGGTTCGATTGCTAGATCGTCGAAATGAGTTGTTAAATCCACGTCCATGGTCTTGCTGGAATCGTCCTTCTCTGTGGAAACGCTACTTTCAGCGTCACTTGCAGCGCTATCATCTGTAGCAGAGCCGTCGCCAGCATCAGAGCCATCCATTGACTCATCGTCTTCTGTATCGGATTCTTCTCCTGAATTAGATTCCTCTGCTGATCCAGATTTATCCTCTGAACCACAGTCATGTCCATCAGAGCCGTCGTCTGCATCAGAGTCCGCCATCGCATCAGAGTCAACGCCTACATCGGAGTCGTCAGAAGTATAATCACTATCTTCCGACTCGGACGGCAAGTCCAAATATGCGAACGGCACTGCTGGTTCCACGCCACAGTCCTTACCGGGGTCTTTCTGAGAAGAACCCGAGCTGGCATCATGCTGATTCGGAAAGCGCTCCAAGGACTTCCATATTGCGTAATCCGGCTGTTGCCCTCTGCGCGGACCACGGACACTCCGACTGAGGAGATCATGAAAGAACAGTATCTTTGTGTAGATAGCATCCGGTCGAAACACGGGGTCAATCAAGTGAAGAGTCTGGATTCTATTATCCAGACACCACGTAAATAACTTGTCGAGGCTATCCATGGTGAATTTGAAATTGCCCAGGATTAGCTTTTTGAGGCTGGGATATGCGGCCTCGATCACCGTCATTGAAAAATGGTCCTCCTTGTAGATACGTATCTCGACAGTCTCGAGATCCTCAGTGTAGAAGGCTTGATGCCACGTGCGACAGCTCACCGCATCAAGGGTTAGGGATAGCTCTCGGAGCGATTGCAGCTGGTTTGAGAGGCCGGCTTTGAGCAGGCATGAACGTACGTATGAGGGGAACACGATCCCTTTGAACGGTACCACAGAGGTAGGTTTCTTCCAGCGATGGCATGACACGTCTGGGGAATCGACGCAGTATGATAGAAGGTTGACATGCAAACGAGTACAAGCTGCCAGCAGGAGGAGCTGAGCACGATCCGGTCTGCGTTGAATGTTCCGAAACACGTCACGGCTACCCGTGGAGATTGGCTCCAAAAGGTGCTTAACATCCTGGTAAACTTCAACGTCATTGGAAATTTCTGGTCGCGGATGCCATTCTGGGTCTTGACTCCAATTCAGGCGCCGTCTCTGCCATTGGCGCATGGCAGGGGATTCGAACGTGCAGGTGTACGGCCGCGTCGGATGTAGATGGTTGCCATGAGATTCGCCCACCCAGTGGCTATATAACACATGATTGTCATGGCGATGATCCTTAGTTATCCATCGTGACATGAGGCTTGTTAGAGTGGCATGCCGAAGTCGTGGCAATCGGGGCAGTGCATCTAGTAGAGCGAAATAATCTTGACCACACAAGCTTATTGAGCGGTACTTGTAAATGATGTCCGCACCGGCAGGACCGATCCTCCTAAATCCACAAATCATTGTCACATCCCATACAAGCTCCCGTACACATGACGCAATTCGAGGGTGCTGAGAGATCAGGCCAAGGACCCTGAGGTCTTCTTGATTGGCGGATATGTATATGCGGCTGAAGAGATGAGAAAGAGATACTACCAGGTGATCCAGATGCTTGCATGTCAGACGGAGGTTTTTGAGGGAGTCGCGAGGAAGGTCCTTGAAGATAAATCCTGCCAGTTCCAAACGCCAAAAGATGGATGGAATTTTGCCATTCACAGACATGATGTACGTGCGAGTGATGTCGCGAGAGACTTTCTTGGATGTGCTTGCTGTCAATTTGAAAGGGTTCAGTCACAAGCAGATGGCAGATGCTCTGCATCACCGATGTAGAGAGACCAGAAACCTTCGATGAAGGTGACAGGGTCAGTAAGAACAATAGGAGAGATATAAACGGAAATAGAAGGATTATCAGGATAATAAATGCTAAGGTCGTTTTATAGACATACTGGCTTCGTATTCGCCAAAGCTTAAACTTTTAGGGTAGGCATCTTCCGTAGGAAAATGCTGGTCATCTCTGGTAGCAAAGGAACGTTTGACAAAGAAAAGACACTATAACAAGGGGCATGATTGGACGACCCGACCGGGGGAAATGGGCCTCAATTTTGGTCCTTTCAGACGTGACGAGTTCTCAACGGTTGTGCCAATCAACTTCCATTCCATAACCAGGCACATGGCCAGTTGATCTGCACTGACAAGGTGGGATGCATTGTTGAAGGCAGTACCTCAAACATGGATACCCTTGTGATCTATGTCTCTATTCTCTCTTTGTCTATGTCCATTGGCTCATTGTTCCTGCTAGGCAGTCTTTGTCTTCAAGATACCCGTCCCAACAGACTAAAATATGTCCTCACTCTCTGAGGTTGTCATTCTTGTTAGAAGTACATTTTTCTTCCTGGGGTTTGATTTTTGTTGCAAGGAAACCCTCTGGGCCGCGGCAATTCACATTGCGGTCTCGGCAAACTCCTACAGCCCTGGGCTGTGGCTGTCCGTTCCTGTAGCTGCATGTTTTTTGTCATGCAATACCCGAAGCAGCGTGTATATGTGACGAGAATTCCCTGGACCGACCAGCTTAGACTATCAGGATGCTCTGAATAATCCAACTGAATCGTTTGAAACCCACAAGGTCTGACAACAATCCGGCTATACTGTGGAGTGAAGAGTCGTTAAGAAGTAGGTCACCACGGTGTAATAGTACCCACGCTCTAATCAATGGCATATCCATTAGAAACGCTTATGAAGCGCCTTCTACTTTTTTATATCGCCCCAAGAACACCTTGAAGCCAACCATGGCCTCAGGCAACACAATTATTAAGGCGGTGAGTATCTTGCCGGCCCAAGAAAGCCATAGCATAAAAGCGGAGCAGTTCTGCCCGTCTTTTACAAAGCTAATCCCTATACAGCCAGGCGGTGAATGCTACAATCTTTCAATCTTTCTGGCCTGAGGCACCTGACAAGGCTGCACTCGGCGATTTCTGGAACATTTCCGGGGCTTTGCGGGATATTTGTCATCGGTCGTATGAGGCCCCAATTTCGAGTCTCTTCCTTCCTTCCTCCCAACATTTCTCTCCCATTCAATCAATTGATTTCAAGGCGAACAATCCCTGCACGAGGTGTCCATATCAACCATGACGTCGTCCCGCTCTCTCCAGGCTTCGGCTCTCACGTTCACCACCCTCGCCATTGGACATACGGTATGCAGTTGCCGGCCTCCCTAATGCACGTGCCTCGAAACAAGGCTCATTCTGAAAACATCCTATCATTCGAGAGCCTTGTCAGCTCATTCCATTTCCAGAATATGTCACGCTAACCGGACCAGCTTGGAGGGAGACAATGGATCGCTGAACCGGTATTCGGGACCATTGCGGGCTCGAAGCCATGGGCCTGTGGCATTGTTGGCTGGTACCAGGTATTAACCAACACACTCGGGATAATGACCAGAACTGACAATATGCTTAGGGGAGTGCCTTTTTCTTGGCGACCGGTATGTCTCTCCCTCACTTCACTCCATTCAAGCTAAGACATGATAGGCCTCCTTCATTATCAATGGTCCCGCAACCCCCGGGCCCTGCAGGATCCTACCAACAAGGCCATCGCTGTCATCGTCAACGCACTGATGTGGGCCAGCTCCGCTTGGTATTTCCGTACCGGCATCAAGGAGAATGGCTGGGCGGTGGGATTCGGTGCGGCGCTGCAGGCGTGGGCGGTGGTGAGGGCCTGGGCTAAGTATTAGAATGCTGGACTTGATAGGCTCCGGGTCTGAAATAAGCGGAGCTTGTCATAACGCTTCAACTTAGAATGTGCCCAGCTTTAAGTATTCAAGGCAATTATGCAACCGTTTACCTACTCAGAAATACAGTCCAGGATACACTTAGAAGATATCAGGACAATTTAACGGAAGACTTACCATCTACAAGCTTCATCCTTCATCAAATTACGCCACATTCTGCTGCTTCACAATGATTCCAAGCATGGAGAAACAAGCTCCGGCAATCTTACTCACTCGGGCCATAGTACTTGGTTCAGTTGCCATTACTCAGATCAATCCATTACCTATATCTCTAACAACCAACACAACCTCCTCTGACCCGCAGGATCTGTTACTCCTCCCCCAACACCTCTCTTCATTCTATACACCACGCGCCAACTCACATACACCTTTGCCTCATTTCCTCTCACCACCACCCAACTCAAACACCTGCCTCTCCTCCAACGCACCACCACCACCAGCCTCCACAACCGGCATCCCATCAATCTCCGGCACCAAATCCCCCACCACCCCCGTGACAGGACCATTCTTCGTAGCTCCTCCCGTCTGCACCATTCCCCTCTCACTTTCCCCCACATCAACCCCCTCCTCCCTCTTCTTCCTCCATCTCCGCCAAACCAACCCCCCAATCACCACACAAACACCCGCCAACCCCGCCATCCCAACCCCAACTCCAATCCCGACCTTTGCTCCCGTCGACATACCTCCCTGACTATTACCCCCCGCTATACCCGTCATAACTTCCCCCGCCGCGGACCCAACCAACGACGAGAGGATCTGTGTCTCTGTGACCGTGACGAGCATCCATTGCTGGGATGGTGTGGAGGATGTGGTTTCGGAAATGAGGGTTGAGGTAGAGGGAGTGTCGGATGGGAGGTGCGGGTGGATCTTGACGGTGGTGTATATTTTCTCTGTGCTGACTAGGTCTTCTGTTTCGGTGTTGGTGGTTTTTCTTGTTTGGAAGATTGTTGTTACTGTGGAGTAGATGGTTACGACTCGGGGGATGTTGTTGGCGCGGAGGTGGATGTCGGATCCTGGTGGTTGTGGTGGTTGGGTAGGCCTGATTTGGGATGGGTTAGGGTTTTGTCTTCGAGAGAATGGGGATGGGGAGGGGGGACTGACATTTCTGAGGGTTAGGGATGGGCTTCCAAGTGAGTGTAGTGGTATGTATTAGGTACTGGGGAGCATCCGCTTGTATTCTAGATGGCAGATGAGCAGACTTTGGGGTTGAGGATCCTGGAAAGGGGAGGAAGGCAATAAGAAAGATGGGCAACCTGTGTTACCTACCTGGCTGGCTAGTTGATGTTTCCAATCGTCCTAGGAATCAGGGCGGCCCATGCGGCGAGCAGATCATCGTGGCTCGAGCTGTAAGGGACTGTTTACTTGCTGTTTATCTTTATCTGGGATCGACAATCTTTCACTGGAGACCCGACCAACTTGACCCTACAGTCTGAGGGATAAGGTTGGTTGCCATGTGGAGCGAACCACTCAACGTGGAGTCCATCGGATCATGCCAGCCAGAAAAGGGGTAAGGCACATTGATGCAAAACCCAAGGCTCGGCACCAGCCGAAGCCAATGATCACTGTGGTGACTGGGTCTGTGGAACAAAAATCCGGAATCGCGGGCTGGTTTCAATGGCCTGGACTTCTCCACCGGTCGAGATGCGATCTACAAGCCAAGAAATCATAGCACATACCAATAATCAATGCAGAAATAACATTCAACCGATCCTGTATACAAGTTCAATCAAAGAAATATGCAAATTCAAAGCAAACGGAATCTCCGTTCCGAGCTGCCATAACCACCGGCGGACTCTCCGCGGAGTCTCCGACCCACCAAAACCGCCCCGGTGCAGTATAAAACACCACCACCCCATCAATCCAGAATCTCAACAACAACATCACTTCACACCAACTTACATCAAAACCACGTCCAACCAACCACCAATGTCACCCCCCACCGTCCTAATCATCGGCTGCGGCATCGCCGGCCCCGTCCTCGCCATCCTCCTCCAACGCAAAGGCTACCACCCCATCGTCTTCGAGAAAGTCCAAGCCCTCGGCGACGCCGGCGCATCCCTAATGCTAATGCCGAATGGGTGCCCTTCCCCTTCCCCCAAACCTAAAACATACCCCCAGAGAAAGAATCTAACAATCCACAGAATGAAAATCCTTAATCTCATCACCCCAACCACCACCCTTCTAACAACCCACACCCCCTTAACCACGCTCTGGCACGGCACCGCCTCCGGCCACACCCTGGGCGAATCCTCCCTCCCCACCACTTACCAAGAGCGCTACACCCAGCCCGCAATGGGCATAAAACGCACAACCCTAAACCTGCACCTCAAGAAAACACTCCTCGAAAACAATATCCCCCTCTACGAGGGATACAATCTCCAGAACGTCCACGAAGACCCAGCCTCCAGAACCATCACCGCCTCCTTCACCAACGGGAAGAAAGTAACAGGGTCATTCCTCATCGGATGCGACGGGATTAAATCCTCCACGCGGAAGATCCTTCTTTCTCGGAGTGGGGTAGCTGAAGGGCCCCCGGCATTCACGGGGTTGATGCAAATCGCGGGCCTCTCGAAACGGGGTCATCGGGTTGGGCAACGGGGGGGGAGTGGGATGTGTAATTGGTATGGGGAGGGGGTGCATGTTGTTTCGTATCCGGTTTCGGATTCGGGCGCTGGGGATGTGTCGTGGGCGGTGACGCTGGCGGGGAACGAGGAGGAGGAGACGTGGAGGGCTGTGGAGGGGGGGGAGGAGTTGGAGCGGAGGAAGGGGTTCTTGAGGGAGAAGTTGGTGGGGTTTGAAGATGGGGTGAGGGAGATGGTGGAGGGCGCGGAGAGGATTATTTCGTATGGGGTGTTTGATCGGAAGGAGACGAGGGCGGAGGAGTGGTTCTCGTCTCGGTGTGTCTTGGTGGGAGATGCGGCGCATCCGACGAGTCCGCATTTGGGACAGGGGGCGAATCAGGCTTTGTGAGTTTTATTCTCGGGGCTGTGATGGTGGTGGGGGTTGGTGTGCTGACGCTTTTAGGGAGGATTGTTATCATCTGAGTCGATTGCTGCCGGATTTGACCGAGGGAGTAGAGTGGGCGACGGTGGAAGCGGGCTTGGAGGGGGTTTTCCGGGTGTTTGCGATGTTGAGACAGCCGCGGACGGCAGCTTTGGTTAAAGAGGCTCGTCGGATAGGAGAGCAGCGCGTGGTGCAGGGGGGTGCGGAGCTCTGTCGTGAGCGAGATGCACGCATTGTTACTGCGTGGAGCGATCAGGAGGTTGTACTCGAGGGGCTGGATCGTTTGTACCGGGAGCCTTTTTAGGGCATTGGCTATGGTGTTGGAAGAAAATTAGAGATGGTAGCAAGTGTAATTTCATGAGGCACATTTAGACCTGATAGACATAAATGAAAGATTCGCTGATTATTCATAAACAGGCATGTACTTAGGCAGCATTCTATGAATACCAGTTCTAGCTATAGCTGCACCCTATAAAACCGTCTGATACAGCTTCTCCTCATCCACGGCTGAGCTCTTCCACTCCCCCAGCCAGACGCCCACAAAGCGAACCGCCTCTTTATGCACACTAACAATCTCTTTTGGCGCTTTGTTCCCATCCTTACTCTCCTGTTTGGACAGCCCGTTCTGATCCCAGTGGTGCACTGCCCCCCGAACCCCATCCCAGACATCCGCCGCAGGAATATCCAGAAGAATGACCGGCTCGCTATCGGTCGAGTTCCGGCTCTCCCAATCGACCCCATCCGCCAGCGGCGTCGCATCGCGCCACGGGTCCGCAAGACCACCGATGATCGCCACTCGGGGATACGAAAAGTTGAATCCGCCGTGTTGGTTGATCCGCTGGACGTCTGGGGGCGTGGAGATACCGAATTGGCTCGCGCAGAATGAAGAAAGGTAGGGAAGATCGAGGAGACGCGAGATCAGTGGTTGGATTGTCGAGGGAACGGAGGAGCCTGTGGTGAAATAGCCCCATTCCACGCAGACTTGGTAGTTCCAGCTGGTGCCCGAGCTCTTGGTGAGGGGCTGTGGGGTGCTGAAATCCGCCGTGCTGGAAGATTCCGTCGAGGATGAATTGGCGAATACCTCCGAGGTATTCAAGAACCCGATCCAGTTCAGGAAGTTCGTCACCAGTGTAGTGTTAGAGTCACTGTAGCCTGCAATCTCGATCAATTGCTTCACGGAAGTAGAGATTGGGTCGGTTGTTCCCGGATAGAGCAGCTGCGACTCGGTAATGTTGTTGCAAAACGCGCGGAAGAGAGGGGTGCCGACGGACTCGTCCCAATTACGAGACTGGAACGAATCAAGGCCGTATGACAGATACGAGACAAAATCCTGGTTTCCGAGGCTGGGGGCAATTCCTCCAAAGGCGGATTTGAGTTGTGCGGCAAGAGTCGTATTGTCGGCATGGTCGATGAGAATGCGGTCGACGATATCGACCGATGTTTGCAGAGCGGAGATGCACGGTGCCGGCCCGTACAGTCGAATCGGCTCGTAATATTCCCAGTAATCGATGATGGCTTCGGTGACCCCGGACGACGACACCGCACCCCAGTAGACCTCCGGATAAAGTTTGCGGAGGAATGCGACAAAGGCGCCGGCGTAGGAGCCACCGTAAGCGATCCACGGAGTGGTGGCGGCCGTGAGATCCAGATGCTCGAGTTCGGGAAACACAACGTTGGAGGCAAAGTAGGCATAATCAGCCAGAGCTTGCTCAGTGGTCAGGAACCGGATGTTCTCGGTGGTGAGATTGGCAAATGGGTAGCTCTCCCCGTAGTAGCGGTGCTCGAGGATGAGGCCAACTCCATGGTAGGCGGCAGCCAGCTGGGTGACCACGCCCTGCGAGAGGAAGGGAATACGGTCGCTTCCATCGGTTTCACCCGCAGCGATCACGAAAACCGGGCCTCCTGGTCGGTAATGGCTGGTATCGAGCCAGTAGCGCAGGCCAAAGGTGGCATTGGTGTGCGGTTCGTAGCGGGATTCATTGTGAAAGTGGTCAATGGGCACGGAGAGATTGTATACAGGGAAGGTGGCAGATTCGACCTCGAAAGAGTGTTGGCTGAGTTGACGGAGGTGGTGCAAATGTGGCAGCCGCAGTTCCAGTGGGCTGGAATCCAGGGCAAGGCTGGTGGCAATCAAGGTCCCCAGGAGGGGAAGTGAGCGGAACATGTTTGGCGGTGATTCATCAAGAATGGGGACCCCACGATTTATCAGTTTGTTTACCCGCGGGAGGGACTTTTATCTAATCCAGGAATTGCCAATCGGCTGGACTGTCGATCTTGCCGATCCGCCGGTCCCCGACGGGGCTGGTTAGCCGAGCTGCTGCAGCTGCTTGGATGCATCACGACATTGCAGAGGAGGATTCGTGATCAGCCCCATCACTATTACAACTTGCAAGGTCTGCAGACGTGTCAGATAGGGTTGACAGATCATCTCATCATTCACAAAGATTATCCTTCAGTTTCAGTTATACCTGGACAGTGCCGAGAATATACAGTGGACTGCCCTGCCATTCAGCCTTCATTTATATACAGTCGCATACCCACCGCGATCCATGACAATACCACAGATCAATCATCCTCATGCATCATGACAAATCCACCCGAGGACCGGTAAAATTCTTCCGGCCATCCACCACCCACTGCACTGCCGAGATGATGACAATGATCGCAAAGGCGACGATGCAGTAGTCTAACCCATCAGTACTCGATCACATATCAGGCAGGAGAACTCACTCATGTTGCTTCCAGTAACAGGCCGATCAGGCGGGAACAAAAACAGGACCGTGGTAAGGGCAATGTAGGAGAGCGAAATCTGTTGCTGTCAACACTGGTTATGGTCCCAACCCACAGGCATACGCACGATATCAATCACCCATCCAATGGCATTGGGAACCTTCCATTTCCGATCGGGCAGAGTCCGCCGTCCCCGCAGGCAATTCACTGCGATCGGCATGGCGTAGGACAGATCCAGTGCGACCACCGAGGCGGACACAATGGCGTTGAAGGCACTACCTACTTAGTATAGCTCTCGGAATGTATTGAATGACTAACCTGCTGGACCCCAGATAGATAAAGCCAAAGATGATCACCACCACCGAGGTCAACATCAGCGCATTGACCGGGAGCCCCAGCCTGGGATGCACGCGCGCGAAAAACTTGGATGCGGGGAGGCCTCCATCTCTGTACGACATTAGCCTGGCTATCTGTGGGGGTCAAGATGCATACCTGGCAAAAGCAAAGATCATCCGGCTGCTCGTCGTCATGACACTGAGGGTCGCAAACAACAAACACACAAGCGGTAACCTAGCTTGATCAGCCATCATCCGGTTGCCAAAGTAGTGGTCATACATGAGCAGACAGATGCCTCCCGCCCGGTTATTGGTGGCGTGGATCAGAATCTCCAGCAAGGGGCCCGCACTCGAGTTGACCACCTCGTCCATATTGCCTGCGACGAACAACAGAACAATCAGGAAGATGGCGCCGGTGAAGGTACCGATGCCGACACACACGACCATGATCTTCGGCCCTTTGATCGAGGGTTGGGGGATTTCTACATGGTCAACATAGGATCTTATAGTCTTCTAGTTCCCTCGGGGTAATACCTTCGATCATATGGGCCACCGCGTCCTGTTCAGTCAAGGGTCAGTTGGGTATGAGTGATGATAGGATGGGCCTTACAAATGCGGTAACTCCGAGTCCTCCTTGAAGAAGCTGTGTCTGTTAGCCTGAGTCAACCCAAGGAAGATGTGGCTAACCCCCAATAACCAAGCCACTCCATCAGGCCCTGTCAACTGTTAGATGCTGTCCCATCTCCAGCTAGCATACAACTTACACCCCGTTTGGTTGACAAAGTCGCAGAACACAAAGCTATATGCATGGTCAGCATGAGCGGCCAAACCCACGGCAGACATACTAGGCGGAGTTGAAATCCGGGGCGGCACAAGCCAACACCGTGATGCAGATAAGCACAAACCCCCCGATGGACCAGGTAACTGTCCAGTTAATGACCCGCTCTATCTCTTCAATGGCACTACTTACATGCTCCGCGGTAGATGATTGGCAAGACCGAATTCATAAATGCGTTGACCACAAAGGCGAGCAGCGTGTATCCCACGTAGATGAGAAACTCCTGCCAGCGCTGCCAAGCAAAGTCCTGTCTGGATCAGCATCAAGCCCGCCGACGGGGATACTGCACTTACAGGATACACGGCGGACACGATCCCTGCGATCAACTCGCATGACAGCAAGGCATTGGTGGCCACCAGAGCAACCTGCTGGGTTAGCCACGATCAGACCATCCTGCGGGGACATACCCAACCCGCCACATTAATCCACCCGGTCACCCAGGACAAGATGGGGACCCATTTCGGCCAGGATACTACTGGATGTTAGTCTGTCCGGCAGACTGAGATCTTTTTACATACTAGCTGCGGGTTGTTAGTACTCTGTATGGCAACGAGCATCCGCTGCGAAAACATACCGGCCACCCAATGATATTGACCTCCCGCCCTGAGTCATCCAGTCAATACGATCCGATGCCATGTCACTGTCTGATCACTCACGTTGGATAGGCAGACAGAAACTCTGCGAGCGACACTGCAATACACATGTTGCAGAACCCCGCCGTCACCAACCCTGAGATCGTCAGCCCAATCGGGAAACCAGTTCAATAGTACCCACCCCAGACCACACTAGTGCTTCCTCCGGAGGGCAAGCTGAGCGATAAACTTGCGGACAGGGCTGTCCAGGACTATCGGCATATTGTGAGCACGTGTGATCGACTGTACTTTGCTGCAGATACGCACATTAAGCACCGCAAAAGCCAACCCCAGCATGGACCTAATTCGGGTCAATAAGGTTCGCAGGCATTCCCGCCGTACCTACAGGGTGGAAAAGTTCCGTTGCAGCTCCTGTTTATGGCCCATCTCGGCCAGCTGGACGTCATCCTCGGGGCCCTCGTGGGCGATTTTCTTTTCCTCCATGGTGGCAGTCCGTGGCGTAGGGACGGGGTATTTTGGAGAGGAGGGATTCGGTGTGTGACATGAGGTGCTGGGCGGGTTAAATCGCGATGAGGGACCGTGTGGCTAGCAATGACACTATGGATGGAAGTGGCATGTCCAACCATATGCGGGGAAGCTTACTGCTTAAGCCTTAAACCATAAACGAAGGGCTTTCTGCCAAAATTGATCCATCGGGAATGGCCCCAGGCACCGGTGCTTTTCGGCGGGGTGCCTTATCTCCTTATCGCTCAGGCTGCTATCTATCGGCCGGGTCGGCCAATCAACGGTCGTGCCCGCCTCACCCGCCTAGACATTCCTATCTGGTTGATCCCATGAATCATCCCTAAGACATCCCTTGTTGAGCTGCGCTGCTTATCGCCTTCCGACGCCGTTCTGGGAGGCTCACGTGTCCCGAGGTGGCTGCCAAGGCCGCCTGTCCCGATCACAAGGCGGTTTGGCAGCCCTTCACCGGTCATCCCAGCTGTTCCGTGCAGACACTATTGATTGTTGCTTTTTGCCCCTTGGGCCACGGACTATTTGACCTGGCTCCTGTCCGGCTGACCAGCGGTCCCCAGCGGTCGTGTTGGGTGTTTAAACCCGTCTTCACCTGGGGATTTCCATCCATCCTGTGAATCTACGAGTGCATAGCAAGCAGTCCATCTAATGCAGAGAATATATACTGTCCACATTCGCTCCTTGTAGACTGAGCACCATGCATACGCGTCCTCCCACTATCTCCATATACGCCCTTCTAGCGACCACCTTTCTTTGTTCATGCTCCGCTTATGTTGCACAGACACCACTTAGCGATGACAGATGCACCGAAACCACAGTGGCCATCTTGTAGGATCCCCACAATTACTGATAGACTAGATCTGACGTGACAGGGGTGGTGGCATGGCCGGTGTGGCCGCGGCGGTAGGTGTCCGACCTGGTGCCCTAAACCACGACTTACGACGACCAGCAAGCCTTGTCCAACGCATCCATCGATGATTTCATCATTCTCGAGTACCGCGATACCTTAGGAGGTCGGGTCTGGCACACCGACTTCGGCAAGGATCCAAACGGCAAGCCGTATGTGATCGAGCTGGGGGCCAACTGGGTATGACACCTGCACTGCCATACACTGACAATCGCTCACCATCAACAGCTTCAAGGGCTCGGCTCGGAAGCGACCGAGAACCCCGTCTGGGCGCTGGCCCAAAAGTACGACCTGCAAAATACTTACTCCAACTACACCTCCATCCGAACCTACAACGAGACCGGCCCGACCGACTTCCGTCCCCTGCTCGATGTCTACGCCGACGCATACCAGATCGCCGCCCGCGATGCCGGCCGAATCCTGATGCAGAACCTCCAAGACCAAACCGCTCGCACCGGACTCGCCCTTGCCGGCTGGCGACCGCGCAAGAATGACATGGCCGCACAAGCGGTGGAATGGTGGAGCTGGGGTATGAAATAGAGGGGGAACCACCCTGCTTGTCATCTGGATGTCGTCCGTCTGCCCGCTCAACTAACGGACGCATAGACTGGGAAGCCGCCTCTACGCCCGAGACCAGCTCCCTCGTGTTTGGAATCGCCGGGGAGAACCTCACCTTCAACCAGTTCGGCCAAGCCAACCACCTAGTCCTCGATCCCCGGGGCTACAGCACCATCATCGAGAACGAAGCCGCCACCTTCCTCACGGATCCTGTCCGCGATGCTCGCCTCCGACTCAACACCCCAGTCACCCGTATCGAGCACTTCGCCAACGGCGTCACCGTGCACACCAAAGACGGCACCTGCGTCCGAGCCGCCTATGCCATCTGCACCTTTTCCCTGGGCGTCCTCCAGAACAAGGCCGTGACCTTCCATCCGGAGCTTCCTCGCTGGAAACGGACCGCGATCGAGAAATTCAACATGGGCACCTACATCAAGATCTTCATGCAGTTCGAGGAGACCTTCTGGCCGGACGACACCCAATTTTTCCTGTATGCCTCGCCCACCACCCGCGGATACTACCCGGTATTCCAATCCCTCTCGACGGAGAACTTCCTCCCCGGGTCCAACATCCTCTTCGCGACTGTAGTCGACGAACAAGCGTATCGCGTCGAGCGACAATCCCTCCACGAAACCAAAGACCAAATCCTCGAAGTCCTCCGCGAAATGTTCCCCAACAAACAGATCCCCGAGCCCACAGCCTTCACCTATCCCCGCTGGACCACCGAACCCTGGGCCTATGGCAGCTATTCCAACTGGCCAGCGGGAACGACCCTCGAGATGCATCAAAATCTGCGCGCCAACACGGGTCGATTATGGTTCGCAGGGGAGGCGACGAGCGCGCCGTATTTCGGGTTCCTGCACGGCGCGTGGTTCGAGGGACGCGAGGCGGGCGAGAATGTCGCGGCGCTGTTGCAGGATCGGTGTGCGACGGTCCAGGGGGTGGAAACGTGCGGGGATCGCATGTTTTATGATCCGTTAAATGGGACCACGCCGTTGGATGCGTATAGTGGGTTGAATGGGTGGCCGGTGAGTAGTACGCAGGTGTAGTTGCTGCCCGCGGGGGACGCCGCTGGCGGTTGAGATTTTTTCGAGACTTATCATAATACAATTGCTTGATGTAGCGTATAAATTGCCAACTAGACATCAATTGGCCTGCTGGCCCAATGGTAAGGCGCTTGACTACGGATCAAGAGATTGCAGGTTCGAGTCCTGCGTAGGTCATCTTTTTTTGTTTTTTGTTCCTCGGGGCTGCTGGTCTTACGTTATCGGTGTGTCCCGTGCAACACCATCACGGGGGCCATTTCGACCACCACCACAACCACCATTAGCTGGATTGCAGTATTCTCTGTGAATACCAGTTTCTCTCTTTTTTTTTTCTATTTGTTTTACAAAGAGAGAGTGTGGGATCTATCAATTAGCTATCTAAAATATGAGAAAACTGGGTGATAGATAGCAGACATGGATGTTCATTGTTAGCTGTCCTCCTTTTCGCTCTCAAGCTTCACTTAGGGCTTATAGACATCGACGCTCAACCACCACCAATAATCGCAACAAGCTACAGAATCAGCTGTTGGATACTTCAGTATGCAGGTACGAGGTAGACCCGTGGACTATCCCAGCTAACCGATGCTTAGACGCCCCCATAGAAGGAAGGCTAAATTGGGGCCGCCCCCAACTTCACCGTCCACGCGAGCTTCCATTTGCTCTCAGTACCAGTTACCAACGCAGCCACGCACCGTTTCATCATGTTAGAAAGCTGAGAAGATCGATTTGATTGCCCCTTTGCCTCTCCAACACCGCTGAGCGTACCCCTTACCAACATGGCCAATGCAGGAGACAGATCCTCCCTGGTCACCTCTTCTGCGTGTGAAGTTTCCTACATCCATTCACTGACCTGACTCTTACTCTTCACCACGAAACCTCCAGTGTCTTGCACTACACAGCATGGCCAATATGGCATCATCACGCTCCCACTCCTCCATCCTGCTCTTCCTCCTCGCCCTCATCCCCTTCACCACAGCCCAAATCACCATCGACTCGGACGCCCAAACCACCGCATCACCCTCAGTCGAAACCATCTCCCTCATCGATGCCAGCGGCATTCCCATCACCACAGCGTCAGCCCTCGATAACAACGCCTGGTTCATTCCCTTGACCGGACCAGCCAGCTCCCCAACCGGCGCCTCCTGGGGCGCCCAAGTCCAATACGACAATGACCTCGCCGAGATGCTCCCCATCGCCTTCGGCACCACCACCACAACCTCCACCTCCACATCCACCACCAGCACATCCACACCCACGACCGCAACCCTCCTCTCCGCCGGCAGCCCCAGCTCAGAAACCGGAACCCTCGAACTCGAGCTCCCGCTACCCACCTCCAACACCCTCCTCCTGGGCAAAGACACCACCCTAACCATCACCTCCCCGAACACCACCAACACCACCACCCTCTCCACCCTGCCGGTAGGCATCAACCTCGGCCTCGCCAACCACTGGAACGGCTCCCTCGTCCTAGGCGGCAACTACGACTCGAACCGAATCTACAACGAACCCCACTGGCAAACGACCCCCGAAACCAGCTCCAACAACTCCACCTTCATCACTACCGGCCTCCAATCCCTCTCCGCCGTGACCCTAAACCTCTACACCACCCCCAACACCACCACCACCACCTCATCCTCCTCCTCTTCCGAATTATACCCCTTCGGCACCTCAACCCTCCAATCCAGCACCACCCCCCTCCCCGCCCTCCTAAACTTCACCTCCGAAACCATCACCGTCCCCTCGCTATCCTGGTGTAACCGGAACATCTCCATCATCTTCAACCCCACCGAGGAGGCGTATCCGGAATTCGACATCCCGATCTGGGGGGATTTGATACCCGCCGGGGAGCGGTGCGTGGTCATGGATACGGGTGTTGTTGTGTTAGGAAGGCCGTTCTTTCAAGCGGCGTATTTGTATGTCGCTGCGGAGGGGAATGTGTATTTTAGTTCGGTCACCAGGGAGGATAGACCGGTGGTGACGAGGGAGTTTGATTTGCATGTGAGGTTGTCGGAGGCTGTGGAGGGGACGGATATGGGGGTTAATGGGACTGGGTATGGGTATGGGGGTGGGAATGGGACGGGGTATGGGGGGAATGGGACGACGGCGGGGGGGAAGGGGGTGGTGTCGGGGGCGGCGATCGGGGTGAAAGGGAGGGGTTGGGGGGTGTTGACGGCGGTGGGGGTTGTGGTTGTTGTTGTGAATGGGTTTTTGTGAGTGAGTGATTTGGGGGGGGGGAAGGAATATTTTTGTAATATAGTTTCGATTCTCGGCCTGCTGTCATGTAGTGGTAGGCTCTGTTGTTTTCAATTGGGGTATGGTTGGTTTTGTTTGACATACCCGTGATGTTATGTTATGGGCAGGGACATGTGATCATACTTATTTGGGATTTATACGTGGCGATGGACCGGATACCTTTGTTCATGTATGCTGTGACGGTTAGGCTGTGGCTCTTTAGGTAATCTAGACCCAGTTAGATATCCAGCCTGTACTCGGAGAAGGATTACAGTAGGCGGCTGCTTCGGTCAAAGCTCCAAGGATCATCAGGAATAGATCTGTATAATTGCAGTAAAAAAGTAATAACTACGACTAAAAATAGTACTCGAGCCCTAAATCCCTCTCATTCTGTAAGTCGTACCCCAGTGTCTCTCGAGAAGCATGAGGCTACCGGGACATAATTGATGCACGAAGAGTAAATTTACCCGCATCTCGGACTTCCGACGGAGGATTATCTAAGATCATCAGTAACGTCAATCTATTTACCTCTTGCTACCTTCCAGATCAGTCCAGCGATTTGACCAGCAACTTCAGCACTGTCTACCCACTTTAACAACATATGGTATACCATGACCACTCCTGTAAAACGGATCTATTTATTTACCACAAAGCATACTACTAACCGATAATCCAGAGGAGAACAAACCTGCGTTGAAACTAATGTGAAATGAAATGAACCGTCGGATCGGCATCTACCCGAGATACCCAAAATAAACCACGACAATCAGAGCTTGACCACATTAGCCAATTCTCACCAGACCCTGACATGAACAGCCTCCGCACAGCCATCACGCCCAAGTCAGACCCTAGCTGGCTGATAAATAATACATGCTGACAAGACATATCTAGTAGTCACAGACCCACCCACTAAGCCAATCCAAGATCGTTAGCCCTTCCTCATGATCCTTTATACGCGAGCCAGCCAATCACGTCCCACCATGCCAATGCCCTCACTACACCAGTGGAACACCAGAGCAGCCACCACCATGCGCCTGGTAGTATCGCGCTACATGGTATATCCTTGCTAGTAGGAAAGTTGTATGAGGCTGAGGTTGTCAGCACAAGGCTGAGACTTCAGCACGCAATGACACGAATATAAAAGATTGTGCGTTGCCGTCTGGCGAAATTCAATTGTCAATCATCTTCATCCTTGGGATCCTCACGAACTTCCACTATGAGTATCACACAACTAAGCTGGCACGCCCTGCTCCTAGCAGGCTGCGTCTCAGCCATCGACTTCAACATCACCAAAACAGGTATTCCCCACCCTTCCCTTCACGAAGTAACAACGTATGCTGATGCCAACACAGACACCATCAAAACCGCCGCAGCCACCCAACTCCAAAACCTCCTCAGCACCGCCGACTTTAACGGCACCATCAACCCCATCTACTCCACCGGCTACCCCGAAGGAATGCTCTACATGTCACTAATCCCCTACTGGAACGCCACCAAAAACACCACCTACAACGAACACATCATCGCCCGCATGCACAACCAATCCGACACCATCTACAGCGGCGTCTGGGAAGAAGTCGATGTCCTGACTAGCGAGTTCGTCGCTTGGGGTCTCGCTGCCGTGACGGCCGCCGAGGTGGACTTTCCCGGAACTCCGAGCAATTCGTCCTGGTTGGCGTATGCGAAGAAGGTCGCGTATACCCTCGACCTCACTATCGACCAGGGTTCGGTGTGCCATGGGGGCTTGTATGATGATGAGAGCGACGAACATGGGACGCAATTCGACTGGTTCGACAACGGGGCGTATTTTCAGCTGGTGTCGCGCATTGCGGCGGCCAGTTCGGGCTCTGATCAGGGGACGTACGCGGAGTATGCGGATAGTGCGTGGTCGTGGAGTGAGACGAATGGGATGGTGAATACCACGGCTTGGTCGGTGAGTGAGATGGTGTCGAATAAGACGGCGAATGCGTCGAGTTGTGCGGCCACGAGTACCTCCCGGTGGACGTGGGCGTATGGCTTGTACCTTAGTGGTGCGGCGCATATGTATCAGGCGGTTAGTATTCTACCAGTATATTGGATGAGTGAGATACTGATAATGAATCAGACCAAGTCGGAAGTATGGCTCAACCGGACCGAAGGCCTACTCAACAGCACGCTGGACACATTCTTCATCAACGACATCCTAGTGGAAGTGGGCTCAGACAGTTCCAGCCTTGGAACAGCCGAACAATCCACCCTCTCTGCTCTTCCCTTCAAGGGATTCCTAGCCTTGTGCCTTGCGTCCGTGGCAAACCTAATGCCGGACTGGGCGGACCGGATTACACCCTTGTTAGCGGACACGGCCGTGGCCGTGGCAGAGCAATGCAATGGCACGAGTAACCATACTGTCTGTGGATCGGACTGGGGGGAGAGCACGTACAACAATGATCCGTCGTTTGAGAATACCTGGAATGCGGCCAACGTGTTTACTTCGAAATTGCTCCTGCCGGAGAGCAAATCGACGAACAGCACCAGTGCTAGCAGCGGGAAGTCTAGTGGCGCGACGTCCAAGAAAAAGAGCGACAAGGGCATTTCGAAAGCCGTCATCATCGGCGCTGTGGTCGGGTGCGTGGCTGCCGTGGCGTTAATCGGTGCGGGCATCTTTTTCGCGCTGCAGCAAAGGAATCGCAGAGTCCCGGTTCCGATCAGGGAGCCGTATGCGCCGTACGAGCCGGTTCGAAGGATGGGAAACCCTGCGGAGATGGCGCAGGGGGGTTATCGTCCGGATTTTGATAATAGGGGGTTTGCGGAACCGTATGGTAGGGTCGATGGGGGGAATGTTCCTCATGAAATGGATTCAGCTGAGACGTCGAAGCTCGTGGGTCGGACTTATCAGTCGCCATACGAGATGCGTTAGTATATTTAGATTGAAGCGATTTGATTATGTTATGTATGACGTTCTGTTAGTGTGAGATAAGAAAGTATTCTGACGCTAGCAAGACAAATACAAGGTTGTAACTAAGATAATCGGTGTAACCCTCAATACTGCGTCGTGTATCATCTAATCTACTCTTCCCCACGCATCGGATATTAAACACTATTGTATCAGCGACATCAAATATTCTGACTATCCAGCAATCAGCTCATGTTTGTAACTGAGAAGGCAGTCTCGGTCGAACGACAGGACGAAGAACCAAGACGGAGAGGACATACTCCAGCTCTTCGAGAAAGTTGAAAACTGACTGACAGTGTGTCGAATCAGTCGACTCGAACGTCTCGAAGCCCGTCAGATAGGTCGAGGGTAAGGGTTCGATAGTTTGGGTCTGAAAGGCGTCCATTCGAACTGTAGTGTGTTCCAAGAGATAGGGATTATAGTTTCGAGTCCATCGGTCATCACGGGCGTATTGGCACTGCTGAACCTGTTCTTCGAAATGTACTCGGCATTTTTGTCGCTTATTCCACCTTTGTGGCGAACTGAGGATACTCTATAGGCATTCAGTATTGAATTGAAGGGATAGCAGGGTGAGCAGACTCACGCTAGGGACTGATTTGATGGTAATATTCCATACGCGGCCGAGCAGGGACTTTGTAGAATCATCCGGTAGTGTGGGCAAGTCTGTCAGCTCCCATACGCTTGGCTTTCTCTTCAGGGATGGCTTTCTGGGACTTTGCGGCGAGGGTGAACCGTCGGGGGTGGCCTTTCTGCTCGACTTCAATGGGCCATAGAGCCAAGTGATGTCACTGTCTTTATCCCTGTACATTGTCAATACTGGTTTGGTGGTATATGAATGGAACTAACCAGGCGATAACTGCCGCTGGCATCCGGACGGACTGCCGGCTGGATGCCCGCCAGGCTCTCCACAGCGCATTTTCGAAGCGACATCTGACGAGACTTCCCTGGTTGATCTGACGGACGTGTCGTCGAGTGGCCCACATGTCCTCGTATGTCCAGGAATGTGCGAGGTAATCAACATTGACTTTGGCGTCCTCTTCGATGACGAGATCATCCCGAACGGCTGATTGTGGGCGGAGCATTTCGCCTGGGAGTAAGACGGAATGAGACGTGGCAATGAATGTCAGTGATCGGTCATTGGAATTCGCTGGACAATCAGGAATCACTCTGATGGCAACAAGCCTATATACGGCGCGACTTGAGCCCCTTATCTAGATGGCAAATGTCGACATCTGGATACCTCATCACTATATGCGTTCCCTCGACTGATAGGCTTTCGAGCTGTCATGCCAGCTAACCACCTCAGAACACGGGACTATGCCCCACGCGTGATATAGTATCCGCCATTGATTGGAGAACCATTGAGAAGATAGACCCCGTCGAGACAGTTCCCCGGTTGCGGAGAGGTGGAGACATGGAGCAGCCAGTGGGTTACATGGCCCAGCCGCCCGGGACAGCCGGGTTACTAAGATGGGAAGGAACATGACAGCGGGCGCCAGAATAGCCGACGAGGCCATTCATCGCAGGGCTGCAACCATGGGGTGACATCTGCCATCGTCCGGGGACGCGTCCGGCTGCTAAGGTTTCCCAGCCAACCAGCGCCCGTCCTGGGTGGCCGGAAACGTCAGCCACCCAATCAGCGAGCCGCGTTCACTTACTACCAAGTCTCGTCGGCCACACGTTGGAATATGCTCGGCTGAGAGGGAGCCTCAGCCGGTGGATTGCACAAGGGATCTAGACCTGCCGATGTGCGGTCGGGATTTCCCGACACTTTTACGACGAGGTCACCCCCTCTCCTGTCATCGAGAACCACCGTTGCGTCTGGCCGCTACCATACAGACCCCTACCGGCCATGAATCATGATTTGTGCGGGAATGCTTGGCTTGGGTCAACCCCTGTGGCTGTACGCCTATCATCCCTCGGGCGGGGTTCATCAGCTTTGGGTCGAAGGTTTATCGTGGAATGTCCCCGATTTGTAAACACCGAGGCCTATATGAAGCAAGGTATCGAGCCACATCTGCTGCCAGCCTCCCGACAACTGACTCGCACGAATCGTTCAGAATGCCTTGGTCATTGAAGAAGTCTTTAAATCTGATTGGTCGTGGGCAGGAACCACTATCCTTTGCCCTGGCCGCTAGCCCTGTTCTTTGCAGAAGCACCTCCTATGTTTCCGACCTCAACATCTGCAAATTCGCCTCCATACCATATCGCACCGAAGATGACGCTCGATGGGCTCGAACCGATGAGGATGATCGCGATCCCGAAGATGTTTTGAGAGAGCAGACTGAGTTGTGTCTTCCATGTTGTCACCATACCCCAGACAACCACCCAGGAATGGATGACGCCCCGTTGGATGAAAAAGCCCGGTATGCTCTGGAAGCATATTCAAACTCTTTTGACGAATATCGGGTCCTGAAGCGGCGATTATCTACGTTGACGCATTCTCCGAAGTGATAGCTGTGGTCCTCAACGCATAAAGGCGGTTTGAACATCGCTTCATGGAATAATGTATACCACGATCGATGGGAGTCTCAAGGAGGATGGGTGGCAAACGGCCTTGTTAAAAAATACGGCATGTAAGGTACTATACATGTTGTAAACCTGTATACTGTATGCATGAAGCATGATACCACTTCTCATGCCGCACTTCCTACCACGAGTTGAATGATATGAAGCATTGAAGTGTCGGGGACGGTCAGTTGCAGAGTAACCTCTGATGCGCTCGAAAGCGGGATCATTGCGCAGGAGACACAGCCATGAAACTACCTCTACTGCGAATCCCTATGTCTAGACCAGCAACCTCGGAATGCCATTGACTTTCTTTCGAGCAGAATCTAGCCACCTATTACTGTAAACCTCTTGCTGCGCAGTTTGGAATGCAACCTAAATCTCTTGCTTTCAATAGAGGGGTAGCAGTGGCGAATCCAAACTTCGTATAAGGTGCGTGCGGATAACATGACAGCTCTCTTTAGCTCTTTCATCTTAGTCAGACCGCACGCATTCCATGGTCGGTTGATAGTACCGCACGAGACTTGTCGTGTTGGAGGTTTTCTTACGTAGTCATCGATGGCTGTGATTTATAGCTATCGCTCACGATATGTCATGAAACAGCTTTCATTCCCCAGGTTTTCGCAGGCCATTGTATTCCCATCGTCATGTCTATAAGTTTCCCGGAAGTCAATACAGGACGTATCGATTGCTAAAATCTCTGCTCAATAGCCCTACACACTGACCTGGTCATTCTCATTCACCCTATCCATCCGGGTTATCCAACAATGCCAACCACAACTTCCCCTACGCACCACCTCGACACCTTCATCCAACCCCAACTCCTCCAACACATCAGCACCTCCCCTTTCACCCCTCGCAAGCCCACGCAGCAGCAACCTATACCCTACCCTCACACATAAAATCTACCGCACCCACGCCTCCCCATCCACCACCCCAATCCTCACCCTCCAGCTAATCCCTCACCCGCTTACCCTCTCCATCTACAACTGCCACCACAATCACATCCTCCCCGTCACCCTCATCCACAACCACCCCCCTGCACACCAACCCCACCATAACCCTCCACTTCCTCTCCACCACCCTAGCCCGCAAATCCATCAACAACAACAACAACAACCTCCCCCTAACAGCCCACCTCCACTACGCCCACCACCTCACCAACGCCTTCTGGACCGGCCGCGAACTCCTTTTCGGCGTCGGAGGCGGAATATACTTCTCTTCCCTCGCAAAGTCCCTCGACGTGGTGGCCCATGAACTCAGCACAGAGTGACCGAACACACCGCGGGTTTCATATACGAGGGGAAAGTCGGGGGGCCCTTGCGGAATCTATCTGATGTTTTGCCTGCGTTATTGTGCAGTGGCAATTGAATCAGAGGGTTGAGACGCAGAGTGGGTTGTTGGACGGGATATCTGACCCTAGGGGAATAAGCAGGGAGGGGTGGCGTTACGGTCGGTCAAGGTACCCGGGACGGCGTAACATGATCCCGTACTGGGGAGGAATTATCAGCCGGGTCATATGAGGGGTTTTGTATATATGGAGGAGGATAATGGGGCGTGCATGCATGTGAACTCGGGAATCCCGAGTCGGGCGTTTTATTGTTGTGTGGTGGGGTTTGGGGGATGCGCGTGGGAGAGGGACGCCGTGGTGTGGTATCAGGCGTTGTTGGATCCGAGAGTCGAGCCGAATTGTAGTTTTGTGAGGTTTGCGTGTGTCAGGGTGGATGTTGCGGAGGGGTTGTTTGGGAGCTGGGCTGGGGAGGTGGTGAGGAGGGCGTGGTTGGAGGGTGGGCGTGGAGGTGAGGGTTTTGGTGTGGACTTTGGAGGGTTTTAGGGTTGGTGGAGGGATATACTTATTTGGTCTTTTGATCGTTTCACGGGGTTTGTTACCTCTAATAGATGTTGTGAATGAATTAGATGATTTCAGAGAACGGGACTGAGAACTATAAGGAAAGCTGTCGTAATGCTAATTGCATAGCTACTCGCTGTTAAAGCTGCTTCTGGCTTTGGGTAATAGCAGTAGATATTGTAGAGCAAGCTAGTTATCAATAAGACATTGTATAGCGAATATACCAGCCTTCAACCGCTGTGAAGCATAGCCCTTTTTTTACCGTGCGGGTTCGCAACATCCAAGTGCTTATCGCTTGCAAAATTTATCACGCTTCGTCAGTAGCCACATTTTGAGGACATGAGTGAGTCCGGACGTATATGGTAACAAATCTACTCTTGTGTAGAAAACTCAACGCCCTTCCTCTTGATACTGTTTTACAATAATACTCGATCGTTCGTGCGCAGAAGTTCGCAACCAATAGTAAAGATGACGGTTTCTACTTTGCTGCTATGTCACAGGCGAACTTTGTATTAATTTCCTTTCCAATGGAACAGTAGTGGGCTCTCAGCCTCAGTAACATCGATCAGAAGCCGGCTGAACCCAGTCAGGCAAACTTACTAGGAGTATTCTGAATTTAGAGGGTATTCAATTCAATTCAATTCAATTCATATTCTTATACCTGATCGAGCCCGCTAAGTAAGATGCTAGCTATGCAGGTGCTTCACCGTTGAATTTAGAGGGTAGAGGGTTGTCTGATAATTGTCTTTCGTAGTTGATATATTCGTACTCCGTGCTATCAAACGCAGGTGTATGAACTCCGGGCAAGTGCACGACTGCTGTGGCCTACTTGCCTCGACACGAGAATGAAACTAGTCCGTAACAGCTTAGGCTTAGTATGTTTTACCGGGCCGCAGTGAGGCTGAGACTCGTCAGGCGGTCGGAACAAACCGGATAGCAATGCGAACCCCTTGATACAAAACCCCGAATTCTTAAAATCCCAAAGCATCAGCTCTGGCGACTTGAATATCGCAACTCACTAAATCTGAAAAGGTTCATATCATGTCTTTCACAAACCTTGGTCTCCGCATGGGCGGCGTCTCCAGTGCTGTATTCGCCGCCCAAGGCGTTTTCCTCCTAGGAAATGCATTTTACAGCATTCTATACCCATCGTCAGTAGCAAACTTCAAGGGCTCTTCGTTGGAGGGAACCCCTAAAGGCGCGGTTCAATGTATCGGGTCAGTATCTATAGCTTCTACCCAAACCACATGTGGATTGCTGATTGCATCACATTTTTAGCTTGACCTCTCTTGCTTTGGGAACATACTATCTGATTTCGACCTACCAGCGAGATACGGCTATCATGGTCTCTTCGGTACCCTCGCGCCTGGTGGCTGCTTGGGTGATGTATCGCAATGGCGGCAATTGGACGCGGGTGGCGGCTTTCGAAACCTCCATGGCTATTGCGGCTAGCGCGGCGTTGATTTGGGATCGGTATATGTAGACTAAAGATATTGTTGGGTGTAGGCCTTTATTGGCTACTTGAGAAACTATGTGATATAGAATATTGATACTTTGTAGTTATAAATGAAATGTGTTGGCAACTTACTGCATACAGGTGGCGCCCTTTTAGGCAACACATGGGTGTTACCTGCAGGATGTGACTCAGCTGAGCAAAGTAGTTATATGATGGTGAGAACGCCAATCATGCACTGCCAGGTGTTTTGGATGCATCTGCTGGGATTTCTCCGCAAGGCAGCTGGTAATCATAGAATCAGTGGGTCGAAATTTATGCATAATCCAGGGCAGCCTAAGAGGGAGCCAAGATGTGAATGCCAGATTTAAGTTTGACCCACTGGAAATTGGCAACACACACCATGTAATGCAATATCAGGCACACCAAAAGTGTCATTGGCTGTAAAAATGCACTCTTTCATGCCCAATGAGTTTGACCGTATTCCTTTTCTAATGATTTCTCCCCTAACATCTTTCTATCACCCCCATATTTACCCTCCTACAACACATCTAAGGACAAATGATTTCTCCCACCAAAACAGACCGAATGGTTGCGACAGGCGAGCGGACAGCCAAAGTCCAATCATTCGCGCGCTGGGTCTTCACCCCGCTGGGGTTTTTCATTACGATCTACGGGCTGAACGTGATTGCCTGGGGCGGGATGCTCTTTCTCTTACTATGCAATGCCGCCCCAGCGATGTGTCATCCCAGCTGCAACAGCCCCAACTCGTCGCGTCGCATCTGGATCGAGATCGATTCCCAGATCCTCAACGCCCTGTTCTGTGTCACGGGCTTTGGACTAGCCCCATGGCGCATCCGAGACCTGTTCCAGTGGTGCCGCTGGCGCTTAGCTCGGTCTCCCCGCACCCATCAACGAGGGCTGGCCCGTCTAGCGGAGATCCATGCCAACTGGTTCCTCCTGGGGAGACAAGACGGGGCCCTACCGAGCACCACTGACCACGAAACCGACCCCCGACATCCCACCCCACGGTGGAAGATGGACGTGGTGGTCTGGGGGAACATGCTGAACTCCGTGTTCCAAATTTGTCTGGCGGTCTGCATGTGGGCCATGAATCGGTTTAACCGACCTAGCTGGACTACGGGCCTCTTTGTGTGTCTGGCTTGTCTGGTTGCCGCAGGCGCTGGGATTATTATGTGGCTGGAGAAGAAACGCATCAACAAGGCCAGTGAGCATCCGGGGGCTCTGTTGCTGGTGCCTCTTGCCAATCCCTCCGACAAATCCAGCCAAGGGTACCTGCATGTAAGCCAGGGAGAGTCAATCTGAGCCCATACCAAAGGATGAGCTGTTGCTTCAATCGGTTGAATTTTTTTCCTCGCATAATATTTCGCCTCAGTGAAATAGGACGGCATGGGTCTCATAGAACTGAACTCTGAATGGCTCAATATCCGGTGCCTCCCAGAGACAGATCTCCTACAGCTGCTTCTGCTATCTTATCTCATCATTTAAACTAGACTTACAGCCCATATCCTACACTAAATGGGGTCCGAAGATACCGGATGTGGACCCGTGGCAAGTCCCACCAAACAGAAAGTAGATCGCATTGAGAATCGCCATACCAAGGCTCAATTCAAGAAATATATATTCATCACTGCGAATACGAGTAAGGCGTCAATATTCCAATGTTGAAGGGGCTGGTCAGATTACCATTCCAGCCAATCACATACGGCCAATCGACCAGCTTTCGTACCCTTTACCCAAACAGGTAACCAATACGAAATCCCATGCCAACTGTGTCCCATGGCACACAAACATTGGTCCGACTACAAAGTGGATGCGGATAACTATTTTTACGCTCCTCATGTTGTGCTAGACTGGATCCATTGTATCAAGAGGAGAAGATAAAGATACAATGGAATCCCGGTCTGCAGCTTGAAATGGTTCATTCTCAACTCGAACCCCATCCCTCCCTCCTAATTTGGCAGGTTACCTAGTGAATACAATTCTTTCCTACCTCCCATCATCACAACAACCAAACGAACATGATCAGCTTCAAATTCATTGGCATGACCGACCGTCCAGGCCTCAAGCGTCGCCTACACATTCTCATCGCATCTCTCATCTCCCTCACCTTCATCCTCATTATCGCGCGACTCGCTATCCCCGGCACACCAGTGACTCGTGTCAATGTCTGGGGCATTGTAGTGGTATGCTTGTTCCCATACGTATCCCATCAGAAGCCCCCAAAAGACATAATATAACTAACATATGTTACCCTAGTGCATCAAAGCAGCCGTCTTCCTCACCTACCAAGTCCTGACAATCTACAAAGACCGCTTCAAGCGATGGGCCAGTCCCAAAGCCTACATGGTCCTGGACATCATCGATACTGTGTTTTGGTTTGCGTTGTTTATCATCAGTATTCTTGGGGCGAGTGGGGGGAGTAGTGCTGGTAGTAAGGCGTTGGGTGCCATCGTGGCTATTCTGTCGTTGGTGTTGTGGTGAGTTATCCCGATTAGCTTGCATGCTGCTAATTGGATGAGTATCTATGCTGACATGGGTGCAGTGGTGTTGTAGGATTCTTGTCATTCCTATGTGTGCAGGACTATCGCCATTTCAAGGTTCATGGGGTCACTCTGGCGGCGACAAAGTCGGTTGGGGATGAGGAGACCGTGTAGAATTTGTTGTGATGTTATGAATTGATGAATGTATGAATTCGGAGCCTAGGCATCTTGCCTTATGTCGCAGCTAAGACACGAAATACATAGATTAGTGATTGTTTATAGACTGTTGGTCTCGTAGATCGAATCCCGCGTACCTTCTTTGCTATGCGAGAGCAAATCTTCGTGGTTATGGAAAAGAGGTTGCCAAAAGCACTGCAGACGGCAGAAATTCAATGTAAGATAAAAATTTGTCCAGTCGATTTGAAGGCGGCCGATGGACGACAGCTCGTCTTCTGGCTATTTCAGCCCTGTCGAGGATAAACTTCCCATCAGTTTGTCCGTAACAGCACCTCCGCCCTAAATAGAACGCTTGGCAAGATTATCCACGTAAAATTGTTTTGCCAACGAGTCACCGTTGGGTGGCTGGGAAAGTTGAGACGCAGCAAACTGGATGATCGCCCGACTGCCCCTTTCGTATTCGTATCCATGCCCTAACTCGGTTTCTGGCGGTTCGAGGTTCCAGTTGCTGTGCCAATAGTTCAGAAATAGATCGTCAGCCTAGCCTGTGTGTCTGTAATGTGTGCCTAGTTAAAGAAGCAGCTGGCTGTCTTTCTCAGGTAATGCTCGCTTTCTCTCACATCTATGGGCTTGTTTCGTGCATCTGATGCCGATTTCTGCACCGTCTCTGAGCCCGATTTTCGATCATGTCAAGTGGCTACAAGCTCTACGATTATGATCCCTCCGTCGGTGCGGCCGTTGTCTTCGCCGGCCTGTTTGCTGCGACCTCTGTGCTGCATCTCTTTCAGATGATCCGCAAGCGGACCTGGTATTTTGTGCCATTCATCGTCGGTGGCTTTTGTGAGTTCTCCCTCGTCTTCCCAAGACTCCAACCTACCCTAATGCTTGTCTCTAGTTGAAACATTCGGCTACATCGCACGATACTACAGTGCTAAGCAAACACCAAACTGGACTGTGATGCCCTATGTCGGACAAGAGTTGCTTCTCCTCCTCGCTCCGTCTCTCTTTTCCGCCTCCATCTATATGATCCTGGGCCGGATTATCCGCCTCGTTCACGGCGACTCGCGCTCACTTATCGGCCCGTCCTGGCTAACCAAGATCTTCGTGACGGGCGACGTACTTTCGTTCTTCATCCAGAGCGGTGGTGGAGGAATGATGGCCAGTGCCAAATCCGCCAGCAGCGTGTCTCTGGGCAACAAAATCATCGTGATCGGTCTGATCGTCCAGCTGGTTTTCTTCGGCTTCTTTATTATTGTTTCGATGGTCTTTCATCTCCGTATGAGATCCTCTCCGACTCCGACGTCTCTCGCAATTAGCCCTCCGTGGTATACCTATATGCGTGTTCTGTACGCCGCTAGTGTTTTCGTCATGGTGAGGTCTGTCTATCGCGTGGTGGAATATGTGCAGGGCACCGATGGGGTCTTGCAACAGCATGAGGTCTATCTGTATGTCTTCGATGCTGTACTGATGTTGTTGTGTTGTCTTTTGTTCAATGTCATGCATCCGAGTCGCATTTTGTCGAGTCGGCAACCTTATGGTAAGATGGATGGGGATCAGGTAGAGATGCTGAATTCAGGGCGGTGATGGTCTTCTTTCATTTCCCCTTTCTTTTCTACTTTTCCTTCTTCTTCTTCTTCTTCTTCTTCTTCTTCTTATTCTTCTTCTTCTTCTTCTTCTTCTTCTTCTTCTTCTTCTTCTTCTTCTTATTCTTATTCTTACTATCCATGATGCATCACTTGATTTTCATGATAGACTTGTACTTCACTCTGTACACCATCTCTTCAATCTTACCCTCTCTTTTGTGCATCTTGCGTGTGTTGCTATTTAAAGTCATATCTTTGTGCTCGTCATATAAAGGACCGAATTATTAAACCTGTGCAGCATGATACCCCCATCGAATCTAATCACGCATTTGCGACCCGCATATTCAATTCCTCCCTCGTACCATCCAAACACCGCCTGCATAATCTCGGACATCTTCCCGAAATCCGCGGGCCCGCCTTCCGAGCGAATGACGCCAAGCGTCCCCGGATGCGATACAAAAGGTTAAGGTAAGTTTAGCATCTAACTATATTTTTAGGCGCCCTATATGACTCACCTCTGATAACCGTTCAAGTTAGTACCAAGCATCGGCTAGTGCTGACGCAACAACCCCTACAGAAACCCCGTCTTTTCTTCATCCAATACCCAGACACTATAGTACAACCAGGACTATACCAGACTAATCATGGACCCTACCGCCAGCGCCAACCATCCCCGACTCGGCTGGATAGGTAAACCTCCCCTCCCCCAATTTACTCCTAAGTACTGACCCCCAGGCCTCGGCTCAATGGGCCAAGCCATGGCCGTGAACCTCCAAACCCACCTCTCCCGCACCAACGCCCCATCCCTCCACTTCTACAACCGGACCGAAGCCCGTGGCTTACCTCTCCGCGAGATTGGGGGCACGCAAAGCCCCAATATCCAATCCCTCATCGCCAAGGTAGACATCTGCTTTCTCGCCGTGACGGACGACAATGCAGTCAAATCCATCATCAATTCCATGATCGAGAACCCAGATCACATCCGGGATAAGATCATCGTTGATACGACGACCGTGCACCCGGATACATCTATCTGGGCCGAGCAATCTCTCCAGGGTGTAGGAGCCAGCTACATCGCATCCCCCGTCTTCGGTGCAAGCCCCGTCGCTAAAGAAGGGAAACTGCTTTTCGTGATCGCCGGTCCAGACGACGCCATACAATCCATTGAACCATTCGTGGTAGGTATCATGGGCCGGAAGATCCTCCGAATGGGAAGGGATGTTACGCGGGCGAGTTTACTAAAAAGCACAGGGTATACCCTCCATCCCCCTCCTACTAAGTACCCCATTAACACCATGAAACTATCTAGTAATTTCATCACAGCCGGAATGATGGAACTCATCGCGGAAGCGCACGTGCTAGCCGAGAAATCCGGACTCGGGAATGACGTGCTCGAGTCGTTGATCGACGAACAATACGGGGCGCTTCCGTTTGCGATGTCGAAACGCATCACGGGGGGTTATTATCTGCCCGAGCGAGGACAGCGGCCGTGGTCGGATCTCAATCTGGCGATTAAGGATGTTTCGTTGGGGGTGAGTTGTGCCGAGGGAGTCGGGGCTAGGTTGCCGGTGGCGGAGGTGGTGTTGGAGCATTTATGCGAGGCGAGGGGGTATGCGGAGGGGAATGGGCGGGCGTTGGATTCGTCGGCGATGTATGGGATTTTAAGGGAGAGAGCGGGGTTGGGGTTTGAGTCGGAGGGGGTGAAGAAGAGGGATGGTGGGGGTTCAGAATGATTTGGCTGGTTGAATTGGATGCAGAGCATGGAATGCGGAACGGTAAAAAAAAAAAATAAATAATAATGCAAAAAGATCGTCAGCGACAGGACTCGAACCTGTGCGGGCGAACCCAATAGATTTCTAGTCTATCGCCTTAACCACTCGGCCACACTGACTTGATGTAGAGGGAAATTCTAATGTGGCTTATGAGCAACCAACCAGAACACCCATTTATCCCTAATCGGTGGAAATCTACCCAAACATGGAAATCAATATCCCAAGTTTCCAACTCCTCATTCAATCTAGACGGGCTGTTACTGGTTTTAGACGGGTAGATCATCTCTTTTAAACATGGTTTCTCATCGTAGATATCTCAATTGGATCATTCGCACAAATCATCATTTCATCCATATCCTACCCACGGGTAGCGGAAATATATTATTCGTTTGTACCATTATCATGACCACCACAATTAACAAAACCATCGCCATTCACCACAACCAACTTTACAATAACCATCCAAACTCACCCCACTAAACCCCCCTAAACATCAAAATAACACCAACTACTCATCCGGCAACAAATCCTCCTCCTCCTCCGCCGCACCTACCCACAGTCAGCATCCCCACCAAATCCTCACATAATGACAAAAGGCAAAGGTGGACAAACCCTTATTCGGCTGATACGGCCTAAACGACTGATTCCGATCCGGGGCGCGATGCTGCGACCCTGACTGTTTCTGCGCCGACGATGCTGCCGACTGCTCACTCGCTTGATGCGCCCGACGGTTCAGATCCTCCCATTGGCCCGTGGAGCCTAGATCGTCGATCGATTCCACGATGTCGGCTCCCGTTAGGTGGTATTGGCCGGATGCTTTGCGGGGTTGGGCGGACATTTTCTATTTTGTCCTTCTTGTGCGGGTTACTTGTGGGTTGTGGTTTGGGTTAGATGAGGGATTGATGAGCAAGTCTTTCAGGTTAGGATGGATGGGATGGATGGATGGATGGTGGTGAATGGTGATTAAATAAAGGAATGGTAGCGGGGTATGACATCGCGGATGAGGGGGCGGGGATGATCGAACCGTGGTTGGGGCGATCGATCGGGAAGTATCATTGGGTTCGAGGAAGCGGGTGACACAATGATGGTTCGGGAGGCCAATTAGATACGAGGAGTGTTACGCTCATATTGCATCAGGGTTTGGTGGTTGGGATGGCAATGGTCCGATCAGATGATTTGCGGGGTTGTGTGAGCTAGGTCGTATGATGATGGGTTTACTCTAGAAAATACAAATGGGGTCCTATGGGTATGATGGATGTGATTTATTGTTATATGGTGGTGATGTGCCAATGGATACGACATGTAGGTTATTCTGACTTAAGTCGTAGAGTGGGACGAGGAGGCCATCGCTCTGCATATGTACATGCTACCACCAAGGAATCACATAGCACCCGGAGCAGCCGGATTCGTCACATACGGCAACAACACCTCACAATGATCCTGATACGGCAACGAAGAGACCTTCGGGCCCGGGAACTGCAACGACGCAACACTCGGCCTGGTAATCGTAAACTGGGGCCACTCAAAACCAACGAAGAATTCCAGAGTCGAATCGTATGACCGGGCTATCAGATATGCTGGATCGACATTCGGATTCCCCGTCCGAGCAAAGGCACCCCACATATCCTGGACGGCATTGGTATAGTAGATATCCTCTGGAACCCGCACGGGCTGGTCAAAGATATAGTAGGTGCCAAACACCTCGTACAGGTCGCTGCTGTGACAGCGATAGTAGGGTGTGTCTGGCTGACCCACGGGGAATGTGCACAGATCGTAAAAGTCGTAGTAGCTGAGTGCGTAGCCGCGGTTGTGGATGTAGAACCAGTGCGATTTGAAGGCCCATGAGGCGGCAGCGATCCACTGGAGAAGTGTGCCGTCGCAGTACAGTTGGCCTTCGGTGCCGATGTGGACTGAGGCGTTGTAGACCGATGTGTAGGTGGTACTGCCGTTGTAGACTGTGGTGTTTGTGACTGTGTAGAGACCTGATCTGGCCACTGCTGCTGCTTGGGCTTTGTTGAGGGCAGAGTCACTGACGAGGATCTCCAGCGCTTCGCTGAAGTTGGTCATGCTGGGCCATAGGCTCGTGGTTGCGAGGGATTGATATTCCTCGAGCATGTTACCGGCCATGACATTGACTGAATTGATGTACTGCGCTCCTAGGCCATATCGTGCCTGCGTATAATCAGCCGAATAGTGGCCATCCATGACGGTGTACCAACTGATACTGTTATTGGTAATGTTGAGTAGTGTCTCAGCGGGCAAGGACCGCAGACAGGAGGCCCGTTGAGCGGTCGTACCATTGCAGAACCGCTCGATATAGGGCAAGGCATATGCGGCAGCCACTTCCGCTGTCGCCACGTTTGACTTTCCCGACTGAACGATGCCGTTCTGGAACAGTTCCTCGCCAATGATGGCTGGGCATGTGATTAGGTCGTTGACTGATGAGGCGCCGGCGGACTGCCCGAAGATGGTAACGTTCTTCGGATTGCCTCCAAACCCGGCGATGTACTGCCTCACCCAGCGCAGTGCTTCGATCTTATCAGTCATCATGTAATTACCTTTAATCTCATCATCATCCAGGGCCAGGAGACCGAATATGTTAAGGCGGTACTGACAGTCTTAGTCGCAAGCAAGAGTAGCGATGCAGAGACTTACATTAAAGGTGACAACCACAACATCAGACCGAGACGCAAGACTAGCCCCATCAAAGGTCGAGTCGGCTCCCGAGCCCTGAGTGTCTCCGCCACCATATATCCAAACCATGACAGGCTTCCCATTGTCGGGATCTAACGAATCGGATGATGGAATATAGGGCGTGTAGATGTTGAGGTAAAGACAGTCCTCACTATTTCCCCAGGGGTCTAAAAATAAGCAACACTCTAGACCAATGAGGAGATACATACTAAGCCCATATGCATCCCCATCGAAATACCCAAACTGCAAGCAAGCGGGACCGTATTTGGTCGCATCCACATAGGAAAAGGATTGGTTCCACGGCCGAGCTGGCTGGAATCGAAGATCTCCTGTTGGAGGCTGTACGAAAGGGATTCCGGCAAAGCGGAACGCCATATGGTCCCTCATACCCTCGAATGTAGTTCCATTGGAAGTTGCATTCACACGAGGAAAGTTCGAGTAATCAGTATCCACCTTGTCTACCATAGGGGCGCTGTTAGTGCACAAGAAGGGCAGAAGTTCTGAACTTGAGTTTGCATTGCTCTGAACAACGCCACTCCAAGAAGTGGGCGATGAGGACGAGCAGGATGACCAAAAGAGCTGGCTTGGGGTGATGGTGCCGAGCCATTGCTGATAGCTGAATAGGTTGGTAAAGTCGACATATTTTTCGCAGCTCAGTAATGTCTCGTTCTGAGCAGCGCATGCAGCAGTGGCAGCAGAATAACTCGAAGGCGTGTTGATAAACACCCCACTAGGCTTGGATCCATGAGACGTCCAGTTGCCATCGTTCTCGAAGAAGACCGTCATGTCACCATACTGGGGCTCACTTGCATCGCGCTGAAAAGATGGTGCAGTCCGCGCGGAGACCGACACAATAAGGGCAGCAGATGCCAATGTACAAAGAGGTCCAGCCATTTTGCCCAAGCAATATGGTCATTGTTTTCCAGTCCCGCATCATGGGCGCCAGCACAGCTTTAATATCTCCCTTGTCACCCAATGGTGTAAAGTCTCTCGGCACAAAAAGCCGAACCATGCTTTCTGGGTCGTGCGCACGTATATGCGCTTATTCTGCATAAGAAGGGAAAGAAATAATAAAAAAAAGGGGAAAAAACATACAACAGAAGGGATTCGCTGGTGGTCACCCACCCAACTACTAACCTCCCGGCGTGTGGCTTAAGTACGGCTGAGCGGACGGGAAGCCCTGTTCTCCACACCCTGTGGTCGTATGTGCTAGCTTGTTAGCCGAAGCAGCTTATATTTAACATTGGGCAGGTAATTACTCAATTAATACCATCGCCACTCTGCACTGATCGGATCTGAGTGGATAGGTACTCAAGCATAGTGCGGGGTATGGAGGGGAAAAAGTGGAGATGCGTGCATTGTGCACAGGCCGTAGCGTGGGGTGTCGGCATAGCAAACTGAAATTGAACACCTATAAGCTTGCTGCAGAACAATCCTTCAGGGCCCAAAATCCCATTTTTAGAGTCTGAGCACGACTTATGCACTGCAGGACCCTGATCAGGGCAAGTCTCCGCAGTGGAGGACAGTGAGAAGGTCTATCTGTGCATGCATGTCTTCGAGCCAAAATGCTATCCTTGACGAAGAATGTATCTGTCCAGAACCCCTCACTATTGAAGCAGTCCGAGCCCCCGTACACCTTTTAGGCAGTTCTCCCGGTTTTCAAGTGATTATGAGGCGTGTCCATATCATGAGACGGGGCCAATTAGGCTCTATGTACACATTTCGAAGCAGTAGTGAGAGCACAGATAATTGAGCCAATCCGTTCACTATCCTGTGACAGGGAGTGATTGATTGTTTTGGGCTATAGACTAGTTAACCGCATTGACAGCTTGATTATATAGACTCCAGAGGTTCAACCCGTGGGTTGGGTTAAGTTGGATCCCGCCGGGTAACCCACCGGGTGGGGTTGAACCCCAACCCACCCCAGCCCGACCCAACATGGTTCAACTGGATTAATGGAGTTCACGTTAAGCTTGCGCTGCGCAGGTCGAATACATGCACATGGCATTGATGACACCATCTGTAGGCCATTCTATAGGCAGTCTATATCACGATATCGATTATGAACGGGGCTGTTGACAATCGTTGGTACTTAGTCGGCTCAGCAACATAGGCACCCACCGGAAGAAAGTGGGATGCGTAGGGTTTCCTTGCCCTCACTGGGGGATAGATTTGTTCCAGCTCAACCGAAGAATAAGGCTAGTAATCGATGGGGGTGAATCCGTGGACTAGATGCCATGTACCGCTGATAGGGTCCCGCTCGTTCCGCAAGAAGTGCATAAAGCTTTGCTCACGGTATGGGCTCCACTTTGCAATATCTTCCTCCGCTGTACCTGGCGGAAAGCCGTCTTGGACCCGGAAGATATTGATGGGTTTGATGCGTGCCTCTTCCGGGATGAGACCTCCGGTTGTTCCGGGTTTCATTTCTGAGCCCACTGAATATGGACTCGAGGCGTAGTCCAGATCGGGAGTGGCGGGATGGCTTTCAAGATCAAACCGGAATATGTCGCTACTGCTGTCTGGGCGATTAGATCCGTTGAGCTCATCCGTCGATTCCGGCATTATAGAACCGGTCGTTCCTTGAGCTGTCTTCCTTTTCATCCCGTACATGTCTTCTACTGCAATGAGCGTTTCGAGCAACCTTACTCCCGTAGCGCATTTGTAGAACCCCTGCACCGGAGGCGCCCGGCCTGTCAGAGTCAGCGCCATGCGTCGGAGCCGGGGCTCTCGGCACCTGAGGCTGGTGAACCAAAGTGGCATGGCAACGCTGAGTTCAATGGTAAGCGGCGGTTGGGAGCCGTCTGATCGAGCCGAAGCATCTAGAGCGACGCCAGCCTGCTCAATGATATTCTGGAATTGTGGTAAATAGGCGTCGGTCGTCGTCTCTAATAACGATGTGGAAGTTGCAACCATGATGAATAGCATTTCGTGATGAGTAAGGAGAAGAGCGCCAGTGCCGATTTGCTGCGGTGATAAAGCATCTTTTCGGCGCAAGGATTCCATCAAGTCGGTAAACGCCGCGTGCCAGACCTTTAGCCTGGCTAGCAGGGTCGCTTGTTGGGTCAGAATCTCGTAGGGTAATTCAGAGGGATGAAACATCACTAGATGCCCAAGGCAAGTGCGTTGAAAGAGCTGAGCCTCTGCGGCCAAGATAGAGATGCCTTCGCGAGCGGATCTGAGGGAGGCGAACCCTTGTGTCAAGGCATGTTCACTGTCGGATAGCAAAGCACCCACAGGCACTGCAGAAAAATTCAGCGCAATTGCTCCCAGACGGACAAAGATCGGGACGATATTATTCTCCAACAATACAGCTTTGGAGGAGTCTACCGCCCCGGAGGCGATTTGGGCACGGAGTGTGAGAATGAGTTGCACCCCGTGAGTATAAAGCCGCGTTGCCTGTTCAACGCCCCCCTGAAGGCCTTCAATGCACATGAATAGTACACAGATTACCAGTCCGACAAAAATGTCTCCGTCACCGCGATCCAGTCGCTGACGAACGGAAGACACGGAGCGTGAATACCAGCCTAACGCATCCCGGTGGTTTTGATTGAGAATGCGGAGATCTTTCTGGCGTAGAAAGGCAATATCCGGACATGGTTCAGGGCTCTCAAACAAGGCACTCAGGGAGATGATGGCATCCCACACGGCTGGTTCACTCCGGGAGACTTGTGGGACGATGGTACTCCAGAAGTCAGTTTCCAACCCACCCCCGACGAACAGAGCGGTGTGTTGGAAGTAGTAGGCAAACGCGCGGCGTTCTCGCCACACGGTATTTGGGGATGATGAAAGAGGGTTGTCGAGGATAGAGTCGGTGGCAGGCGCGGAGGAAAATGTGCCGAATGTGGTGCCTTCGTACTCGCACTTACGACCAGTCTTGGTGCACCGGGCACAGGTCGGCTTTTCTTCTCCGCATTTGACCCGTCGAGATCTGGAACGTTTTAATGTTATATTCACTTGATACATTAGAAGCAAGCTCCTACTTGCAAGTTTTGCATCCCCGTCGTGATCTCAGGGGGCGAATTGGACTGCCCCGCACACTGGATGGCGGGCTGACAGACATGTCGCCAGCATTATCGGTGGAAAAGTTTAAGAGAGACTGTAGGGGCCTTCAGGTAAGGGGAGGGAGTGGAGGCTGAGAATGTTCCAGGCTCTCAGCGGCTGGATGGGATGGAAGATGGTCAGAGGCAGATGATCATGTCAGGGTGTGATTGGTGGGGATAGAGGTGGTCACGTGGTGGTGAGATAGGGGAGGCATTACCGCCATGTTGTGCAGGTGAATCAGGGCCATCTTTTCCCTATATATCTAGGGAATATAAAGAGCCGTCCAATAGATAAAAGCGATGAGTTCCTTGTAAAGCTCCCCACTGTTTCCTGCAGCATGGTTTCCCATCGCCTGCCTTTCCTTCTTCATGCCTTCGCTCGCCTGGAACGTGTGGATCAAATGATCGGAAAACACGGAGTGCAGGTTCTAAAAATGGCCCAGGAAGATGATGATACCAGAGGATTACTAACGACTTGGACGGACGCGTAGAATGGAACTGAAGAGAGGCAGGTTAATATTCAAAAGGCAGCCATGACACGGTCACGTGGTTTGAGAGAAGCATACTCAAACTGCTGGCTTTAGTATGCGCAAGACCGATCTATTGCTTAAATGGTGCCGTCCATACACTCCAACACAAATCATAGCATACTAAAAAGGGTACAACCCCCGGGTCATTTATCCTCTGTCACACAACATCTGTGCAATGGACATCACTCGCTCAGTGAAATCAGCGAAAACGGGCAATAATTACCCGCGCAGGCAAATGCAGTATATTCTCCCGCGACGCTCGCATTGGCTGCACATGTCTCCCAGGATGTGAGATGTAGACGACCCCAACCAATCAATCGGCAGCATCAGCGGCTCGATGCGGGGAAATCTGGGGTAGATCCATTCCGGGGAAGATGGCCCAGCGGATCGGCAATTGCTGCCATAGCCGCGTACAAGTCGGTAATTCTCCCCGATATGAATACATCTCCTAAATCGGGGAAATGATACTACTTACCCACATTAGGGCTTCAATTTGAACTAGTCCATCTCAATCATGACTGACAGGTCTAAAGACGATCAATCGTCTGAAGTCCTAAAGAATTTTGCAACAGCCGAGCATGATGAAACCGTCGGCACCATCGAGTCCACCGATGTGGCCTACAGCGCGGGCGGAATTAGCGATCTTTTCCGCTCATGGTATGTCTTTGGCTCGGCGGCGCTGGCATCCCTTGGAGGGTTCTCCATGGGATACAATATGGGTGTGATTTCTATCGTCAATGTGATGAAACAGTTCCATCAAGCCTTTCCTCGCTCCGAATCAGCCTTCGGAAAGGGCCTCATGACCGGTATGATGTTACTCGGCGCCTTCGTGGGCTATCTATTCATGTCTTACCTCGCGGATCGAATCTCCTGAAAATGGGCCTTGACCGTCGTGGTGGTGATCTTCGACATTGGTGCTATTCTCCAGACCGCAGCCCAGAACTACGACATGCTCGTGGCAGGTCGCTTCATCGGTGGGATTGGTGTAGGCACCCTAGCCATGGTACGTCCATCCAACCCATCCCATCTCACATACTAACCCACCATCAAGGCGCCCCCCTCTACATCTCCGAAGTCTTCCCCCCCCCCCGAACTCCGCGGCATCCTCCTCGTCCTCGAATCCATCTCCATCACCCTCGGCGTCGCCATCGCCTACTGGATCACCTACGCCACACGCTTCGTCCCCAACGAAGTCTCCTTCCGTCTCCCCTTCGGCCTCCAAATGCTCACCGCGACCATCCTCGGCGTCGGCATCCACCTCTTCCCCTACTCCCCGCGCTGGCTCGCCCTCGTCGACCGCCAAGACGACTGTCTCTCCAGCCTCTCCAAACTCCGCGGCCTCCCCCCCACCGACCCGCGCATCCAGACCGAATTCCCACACCATCCTCTCCGAAATCACCTACCAGCGCCTCGTCCAGCAGCGCCGACACCCCGGCGCAACAGGCCTCAAACTCGAGCTCGTCTCCTGGCTGGACCTCTTCTCGCGAGGCATGTGGAAACGTCTCGCCGTGGGCTGTGGCGTCCCTTTCTTTCAACAATTCTCCGGAATCAACGCGTTCATATACTACGCGCCGACGCTCTTCGAATCCCTAGGCCAATCAGACGACATGTCGAAGATCTTATCCGGCGTGTTTGATCTCATTCAGGTTGTTGCAGCCGTGTTATGCGCGTTCATCATCGAGAAAGTCGGCCGCAGGGCCCTCGCTATCTACGGCGCGTTCGGCATGGCTCTCGCGTACATCATCATCGCCATCCTATCAGGCCTCTACTCAGATAATTGGGAAAATCATGTCGCGGCGGGCTGGGCCTGCGTGGCCATGGCGTTCATTTTCATCTTAGTCTATGGAGTATCGTATTCTCCGCTAGGATGGGCCTTACCGGCAGAGGTATTCCCCAATGCGTGTCGATCGAAAGGCGTCGCGTTGGCGACGTGTACTATCTGGTTGGCGGATTTTGTTGTTGGGATTGTGACCCCGTCTATGTTGGCGGATATTGGGTATCGGACGTATGTGTTTTTTGCGGTGATGTGTACGGTGGCGGGCGTGTGGGAAGACGTTGGAGGAGATTGATGGGTTGTTTGGGGATGGGGGGGATAGGGAGGAGAGGAGGATTGTGAGGGAGGCCATGGTCGCGGCGGGGGATTTGGGGGGTGTTTAGATGATTCTCAGATTTATGGTATAGTGGTGACTTGATATGTTGGTTAAGGCTTGATGATGCTCAATGATATACTTGAATGAGTGTCATTGGATGTATGTTGGAAGAAGAAGCCACTGGCTTTGTGGTTATCTCATATGTAAGAGGATCCGGAGAATCTTTCGTGGAATAACGATTGGCAGAATGTAATGTGCGTCATGCCATAGATTGACAGTCCGTCCAGAACTGGATGAATGATAGTTGAAAAGACTAGCGTGTATCCGATGTGTGTTCCTTTAGGCCAAGTTAAACACTGCTCCCTAAAACTAGATATGGACACTATCTACCCCCCATGACTGTACTGATGTACGCAATCACACCTGAGTAGAACATTCCCTACTGAAGAGAATGCCATTCGTACTCATACCCATATGAGAGAGAAGCTCATACTTTATACACTTTGCCCACCGCACATCTCAAACCCCCGAATCATCCTGGAATCGTTCATCCGGAAGACAATGATTATCCCAGTCTTTGTACCAAGTTTCCCAATTCTTACACCCATCTATAAGCTGCTTATATGCATGCCGAGCCGGCCACCCGTGGATCTTTTCCCTAACAGTCTCCCGATCTTCCAGAATCTGCAATGCCAGTCCCCCAGACGCATGCCAGGCAATATGGCAATGTAGGAGCCAGGCCCCGGGGTTGTCGACCGGGAATGCAATCACGATATACCCATCTCGCGGCAGCAAGACCACATCCCGACGAGCGGGATTGTCCAACGTGAAGGTGTCGATCCATTTTTGCATCCGCCTGGGATGTCTAATTAAACTATGGTTGAAGGGTTCGTAGGATTGGGCTAGTAGCGCGAAGTCGTGTCCGTGGAGGTGGATCTGATGAAGATATGCATTAGCTGGGTTTTATATACCGCAAGGGAAGTAGTGCAGCGGCGATAAGGAACTCACCGGGTGCGCCGCAGGAATCACCGAATCGCCCTTCCTCCTGGGTGGTATCTGGGTCTGATGGCCCCCGTCGATCAACATGTACACCCATGTCTTATACTCTTTGCCCGGGCTCGGCCAACCGGGCTTACCGGGCGAATCGAGGTCCCCCCGAGTAGAGTCAACCGGGCTATCGTCTTTTTCGTCCTCGCTGTTGACTTCAAACAGAGCCGCGTTTTCCGGCCACTCACTCTCAGGCCTGTCCGTATGGCTGATTGTGGGATCCTTGTAATCCACCCAGGCAGCATGATTTATGAGCTTCCAGACCGAGATGTTTGGCCCAGCTGGAATGTCGCCCTCGGGTTCCGGGAGGAGCGTGAAGTTCGCTCCTCTCATGACCTTGAAGGGCAATTTGACCTTGTGCAGTTGTTCTGGGGTAGGCCTGGGTACGGTCCATCCGATTACCGGCTCGATGTTCGTGTGGTCTTCGTCCCGGCACAGGGTATCATAGTCGTGCTTGCCGGTGGTGGGATCGCGGGTGACGTTGTCGTCGTACAGGAGAATGCCTTTGCCTCTCATTGGGTTCGCAGGCAAAGTTCTCACAGTGCTGGGCGGGCTCCGTTCGGATCCAGTAGCTCGGTTTGTGTTCGCCCTGCTTTTTCGTTTCCGGGATCCCGTGGTATCGTTGACCTAGCACAGCGTTAGGATGTAACTTTGAGCGTCTTGGCGAGCCTTACCAATGCCGATATGCAGGAAGTTCTTCTTAAAGGGCTGGATGGGCACCAAGTCCGCCCCAATCACTTGTAGCTCATAGTCATCGATGCTAAAAATGTATGCCGTGTCCGTGGACGCGTTGATCAGTCGGAGAAGGATTCTCTTGCCCTGGAGATGATCAGAAACGTGTTGCGCTGCTGAGTCGGAATATAGCTTACCGGCTCGACTTTCTGTTTGTACCGGTTTCAAGGATATCGGCCTTGGTAGCTCCCTGCGACGCGTTAATCCTACGATCGAGATAAAAGCTCGTGGCAGCGACCGACCGTGGTTATTGATGAGGATGCTTTCCATCTTGATTGGACCCTGTACCTTTTCCGAAATCGTGGCCCAGTGCCAATCCTCAAAGGCACTGCAATTGTTGTGATCCGCAATCATCAGAGGGTACGTGGCGTCGTCGTAGTTGTCCACCGATGTAGGTCCGTAGATCCTCATCGGACCTAGCAAGCCATCGGTGTATTGGAGGCTGTAATGGGTGCGAAAATGGAGGAGAAGCTAAAAAGGTTGACCACCGCGGTCAAGCAGGATTCCAGAAGCATTCTGAATCGGGTGTCTGCCGTGTCCCGGCAGCCCTAGAAAACAATGGATTGTCATTTCATGTCTATCCGAACCCATTTTTTCGCCGAGATCAGCGGACAGTCAAATAGCTGGGGGCTCGCAAAGCCTAGAACTGCGGATAGAAGATGGTTTACAGCTCGCTCTACGTCAAGGACTCTCCATGTGGAGTCCGATATCATCACCAGGTTGCATATTGTGAAGTCGGTTCCACCTCGCAGCCACGGATCTATTCTCCGAGAGTGGAGAGGCCGTGTTCGGTAATCTGTCATGCTGGATTGTGTGCGGTTCACCCGCTCGGTTCCCCGCATTCCGATTTCCCCCCAAGCTAATCTTTCTGATGATCACCGCATGCGATGCAGCAAGCAGATCAGCTTGTTCCAGCACGTCATTTGCACAAGTGAAGGATGGAATGCGGCAGAGTATAGTGTGAAATAATATCGGGTGAGAGAAGCGTGACAGCTGCTTAATCTACTTGTCTTCGGTCGGCAGCTAAGCTTCCAGTCAAGCAAGCAGACAGGGCTGCCCCGCAGACACGGATGGGACCGCGCAAGGGGTTCCGTGGTAGGAATGTAACACATGACAGCTGACGTTGAGACTCTTCATGTACGATGGATTCCGCGGACAATAATTGCAAATCAGCGTGTACGACGTCGCGTCCACCTGTCTTCCTTGCGGAGAACACCCGGATTAATCACGATGCAATGCATACGCAACCAACCGATTGCCTCCAAGACATGCGATCAAAGACATGCGAGGACGGACAGTATTGGAGGCTCAGATACGCCAAATAACAGCGCGTCGCTTAGCCAGGCGCACATATTGACATTGTGGTGGCGATGTCTTCTCGAGGTATGCTGATCATGCTCGTTGGCTGGTGAATATGCGACCGCGGATGGCAATTAGTTGCTCGTTGATATAATCTACTAGGCTATATCATGCTGTGGCAAGTGAAAGTTTTGTTAGTGGTCTGTGGCAAGAGTAACGGGTCTCTGTATCCAGGCTCACGATGTAGGATGCATGATTGGTAGTGGTCAGTCTCCAGAAATCAGGACCGCCACAGGAAGAATCAAGGGCCAGAAAGAACGGAAGGTTGCGTAAAGCGATCTGAAGCTTCAGACTACCGTTGTAGTTCCGCGTAGAGCATGAAGAGAGTTAGGATAGGTGAAATACTGTGCGGGACTAAGAAGAGAAGTGATAGGGAAGGCCTTGTCGCATGTTCGCAGAAGCGGTTTTACGGCACCCAGTCCACGCATGCAGAGCACTGCAGGAAAGCATGCACAAAAGGTGACAATGTGCCAAGAAGAAGCAGAGCCTGCAAGAGTAGCCTGATACTAGTGGCAACGCTGGCTTACGCCGCTGGCGTGGGCGGATGGACGTAGGAGTGCGCGTGGGGGCGACTAGTTGACTCAAGAGGCCTGACTGCGAGCGATGAGACGCCAGGCGTAATCAAAGTGGGCAAATAAGATGCTGATCGTCGGATCCTACGGCCATGCCGGTCAGCAGCCAGGGGCGCCGTAACTTGCAGGACCCTAGGTGAGGTTGGTCCAACCGGTGGGGAGGTCATCAACTCTCGGGCGTCGGGCTGAATTGGAAGATCCACTCGTGGATCAGATGCAGGGAACAGTTGTAGGAGCCTGGAGACTAAAGAGTTCATCGGAGTGGATTCCGGAGGTATCCTAATGGGACGATTGATGCTGCCGGGCGAGCCGTTGAGCAGATGGTGGTGCCTTCATGTGGCAAAGGTTTCAAGCTTTGCCGTAGACTCCAAACCAGTAGGCCGTGATTACCACAGTGAGTATGGGAAAAGGATATGGCATCTGATTTGATGAAAGGACCATGGACGATCTGGTCATGGGAGGGTAGTCCTTTGATGGGATCTATTGTCAGAGTGTGTACTTTTACGACGAAGGAGCATATTCTTACCACCACTGCATCCCGACTGGTCATAGGACCCGAATGGAGCCAGCTTGGACATGGTTCATGCCATGAAGCCGTACTGTGTATGGGGGTGTATGAAAGGTATGGAATAGGTTCATCGTGAACAGGATACGAGGCTAGACTCGATGGGGTCGCCCGCTTGGCGGGTGCACGTGCTTCTCGCCGGCCGTCAGCAATCAGGGGCCCCCATGATTGGCTGGGTCTCGGCCAATCACAGGCGCACCGTCGCGGAGCGAGGTCCATGGTGGTTCTGGGTCGACGCAAGAGAGCCACGGTGATGGGCACGAGGGACCCAATCTGAGCCGAGAGTGGACCAGGGGTCGCGGAGGTCTGACCACCACGAGATTAATTTCCGATGCGTGTTTCCTGGAACGACCGGAGCAAGCAACGACAAGCCGGGGACAAGCCAGACAAGCCCAAGCAAACCAGACAAACCAGACAAACCGGGCGAGGCCAGACGGCAAGGGGGCACGTGGTGCCAAGAAAGCTTGGCCTCTCGCTGTCCGCGACTGCAGCACGTGCCCCCGTCCGGCCCTCTCATTAATCCACGCCCAAACGCCATCCCTGCTCCTGCATTTGCTTTCCCCCTCCTCAAGCCATCCGGCTGGTCGCTCGGGGGGTGGACGAATGTCCAATCCCCTTGGCTGCCCGTGCCATGCCGACGGCTATGTCCGCCTTGAGGTTACACCGGCCACGCTTCTGCTGTTCTAGAAAAAACTCTCAGCTACCATACATGGCGCAGATTTCGGCTAATAATATCATCAGTTACACGGCACAGCCAGGGATGAGAGTCAGGTTGAGAACGTGCTGTATCGGGGTCCGCCGTCTTGTTACTTATCTCCAGCTCGGAGGACCCCAGTTTGCGACCAGTACGGAGGACGACCTACTAGTTCACTGTAGTCTGTCCAGCTGGGCTGCCCCCACCCCCCTTCTCGCATCGACCCGCTCCAGGCACTAAGGACAGTTACATTGACCAAACCACTGCGAGGCGACTAGCAGCTGCAGTGGCCTGTTAGCCTCGCCTCCGACTGTCGCGTGTGATGACTACGCGACAGCTCTCGCCAACCACGTGTTGCGATACGTCCCCCCCCCCACTGACCAACCACAGCGGAGACCTGCGCAACGTGCTGAGGGCCATTTGAGATGCATGAATCGGTTAGCTGACAGGCTGACACCGCGACAGCTGGGCTGCACGGAATTTTCGATCGCTTCCTGATACTTAAATCGAGGGATCGCCGCTGTCCTGGCTGACCCTGCGTGCCTGCCATCTGCAACTTGAGTCCACCAACCCTCATCTTCATTGCCAGTCCCATTCCTCCTCTTGTGCAAAACATCCCAGCCAGAGGATCTTTTACAATGGCGGACTTTGGCCCTCGTGCTCCTCACGGGCCCGACATGAGCGGCAAGCAGGACTTCCCCGAGATGAACCCCAGCGAGAAGGAGGGCTTCGACCGCCTCCTCCGCCCCGACGACAGCTACACCCCCGAGGGTGTCTACTGGGCCGATCTGCCTATCGGACAGCGGATCAAGTTCGTCTCCTCGATCGAATCCAAGGAGCGTGCCCGCGAGTGGTCAGCCCTCTGGGCCGAGATTAAGGCGGATCCCCTTTCCCCTATCATGGGCTACATCCGCAATACCATTATCCCCGGTGCTGGTATCGGTCTCGAAGGGTAAGCACCCCCATGGTGGTGATATGTGCATTGTTCTGACATGACCAGTTACGTCCTCCTCTCCATCGGAAACATCTCCACCCTCTTCCAACAATCCTTCACGGCGTGCTGGGACAAGTACGAGATCTGTAACAAGCAGTGGATCAACGCCATCACCTACCTCGAAATCATTGGTATCATCATCGGACAGGTTCTCGTCGGTGTCATTGGTGACTGGGTCGGCCGTCGCTACGGTCTGCTCCAGGATGCCTGGATCATGTTCCTCGGGTTGGTCATGCTGACCTGTGCCTGGGGTGTCACCCAAAACGGCTGGGTGATTTGCTATGCCTGGTCGCTCTTCATCTACGGCATTGGTGTCGGTGAGTTCCTCTCAAATTCCCCCCAGAGATGAGTTCATCATTGACTAACGCTTCCTCAGGTGGTGAGTACCCCATGACTGCCACTAGCGGTATGGAGAACGCAGTTGGCTCCGGCAAGCTGTCCACCCGGGAGGATCGTCTTCACCGTGGCTCCAAGGTTGTCGGCGTCTTCTCCATGCAGGGCTGGGGTCAGGTCCTCAACCAGGGCCTCCTCATGATCTTGCTGCTCATCTTCAACGCCGGTAGCGGACACGAGCCCATCAGCGAGACCAACGCCCAGTGGACCTACCGTATCTCCTTTGTCATCCCCATGATCGGTACCTTCTGGCTCATCTACTACCGTGCCTACCACATGAAGGCGGCCAGTAAGCAGCTCGCGGCCACCAAGAAGCGGGCCTCGGTCACTGGTTACGACACCGAGTCTCTCCGCCTGACGTTCAAGTACTTCACCCCTCGTATCCTCGCCACCGCAGGTGGATGGTTCGCCAACGACGTTTTCTTCTACGGTGCCAAGCTCTTCTCCGGCGATTTCATCAAGGTCATCAGCCCCGGCACCAAGGACATCTTTGTCACCTGGCAGTGGAGTTTCATCAACTGTGTCGTGACCCTGTCCGGCTATTATGCCGCCATCATCTTCGTGGACAACAAGCTCTATGGCCGCAAGTGGATGCAGATCATGGGCTTCTTGCTCTGCTTCATCGTCTACGTGGTGCCGGCGTTCCACTACAAGTACTACACCGAGGCCGCCCACATCCACTCCTTCCAGGCCATGTACTTCTTGGGCAGTTTCTTCAACCAGTTCGGCCCCAACTGCGTCACCTTCCTGGTCGCGGGTGAGGTCTTCCCCACTCCCATCCGTGCCACTGCCCACGGTATCTCGGCTGCCTGTGGTAAGCTGGGAGCCCTGTTGGCCGGTATCCTCTTCAACTACATCGACACCCAGACCAAGTTCTACTTCGTGCCCTGGTGGGGTCTGTTCGGCATGGCCCTGACCTACCTCTTCCTCCCCGACACCACGGGTCTCGACCTCAAGGAGCAGGAGCGCCGCTGGCGCTTCATCCGCGAGGGCCGTGAGCACGAGTACCACGGTGTGGCCGTCAACCCCAAGCACTTGTCGGTGTGGGAACGCTTCCGTGGCGCGGGCAAGTACTACGACCCGGAGCTGGACTACCAGCAGCGCATCGAGGAGTACCGCGCGGAGTGGGAGAACATCATGGCGCGCCGCAGCGAGGAGACTAAGGCCGCCGACGACGACGTCGACTTGGCCCTGGTGGAGGATGACCTCCTCGAGGGTTCGGTGCACAACTACTTCCACCGCACCAGCTCCCTGACTAAGGACCGGAGCGTGGAGAAGGTCACCGAGGCGGAGCCCTTGAACTAAAACACTGCACTTGATTGCGCACCTGCCCGATCGGCATGAAAAGGTGATACCCATACCCATTATATACCCGTCGCTTGGCGATCTCTTTACCGCTGGATAGAGGTTTCTTCTAGCCCTAATTCCTTGTTTATAAATTCGATGTCTGGATGGTTGAATGTGGAGCTGAGACATGAATCGTGATGTGCTTAGTATTACTGTATTTAATTAATCGATCGGCTCTATCTGTAGTCTGATAATATGTCAATCCACTTTCACACAGTGATTCCAACTAGCATTTACACAATGGGAGCATCTTACGCAGCGATCTCCTTAGAAGCAACCATAGCACAAGACCAGACCTTAGACCTCTAGCAAAGCCCCCATTGGTATCTCCCGTCATCTCCTCCCACAACTTCAAGCACCATATCAACTACCCCAAACCCATCCCGGAAGCAGCATGCCACTCAACAATCCAATGCGATAATTCAATCTCTAAAGTAAAATCCATGACACCCAAAATAGCCAAACACGCTGATCTCCCGATTCCCCACACGTGGATTGACTCCGATGCCAATGCTTGGCTAACAATATCCGTGTCTTGGATAGAACTCAATCGAACACGCCACACCTTGGCTCATCTTGGCTCGAGTTAAGCTTCACTATTCAACCAAGCTTTGTGGTTTAGAATAAGCCTCGTGTAGGTGTGGATGTAAAAGCTTACTCTTGTTAGCTGCGTGGGGATAGGGTCGTGGATAAATTGGAGTAGTACTTGCCGTGTTGATGATATATAGGAACACCACGCACTCAATTTGGCGTTCAATGAACTTGCTGAGCAAGAGGAAGCTCAACAAGGGGACTTTATACTTTAGCCTGTAGTATATGAGACGATGAATGAATACCCTTCAAAGCCTCATTGATATTGACTGTCACGTCTCAGGCACAACTGTTCTGCATCAGGTGTCAAGGCCACAAGGTTATATCTGTTTTGGTATTAAAGCCATCGCGAGAGGGACACTTCTTCTTCCGGCCATCCATGGCCAGACTCGTCAGTTATCATCGACCAGAGTCTTCTCAGGTCGGAATATCAAGGGTTCACCCGGATATTTCCCCGGAGGATTCCTGCTTTTAGCAGGAATAATCCCACAGAATCAGCGACATAGGCCACACTTCTCCAGTATATAAAGAACCTCAAACTCGATCAACCTATCCTCCCCAGCTCCCATCACAGAAGTCACCAAATTATATAACCACCCCATAGCCATCGAGCCCTGGATAAGCCCGATCTTCTCCGACTATATAGCCAACAACCTGAAAACAGCGAGTTGCAGACCGACTCATCCAGGACTCCACATAACCTACCATTTCTATTCCAAGAAAGCCCACCTCACTCGGGATCCACAAGACTCCACGCTTCAACTCGTTATCTACAGTTTCCTTCCGTGGCAATTACCAAGGCATCGTCTGCCATGGGCCTATCGAACTGATATGTGTCGCGTTGTGTCGGACATTCCGAAGAGAAAGACCACGATATTCCTCCCGTTGTTGGTTGGAATGAAGGGTTGGTTGGTAGCATCTCAGTGGCAGTTCCTTTCTGGTTAGTCATGTTTGGTTATTGAATCCTGCTGGTATCGGGAGAAGTTAGAGAGGGAGGCGGAACGCCGAAGTCATTGTGGCGGAGAACAAGATGGGTATATTTCTTGGACTCGTCGATTCCTTGGTGGGATCTTTTGAGCATGGAAGATTGAAGTTCAGCAGAAGGCAGTTGAGCAAGCCCGATCAGGTTCGGATGATTGAAAGCGCAAAGCTGTGAGCGTCAAGGTCACAGTCGATTCAGCAGAATGGGATGGAAGGCATGGCGTTGTTGAATTGCGGATGGGGCTGGTCTATTTTCCGATACACAAAATCGAATCCGAGGTTAAATATACTGACAGGGTGGGTTGGGGTATACCGAGTGTTGCATGGACTGAGATGCCCCCTCAAGCTGTGCTGGAGTCGATGTGAGTTTGACCAAGATGTGAGTGGGGATGGTCGTTCAGTACAACAGCTAGTTGGCTGGGCTCATTCTCTACAACATAAGCAAGTCACCGGCGGAGTCTCACTACCGAGAGCTTCATTCACAACAGAACAACCTCCATATCGGGTGGCATTTATGGATATGGGTATTTCCCTGTTTCTCTTCAGAGAACAGCCACCAAACCCCTTCACTATATCGGTCCGTACACGCACCCCATTTACACCTCACAACTATAAACACCCCAAAGGATGCGGAGTGAGAGCTCTGGCGATGACTATCCCTCTTGCTCCACTGCCCCTGACTCCCTGTTCCACGCAGCCACTGAAAAATACCACATGGCCTTCTCTACCAATACCGTCAAGGCAGAATCCAAGGCACCAGAGCAAGCCCAATCATCTCCAGGTTCATCCTCAACGAGAATCAAACCTTAAACGCAAGATCTCAGGAGAGATTGCTTGCCACCTCCCAATCTCGCCCTCGACCAACTCAGAACAACCCTTCTCCAGCCTCGAAACACACCCTCGCCTCTTCTTCTTCTCCACCCCCTCCAGCATGTTATTTACACCTCCCAGGGCTCTGAAAAAGTCATACCTTATACCTCCGCGCAAGTTGCCTGCTCCCCTTCAAAGCCGGCAAACTCCAAACCCTAATCTCAGTTATCTTCTACAACACCTTCTCAGCAATGACTTGGACTATCCATACAAAATGGCATATTTATCCTCCCACCAGATGTGAAAGGCCAACTCAGACGCACACCGTGGATACCTACGTGGAATTCAAATCCACATGACCATCGAACCTATTTTATTGACCAAAAGCCGTCAACGCCGAACACATGCTGAACTTCATGGCCGTATCTATTCCAAATGGACAAAGAGATGTCCCCACATATATGCACCCGTGCAGCGCATTCTCATCGAAATGCCGATCCGTCAACAGGAACCAAAACGTTCAGCTATTTAGAGTTCAAGGCTAAAGTGCCCAAAATAAGGATGACCCCTGCCCAGATCAAGCCACTCAAACAGACCTAACACTCGGGACAGTTACATGTCCAAGCAGGTGATGGTGGTTGCCGAGGAATATACAAAGAGGGAATCGATTCGGGATGCAGTTGCCAGTCTTCCTTCCCCGGTAGCCTGAGGAAAAGAGACACATAGACGAAGCGCAAGGTTCCATAGCTCGGCTTCTAGACAATTGGCCTGTTTTATTCATGTATCTGGGAATAGCCTGCTGCTTGTGCGGCAGCTGTCTTGGTATATCACTCAACAATGAACCGGGACGAAGTCTCGGAGGATAAGTAGCCCTCGATGAGGGCTAGGTTATCGTTTGTGTGTATTGTGTTTGCGGGGTGGGGTATATTCACCGATTTGGTCTCAGGGGTCGTGGCATATATAGAATGGGTTGGAGGAGTCCCATCTGAAGATTAGCAGACAAAGTTTGGAATATGGATTGATATATGACTATCATATGATGACAGCTTTATGGTCGGGATTGTCAGAATATTATGGTTTACTTTATCGGCCAAATTGTATTGTTTCATGAGATTGAACAGCTCTCAAATTGTAACATCAGGAATACCCTAGCAAATAATCCCCAATAATCCCGGAGAGCCCTTCACCTGCCTCAGAATATACTCCGGATCGAGTCTCTCTATATCAAAGACATCCCCAGATAACGTCCCAAACAACGCCGGCCGCAGTACCCCCCAGACAGCATCCCCGAACGCACGCAGACTATCTCCCTGCGACGACTCAAGCAGCGAGATAAAACAGGCGAATGCTCCCTCAGTAGGTTTGAACAACCTAATGAAGTGTTAGCTGTGTAACCATCCCAGTAGACAGACCTACATAGTATCCGAGACTGGTATATCGAAGCCCCCACTCGAGCTCCGACCCACCATGAGTCCTAAAATCCCTTTCCCGAACTTGTCAATTAATGCATGCAGTCGCTGACCAAGTTTCCTGAGTTTTTGAATTCTCCGAAATTGCTTCTTGTATTCGTCCGTGCTAGGGTCCATATCTGGGAAGATGTCTTTCATCATGGTCTTGGATACATTGGCGTCGCCGTGGTGGACCGGATTGCCGAGACATTTCTGCCCGATTGGAAACGAGGCTGGAGTCGAGTTGGCGTAGCCACTGCTGGATACCGTGTCTGGGCCACCACATTCGCGGAACAACTCGTAGATGTGGTACCATTTCATAAGTTGCATGGTGCTGGCGCTGTGTTCGAGCTGCTCGATGAGAGAATATCTTCTAGCTGGTGAGAGACCGTCCTGGAGACGGCAGGAGTGGCAGCTGGGCTGTGCTCTTATGTTGCAAATCATGCCGCGGAGGGAGACTATTGCATCAGGACTGCCCATGGTAATTAGCAGTGGTAAAAGGGGCTTGATGGACTCGTGGGTTGGGCTCCGGAGGGCGTTATGGATTTCGGGGGTGAAATATGTTTCTTCTGGGGGCGGGAGATGTTGCGCAGAGCATTTCATTCTTTCCTTATTGAGAAATTCGCGGAGGGTGGAGTCAGGAATAGACGTATTTGCCGAGGACTTGGCCTGTTCATCCCTCTTTTTAAGGCTGCCTTGAAGGTGGTTAGACTCCGGTGCGATCGTAGCTCGGGGCAAGCGAGGTGAACATAGAACAAGACTGGATACGGCGGGCGAGTCCTGACGAGGGAGAGTCTGGATGATTGGATCATCAGTGGAATATGAAAGTGATGATTCGGCAGTCATAACTCCAGCGTAATCCGGGATAATGGACAAGCCATCCGTGGACATTTGGCTGTCAAACATAGAGAGGTTGACAAAAGGGTCATCGCAGATCAACTGGGCGTCACTGAGATGGTGAACGCTTGTTGCAAGGTTAGGAGGTATCTGATCTGTCTCAGTGATTGAAGGCATTAAATCCGAAAGGCTGTCAAAGGTTGGATCGATCATCGTGTAGTCATTGTCCTGCAATTCGACATCAGCTGTCGGCAGTATAGACCGGCCTGGAGCCGGCTGTGCAAAATGGCTCATGGCGGCTAAATCAACACCTGACGGTTCTTCGACTCTCAGCTCCTTCAAGGCTGCATTTGTGATCTTAGAGACAGCCTGACAGATAGGTTCAGAACACCAATTTGAAATCTGGGGATCGTTGTGTACGAAAATGCTGCATGGAAGTCAGCAGAAGCCCAGGCCACTGCATAGACGTACCGAGTAATCACCCCAAGGGTTGTGCCAATAGTGTGGCTCGCGGTATCCAGAAGGACTGCCCCTATGATCGCGTTGATCGCGTATCGCAGGACGGTGGACGACTCCGACCCAGGCTTCGAACTGTACTTGATGCACTGACTGATCCCCGTCCGTTTGGCAGCAAATGTGAAGTGGTCTTTCCGGGTAAATTCAATCCTCAAATTTGCCTTGTCCTCTGATGCTAGTCATTATGTGCCATACCATGTCATGAGGCAGAGTCACCCTTGCTAGCGCCCATACGCATCAACAGGATCATCAAGAGGGTGTCAAACCAATGAGCCCCGATCTGTGCCAGGGCTCTATTGCCGTCATCACGATCCTCCCCTTCGCCCCTAGCGGCTGTGAGTGCCTGGTGGAGGTAGTCCTTGGATGCGAATCGGTAGTCGATGATCTTCTCGACCATCTCGACCTGCGCCTTTGATGCCATTGTCTCAGTCACGAAGCTGTAAGATATGGTTGCTTGAACACTTGATCGTCTGCTTCGCTTGGCCTCGAATTTATTTGTTGGATTTTGAGTCACTACGTGGTGGAGGGAGGGGTACCGAGGTGGAAAGGAGAAAGATTGGAAATCCATGGAACCGCAATCCTCATGATCGGGTAATGATTGCGCATATCGGATTCAACCGTGGATGGCCGTTTCCATATCTAGAGAACTCTGCTCCCCGCAGATTGGCCTCGTGGAGATACAGCTGTCTTTGGAGTGTCTGAAAAGGAAGCCAGAATAGGTCCGTACCAGGAACTATTGGCTCACTGTCTATCTCTATTAACAGAACATTAAAAGTCATTATACACTTCGCTCATAAAAGTACAAGTCATATCTGATTGCACATCACAATTCGGCACATAATCACACACAATGTCGGCATGATTCATTCCCCCGGGACTCGTTTGTCCGCGACCTCGGCGTCGCCATCGCCCACGGCGCCGTCTTCCAGTCGTCGACCGTAGCCAGACTTGGGTCCAAATTGGTCATCGTGTCGCTGCGACAAGAAGAGAATGACAGTACTGCGATTGTTAGCTGAAGCTCTGGATCGAAAAGGCATAAACGTACCCCGCGACCGTCCCCACCCATCCTGGCCAGGCCAGCACCGTCGATGCGAGCGCTCTCGGGTTGGTTCGATATTCTAGGCCGGTTAACAGTGATAACGAGGTGGCATCTGATACACATACTCAGCGAAGGCTTCTTGGATGCATCCTCCCAGAATGCCCGAGCAGTTGCCGGATCGGTTCCCTCGATCCGGGCACTGCCGGTCGCAGTGACGATCTAGTCACATCAGTCATCCTATTCTATAGCTTCAAATCGGATGAGCCTACCGTCATCGTCAAAGCCGAGCTCAGCATCATCACCGACACCACTACCGCGCAGATCTTCCATGCTAACCGGACGGATCGGCTCTCGTGACGTTCGGGCCAGAAGAGGTCGAAGAAGAAGGCACCACCGAAGATGAATGCCACTGCAATGCCCACAAAGATATTATACGAGGCGGCGCCGATGAAGTCATTGTTGTACACGGATATCCCTGGATGACCGCTTTGGATTTCGTCTTGTTGGTCGAGGTAGTCTATCGCAGATAGTCTATTAGCAGGGATCAGATATCGAGCCTGAGTACCCACCAGACAAGGCTGCGGTTCCCACGGATTCGGAGCAGACACAGAGTATCATCGCCAACTGGTATACAATCATCTTGGTGCGACGGAGATGATATTCCCGGGTGAACATGTAAGAGCCCTTGAATTTGCGCCAATGGATCTCATGGAGATCCAACCCCCAGACGACGGCCATGCTGGAAGTTAGTGGAGAGTAGATGGGGAGAGAAAGCAGCGTGGCCCGCGCGAACCATTCTCTTATAAGCAATCGACCGAGACGCTGGAATGACGAGATGGAGTCGGGACCACGTCAGGGCTGCTGCGTTGCTGCACGGAAGGGGAATCTTGTTTTGTCAGGGTCTCCGGCCCGGCGATCCGTGACGTCAGTCGGGTCCAGCCCGATCCACTGCACTTTGGGAAAGGTACCTCATCCGCCGACTTCATTGGCACCCAAAGGGGTTTACACGTGCCGGTGGCGTTCCCTGGCCTTTTTGCTGATGGCGTTTCCCTGGGTTGGACCAGTTGGACCAGTTGGACCAGTTGGACCCAGTTGGGAACCTGCTGAGGTCACGTGATGGACAGGCCGCCTTATGATGCCGGAGGTGGATATCCTCAGGCCAGATTAGTTCTTTGTCGACGGTACGAGGAACTATAAGCTCGGTGTTACGCATCGTCTAGTACTATGTAGTGGGTGATGGAGGATGGATCGGTACCTCTGGAACCCACCGAGATGTCTTGCCAGTTGCCACCAGGACACCAGGCACACATGCCGCAATCGGCGTCTGCTTAGCTAATCAGACCTTCTCGCACCGTGGAATCCAGAATCGCACAATGGATCGATTCCAGGAGGACAAGACGGATCCCGCGGTCGCAATTCTGTGGCGATGATGTCAAATCACGAAGCCCTTCCTCCGAACACGAGCGAGGCCGCGAGACGCGTCAAGCATCTCCACCTTCCGCCGGAGCTACCGACCGGTAAATCCGAGATTGATTCCTCTCTACTACTGTTCTCCTTGCGTTTCTTTGCTGTTTGATCATTGCTGACGTTCTTTGTAGTATTCATTGATGTCTTGGCCCCTGACCCTACAATAGGTCAGCTCTTTCCTTCCATAGTCGGGCATGATATCGTGAAGCGTCCGATGGTGGTCGCAAGTGGCCTGGATCTTTCTCCGCAGATGCAACTGATTGGATGATGAAGTTTGAATCTCATCTGACAGCTGCTCTTTGCTGCAGGGCAAATGTAGGGCTGACGATTCACCCGAAGGATCCGAGGGAGGCCCTTCTAGCCTTTTGATGACCCCTTACGCCTATACGACAGCTAGTTGGGAAGCCATATGATTTCCGATTTTCCTACGTAACTTGCTATGCCAGGTTGACTACGTTCTATCTCTCGATCCCTTTTTTCGAACATTTTACACCAATGTCGATGATCGATTGGTGTCTTGTAGGAGCCTATCTTACTGGCCGCCAGCACAGCCTCAGGGAAGCAAATCTAATTAAACATGGTTATCTACCACCAATCACGCCAATGCCGGCGTTAGCGCCCAATTTTTCCCCAATCTGGGGTATAAAGTCCACATCTGCCGACTTTCTTCATTGCCAGTATGGCTTACTGCTGGGCTGATCCAGCACTATGCCTTCAACCTGTATCGCGAACAGCGACAACTACTTTGGCCCGCGCGTAGACCCAAATTGCCGCCGATTCGATTTCACCCTTTTGTTCGAAGATGCCTTCTTCGCGATCCTCCCCGCAGCTCTTTTCACCCTGCTGCTACCGGCTCGACTGCAGATGCTGCGAAGAGCCCCGGTCAAAGTGACCACGTACCGACTGGCTGTATACAAGACGGTATGAAACCTCCCCCCCATGTCGTAGCTGCTAATTCATATATTCAATGCGAAGATCTGTCTAGTCACCATTTTCACACTGCAGATAATCTACACTGTATACCACCTTCGCACACCTGTCCTGCACACGCGACTCGCCACCACCTCCGACATCCTAACCATCATCGCCACCGCAGCCGCAACCTTCCTCTCCGTGATCGAGGACCAGTGCTCCATCGAGCCGTCCAATCTACTTGTAGTCTATTTCTCCGCCCTGACCCTCCTCGACATCCCCCGACTCCGCACACTATGGCTCATCCCAGGAGCAGATATCTGCCGGGGGCTATTTACCACGATCTACATTCTAACTGTGATCGCTCTATTTCTCGAATCCATGCGAAAGCTCAAGATCTTGCGAACTGTTTACCAGAACGTGACCACGGAACAGGTAATTGGCTTCTGGGGCCGCAGTTTCTTCGTCTGGGTGACGCCGTTGTTTCGAGCCGGGTTCTCTGATATTCTTTCGGTAGAGGATTTACCGCCGCCAGATGAGGATTTGCGAGGTGATGCGGCACGACAGAAACTGGAAGAAGCCTGGGTAAGATCGAAGGGGAATCGCCGACTGCTCAAGGCCGTCTTTCGTGCTTATATGTGGCCCACTCTGTCAAGTATGGTACCGCGTTTGGCGCTGAGTGCGTTTACCTTCTGTCAGCCTTTTTTGATCACTTCGGCGGTGGATTATTTTGAGAAGGATTCGACGGCGGAGATTAAGCAGTATGGGAAAGCGTTAGTGGGCGCTTTTTTCCTGGTGTATTTGGGGATTGCGGTAGATACTCTCTGGGCTTGGTGAGACGGAGCTGACGAAGAATGCAGATTTCGACGGCTGTCTATTGGCGTCAGGTGTATCGGTTGATTACTACAGTTAGAGCCGGGTTGATTTCGATGATTTATCATCAGACTACTCGCTTGTCGGGCAATGATGTGAAAGACACGGCGGCGCTTACGTTGATGGGCACGGATGTGGAGCGGATAGGCAATAGCCTGAGATTAATCCACGAGACATGGGCGTCGATTGTAGAGGTGGGTGTGGCTCTGTATCTTTTGGAGCGTCAGATATTTCTCGTCTGTCTGGTACCTGCTGTCATTACAGTTGGTACGTGGACCGTCCTTAAAACTCCTTGGGCTACCAAAGAACTGACATCTCCAGTCTGCATTCTCGGAACACGTCCAATCTCCTCCCGCAGTGGAAGTGCCCAGAAAGCGTGGGTCGAAAAAGTCCAAACACGAGTCGCCGTTACATCAGCCATGCTGAGTGACATGAAAGCCGTCAAGATGCTCGGTCTGACAGATGTGCTCTTCGATCTGGTGACCAAGCTGCGAAAAGCCGAGTTGGAAACGTCTTCCCGCTTTCGCAAGCTATTCATTTCCATGGTGGTGCTATGTAAGAGTCCTGTTTACTATGTGGATGCAGGCTGACGTATTAGCCAATATTCCGCTTGACTTTGCGCCGTACGCTACGTTCGCTGTATATGCTATCATCTCGGTGGTTCGGAATGATCGGTCTCTGTTGGCTTCGCAGGCGTTCACTTCGCTGTCGTTGATCTCGCTGTTGACGTCGCCGTTGGTGACTTTTGTCCGGGCAGTTCCTCAACTGGCCCAGTGTGGGGGGAGTGTTGAGCGGATTGAGACATATTTAGAAAGGGAGCCGGCTGCTGTTGGTCAGCAATCACCAGCATCCTCTTCTACTGGGATTCTTAGTTCTCAACCTCAAGCTGTGGAACTTACTACTCATGCCAGGGCACAGTCGTCAGACGCCTTGGTTTCGTTCAATGGTGTGGATATCGCATGGACACCTGATACCGAGCCCGTGCTCAAGAACCTTCATCTGGATATCAAACGGGGAATTACCATGATCATCGGGCCCGTCGGGTCGGGAAAGTCGACGCTTATTGAGAGCATCTTGGGAGAGACAGTAATACAAGGAACCACAAATGCACCGCTTTCCAATATTGCATACTGTCCCCAGAAGCCCTGGATCGTCAACCACACTATCCGCCACAACATCACCGGTGGAACAGAGTTCGATTCGAAGTGGTATGGGTTCTGTGTCTCGGCATGTGGTCTGGAAGATGACCTGATGAGTATTCCTGGTGGCGATTTGCACATGGCTGGCAGCGATGGGGTTTCGCTGAGTGGAGGTCAAAAGCAACGAGTGGTATGTCAGACCCATCATCACCTACCCTTCTATTCTGACAACCTGATTACTGCAGGCTCTCGCACGCGCACTCTACTCCAGACATCCGATTCTCCTGCTCGATGATGTCTTTAGCGGTCTGGATCCCAAGTGCACCAGCCACATATCATCCGCGCTGTTCGCTCAAACCGGGTACCTTCGTGAAGCAGGGATCTCGGCTATCCTGGCGACTCATACTCGTATGGCTCAGCACCCTTTTACTGGATCCATCTGACATTTTCCAGAGTCTCTGATTCCATACGCCGATGAGATTATTGTCCTCGACAAGGGCGTTACTGCCAGGGGGTCTTATCATGACATCTTGGCCAGGACACCGGATATAGCCGCAAAGTCTCTGCTGCATACGAATGAAGCGGCTATCAGTGCGGATGGTGCTCGGATGGGGCATACAACCGCCCAGACAACCACGGTTCAAGATAGTCAGACACAAAAACCCGACTTCTCTCGCCGTGATGGCACCTGGGACGTGTACAGATACTATGCTAAAAGCGCCGGCCTCCGCGTCACCATTGGCTTTATGACCTGCTCACTGGTTTCAACTTTCCTGAAGAACTTTTCAAGTGCGTGTTATCCCTCAACGTTCTCGAACATTCCTAATTATACCAGCTCTGTGGATCGAATGGTGGTCCGAATCCAACGCGAAAGATCCAAATGGCCGAGTTGGGTTCTATCTCGGACTGTATACAGTGTTTGCAGTTCTGAATGCTTCTGGTCTTGCCATAGCCTGCTAGTACGTCAGCCCCCTAAGTCCACACCCCAGCTAACAATATAGTCTCCTCTTCATGAAAGCCATCAACGGAACAGCGCTAGGACTCCACACCGACCTCCTCACCGCAACCCTCAACGCCCCATTCAGCTTCTTCCAAGCAACCGACACCGGCACCCTAACCAACCGCTTCACCCAAGACATGGACCTCATCGACATGACTCTTCCCATCTGCCTAATCAACAGCTTCGGAAGTAAGCCCCCCCCCAATCCCCTTTCCCCAACAATTGATCCCATTAACACCTCCAGACGGCTCCTCCACCGTCATCAAACTAATCATCCTCTGCGCCGTGGGCAAATACATGGCCGCCACCTTCCCCATCCTCATCACCACCTTCATCCTCATCCAATCCTACTACCTCCGCACCTCCCGGCAAGTCCGTCTTCTCGACATCGAAGCGAAATCACCCCTCTACACACACTTTACCGAAACCATCAAAGGGATCTCCACGATCCGTGCGCTTTCCTGGCAGGATGTCTTCCAAATAGACCTCGAACAGAAACTCAACCATTCCCAACGACCATTCTACATGCTCTTTTGCATACAGCAATGGCTTAACCTTGTTCTGAATTTGGTTGTTACCGCTATGGCGGTTATATTGCTGGCTATTACCACTTCGATGAAAGAGAAATTCAGCGCGGGAGCTATCGGAGTCGCGCTGAATATGGTTCTATCGTTCAATCAGGAGATTGTTCGGACTGTGCAATCGTGGACTCAGCTGGAGACGTCGATTGGGGCTGTAGCCCGTGTGCAGAAGTTTCAGGAGGAGACGCCGGCGGAGGGGGTTGGGTTGCCTGTACCGCCGGTATATGAGTGGCCGTTCGAGGGGAGGGTGGTGTTTGAGGGTGTTACGGCGGGATACAAGTATTTCTCCCTTCCCATGTATAACTGATGGCTAATGTGAGAAGGGATACGTCGGTGCCTGTCCTCAAGGATATTTCCCTGACCGTCTCCCCCGGCGAAAAACTAGCCATCTGTGGTCCCTCCGGAAGCGGCAAAACATCCCTCATTATGGCTCTTCTTCGAATGATCGACTTCCAAGGGGGGCGGGTGACCATCGATGGTCGGGATCTAGCATCGTTCGAACCAAAAGATATCCGTTCCCGAGTCACGGTCATCCCCCAAGACCCGTTCTTCATGCCCGGTACCGTACGGTTTAATCTCGACCCGCACGGGGGCGCATCCAACGAAGCGATCGAGTCTGCTCTTCAAAAGGTCGGACTTAGAGACCGTATCCCCAGTCTCGACAGCGCGCTAAATGCGCATGACTGGTCCGGGGGAGAAAGACAGTTACTTGCGTTGGCGCGGGCGTTGGTGATGTCCAGTCGGGTATTGGTGCTGGATGAGGCGATGAGCAGGTACGTCCTTCTAGGGGTATGTTGTATGGTACTGACATTGTTAGTGTGGATGGGGAAACGGAAAAGCTGATGCACGGGGTTATTGAGAGGGAGTTTGCACGTCATACCGTGATTGCTGTGATGCATCGGCTGCAGTATGTTGATCGGTATGATCGGGTGGTGGTGCTCAGGCAGGGAGAGGTGGTTGAGTGTGATAGCCCTACCTCCCTGCTGGCTCGGGATACGGAGTTCAGAAGACTCTATACATCTGTCTGCAGTCCCTACAGTCCTTCCCTTGCTACACCCCAGCCAGTTCTATCCTAGCTTCCTAGCTAATCCCCTCCAACATACCACACCAGCTCTCCTCTCTACCATAAACACGTACCCCTCATAAATAGAACCTACATAACCAGAACCTCCTCACAGCACCTCCTGGTCACCTCGACCACCCGCTCTACATGCTCCCAGCAATGTTCCAAATTGACCGCTAACGACCCCCGATGCGGAGTGGGGGTTGCGGGTGGTGAAGAGGGTGGTGCAGTGGGTTAAGGCTTGGGAGAGGGGTTGGGGGAGTGGCTGGGGAGGCATTGTTGTGGTGGTGGTGGTGGTGGTGGTGGTGGGATGAGTGGGTGTGAGGTCTGGATGTGAGGTCTGGATATGCTGGGTTAAGTAGGAGTGAGAGGGGTCGGGGGATATCATCTGCAGTTGCACCGTGCAGGTGGGGCAGATACGATAGTAGTACAATTGAGGCAAGCCACCTCCCTCTGCTAGAAATACGCCGATCTTGCTCTTCACTGGGATTATACCCCGATATACCTCCGTGTACACGGACAAGACCAATCCCACGCTTGATAGCGGCCACTTCATTCGTGTCAGATGCTTTCTTCTTCCTGCGTTCCAATAGAAAACCCGACAAGTCAAGCATTGAAAAGGAATGCTTACATCCCGGATGGACGTCAGACGGCTAAGATGAGATGATCGTATCTCGGAAGGAGTCTTCTTACCATGACTGGGGGGCTGATGTGGAGTTAAGGGATGGGGTAAGTGGTGATGGAACTAGGTCTATAGAGAGTGGTGTGCTAGGCTGTTCCTCTACCCTCTCAAGTACTGAAACTAATGACAAGGCCCGAATTGCCTTGAATTGTGTATAGTGAGTATATACTGAGGCGGCACATACGTAAACTAGATTTCACTCCATTGACACCCAAATTGCGGCACTGGGTATGTCTCATCCCACTGGCATATCCCATCTAAGGGGCAGTAACATCCTCCACCCTCTCCGTCCCATTCTTCCCCTCCACCTGCAACTCCAACTCCGCATTCTTCCCCCGCACATTCCGCTCCTCCGTCATATTCAAATCCGTCGACCGATGCCCATCCAACAAGTCCCGACTCACCGTATTCGCATAGATCGGAAACGCCCACGCCAGGACATAAAACGCGGTCGGAATCGCCATCGCCTTGTGGAAGTCGTTGCCGGTGCCCGTGGCCACGGCACCTGTCATGGGGGGAATCGCAGCGCCTCCGGAGATGGCGGCCACGAGCATGCTGCCACCGCGTTTGGTGTGGCGGCCGAGACCGCGCAGGGCGAGACTGAAGATGGTTGCGAAGCAGGCCTATACCGTTTTAGTATGGATGAGTATGGATGAGTATGGATGAGTATGGATGAGTATGGATGAGTATGGATGAGTATGGATGAGTATGGATGAGTATGGGTGGTGGAAGTGTGATGACATACGCTTTCGAAGCACAAGACGAGAATTAACATGGCTACACTGGTTGGACCGGTGGTGGTTACTGCGGCTACGCCAAAGACGAAGCAGAGTAGGAGGTAGACGGCCATGATGTAGCGGGGTTTGACTCCCACAGTGATCATACCACTCGAGACGAAACGCATGAAGGTGTAGAGTCCTTGGCCGACGGCGAGGAGGTCGGCTGCGATATGGTCAGCGATTAACCTTCATCGAGAGGAGAGGGAACATACATGACTTGGATTTCGAGTATCCTGCCTGTTCCGCAAAGTTGATAAAGTAGTTGGCGACAGCCACTTGGGCGCCGGTGTAGCAAAACTCACTCCACACTCCCAGGAAGAGATTGTACTGCTTCGAGAACGGTCCCACATCGTGATTGGAAATATCCTGCTCCTGTAACCCCATGTCCGCGTCGGTGACTTCAGGCATCGGGGCAATGTAGAAGAGCGGGATGAGCAGCGCCACGAAGCAGGCCACCCCCAGGTAGACCCACTGCACGTTCTTCAGACCCTGCTCCGTATCGACGGTCTTGGCGAAGAAGACCCGGGAGGCAAGAAGCGGAGCGATGAAGGTTCCGACTCCTTGGACGCCCTGCGCGAGGTTCAGTCGGATTTCCGAGTATCGCGGAGGCCCACAGATGGCCAGGAAGTTGTCTGCTCCGGTTTCGAGGGTGGAAAGACCGGCGCCGACGACGAACATGCTGCCGCAGAATCCGCCAAAGGAGGCTTTGACGCCGCTGGGCCAGAAGAGGAGACACCCGACGGTCATGACGCCGAGCCTGCAGATTGATTAGTGAGAAGGGCGCGAAACGAGTGGGAGGCGTACCCCGTCATGAATGTCACCCTGAAGCCGAACCGGCGCAGAATCCATCCTGAGACAGTCAAAGGGCAGAGAAAGTATGCGCCAAAGTATGCTGCCGACAGACCAGACGACTGTGCCGCCGTGATATTGAGTTCATCTTGGAAATGAGAATTCAAGGTATCGAGAAGGCCATAGGCGAAGCCCCAGAGAAAGAAGAGGATGGTCACTGCGATTGTTAGCTAAGGATACGTCAGGTCGCTGGCACATACCTAAAAAGTTCGGGAAAAGAGACTGTTTAAGCGTGATGCCCGAGCCCTCGGTAATGGCCTTGTCATCGATGGTAATCCGGCGTCGCCACATGCTGACGGAAATTGACAGTGAAGAAATCACAGGAATGGAAGGAAAAGGTAAGGCTGTCCAGTGCGTCCGAGGACCTGACGCAGGGGGGGGCACCTTTATCAGAGCTGCATCGAGAGCTCAGCTCTGGTAATTCGGGATAGTCCAGCCCGAAACAAGCCATGTGGCCAACAAAGGATTGAGAGCTGCTGGAACGCCCATGCGCGTGGCCTAAGCTGAGGCCAGGCCGCCTTGTGCGATGGCTGTTGGTTACGAAACGCCACGAAGGGAACGGATCGCCTTAGCCTGCCGCGTGGCTCGGAGAGGCCGGTCTCGATTGGTGGAGAGGCAGACCTGGGGAGAAGCGGAAAATTAGCTATCAATTTAGGTTTGCGGGGGACACCTGACCTACCGACAGGGATGCGTGCCTCTGCGGGGTGCGTGAACAGTCTCCAAGATGAATGGGGATGTCAGGGATCATGTCATATTATTTTTCCTGAAGCAGGTATACGGCAGAGTATATGTACATGCTCATTTCCTCACGATATACACATCAGCACACGATCCCCCAGAAACTCTAACGTCTAATTTGTCCTTCACGACCGTCCCGTCCTTCCCATTCACGGTATACGATTGAACCGCAAATGGCACGCTCACGATACCAGTAGTATTCTTCGGCGCACATACATTCAGCTGCACCGTGCCGTTCTGCCCCAACTGCCAGCTTGCCCGGATCGGCCCATTCGGAGTCGGCACCCTCCCCCGCGCCCACGAGACATTCACGTCGAGCATCGCCGGGCGGAAAGCCCACTCGGAAAACCCGGCCGAGGTGGCTTGGATGCCCAGAACATATTCCGTGAGAACATACGTCGGGGCCGCGGACCAGGGATGCGCATGCGATGTGTACAGGTCCAGGCCGGGGCGGCCATCGGGGTATACATATTCCCACGTGCCACCGGTATAGTATTCGTCTTGGTTCACCATCGCCGCCCAGAGCTGATCAAGAAGAACGCTGATGGCAGTGGCTCTCGATTGGTTTGCCTGCGAGCTATTGCGACTGACCTGGAGAATTGCCTCGAGAAGGAAGCCGGAAAGGAAAGGCGCAAGATCGGTGGTTGACGCGTTGGCAACGGACGTGGAGGTCTTGTAGCCGACGCCAAGACGAAGGGCCGATAGGGCCGCAATGGAGGACTCGGCTTGGGTGGCATTGGAGATGCCGGCAAGGATGGACCAGGCGCTGCCGGTAATAGACTGCTCGGTCGAGTCGCTCAGATCGACTGCGTAAAAGCCCAGCTGGGCGTTCCAGAGTTGGTCGCGAATCGCGTCTTTGATCGAATTGGCTGACCGGGTCCAGGTCTCGGCAACATCGTTTTCACCCACCACCGAAGCAATCTCGGCCATTTGACTCAGGGTGTCCGCTAGAAGAGCCGACACTGCAGTGCCGTTGCTGGAGCCCGAGAAAAACGCACCTATGTCGGTAGCGACCGCCAGTCCGGATTGCTCATCAATCAGCGGCAGAACGGCTTCGACCCCTTCCTTGATCTGGGACCAATGTTTGACCACAAAGTCCTGGTCCGCAGAGTGCCGGTAGTACCCAGCAAATGCCTGAAGGAAGAATAGCTGATAGTCCAGAAGACCAAAAGCATTGTAGGTGTTGACATACTTTGCCGATTGGCCCATGGCGGGCGACATGCTGAAATAGCCACTGTACTCGGAGGAATTCGAGGCTTGACGATCCAGCCAATACTCCAGGGACCCGACTATAAAATCTGAACGATCTGTGCTGGACTGAATCACCCGATATGTATGTACGAAATCGCCTGACCAGACGAGACGGTCTCTCTTGGCCCCATCCAGACAGACGGAGTGGTTACTAGCCATTACCCCGAATTCTTCCAGAACGGAGCTGGATGTCATCGGGTTCTCATATAGCAGGGTGCCATTCTGCGCATGGACTTCCACATCTCTGACCAACGCAATCTGATCTTGATAAGGTCCAAACCCCCAGGTTCCGCCCGTGAGACTCCCTGAGCCACCGGTAGAGCCGGATACTATCTGCAGGTCATCGAGGGCCACGAATATCTCGGTTCCATTAACGACAACGCCGTATCCAGTTGCATTGATAGTCGTTGAAACCTCATACCAGTCGCCCTCTTTGACATTGAATGGTAAAGGATAGTGATTGACCTTGCCGGTAGTGAGCGACGTCTGGTTGACCAGGTTCCAGCCGTAGCCCACAGCCAGTGTGTTGGGCGGCACAATCGTCCGATTGGTATTGACGAATGTCGAGCCAGGAGGATATTCACTAGTCAGAACAAAATATGGCCCGAATCCGCCGACTCCCGTGGCGACCTTCCAGCCGGTCCCTCCGCGGATAATTTTGGTATGAAAAGTCATGGTGTAGTTCGCAAAGGACGCCCCCATCACCGACTGAGCAGGTTGCTGCCCACGCAGATAGACTCCATCAGCCGTGACCTCCCATGTGGACGGGGCAGTATTGGCGGCAATGCATGCTTGCTGAACTGTCCGTGGCCCCAAGGCCCAGATCTCGTTGTACAGATCATTGGAGCTTTCGAAGAAGCCGGGTAGCTCGTTGACAGGAGTACGATCATTGCCCGATCGAATCCCTGCTTGGCAAATGCGCACACTGCCCTCGGTGAGGAGCAAGAGATTTTGCCAGCGAAGACCGCCTTGAATGAAAAAGGACTCCATCCTTCCAGTCGAGGTTACATTGAACGTTTCGACACGGAAGGTGTTGGATAAACCATTGGCGAACGTCCAAGGACCATCGCCGAAAGGAGCATCGAGGCCAGTCATGGGCTCGGTGTACTTGGCCTCAATCTGGACCGCACCGGATAACGAGTCTACATCGAAAAAAGGGAAGCCTCCAATCTCGGTGCCGTAGTCTAGAGTCACCAACGGGTTGGTTTGGTCCAGTGTAAAGCACGATGCATTGCCATGGCTGGTATAGTTCGTAAAGCCTGCATTGACTTGGTATCTGGTAGGAAGAATGATAGTGCCGCTGGTCAAATGTTCAGTCAGCGATGATCAAGATACATGTTGGTTTGTACATGCCTCGCGCCAATGAGCGATGCGAACAGTAAGCTGCTGCACGTGAATATGGCCAATTGCCTTGCGGACATCTTCAGCCAATCTGTCAAGGGTCAACCCTGCCGTCAACCGCATTTCTCGTCAGAAATCCCAGCAGATAAAAGCAGCGCGAAAGCAGCATGGCCTGGACTGATTGAGAGGCCGGTCAGTCTGTCGGGTTGTGGGCACCAATCATGTTCATGCCGGGCGCCGATCCCGGGCCATCGTTTCCCCGCATTCCCCCTCCACAACTTCATGGCTTTCAGCCGTCGCGGGTTAATAGCCCCCGAATGTGTGCCCGGCTGGAATGCCCCGTGAAGTGGTCCCAATCGGGTGTTGAAGCAGTGATAGGTATTTAGGATGGGGATGGAAGATATACTACTATTGGTCGCCTGCGTCGCCCATTTGCCCCTGGAAGCAGATACTAGTGACAAGAAGAGGGAGGAAAGTTGGGAACAAAACACGGACCGATCACCTGACCCACTGGATTCCTGCCAATCAGGTGACCGGGCACGGGAAGGTCTGCCTGGTTGCTCTCTTCCCTTCTCCCTCCCAGTTTCCTCAGCATCATCATCTCCATACGCTGATCAGCTAATCTCCGTCCAATCTTCTAGGGATCCTACCACTCTGTCTCTCCCATCACATCCCCCCCAGCTCACGGGTCATCCGAGCCTCGCTAGGCATTCTCCCGTGCCCGCCAAGGCGCCCACATTCAGGACCTGACCCTTTTCCGTGAACCCCGCCCGCATGTTCGGGTCTTGTACCACTGTGATCGGGTGCAGCAGAACGGGCAGCTCCTCCGTGTGGAATCATCTCGCTCCAGGAACACCATGCCATCTACACGGCAGCACACGATGTCGGTGGCAGCTGCTGAAGGAGTCTGAGCGGGGGCATAATCTGATCACCTAGGGACCCTGTGGGATCTCCAGAGAGCGACTGTGACCGCAAGTCGAAATAATGCTGTCGGAGCAGCTGGTCAATCGACCTCTGCTAAATCTTGGCATGCTCCCCATCACAATCCTCGCTACTTTACTCCATACAGGCTTCTTCGACATCATCACTCAGGTGATTTTGCTAACTATCATATACTTCCCCCCTCAAGGTCTTGTGAACGTATGTGATGCACTGAGATTGAAATCAGAGGGGATCAATACCTTGCAACATTTCAGTTGTAGATACAGGCAGCCCAGGTGATCGTAAAGGTCATTGATTCAACTGCTTTCATCCATTCGTCCCGTCTTGCTACTATCACCATGGAGGATCACAGTCTATAGCCTCCAATAGTTGACCCTTTATTCGACCCTCCTAGTCTGACAGGCCCCTAGAAGTTTCACACCCTACAATCACACGATCGTAAAAACCCTCGTAGTCTCAACAACCCACCCCTCCACAGTCCCCAGGTATCTACCCATGGCCGATCACCGGAACGCCTAAACCCCCCAACACGGAAAGATTTTCGCTCTCTATGCGGGTGCGGTAACTCGCTTATGTGCGGAGTACGGAACGGAAGCAAACGAGAAACGGGACGCTCGACTCGCAGAATAAGCAATTATACATACAGTGTACCCGGCGTAGCCAAGCCTATAGCCTCTTGTCTATCAAACCTTGTACCCCTTGTGCTGAATTAACAAGGTAACGGCGTCGTGCCCCCGTACTGAAACTTGCAGAACACAGAATAGAGACCGGGGTATTGACACGTCATATCTCCATTTCGATGAGAAGATTCTGCTGACGTGAGCCAAGTATACACTGCACCCACAAACATACTACATGTACTCCGTATGCATGTATGTATCCAAGCAGCCAGGAGTCGGTGAGCAATCCAGCCCCGCCTCGATCCGGGGACCTGCATCCTAGCCAATAGATCGGTGGGTGACGGCCTTATTCTCCATCCGAAATGCTTGAGTGGCTATGGGTTACCCCAGCCCGCTCCGTCTGCATCCTTGTATGTACTCCGTATGTAGGTATGTTTGCGTAAGGCGTCCCAACCTCCGAGCCAGCCTTGGGGAAATGCCTCGCCTGGGGGCGTCCGGCACCAGCACTGCCTGGATACGGAGGTGCAGAGCTGGTCAGTGCCATATTTTCAGGGGTATAAATACCTCCTTTATCACCCGACTTAGTTCTTGCTCAACTCAACTACCATCTCACTCTCCAATCCAATCTTCCATTCATCAACAAGAACCACACAAGCCGTCACAATGCAACTCCAGACTATCACCCTCACCCTCCTTACGACACTCATTGCCTCCGTCCAAGGAACCGTCACCCTCGGGTCTAGCTGCAGTGGCAGCGGATACGACTGCACCTCCGACTTTGATAACATCGCCGTGTGTAACGGCGCGCAGTGGGTGCTTGCGGCGAAATGTGGAACTGCTTGCTGTATTTGGCCCGCCGGAGATCAGGCCCCGTCGTGTAGATGCTAGAGGAATATGGGTAAGTGAAGGTTCTCTGTGGCTTTGTGCAGTGAACTTCGTGAGCTGATTCATTAGGTTGCGACGGGGTTTGGGGATTTGATTAGGGTCTGGGTGGTGACTACAGGTTGGCGGTGATTGATGGAGAGGCATTGGGAAAAAGTATTTCGGATTGTGGTGTTGTTATCCTTGATACGGAGTACCATGATATGAATAGTATGAATGGATGTCTGTTTGTTGTGCTGCACCGGATTGTTGCAGTTGGATCAACAGGTGTAAGGGAATTAGGAACCACGAACCAATATATTGTTGTCGGATTCAATAGTTTGCCGTCGCGCAACGGCTAGAAGCCCGCGGGGCGCAAAAATGGGAATCCCAGACCTAAATAAGAAACGAAAAGCTCCGATTGGGGCTTCACGCTGCAGATCGCCCAATGGTCCTCCTTAGCGCAGCATGTCCCCCGCTTCCTGTTTTTCCGGATCCTCCGCGCCTGGTAATATCGTAACACGACCATCAATAATGGGAGAAACAAGGGCGTGGACCATCTGCAGGCCGCATATTCCTGATTATCTAGTGGCCGAGTGCAATTTCTGGGAGACATGTATAGATGATGGCGCGGTATCTCGAGCATACCGAAGAGCTAGGCCGAAGTAGGTTCTCAACCAAGTTCGATAACCCTGATCGTGCCAGTAATCGATCGCCTGAAGAGTCTGTCCATTTTCAACGTGGAGAGATTGATTATCAGTGGAAAGCTGGGAGACATCCGTGAAGACCGCATCCGCAAGTCGGACGAGCCCCGTTGCTCCCGGACGATCTTGGCCAGTACAACATATAGTTGGCAATAGTGTATATGGAGACTTTTTTTTTTGTTAAAGATAGGGTCCTGATGATATCGCAAGACATGGTCGCGGTGAGGATTAAGAAGGTGTGTGGGAAGAGGTTGCTGGGAACCCCACGAGCGTTATAGAGGCATTTGCGTCTAAACCTTGGATAGTCATGAAAGAGACGCCGATCCCGAGTGAAGGCTTCGCCAGGGGTGTCGGACGGAGTTGTGTAGAAGGCTTTGGCTGGGCGCTGTTGGCCTGACGCGAGCGTCCTGTTCAATTGCTGGACACCTAACGGTCGCTTCATCACACTAGGACAGGCATGCACTAGAACGGCCCAGCTAGCCTTCTCCACTGACCAACTCGCGCAGTGTGGCTATGGAAATACGGCCACCAGATCGTTTCTTCGCCTGGAGACACACACGGAACACCTCTCGTATCGCAGAGTCGGATATATTCACGCATACCCAGTCCCAATGAATAGGATCATTCGTCTCAAGGCCCAATATCAAGAGCGACCATTGAAATCGTTCTAGAAGCTGGACGGACCCTCGAGAAATCGTGCGGTGTGCGGTGGTGATGAGGTCGCTCAGTGCCGATTGAACTTCAGTTGGGACAGGCCGGTCGCCCAGAGGAGATCGACTGCGACACAGATATATACATACAGCATGGAACAATGATACTGTCACCAGTTCCAAGAGGGATGGAGAAAGTCCCTCCTCCTCAACACCTACCCGGTGAAAAATGGACGATTGTTCCTGCCATCGAGCTCGTCAATTGAATTCGGAGAATCTTTGGGATATCCCGCTCACCTTTCGTAGGACACCCAGTTGTCTCTGGATCCGCATACCCTCATCGTCTGAGCCTCCCTGGCTGTAAATATTAATCCTATGATGGATGCGAATGAGTTCAAAGTAAACCTGCAAGACGGCCGCTTCTTCAACTTCGGGGACTGCATTTAGGCCAGAACCAAGACAATCCCGTGGCAAGCAGAGAAACGCAGTCCGCGACAACCTCCATATCTTTTGACTGGCTTCTGGATTCTCATTGACATAATTTGCAAATGATCCACCGCAGTTGAAGAAGCTGCAAAATCCGTCCCGATCGTACAAGTAGCTAAATACTCGGCAAAGAAGCACGTTTTCCGGTACCGCGTTGATATTATCTGAGGTTGAAACTATTTCTTCGTTCGTGCAGAGGCGATTTATTCCATACAGCCTCACGTAAGCTAAAACCGTGGAGCTCAAGGCCTGAAACCTCAACGGAGCTAACCGATCTCGCCGCATCCAAAACATATACATGTATAGGAAAGACAACATCACCTCTAGATGATCAGCCAAAGCGACCGGATTCCATACCTGGACAAGGAGTTCAATCCCCTTTTGCAAGTGGAAGCGTGACTCGGCAGTCGGGTGGCTTCCTTGGCCGTGGTAGATGGCTATCTCGCTATGCGACACCGCGAGAAGGAAATGCAGAGCGATTCGTTTGTTCCATGTATGCCGGAGGAAAAGTGCGTGTGCAGAGAACAGCGGTGGCCGCGTAGACTTCAGCGGAGCGAGTACCGAATGGTGGAAAGCCACGGCCTGCCTATCGTTACTGCCCAGCGAGGGACTTCTTTCTGTGGCATCCACGAGAAAGAGTGGGGTGGCAGCCGTGAGCCAGATGGGGGTAATCACATCCTGAAGATTCCCAATTGAACTGTCCTGTGCGGATGGTGGCAGACACTCGGTTGCAGATAGGTCCCATTCGCAGATCGACCTCAACGGTGAGGTTGGACGGGATGATGAGAGGTTCGAAATCCCTGCCGACCCCTCCTCTCTCCCCGTGTGTGTAACGTCATCCCTCGCCAGTCCTCTTGACTTTGGCAGAAGGGGCTTGGGGGTCCAATCGTTGGTTTGGCGATACTTTATCGGGCCGAAACCGCGCCTCCTGGCCGCTAGCGACGGTCTGGTCCGGACCCATTCGCAGGCAGAACCTAAACGAGCGCATCGACCACAACAGGGATGTTGTTCATCGCATTTGACGCGCTTTGCGACACAAGTCTGGCATCCTGACGAGACAAACGGCTGAGTGAGCTGGCTTCAACTGGACGAAACGGGGGGGGGGGACTCTCACCATTCCGCGACCGGCCTCGTTCCACTCGAGCGCGGGGTGGAGCGGGGGTGCCGTTTGCTGGCTCCATTCAAAACCCGGCGATGGATACGAAGATGCCTTTGAGATCTGAATAGTGATTACTGGTAGGGATTGGATCCGATCCGACGGTTAACCTTTGTGGATCCAAAGTTAACGAGGAAGTGGAAGGACGGTGGATGCGAGAGAAATCCGAACGAGGGAGACGGAGACCACCCTAAGCCGGATTGTCTCTAGTGGCCGCTGTTTGTTGCCTTTGCTTGGGGGCAATCTAGACCTGTCCCAGTGTTCCCTCCTCCAGCATCAACACCACCCGGAACAAAGTACTCTTTAAGCTTTGCATCCTCATTCAACGAGTGCGCCTTTGACAAAGTACCTGGTCGGCAACCAAATGCGGGATCTTCGCTCCAGACATTCCGGTGGTAGTGTAACATCTGATCCCGGAAGGCCAACAGGTCGATTTACAACCCTCCTCTCCTCAGCCATATTTGACCTCCGCGGGGGCTTCATCCATCATGCTCAATCAGCCTTCCTGGCGACCTTTTTCCGTGGATCGCTCATTCCAGCGCATACATGACGACCACCCCCTCTCTCTCCAGCGGCTGTGGCCACTGCGGCCAAACCAGAAACCTTCGGCGGTGCAGTGGCTGTCAGGTCATGTTCTACTGCAGCAAGGACCACCAAAAGGCCCATCGTTCCGCCCACAAATCCGCCTGCCATGCCGTTGCTCGGGCCCGTGGATTCCATCAGCGCGTCGCTGTCCCCATCACCCGCGCCTGCGGAGGCACTGTCACCCTCACTAGGATTCCCCAGGATGTTCGAGACAATCGAGAAGTGTTTCAGGGGTGGATGCACGACTATCTGTTCTCGAAATACTTCCTCACGGAGGTGATGGACAAGATCAACACCCGGCAGGCCGTTCAGGAGCGGCTGGACCTTCTCCTGTCCCTCGTGCACGTCTTTCGCGCGGACGAGGTCGGCACCCGGTGGAAGATCCCAGCCCTCCTGATTCGCCTCCAGCGGGACCAAGAATCCTACGACTTCATGAAGTGGTTTTGCTTGGCAAAAAAGAGAACCCCGATCGACGAAATGAACCCGGCCTTGCCGTTCCTGGATATGAAGAACGCGGATGCCTTTGAAGACGTCATTCAATTCACCAGCGAGTGGAAAGCGAGTCGGTTGGTGGAAAGGATTCACACCATGTTGGCGTTGACGCTCCTGAAGGTACGGCTGGTGTTGGATCTCCGGATGCTTGAAACTGTCGGCACCGCGATCGGTGAGACCATTCTACCCGAGATCCATATCCACATCCAGGCATATGTGGTGGAGTCGTCCGTGATCTCCAAGGACCGCGCTCTCCTTGCGCGTTGGGATCACGGCGTAATCATTGCCGAGCTAGAGAAACAGATCCGAGTTTTGATGGAGGAGGTCCAACGATTCAACGAACACATCTGGTCAACTTTGGTGGACGGCCCCTTTCCGCTAGCTATTGTCTATACGTCAGGAAGTCCGGAAGAGGCAGTCAGTATCATGACGCAGTGCCATGCGGCTTGGAGTGAGTCTCCGGGGGCGATTCCGTTTATCCGGGAACGCTCGGCTGGATTGATAGGAATCAAGGGAGAACGGGAAGACCCGAGTGTACGCATCGTGCAGGTTGATCAGGCCTTCTCCAGCACCATGTAGATAGTCATGGTGGCCGATATCATTTCCACGAATGAAACTGTGTGAGATGTGTATGGATCGGCTGGTTTTTCCGTTGGGTGGCCTCTGTGCTGATACGCAACCTATGAGCCTATGATAAGCGCCGATGGTGAAATAAGCATAAATCGCGCCGTCACACGCTAAACGGTAAGTCAGTAAGCTGCAGAATCCTGATCTTACTGATGAGTAAATTGATCAATCCGCTCCACTCTGGCTGGATGTGGTAGAGTCCTGCCTATCGAATACTCCATGTTCTATATCTGATCCGATCTTCAGTGCATCCCCCCTCCGGCGAGAGACAATCTGAACGAGAGTCCAATATGAGCGATTCTGGTATTTGTTAACAGCAATCTTGACATATCGGATGAAGCAGAGACGACTAGGCTCTATACGGAAAGGAAATTTGTGGACAACACTCTCCTGTTGCTACAATGCAAATGTTCAAATCACCGATATCTCCCAAGATATACTTCATGACTCAACATTTAATAGCAGTAAACAAGAAATGCACCAATTGTCCGCATGCTCCTTTAAACAAGGTGGCTAGCAGTGTTTAAAACCATGCAAGGTGCAATAGCAAATCTCCCTCTTCTTCTTCTTCTTCTTGAATACTGCTTGTTTGATTGATCTTAATATACCACATCCGCCTGTTACGGTGACATCACTTGAGGAGTAAAAGCTAGCTGCCCTTCTGGTCTCTAGTCCCTTATATACGATTACTCCGTCGAGGTCAGCAAGATATCGTGAAGGATTATCATCAGCTATCACTTCAACCAGGAATTTGTGTACGCCTACGAATATCATACGACTGAGACAACCCCGAGAGAGATTAGACAATGCGAGTATCGAATGCCCTGTATGTTGCAGGTTACGTATGATGCTGTGAATATCTCCCTGTTGATGTCTACCAAGTCGACATCCGGTCTATTCCCGATTTGGGGGGAGTTTGCGAGGTCCGCCGGGGTCTCGGGCATATCCACCCAATCCACTCAACCCGCTCGGGTCAGGGTTGAGCCCCGCCGCCGGATCAGGATGCCCAGGCCGACCCTGTTGCGGGGGAGTCGGCCACACCTGCCCCAAAGAGTAATTCCACGTGACAATCCTCCGGCGGGGTTGCAACACTCGCACAATCAACTCTTCACGCTGCAACTCTTCACTCCCACCTGCTGCCGACCTCCCCCCACCCAGATTGAAACGCGCGGCCAAGACGGGACCCTCAAACGGGCGTCGAATGTGCCGATCATGGATGATGCAGTGGGTCAGCCCATTATCAATCTTCAGTATCTGCCACTGCAACTCCCGACTCTCACCCACTCGGCAAGAAATCGACAATTTCAGCAGCAGCCGTGCAGTCCGGATCCTGCCGTGAGCCTATTGACCAACTTCTCCCGGACACACCGGGTGGTCTGGATCAAGACAGCGTAGAGCAATGGTGCATGCCCGGTGTGATGACCGCATGACAACGGTTGACTAGCATGATCGACAGGGGTGCGAGTGCTGCTACTTGCTAAACTTGCTTGCCTCGGCCTCCACTTGTCTGGGCTACGGAAGAACCATGTACGGAGTACCTGCGACGACCATGCCACCCACATCAGTATCGCTTCTTCGCGTTTTCCACGCATGGTCGTCATCCGCGGCCGTAGTAAATCCGAGTCCCCACTTACGCATCATCCCGTGCAACAATTCCAGGCCCGCAAGCCACCCTCGGGGTTATGGGAGCATCTCTCTGCCGGCCTGCATCGTCGGACTGGACCATTAAGCTCATTCTATCCCCCCTAGCAGTGGGGCCCTGTTTCCGTCCGTGACCGGTGCCTATCGTAGACACATCTTGAGATCAAACCTATATATACCGCGGTGATCCTCTGCCAGATCTCATTCTTTTCCTCAGCATCCCTTGTCTCTTCAAGAACATCCCCTCTGCATCTCTCGGCATGCCCTCCCTCATCTCCAAGGGCCTTGCCTCCGTGGCCCTGGGCGCTGCAGTCGCCCAAGCCCAGCTCTGGGACCAGGTCATCCAGACGAGTTACGGTCCTGTCAAGGGCTACAAGTACTTCACCAACGAGACCGTGCTCGAGAAGTTCTTCGGTGTTTCCGAGTCCAACGTCACCGCTTTCCTCGGGATTCCCTTCGCTGCGGATACTGGCTACCAGAATCGCTGGAAGGCGCCCCAGCCCCGTGAGCCATGGAACGAGACCTTAAACGCCACGTCGTTTGGCCCTGCGTGCCCCAGTAACTACGCGACTGACATCAGTGAGGACTGTCTCAGCTTGAACATCTGGACCAACGCTGGCTCGGCTGATGCCAAGCTCCCCGTCATGGTTTGGAACCAGGGCTCCGATGAAACCAGCGATGATGCCTGGTGGTACGGGGGTGGTATGGCCATGAAGGACGTTATTCTCATCTCCTTCAACCGTCGTGACGATGCATTTGGCTACCTCGCCACTCCCGAGCTCAACGCGGAGGGTCTCGCCACCACGGGCCACAACACGTCCGGAAACTACGGCATTCTCGATCAACTGGAGGTTCTGAAGTGGGTTCAAAAAAACATCGCCAACTTCGGTGGTGATCCTGACCGCGTCACGGTCGCTGGCCAGTCGTTCGGTTCTTCTCAGGTGTACCATGCTGTCAACAGCCCTCTGTTCACGGGCTACTTCCACGGTGCCATCTCCGAGTCTGGCATCAGATATCCCTATGATCCCTTGTTGGCTGGTCTGGCCACCTCGTATGTCAACATGTCCACGGCTATCACCCATAGTGAGGACTACATCGCTCAGCACAACGTCTCCACCATCGCCGAGATGCGTGAGCTGTCTATGGAGGACCTCCTCATCGGTTCTCAGGATCGTGTCAACGACACCTGGATCTGGTGGGTTACGGCTCTCTCGGCCGGCTACCCTCTGATCTTCAAGCCGGTTCTGGACGACTACGTCCTTCCCTCCACCTACCTCGAGACTCTCCAGAACGGACCTGCCAACGATGTCCCCGTCATCACCGGTAACACCAAGGATGAGTCTGGTGCCTCCACCACCACCGACTACACCGTCCACGAATATCTGAACTACACGTCCCTCAAGTACGGCGACTTGTTCGACCGCTACATCAAGCTCTACCCCGTCAACGACAACGCCACCACCGGCGACCGCTCCTGGAACGCTGCCGCGCGTGACGCCTCTCTCGTCGGTTCCTGGGCCTACGCCACCGACTGGTACAAGGCCGCCGAATCGCCTTTCTTCACTTACTACTGGACCCACGCTCCCCCTGGCCAGACCGCGGGTGCCTTCCACCAGTCCGAGATCATGTACGTGCTGAACGCCCTCTACGCCAACGCCGATACCTACCCCTTCACCGAGGTCGACTACGAGATCGGTGAGAAGATGTCTGCCTACTGGGCCAACTTCGCCAAGACCCTCAACCCCAACCTGGGTGGTTCTTACACCGGCAAGGGCAGCCTGCCCCGCTGGACCCCGAACAGCCCCAACGGCACCCAGGTCGTCATGGAGCTGGGCAACTACTTTGGCAACGTGCCGATTGCCCACCCCAACCAGGTGGAACTCCTCATGGACTGGTTCCACGAGCAGATCCCTTACTAGTGCTCTGCACTGATGTCGCCTTCTGTCACCGATGGGTCCTGCAGCCCCATCTGCCACTACATATCGATCTTGATACATTCCCTTCTTATCCTCTCTCTCCGAGACTTTGTGACAATATATCTTGTACATCTATTGTAATCCTCCTTCTTTCAGGTAGACATGTAATGTAGGCCCCCCATCGTTCGTATACCTTACTTATACCACCGCACTTTTAGAACCCCGCCCAAGTCACCTCATCCCCAATCTGCCCAAACAACTCATCCAACGACAACTGTTCCAAGTCCTGCGCATCCGGCAGAAATAACCCCGGGGTGTCACTACCCCCCATACTCCCCTGTATATTCGGTACGGGCTCGTCTTCGACAAGCGGATGCACGAATTGCGTTGTGACGCGCAGTCTGGCACCGCCTGGGGCGGTGGGACCGGGTGTTGTGATTGTGGTAGGGGTAGGGGGAGGGGTTGATGTGGGGTGGATTTGCGGGTCGAGGAGATCCCAAATGAGAGAGGGTTGAAAGGTGATGGTTGTGCCTTCGGTGGGGAGGGTGGTTGTTGTGGATTGCAGGGTGCGGAGGGTTTGGAGCTATCGCTTCTACTTAGTGGGGATGGTATCTTGAGGGTGGGGGAAGAGGGGGCGTACCTTATGGGAAAGATGCGGCCAGGTGGTTGCCATACGAGATAATATAACTTCCGAGATAGTCAGATGTTCCCGTGCGGTCTTAGCGATATCCTGATCCTTCGCGAACTGGAAAATCCACGAGATGGTCGCTGTTGCTGCAACTAAATGCCCAACGAGCGGGTCATGGATGGGAAAAGTGAGACTTTCACAGGCCTGAAGGAGCCGGAAGACCCATCCGGAGTGGAATAAGGCATGGTCGACAGTTTGTTGGAGGAAGAAATGGGGTTGGGGGACGTTGCGGTTCGCGCGGAGGACGACGAGATGGATGAAGGGGTGGTTGAGGATTGCGACGGAAGCGTGGATGGTGATTTGCATTGCGATCCAGGGGGTCCAGTAGGTGTGGTGTTCGAGGATCTCGGCCCGGGGGCGTTTGGTGAATGCGACGTTGCGGAGGAGGTGGCAGTCTGCGAGGTGGGAGTCGTAGATGTTTCGTTTGTAGTTGAGGTTGGTGTAGGTGGAGTCGGGTGACCAGGGGGTTTCGGTGTGGCCGGATCGGATGTTGTGTATGTAGAGGGCGGTTTCACCCCAGATGAAGATTAGTTGGATGTAATATGCGTGGATGCCGAGGTCTTTGGGTGGGTGATTGCAGTCGGAGAGGTCAGGGTGTGAGTCGGTTGGGAGAGGAGGGGGTAGGGGGGCGCTGGGGGGGTATTCGAGGGATGTTTGGCTTCTTGGTGGGACTGAGAGCTGGGGGCAGAAGATGTTTTCCAGGATGCAGACGCTCCAGTGGCATCGGGAGCCTATGAGGTCTCCATCTTCTGTTGGGTTGCGGAGTAGGGTGCGAAAGGCCTGCAGACGGGAAGCCATCCCTATCGTCATACATGCTTGGGCTTCTTTGCGTTCTATGCCGCTGTTAGAGAACTGCCAGATGCTGAGGGTATATAGTAAATACCTTTAATGTGCCGCAGGGCCAGCAAACACAATGACTCGATGACTTCCACCCTTGGTATGCCTTGGACAGCCATTTTGAGAACGGTCTCTTCTGCAGTCTGCGCATAGAATTCCTTGGCATCCAGCTCCTTACTCTGGTAGAATTCATGGCTCGTAAATGACAGAATAAGTGCCAGAAAGCTCCAGAGAAGGAAGTCGGGTCCTTGGGTCAGGTCAGACCGGAGGGTATTCAGGTCGAATAGCGGTAGTGGCTGCAAGTGTAATGTTGCCCGATACACGTCTATAAAGTGTTCGAGTGACTGTGAGGGTGGATATGGACTAGAGGGTGTTAACAAAGAGGCAGTATCAACAGCACCGTGCAACTTGCTTTGCCAGTGAGAACGAAGAGGCATTTCCAGAAGCCCCTCGTATCGGGGTTTGCATGTTCGGATGACTTAGGAGAGTTCCATCACTCTCAGGGGCCCCTGGGGAGGTCCCACCTTCTCGACTCGGATCTGGACTTTGATAGATGCCATCAGCCTTGCAGGATGATGCGAGCACAGAGATGATACACACTAGAGGACATCATAAAGATCATGGACCTGAGACTCGAGCATCCGTAACCGATCCTTGGTAGCTCGTCTGGATGTGTTAGATAGGCGTGTTATCTTACTGGATAAAGCGTATGCATACGGTTTGGTGACCTTTCTGGTCGAGCTGACTGGCTGCTCCCTGGGTCGATATACACATTGCTGGTCCAGTCTTTGGCACATGGAACACACGGGCCTCTCCGCCGGACATTTTGTCTTTTTGCGACTGACTCAATTAGTCGATGCCTAAGCGATCTACGAGGAATGCCTCACCGGCAAGGCTCACAGGCGTGTCGACTGCGTTCCCTTGATCCTGAATGGCGATCCATGATTCAATATGGAGATTTGGAGCAGATACTCGGACTGCGGAGGTGCAAAAGATGGTCGGTTACTCCGTCTACGTGACCGGAATATCCGCACGCGATTTTGCCGGAACTAAACCCCCTTCAGGCCTAGCCTGTTTCGGGCTTCCTCTCATCCATTTGCTACACATAATCTCGTTATCCATGCACTTCATCGCTGCGCTGATGCTGGTTACAGTTTGGCCCTCTCCCCAGCCTCCAACTCCCGCCTAGCAGGTCCACCACGACTCCCATCGCCCAAGAACACATCCTCCCGGTTCTGATAGTCGGTCCGGAACCGCCACTTCTGCGCCAGGTGTGGTGGCAGATTCTTTTTCAGCGCAAGCGACATGTATTCACCCAGGACTGGCAAGAATTTGAACCCACTAGACGTGCGTCATTAATATCCATGTACATCAGCATCAACAGGGAACTTACTGTCCACTTCCGGCGCCTCCAATGAACAGATTCTTGAAATCCGGATGAAAGTCCATGATGAAGTCGCCCGTCGGAGTATCCGTATACCAGCAGAGAGCCACCCTCTCAAACGGCCGATCCGCCAGTTCGGGCAGAATCTCGCGCAATCCCTCTCTCAGTCGAACTTCGCCGTCTGCAGGGGCAAAGTTGCGCCGTTCGCGGGGTGGAATCAGGGGAGGCATTGAGATATTAGTCTTCACCGAGGTGGATTCTCCCTTCTCCGGCTTCCGGGTATATCCCCATCCGTGAACCGCCACCTTCAGCAGTCCCGTGTCCTCGTGAGGTGGAAAGTTGAACCAGCCTGTTGAGAAATTGATGTAGACTGGCAGCTCCCGGTACTTCTCCACCTCCTCCGGAGTGAGACGCATGTATCCCAAAACCTGGCCCGTGGCTAGTGTGGAGTTGTACATCGGAACCAAGCTGGATCCCCACGCGCCAGCTGCAAGGACAAAGTGATCTCCCTCCACCGAGGCACCGAGCCGGGTACGCACTGCCTTGATCGTATTCTGCGAATCGGTGTCGAATCCCACCACCATGCCTCTACGGCCACAAATGAATGAAACGCCAAGCTCGAGACAGTCATCACGCAGCTGACTGATCGCTTTGTTGGCGTCGGCCCAGCCAGCTTGCTTATTCTGATAACCAGTGAGCGGGGGCGCGGCTAGCTTGCCGGTCAGAATCGGATGTAACCGTTTCGCGTCAGCGGCGTCTTCCACCTTGGTCCATGGCAGTTGGTGGTTGGTCAGAGCTGTCGTGGCCTTGGCGATCCACGCTTGTCCATGGGCAGTGGAGCTTCCGGTAAAGATGAACGGGGCCGGATAGAAGATGCCGTTGTATTTGGGCTGCTGCCATTTCAGATACGCAGCGTGTGCAATCCGTAGATAATCGTCGTCGGCATAGTCGAATCGGATGAGCCGGGATATATCTGAGCTGGATCCATCGGTAACCTGGCGCTGTCAGTCGGACCTGAATCGGATGGCGGTCTCCGGATATCCGGCACTCACCGGTGGCATGTGTCGGTCGAGGACCGTAATGTTCCGGTAGCCCTCCGAGGCGAGCTGGTAGGCCGTGGAGAGGCCGAATACGCCCCCACCAATAATAACGATACGGCTTTCTTTGTCCATGATCGATGCTTTAAAACCAGTACTGGATTGAAAGGGGATGAATTTGTAGGATTGGAGCGATGCTTCAAACAAATTCCTAGGCCTTCATATACGGCGGGGCGGAAAAGTAAATCTGCTCCGCTTCCGCTCACGTGGTCGGCTCAAAGCGATCCGCGAGGCATTCCGACGCATGGTAACACTACAAGTAAAGATGGAAGGCTAGTAGAAAGGGCAAGCTGCTATTTTGTCGAGGCCTCTAACTAAAAGACTAGTTCCCATCGGATTGAACCTTTGGTGTGGAGATGTGATCATTGCTGGGCTGCCTTGAACACGCAGAGAGTACTACTAGACTACATACACAAATGGTGTGCTCGCAAATCAACCAAGCTGGAATAGAAATGCTTGAAGGGGGTTGAATTCACTACAGGCATATCTACTCCGGTCATGTGACTACGCCTTTATGCTTTTGTTTACTTTTCCTCTCCCGTCTTCACCCAACCCAGTCAGCGATTCTAACTCATCAGGAATCAGTTGGCATCGTCCTCTTCTTGAACTTCCGGCCACTTTTGTCACAGTCACACGTCCGATTCCTTCATTGGAATTCCGTCAATCAAAACGACAACGTTCCTCAACGGCGCCAGCCTGCTGCCTTGCTCATCGCCCCTGGAAGGGATCGTCGCGGAAAGCGGGGTGCTTGTTGCTGCAGAGAATAGACTACAAGTCTACAACAGACCTCCATTGGATGAAGAAGATCCAGTGTCTGCATGTCACCATTGCAGCATATTCTCGCGTCTCCTCAGCAGACGTTTTAACGTGGCTCCTAGTTGCGGACGCAGTAGCCCCACCTTTGAGCAATAGTGGCAACTGCGTACAGAAGGACATGCAGCTGTTATATATCCTGCTAATATCTTGATCCATTGGGAGAAGTTCGTTCTTCTGTGCGTTTCTTTCTGTGGACTGCTCACAGGCCAGAGGATCGTCCTGAGAGTCTCTCAGCATGGCCTACATATGCCGTGGCTAGTCGCAATTTAAATGCTTTCGGGAATTCCGATGCTGTCTAATTGATCGGCCAATTTGAACATGAAATTGGTCGCATCGTCGCGGATATGCCAGAAATGCAGGTGGACAGTGGATCCATTACCAACAGCATTTCCAATGGTTTATAATCGGTTCACTTTTCCTCCGAATCTGGCTTGACGTCGTCCACAGCCCTCAAAATTCAAACCAAGTGGACCTTGCGGCTGAAGGGTTGAATGGGGAAGATGCGGATACCGCGCTCTGTGGATTCAGATGTCCCTGCAGGCTGCAGCGGAACCCTTGCAACGTCAACTGCGCCTGGGGTCAACAAATCTGCCTGGTTGCCTCCCAAAGGTTTCATTGATAACATTCATGGTCATTTTAAGCCTGGCGCCCCAACAATCCTTGGTAAGCCATTTGTCATGTTCCGGTCATCGCAGAATTCTTCCCAAAGCAGATACGGCTGAACACCTGAGGTCTAGAGATGGATCCACACTCAGTGGGTTGCATCTTAAAGTTTTCAAAAGTCACTATCCATGCTTGGGTCAGTGGGAGAAGCCTTGATCATTCGGATACGTAATAAGCACAGGAGCTTAGTTCGGAGAATACCGATCCCGAGTGGATATGGAAGCAACAATTTGGTCCATCATTGGCCAACCGGACAAGCTGTGCTATCCCAATATGGCGATCCAGACAGGATGAGCCCATGCTGACCTCTGGCACAAGCTTCTCGGATCATGAGGTCGGCAGAGCCAAGTAGGATCTGCTCGTTGCATGAGACCAGTGCAGATTTGCAGACCTGCAGGACTCTTACGCGTCATCCAATTTCCGCCCCTTGGCAGCGACTGATACAACGGTGAACATAATAGGACGGAGTACTCCGTAGATTAGATCGATAACCAGGCCCAGAACATCTGATGTGTCTGCAAACTAGGCTAGCAAAGTTTTTACGCCCAAGCTTACACGAAGGATTGACGGACTTCCCATCGCCATCACGGGAAGTGAAATTTTTTCAAGCGCAGAGCCGATGCTCAGGGAAACCAGCCAATCGAGCCGACCGCAGGAAGGCAGCTAGCCAATCTGAGGAATTGTGGCCCGCTTATCCGTCTAGATCACAGAAGGGTGGCTCCATCGCCGGGCCGGACAGCCATCATTGGCTGATTTCATCATCCCACCCGGCATCGGCCGGCCTGCCGTTGCGCCGATTGGTCGATGGACCCGCCAGTGATTATCTGATTGCCCTTATCGCCCCCATTTCGTCCACGCACTTGACCCTGACCCAAAGCTCTGCCCCACCTACGCCATATGGAAAAGTTGCTGTTGGCGCTAATAGGAACTAAGCACTCAAAGGAATGGATGACTTACAGGAGAAAGAGGACGAGGAAGGATCGGGCCGACTATATATTCACCGTGTGATCGGCCGTTTCTTTTCTCTTTTTCGCTCCCTTCCATCCTTATTCATCTCCCCACCCCTCTGGAGCTATCGTCAGCCATCATGGGTGTTGTCGTCGACCGACTCAGGGGTCGCAAGACCAACCACATCGTGGAAGACCTCCAACCGGTGCAGGTTACTGAGCATCCCCAAACAGATGCTTCCGATAACGTTGGCGAAAAGTCCCAGGCAGGACAGGGTTCGGAGGAGGTTTCCCGCGAGGCTCCGATCGGTGTTCAAAAGGCAGAGGCTGCCGCGCTGGTCTGGAGCAAGAAGGCCATCTACGGCACTTATGCATGGTAAGAGCAGAAGCAGCACCGACACGGCAATGCTGACTATCTCAGGATTTGGGTCTGCTATTTCATGCTCGCGCTTCACGAATACATCAACACCAACGTTCTCTACTATGCCTACTCGAATTTCAGCACTGCCTCTCAAGTCACGACGGCCTATATCCTGGCAGTCATCATCGGTGGTGTTCTCAAGCTCCCTATTGGCAAGTTGCTTGGGATCTGGGGACGCGCCGAAGGCCTGATCGTTTTCGTCCTCGTCTATGTCCTCGGACTGATCATCCTTGCTGCCTGCAATGGGCCGAATGCTTTTGCGGCAGGCTATGTGTTCTACTGGATCGGTTATGATGCGATCTACTTGATTCTCGAGATTTTCATCGCGGATACCTCTGGCCTGCGCAACCGAGCCTTTGCGTTTGGCTTCTCGACCACACCTTTCATCTGCTGCGCCTTTACCGGGTCTCTCGCCGCTAATTCCTTCATCAAGACCTCTGGCTGGCGCTGGGCGTACGGTGCCTTTGCCATCGTGCAACCATTCGTGTTTGCGCCTCTGATCTGCGTCTTCAAGTACTACGAACGCAAGGCCTACAAAACCGGCGTTCTGGTCCGTCCAGACAGCGGCCGGACATGGTTCCAGTCGCTGATCCACTACATCCATGAGTTCGATGGTAAGCATCCCTAATCCTGGACACACCCCAAACCCCATCTTCTCCATCATGACAGTATCTAACCGTCGCAGTAATCGGCGCCCTCATCCTCATGGCAGCCTTCGTCCTCTTCCTCCTCCCCTTCAGCCTCGCCAGCTACGGCCGAACCGAATACCACAACGCGGCCTTCATCGCAGAAGTGGTAATCGGCTTCTGCCTGTTCTTCGTCTTCGCTGCCTGGGAAAAATGGTACGCCCGGGTGCACTTCATCCCCTACGACCTGCTCCGGGACCGGACCGTCCTCGGCGCATGCCTCCTCGCCGCAGTCCTCTACTTCAGCTTCTACTGCTGGGACAGCTACTTCTACTACTTCATCATGGTGGTGTACAACCTGGACGTCACCAAAACCGGCTACATGACCTCGATCTACACCGTCGGGTCCTGCGTCTGGTCCCCCATCTTCGGGTTCTGGATCCGCCTCGTCAAAGAATTCAAATACTCCTGCCTCTGCTTCGCCGTGCCCCTCATGTTCCTCGGCGCCGGCCTCATGATCCATTTCCGCGGCCAGGACGCCGACATCGGATACGTTATCATGTGTCAGATCTTCATTGCCTTCTCGGGCGGTATGTTGGTCATTAGTCAGCAGATGGCGGTGATGTGTGCGTCGGATCGGGATGGGATTCCCATTCTCTTGTCCATGTTGGGCTTGTTTAATAGTATTGGGGGCGCGATTGGATATGCGGTCGCGGCAGCGATTTATACGAATACGTTTCCGGATGGGTTGAGGCGGGCGTTGCCGGCGGCGGATCAGGGGAAGTGGGAGACGTTGTATCAGGGGGGGTATTTGTCCCAGATGGAGTATGAGCCGGGGTCTGCGGTGCGGGATGCGGTGGATTTTGCCTGGGGGTATACCCAGAAGTATGAGGCGATTGCCGCGACGTGTATTTCGGTGTTGATGATTCCGGCGGTCGTGATGTGGAGGCATTATAATGTTGATCAGAAGCAGAATAAGGGGACGATGATTTGATGAGATCATTTGGTGATTGGGATAGAGAGTTGTGGTATTGTTAGATTTAGTAATAGTAATTAGATTTTTTGTTTCATTGTTGTGATGGTTGGAAGAGATAACCGGGCATTGCCATGTTAATAAAAAGCTAAATCAGAGACAAAGAGCATTAGCCATATCTTTCAGTGTGTCGCAGTGTCTCGCGTATTTCCCTAAAGAACACGGCCCGTTCCGCGCATATAGGTACGACGACTCGGAAGTTCCCTACATCAGCAAGTCTGTTCATTCACGTCCGTTGTGGCCAGGGATATGACGGCCTTTGGCTTCAAACCCATGTATCAACAACGAAGCACTAGGCCAGCATGATCCCAGCGTCCGCCAGACCAACATAACAATGACTATTAATCAGAAAGATGAATCGCAGGGAACTTCCCCAAACCATGAAATACCACCCACCGCTACCAAAACAAAGCATGCCGCTGCAAGAGGGTATATATCGCTCCATTTTCCACTGTGACAGTGGTACAGTGCGTATCTCATCATCACCCCTCAACTTCTCGCATAACATCTATCCCTCTCGGCAGAATGCACTTCCACTCCATCCCCGCAACGGTCGAACTCATCGACCACTATCGACAAGGCGGGTACCACCCCGTGCACCTCGGCGACGAATTCCACCACGGGCGATACAAAGTCCTCGCGAAGCTTGGGCATAATGCATCCTCGACTACCTGGTTAGCGAGGGATAATGAAGGGTATTCCCGCCTCTCCCTCCCCCTTGATGCCCAGCAGGTTACTGATCGTGATGAAATAGACCCCAACCCGAAGTCTCCCTTAAAGTTCTCCAAGCTAGTGCCAGCAAAAATAACCGCGAACTCGCCATGCATCAGCGCCTAGCGACGACTAGGACTGCCGACCATCCGGGTAAGGGTAACAACCACGTCGTGGAACTGCTAGATCACTTCTACCACGAGGGTCCGAACGGGAGACACCTCTGTCTTGTGTTTCCCGCTATGGTATCGGATGTACGAGCCATGGTGACGAGTGGTGCGCCATTGAATGCGAGGGATCTGGGGAATTTGGCGAGGCAGGTCTTGCGGGGTGTGCAGACTTTGCATGCCGCGGGGATTGGGTTTTGTGGTAAGTCACATATCATGTATTCGTTTAATGTTCGATGGAGAGAGGGTTGGGTAGGCTGACGAAGGTAGATCTCCGGCCGGAGAATATCATGGTTGCGTATCCGGTGCCAACGTGTCGGTGGGATTGTCTCCAACCTGCGCTTTGTATGCCCGTGGAGTGGAGGGGGGGGTTGGAGAAGGATGAGAGTGTCCCGAGGTATTTGGTACAGTCGCAGCGGTATCCGTGCATGGTGGAGAGGGAGGATTTTGATCGGGTGGTGGTGGTGATTGGGGATTTGGAGGGTGGTAGGTTCCCGTATCTCTTTTCTTGTGTGTATTGGATAAGCTGATGGGTATAGCTCAATGGATTAAGAGCTGTGATCGGATGCCAGGGGTCGCGTTGTCGATGCGCGCGCCGGAGGTGATTGGTAAAGGACGGTGGGATGAGAGGGCGGATATTTGGGGGTTGGGATGTCTGGTATGTATTTTTCTCTATATGTTGTTCTCTGGAGAATGTGAATAGCCCGACTGATGAGATAGATTTATGAACTGGCGACGAACGAGATCCTATTCCCCGTGAAAACGCGGGGAGTGTCAGAGGAGAAGGTTGATGAAAACCATCTGGGACTCATTGAATGGCGTCTTGGTGAGCATGCTCCGCAGGGGTTTGCGGTGTATCTTGGGGAACGGTTGCCGAGAGGTTCATTTACAGTCAAGGATGTGGAACGTTTGGCTGAGGTTCTGTTGCACATGTTGCAGATAGCACCGACAAACCGGTGGTCAGTGAATGAGTTGCTCGAGACCCCATTTATTAAGGGTCGGTATTAGAAGGAGTGTTTTGGTGGCTGTGCCTGTGTATAGGGATGCAGGCAGAGTTCGGCACATGGAATTCCCTGAGGGTAACCGGGGACAGGATGTAGGACAGGCTGGACTGATGTTGCACTAGATATATAAACGAGGCTGTTTCTTTTGACGCTATGGGTTTCATGTGAAGGTTCTATCGGTGAGACATATGCCAGATTTCGTCCACAGTAGATACATTAAGCTGCTGTAGTGCCAAGGTGAACCACGACAAGGTGCAGATGTGTCGAAAGCTGAGAGGATATTGTGATAGGATACATCCAATCCATCAATGCACGCGGGTAATGCCGAAAGCCGAGAATCAGGTTAGCCGCGGGTCCCCGCACACCGACACGTAGCAGGGCATGCCAAGTATGTTATTTGATCCTGGAACGCAATAGCGAGGTTTGAAGGCCCGTTTTGGTGGGATGACATCACGCGGACTGGATTGCAGGATGAAGGATCACAGATGATAATGAGTGTCACCAGGTTGGATCGAACAGCTGACAAAGGGTGCGCATCGATTGGGACAACCCCAGAATCCTGTCACATGCACAGCATGCCAGGATTGTAATCCATGCTACCCCGCTTTTTGGTAAGACTTCTGGGGATGGTGAGATGGAGATTATACTGTCCGAGATCTCACGGTCAGAAGTTTATTGTCACAGGCAGAAGGTGCGTGAGAGAAAAACAGATCTGGGATATCCAAGCTGTAGCATCTCCCACTAACCCGGCTGCTCCAGTCAATGACGTGGGTCACCAATGTGCGCGGTTCTGGAACCCCGGCCTCCAAGGTTTCCCCAGCTGTGGTGCACCATTCACAGTGCTGCATGACAGCCCCTGACTCGTGTTTGTCGGCAGATGACTGGTGGAACGCATCCACGGTAGAGGCCGACACAAACAAAGGCGAGAGGGGAACAGCCGATATCTCCGCGACTGGCTTCAGCACAATGACGGGATGGAATGCATAACCGAGGATAGATATGTCGCTGCGTGACTGACGTAGCTACCATGTACATGGCGGTTATATTGGCGAGAAAGCCCATAGTCTTCCACACCAAACATCAACATGCCAGCCATCAACCAATACGCCGTTCCAGCCACCTATTACCGCGGCGGCACCAGCAAGGCCATCTTCTTTCACGAACATGTCCTCCCTCCCCCTAGCTCTCAACGCGACCGTCTCCTCAAGCGGGCCATAGGCTCGCCGGACCCCCTGCAGCTCGACGGTATGGGGGGGTCCAAAGCCGTGACGTCGAAGATCGCCATCGTCAAACGCTCCACCCGGCCCGATGCCGATGTTGATTACACATTCGCCCAGGTTGGTGTCGCGGATGATTTTATCGGGTACACCTCAAACTGTGGCAATATTTCTGCCGCCGTGGGGCCGTTTGCGATCGACGAGGGGTTGGTCAAGTTTCGACCGGGCCGGACCGTCGATCCGAAGGTCAAGACACAGGAGGTGCGGATCTACAACACTGGGACGCGAAAGGTGCTGAGTGCACATGTTCCCATCACAGATAATGGCGGCTTCGAGACAGAAGGGACGCAAGCGATCGCGGGTGTGCCAGGAACTGGAAGTCCGATATTGATGGATTATCGATTTGTATGTCAGTCACGGATAGATTGGCACAAATGACTGATGCATGTCTAGACGATCGGAGCCACTCTGTCAAGAGGTCTACTGCCGACTGGAAATGTAACCGACACTGTCACCGTCGGCGGCAACGAGATCGAAATCACCATCTGCGACGTGGCCAATCTGTGCGTCTTCGCCAACGCCAGGGACTTTAACATCACCAGCCACGAGAGCGCCGCAGAGCTAACCGCCAACTCCGAATGGCAAGCCAAGACACAAGAGCTTCTCGGAAAAGCAGCAGTGCTCGCTGGATTGACGGACAACTGGAAGGATTGGATCGAAAAGTCCCATGCTATTCCGTTGCCCATTTTCGTGGCACCGCCTCCGGACCCCGGTAAAGGCCATCTTTCGGCGCGCCTGTTCCTGGATAAAATGTGCCATGAGAGTATGGCGGGGACTGGGGCCATCTGCACGGCAGCATGTAGTCGCGTTCCAGACAGCGTGGTGAACCGGATCATCGGCAAGGCAGTGGAACTGGAGACGTTGGAGATCAGCCATCCCATCGGGATCATGGACGTGTGTGTTCAGACGGAGACTATAGTGAAAGGCGAGCCGGTGTTCAACACCCTGTCTTTTGTTCGGACCGCCCGTCGCATTATGGATGGGACGATATACGTGCCGAATAGCTTCAGGCCGACTGTTCAGGAAGCCACTGGGCAAGCCCCCGTTCGAAATGTTCTGATGACGTCCAAGCGAGCTCCAGTGCGAGGTAACCTGTAGGTAGCTTGGTTATCCTATTGTCAATGTGATGCTAACAGACTTTCAGGATATATTGTGTTCTTTGTATGATAATTCTTTCGATCATGTGTTATTCACCGGCGTCGAGGATCTTCTGGGTAGGAAAGCAAGTTTGAGAATCAATTCACTTGAGTTAATCCATGCCACCTGAGCATAAGCATTAAACATCTGATAGCGTCGGGCCGATTCTCTCTCCCAACTGGCACGCAAACGGTCGATAAGGGGCGGGGAAGCGATAGCCCTATTTTCGGGCCGCCTTCCCCGCCCTTGGCCTGATAACAGTGCTGATCTACCCCAACATTGCATTTTGAATGGTTGATTAAGACCGATAGAGATAACGAGAGTGCTGTTACTCCACTCACCTCCACTCTCGGCCGATGATGCTGTGCAGGCTATCTCAACACCCATATGAGTAGACGTTTTCCACGACTGCAGTATTCCCATAGCTCCTCGTCGTTATTCCTCATACCATCCACCATGCCAAGTGTAGCACCCCGTCCAAAGCTGCGTATCTCTATAGGTCAGCCAGTCACACCTAGAGAATGCTCGATTTACTAACCAACGTAGATCGTGGCGGAACATTCACCGACTGCATCTGCAAAGTCCCCGGGCAAGAGGACATTGTCGTGAAGATTCTTTCAGTCGACCCCAAGAACTATGAAGACGCTCCCACGGAAGCCATCCGGCGCGTGTTGGAGATTTACTATGGCACCAGTATTCCCCGGGGAACAGGGCTGGATACGAAGGATATCGGTAGGTGACATGCTCGCTGACAAGATCCTTTGCTAACCTTTGTTCAGAGTCAATCCGTATGGGCACGACCGTTGCCACGAATGCATTGCTAGAGAGAAAAGGCGAGCGCACTGCTCTCCTAATCACCGCAGGCTTCAGAGACTTGCTGGAGATCGGCAATCAATCCCGACCGTTCATGTTTGACCTGTCGATCCGGAGGCCCGAGACACTTTACTCTGATGTATTCGAGGTGGATGAGCGCGTGGCCTTGCGTAATTGCGCTGATACCGATTTGCGAAGCATGGATCTGTCCTCGCCACGAGCAGATAGAGAGGTTGTGGGCACTTCCGGAGAGACGGTGCAGATCATCAGGTCGCTAGATGTCGAGTCCACCGAGCTTTATCTCAGGAAGATATGCGCAGAAGGATTCAGGTCGGTGGCAGTATGCTTAATGCACGCCTACACATTCCCTGACCACGAACTGCAAATTCGAGACCTGGCTAAGCAAATCGGGTTTGAGAATGTCTCGCTATCTCATGTCGTATCCCAACGAACAAAGATCGTGCCTCGAGGTAACTCCGCAGTGATCGATGGGTATCTGACTCCAACCATCGAACGATACCTGAAGCAATTCCTGACCAGCTTCCCTGATATCGAAAACTCGGACACAAAGCTGGAATTCATGCAGTCGGACGGTGGACTGGTCCCAGCCCATAGACTCTCCGGACTGCACTCCATTCTTTCTGGCCCGGCTGGCGGTGTTGTTGGGTATGCACGAACCTGCTACGACGAAACCAACAAAGCGCCTCTAATCGGCTTCGATATGGGAGGAACTAGCACAGACGTCAGTCGGTACGATGGAGCCCTGGACCATATTTTCGAGACAACCACTGCAGGCATCTCGATGCAAACGCCGCAACTCAACATTAACACGATCGCTGCGGGCGGAGGGAGCATCCTGTTCTGGCGCGACGGGTTGATGTCTGTCGGTCCCGAGAGCGCGTCGTCCGACCCTGGCCCGGCATGTTATCGAAAAGGTGGACCGTTGACTGTCACAGACGCCAATCTGGCGCTTGGAAGGTTAGTTCCGGAGTTCTTCCCCTCTGTGTTCGGTCCAAATGAGGATGAACCTTTGGACCGCGACATTGTCATTGCGAAATTCGAAGAGTTGACTATAACGATCAACCACGACACCGGAAAGTCGATGAACTGGGCTCAGGTGGCTCAAGGGTAAGAATGAATGCACAAGCATCAATATGAGTTTGGCTAACAAGCTCCAGTTTCCTCGACGTGGCTAATTCTGCCATGTGTGGCCCTATTCGAAGCCTTACCGAGGCTCGCGGGTACGATACAACAAAGCACCACTTAGCATCCTTTGGTGGAGCAGGAGGACAACATGCATGTGCCATCGCCGAATTACTCGGCATTCAAAAAGTCCTGATTCACAAGCACTCCTCGATTCTATCTGCATATGGAATCGGATTAGCCGATGTCGTGCAGGAAGGCCAACGGCCCTGTGCGAAAGCATACAACACCTCTAACCTACCGACCATATTTAACGACCTGGAAGACCTTTCTCAGTCAACCAAAGACCTGTTGGGCAATGATGGAATACTGAATGTTGACATGGAGCGTTTCCTCAGCATGAGATATGACGGAAGTGAGACAACCATCATGACTGAAGTAGATCCAAGTCACGATATGTTGCAATCCTTCATCAACGCTCATCACCAGCAATTCGGGTTCACCCCTACTGACCGGCAGGTGTTTGTTGATAGCATTCGCGTTCGTGCCGTGGGCCGAGGGTCTTTTGAACCTCTCTCACCGGAGACTTCAATTCCAACCTCTGGCAAACAGGACCTAGCGGATATCCCAACTCCGCAATCTACTAATCGGGTCTACTTTGCTCGGCTCGGATGGACTGACACGCCTGTGTACATTCTCAAGTCCATCCCTCTGGGACAAAAGGTCCAAGGCCCAGCTCTTGTTGTCGACGAAACGCAAACCATCCTCGTGGGACCTGGGTCGTCAGCAACCTCCGAGTCCGAAAAATTGATACTGGACATCAATGTCAGTGAAAAAAACCGCATCGTGGCTGCTGATACAATCGACCCGGTTCAACTCTCCGTATTCCGACATCGCTTCATGAGCGTGGCTGAACAAATGGGCCGTGTATTGCAGCAAGTCAGCGTGAGTGCGAATATCAAAGAACGCCTTGACTTTAGTTGTGCGGTATTCAGTCCAGATGGGTCCTTGGTGGCCAATGCGCCCCATGTCCCTGCCATGATCGGCAGTATGGCTTTTGCTGTGAGGGGTCAGATTGAATTGTGGAAGGGAAAGTTGAAAACGGGAGATGTGTTGTTATCGAACGCTCCGGGTATGTACGGTTCTCGTTTACGATGTTCACTGTGCTAATCAGCTATGTCCTGCCAGAGTTTGGTGGAACTCACCTTCCAGATCTTACAGTCATCACCCCTGTTTTTGATGCCCAAGGAAAAGATATAATCTTCTGGACAGCTTCACGTGGCCATCATGCTGATGTAGAACCCCCGCCCCCTGCCTTCTGTCTTGGTTTTCTTTTGTAAGAGGAGTCCTTAGCTAACACCACTCAGATTGGCGGCATCCTCCCCGGATCCATGCCTCCCTCATCCAAAGAACTAACCGAAGAAGGCGCGCTATTCGAATCCTTCCTCTTGATCCGTGACGGCGTACTCGACGAAGCTGGACTTGCTCGGCTACTCTGCGATGAGCCTGCCAAGTACCCAGGGTCCAGCGGTACGCGACGCTATCAAGACAACGTGACGGACTTGAAAGCGCAAGTGGCCGCCAACCACTGCGGCATCCGCCTCATCCATCAGCTGATTGAGGAGTATTCGATGGATGTTGTTCAGGTGAGATTTCTGATAGGTTTCTGTTCTGAAGGAATACTTATGGAGATTCCTAGGTGTATATGAAAGCGATCCAGTCCTCTGCTGAAACTGCCATTCGAAGCCTCTTTAAACGACTGGCTCGGGAATTCGATGGCAAGGAGCTCACGGGAACTGATTATATGGATGACGGGACTCCGATTTGCCTCAAGGTTACTCTCAATGAGAGCGATGGTTCTGCGGTCTTTTATTTCACTGGAACCGGGCCTCAAGTATACGGTAAGTCCTAAGAGCCGACCCTCACCTAGACATCCTTTCTAACGACCCAGGCAACTGGAACGCTCCCATCGCCATAACCTACTCCGCCATCATCTTCTCTCTGCGCTGCATGGTCGATTCCGATATCCCGCTGAATCACGGCTGTCTCACGCCCGTTCACGTGCGCGTTCCCAAACCAAGTCTTCTCAATCCAGCTCCCACATCCGCCGTGTGCGCTGGAAATGTCCTCACCTCGCAACGGATCGTAGATGTGATCTTTAAGACTCTTCGTGTTTGTGCTGCGAGTCAAGGCTGCATGAACAACCTCTCCTTTGGCAACGAGGACTTTGGATACTATGAGACTATCGCGGGCGGTAGCGGTGCCGGTCCCACCTGGTCGGGGACAAATGGAGTTCATACCAATATGACGAACACGCGGATCACGGACCCTGAGTCCCTGGAACGTCGGTACCCGGTGCTGCTGCGTCGGTTTTGCTTCCGAGGGGGAAGTGGTGGGTGCGGTAAGTATAGGGGCGGAGATGGCGTGATTCGCGATGTGGAGTTCCGAATTCCCATGATGGCGTCGATTCTCTCCGAGAGGAGATCGTTTAGACCGTATGGTATGGCTGGCGGTGGCGACGGGAAGAGTGGGTTGAATTTGTGGATCAAGGGGGATTCAGGGACACAGGTTTCGATTGGGGGTAAGAATTCGGTGGCGGTTTCAGCGGGAGATCGTCTGGTGATTGAGACGCCGGGAGGTGGAGGATATGGGAGGCTTGGAGGTGATCCCGGGATGATAATAGATGGCGCAAAGGCGAGGCACGGGTTCGTCCCGATTGCGAATGGGTCGGTGGAGGCGACTAGGAGTCTGGCGGAGCAGGTGTAATCCTAGAGATCGGCCAATAGGTTGATGATGTGAGAGTAATATAGATTGGTTTATTGCAAACAGGGAGCTCCTGGGTTAATGATGATTGCTTTTATCCACGTATAGGAACGACACGACCACACAAGGTGCGGGAGTAGGCGAAGCGTAGATTGCTTAGTTCAGGGCGACCGTTCATTCAAGTCGTACACCTCTCCTATCATACGCAAATTCCTTCCCAGAACCAAGACGCTTTGAGATACGCCGATCCATAGGTCCATAGATCTTTTCGTGCTCTCGGCCAAAATTCTTACTGAACCATGCAACGGCGCGTTCATTGTCGCAGTCATCAAGTATGTCGTTCTCAATACCCAGATATCCCACCATCATAGATACGCACGACCTCAGCATGTCGCCCCAGGATGTAATATTCAAAAAGCCATTCTCGTCAATACTTTCATCGTCCACCGCTGCTTTGACGAAGCTTTCCACGAGGGGACGCTCGTGTGGATACAGCTCATTCCCATACTTGTCGTATTTCGTGTATAAGGAGTACTCAGGATCCCCTGCTATAGACAAATCCAAGTGAGCGAAAGAACTTGGAATCAACACAACCCGCTCCGTTCGCTCAGGGAGGTCGACTGGGTACTCAAAGGTCTTGGTAGAGCAGTCGAGTCGCTTGTAGCTGGCATTTATTTCTTCAATAACTTCCTCCGGGTTTGGAAGATCTTCCAGGATCTCAGGACGTGGGATGCGCCTGGGACTTGTCGGTCTGAAGCCGGAATCCTCAAGCTTCTGCGCCGCGAGGGAATAATATTGGTCTCGGACTACCAGCATGTGGATCTACATCCCAGGTAGAATTGTCAGCAACGAAGCAGACGAGAAGTCATGGGTATACTCACCCCAACCACGATGGGGACACCTAGTTGAGCTAGTGCCAGAGGCCCCCATTGTACAACCGGGAGAGGCTGAAGCGCACGGACAGGCGCGGCCGTGTACTCACATGGCGTGGTTTCGCGCGGCTTTCTGAACATGGAGACTGATAGCTGCTGAGGCTCACAAAGCCTCTTGGGAAATTAAATAGACACTCCTGCCCTCTGTGGGATTACTTCAAAGGTGTTGTGCCGTGCGGGGGAAGAAACACATTCAGTCCACCGCCCGGCAGAATACTGGATGACTCATGCAGACCACTCCCTCGTCTAGTTAATTGGTCGCTTGCCGAGTAGTAACAGCCTGGAAAGCAAGGCTTTCTCCTAGTTATCCATCATTGTCATACTATCCCCAAGAGGTCTACACCACGCGTGCACTGACCATACTGAATCCAATCACCGCTTCTCTGCCAAGCTGGGTGCCTTGGACAACTAGTGGCAGAGCCCCTCGCGGGCCGTCAAGTCAGGGGCGCATATCATGCGGTGTGATTGGAGAGAAGACCCTCTTTTTCTCTGGCTGCTATGCCATGATGGATGGGTTCCGCAGCGCCCGTGCGCCGGCCGTGATGATCCAGCTCCAATCCGAGGTCATCAACGAGATTGGACATGACACTAAACTCCTCCCGGTGCACTTGGGATCTCCACAACATGACTTTCATTGGGTCGGGTAGGGATCGTCTGCCTCAGCCTACCTTAGCCAACCCCCTGCCATGACTCGCGAGATTAGGCGTCCTGCTCTGCAACGTGCAGGGCTACTACTACACAGTAAACCTACTATGCATGCCAGAATCACACTAGTACGCGGCCTGCAGTAGTTAGGGTGTTGATGGAGGGTTGGAATTTGCTCAGAGTGGCCATTTGTATTATTTGATATTTCAAGGTATAACGACTATTTGGAAGGATCAGTTCAGATCAACATGCCTGTGCTTTATGCTTATTCCACCGCTCGCAATTGATCGTGCGCGCCTTGTTCGTGGCTTATGCGGCCAACAGGTATCCAGGACCAGCTCTTCTCAGTGGGATAATCCCATAGCCGCTGACGACCCAAAAAGAGTCCGTTTCAGGGACGCCTGGCATGTCCCATGGGGCGGATGTAGTGCCCCCCTCATGCCACTGGGGGCTGTTTGCCAGGATTTCCGTCTGACGTGATGGAGATGCGAACTATTCGCACTTGGGGGCGAAAATAGTCGCGGTGGGGCGACGGGCTGGACCAAGTGGTGCAGCAGGGCTGGGCTCAGCGCAGTCGTGGTGCATGAGCGGCAGAGGACAAATGATCCTGACATGATGTCTTGACTCGGCATACCGCTTCCTCCGCGACATGCATGATTGGATGCTACACGAGCTGGAAAAAAGAAAAGCAATGGATGTACGGAGGACTCGTACATTCAACCCCTTGGGGCCAAGATAACGTAATCCCCGAGCTTTTCCGGTTTTGGCCAAGACGACGAGCATTCCGTGGGGGCGGGCGGCTATTCTGGTAGCCGGATATGTTTTTTTTTTTTTGTTTCTTTTCCTCTCACGCGTCAGCGACTAGTAGTAGTTGCTCCATGCGAGTCTGACCCTCTGGCGGAGGAGGTTGACATGCGGGTTATGGCTGTCAGATCGGTCGTTCCGGGGGCGCTCGCGAACGATGTCAAGGGATACTGATCGGGTGGTCCTCGGCGCTCATTCCCCTTGGGACGCTGCGCCTCGCTGTCGACCGTGTGAGAATCGTTGGAGGACTGTTTACTGCGCTTTCCAGCCCCGGACCGAATGTTCTGCAAGGAACTACCCCATTTCGACCTTGCCGCGCTCTGCGACACAGCCTGGAAGAATTTCGGGCATGACGGCAGACAGCCCGCGATGATTCCAAATGCCATCTCCGGAAGGGTCCAGATGCCGACCACGTAGCTGAAGTAGGAGATGTTGTTGGAGGTTTTGAACAGTAATATGATATAGGCGAGCCGCACGATGCCCGCCACACAAGCCCTGGTCGCCGGTTAGTACTGTGGTTGACAGAAAGTCAAAGGGAAGGCGCCAACATACAGGACTCCAGATAAGAATACGGTGGAGATGGCGACCTTCCGACGAAGCGCCATTTGGAGTCCCCAAATGCGGATCTGGGGTAAAATCAAGACCACGAGATCTGAGATGCTATTCACGACCGCTGCAAAAATGTTGAACAGGCGCGTATTCATGCACGTTCCCGCGTCAAAGATATTCCAGGCTTTGGACACGGGGTCGCAGGAAAAGATCAGAACAAAGACACAGATTGTGTAGAAGACCAGATTAAATGCGATCGTGCCATAGCAGCACCACCAGAAGAAGTCTCTTCCTTGACCGAAGATCTCGAGCAGCTGGAGAAGAAGCGAGACTTTGGCGAAACAAATACTGAGTCCATAGATGATGGCTGCGCCATGAAAATACTGGATGCGATGATTAGCACCCAGGCCATGCGCAATGCAGGTTTTGACGTACGTATAGCAAGGTGATAAAATTCCTCACGGTGAGATTCCACTGGTCGACTCCCGGGGCGACATCGCCCACGATCCACGCTGGGGCAATGTAGCCCATGAATAGTCCCTATTGAAAGATTGGTTAGATGGGCATACACGCGGTGATGCATATGACAGTACCCAGGAGATAAACATCATATCTACAATCGGTTAGTAACGCACGGTCCACGATATGCGACCAAGGAAACTCACAATCGGACATTCTGATGTGCCGGATCAGGAACACCTTGGTATAGACGCGAACGATAAAGAAGATGGAGGTCAACGCCACCAGGGTCATATGGACGGCACGCCCGGCGGCCTGCGAGTTCGGAGGGTCGACGAGATTGGAGACCTGACCCGCTGGAGGGGTGGCGGCCGGCCCATCCATCAGGGCTTCCCGTTGGGCGGGAGTGAGAGACGACAGCGCACTCATGGTCCTCTCGTGCTTGATTCTGTACGGTTGGGAAGGATGGAGATCAGAGGGAGGAATTAAGCTTATGATTAAATATGTCCGGTGGTGTCTTTTGGCCCTCGAGAGTCAGCCTAGTCCCGGTGCAGGTGCCGGAGGCTGTACATGCGTCTGTGGGAACTGCTCCGCCGGTGCGGCCAGCCCGCAGAGACCCGATTTCGCTTGGGTCCAGCGTTGGGAATGGCGTGTCCCACCCTCCCCTTGATCATTCAGCCGTCAGATCTCTGTCAGATGGTTTCATCCTCAAGATAGTCCGAACAGTAGTGTGAGACCTCCCCTACCCAACATAACGCACTTGTAGGCCATGTCCGCAGCTCTATCCTTTGCCCCGGGACATTTCACCATGCAGCGTAACTCCCGGTCGCCGACCGACGGTTGAAGGGATAAGATAATCAATCCACCTTCGTTTTCTTGCTGACGGCGCCAACCATGATTGGCGGCACCATGAATTTGGGGGCGGCTTGACTAAGAGGGACAGAATGTGGGCACCGGCATGCGGGCGGGGAGTCGGTGGATGGCTCAGGCCACCCAAGCCCCAATCACACTCGACTTCGTGGTGTCAATGCCCTGCCCCTTTAGTACTCTCACTGGGAAATGATCGTTCAAATGTAAGCGATGAGGGCAGTGGGAAAATGGATTCAGTCTCCGGCATTGTAGTGGGCTGGAGAGCGCACGAGTCAGAAAGTAAGATTTTGGTGGGGTCGGGAATCCAAGCGTGCGGGGTTTGGAACCATGGTACACCAGCACTTTGACTTTGGGCTTATTATGCCTTATTCTGTCCTTGCTTGGGCTTTGCTTTTGTTTCTTTTTTCCTTTCTTTTATTTTCTTGTTTTTTTTTCTCTACTCATGTCCTTTCTATCCTTATCGGGTATTTCTGATGTACTCTGTAGACGCAGCGAGGAATTGATTGGTAGCAACAGCTCCCCACTACAGCATCCGAATAGGCCTTGACACAGTGTCCATTCATGTATCTTAATGATCCAACATCAGCACGCCGAATAATCTCAGATTCCCTCTACGCACATGTCATGTTGATAAAAGTAGGAACATTCCTTTTCCACGCCAGCTTCATTGTTGGTGCGAGAAAACCATGACACCCTGCATTTTGGAGGGATCCGTGGGTAATATATATTAACAGGCTCAGGTCAACTGGAAACGGAACGGCTGAGATTAGCATGGCGAGATCTGCCACACGCTGAATCCTGCTCCCCCACTCTGCCGTTACTCTACTAACAGAGAAAACCACTTTCTTTTTTAAAAGAAGTAAACACGACACCAAGGAAGTAAACTACGTAGCACAATTTCAAATTGTATGTATAGTGTGGTCGCAGTTGATTGGTGAACCGTGGATGACTCATGCGGGAAAGACTTTCCCTTTCCAATTCCCACAATTCCCAAAAATCCCACCACGAATTTCCTTCCCTTCCCCGTCTCCAGACGCTCCAGGCCATTCGATTTTCTTTAATTCCTAGTAGGCCTCTTGGCGGCTTTTACAAATAACTCATCCCCATAATAATATGGCAGCCCAGATAACTCCACTGAGCGCATTTTTCAAACTGCGGTCCTGCGGGGCCCACGGGATTCCCGCGCGGGCCGCGGTGAGCGGTACCATGGGCGTGTTGCTTGGATTCCTTCGCGGCAAAGTCCACGATCCTTTCTCTGGGGACGTGCTTGCACCTGCTCGATAGTCTTGCAGCGAATGTGGAAACAAGTGCCGATTGGCAGCGGCAACTTCACCATGAAAGATCTGGCAGATCGGCGCGGATCCTCGGGCAACGTGTCAGTGCCCGAATCGAGCCTTTGGCCCGCCCTCGTGCGGATGCGAGTTGCAGGGAGTCCGTGCGGGCGCAAACACCCAGTGCCATCATCTTCCTTAGAAAACGGGCATTATTGAGGGCTCACTTGCTATGTTCGACATTGACTAACACGGAGTCATTTGTATTAGTTGCTTTCTGATATTTACAAGGAATCTTGATGTGTATTCTGAGCGGCGAGGGGAAAGGTCAAAACGGATGACTCACCTACTTATGACAGACTTTGCAAAAGAGTACATCAAAGAAGTCGGTATGCAGTAGGAAAGTACCCTGAAAATGGCATAACCCATCAGTGATTGATCGGATGCTGCAATTGTTAGTGTGACAACTTCCCCGCGAAACACGGTCTACCGGGAACTGACGATGCTTTAGCTTCGGCGAAGATCTCTACTCCTCCACAAACTTCCTCCTCGAGGGAATGGAATGCCGATGGTAATATATACGTCAATGATATCATACCAACCTTGGCCCTGTTATACCGCCATTGCCTCACGCAGTGGCTGTAATGAACTGGGATCACACCCGATCAAGTCGATCTGCCGCCTTCGATTCAATAGGAAGAGAAACCAGGCTGAATCAGCAGGAAAGAAGGGGGCGGGCTTGAATCGGTATGAGGTCTCGCAACCACGGTGTGGATAGCCTTGAGGCCTACACCACAAGTTCGCCCCATCGAGCCAGATGGGCATGATGATTCGGATATGAAAAGACCTCTGATGAAACACAGAAATGCCCCGATATATCTTCGCTTTCTAAAGAGTACCGCAGTCCGATCCAAATCACGTGCTTCACAGCTTGGATCTCGTGGGGAGCAGGGTTCTGGCGTTACTCCGTACATTGAAAGAGTCCCAGTTACACATAGATCTCCGGATCGCGATCAGTGTAATGTACAACGTTCCACGGCAGGATCTCACGGCAGGATCTTACGACAGGATCTCACGGCTATAGCCCGGCAGTCGTGTGACATGATCGTCGAGCGGCAAATCGTTTGGATCGGAGCTGGTAGGACAGCCGGGGCCTCGGAGACGGCTAGCTACCTTCGGGTATCTGAGCAGGCGAGCCAGCTATACTTTCCAGGAATGAATGGACCAGAGTCAGCACGCGGGCCCTGTGGGTGTTAGATGAGGGATGCGGCATTTGCCAAGCTTCTGGTGTCCACAGCCTATCTAAGGACCCTGACTCTACAGCCGCAATGCTGTAGGGAATGTCACCAAAGCTTGGATTGTCGGTTAAGGCCTATTTCGGCATCGGCGGCGGTGACAAATAAACTCCATCTGGTGCCTACGCTCGACCTTCGGAATATGGTGCATCCCGCAACTAGCCACAGCAAGTAATGGCCTAACTCCAGACATCCAATATGTCACTGACGCGGCTGCATCAATAGATTGGCTTCGCTTACTTGGCCCAATGTCATAGACCCAATACTCAATCTCGACAAGACGCGGCAGATATATCAAGGTAGAGAGGAGTACGAGCCATTGGAGCTATTCAAACTTTTCTAGCATGCAAAGTCTTGTCTCAGACGGGACAGCTTGTTCACGACGTTCACCATCGCAGCAGATGCGGAGGGATTTGACCAGAACTTCTGCGCAGGAGGGGACCAAGAAGCTGACATTTCAGTGGACCAAGGCACGTCAGTTCTACTGGTCACTGGGGCAATCCTCGAAAGCGTTGTAGGAAGCTGTCCCGCGCGGTTCAATGAGACGAAGCATTGCACTGCGGATATCATGGAGTTCATGGATTTGTCACCGTCGGGTTATCCCACCGAGGGAGCACGGGATGGTTTGGATTACGGATACCCATTGGTGACGCAGCACACGAGCTGTGGTGAATTGGAAAGGTTTGGAAATATCATTCCGACTGACCAGACCCTTCTCGACTTGCGGGAAACTCAGCCCTAAATTGCAGATGACACTAAGATTCTGCTGGAGGACACGGGAACCTTCCGAGTAGTTAGGGTCGGCTGTGTGTCAAACCGAACAGGGGTATGGTGGAGTGGTTCCCACGGGCGCAAAAGAAGGCGATGTCGTTGCTCGGAGATCTGGTGGGAAGGTTTCTTTCGGGCTGAGGAGTGACCATGAAACGTGGCATGTATCAGCTCGTCGAGGAGACTTACATTCATGGCGTTATGCATGGGGTGGCGTTTCAAGGATGCGAGGACCCTTTGTCTCTGTTGATAGATTTGATGGGAGACTATCGTTCTCACGGCTTGACCGCTTCTTGACTCGTATGCCTGCACAAGGCGGACGGGACGTCACTGGTTGTAGATTATATCTTCAATGACCTGTCAGAGCTCAAGAATCGAACCCCTGACCAAATGACCAGAAGGAGTTCTCGGATCCTGGTTGAGCTCTCGACCATTGATAAGATGGGGTCAGTGCTTATCGGACTACTCCAACGAGGGTCTCCAAAGGATGCGACGATCGGATCGCCTCCAACGGCGATAAGACGCAGATCAGCGCCCCGATTGGCGAGAGCTGACAGGGAATGCCTTCGTTATCGACTTCCCCCATTCCTGTCCAACAACGGCCGGGACATGCGTCAGATACCATCCGCTGCCATGATAAGCTTGTGCCGGGTTTATATCTGAGCCCTGGCCTTCTAGGATAGGATGCAGCCATATACCACGCTTTGGAATTCACCATGGCGAACGAGCTCCGGGTTCTTCCACCAGGTGCCGGTTATGGCATCGTCATCGGCATCGGGGGCATCTTTGCCCTGTTCATGCTCGGTATCTCCTGGCTACAGAATCGTTATACCCGGTTCTCCACCCATCGCGCAGAAGAGTTCAACACAGCATCACGATCTGTAAAGCCGGGCCTGATTTCCGCTGGCATTGTTTCATCCTGGACCTGGTCAGCTACACTCTTGACCAGTTCAACCTTTGCATACTCATATGGCGTGTGTGGGCCCATGTGGTATGGCGCCATCGGCACCCTGCAAATCTTACTCTTTGCTCTCATTGCCGTGAAGATCAAGGCCAACGCGCCCGGCGCACATACGATGCCCGAGATTGTCCTCGCTCGACACGGCAAAATTGCCCATCTCACATATTTGTATAATGGCTTCGCGACCAACATGTTGGTTAGTGCCTGCTTAGTCCTCGGTGGCGCGCAGGTGGTTGCAGCCTTGACCGGGATGAATGTCTATGCGGCCATCTTCCTCATCCCTGCTGTCGTTGCCGCATATGTCATTGTTGGAGGATTACGGGCAACCTTTATCGCCGACTATACCCACACGGTTATTCTGTTCGTCGCGATCTTGGTATTTGGCTTCTCAGTATCCGCGACGAGTGATCTGATCGGCAGCCCGGGCAAGCTGTATGACTTACTGCAGGAGGCATCGGAAAACATGCCCATCGATCGAAACACAGACGGATCTTATCTCGCATTCCGCTCTGTCGGCGGCCTCATATTCGCCGTGGACATCTTTGTCTCCGGTTTCAGCACCGTCTGGCTCGACCAAGCCTACTGGCAACGAGCGATTGCCTCGCGCCCCGAATCCTCCGTGAAAGCATACATCCTGGGCGGGATCGCATGGTACGGTGAGTATCACCTCATCCATCATCACCACCTCCAGCTAACATACAACCAGGCATCCCGTTCGGTTTCGCCACAGCAATGGGGCTAGGCTGCGCAGCCCTAACCAACAACCCATCGTTCCCGACATACCCCAATCCCCTCTCAGCCGAGCAAGTCGACGCCGGCCTTTCAGCCCCCGCCGCCGCAATCGCCCTACTCGGGAAAGGTGGCGCCGTCCTCATGCTCATCCTTCTCTTCATGGCCGTGACCAGCTCCACCTCTGCCGAACTCATCGCCGTCTCCAGCTTACTCACCTTCGATGTCTACAAGACCTATATCCGTCCCGACACTGACTCGGCCACCCTCGTCCGCGTCAGCCACTGGGGCATCGTCATCTACGCCCTCATCCTCGCCGCCTTCTGCTGCATTCTCAACGCCGCCGGAGTCAGCCTGACGTGGCTATTAACCGTCCTAGGCGTCATCGTCGGTGGAGCCGCCATTCCCGTGGGTCTCATCCTCCTCTGGGACCGCATGTCCACCGTCGCCGCCATCGCCGCACCCTGGATCGGATTCCTCCTCGGGGTCATCGTATGGTTCGTGACATCCTGGAAACGCTCAGGAGGAATCACCGTCGCAACGACAGGCGATGCAACCAACGCCGTAGCTGGGAACCTCGCCTCGTTTGGAATTGGCACCATCTCCGCCATCCTACTAAGTCTCCTCTTCCCGAGAAAGCACCCATCCAGACAAACATCCAACACCGAACGCCCACCCAGCATAACCGGCATTCCCATCACAAAAACCCCCACAAAAGACGCACCAACCAACAACGAAAAAGAACCCATCTCCTCAACCAACCCCACACAACCTCCTCCTCCTCCAGATCCCTCGCACCCGGAGAACGAAATAACATCCCCCCTCGAAACCGACACCATCGAACCCATGGACCCCGTTCAAGTCCACCAGGCAGAACGAATCGCCTGGACGGCGAATCTCATTTTCATTGCGATAGCGGTGATTCTCGTTCCGTTTACGTTGTTCGGGACGCGGTATGTATACACCAAGGAGTTTTTTACGGGGTGGGTGGTGGTTTCGTTGATTTGGGTTTGGGTCAGTGTGGGGGTTTGTGTGGTTTATCCGGTGGTGAGTATACAATCCTGGATTTAGAGAGGGGAGGTTACTGATGATGAGATAGGTCGAGAGTGCGGGTGCTTTGAATGAAATATGGCGGGGGGCGTGGAGGGACATTTGTGGGGGTGGGAGGAGTGAGGGGAAGGATGAAGGGGGAGAAAGGGGAGAGGTGGTTTGATAAGGATGTTGTCTTGGAATGCTAAATATAGACGATCCTGTATTGATCGGTTAGGACGCGCATAGGGTGATGGATAAAGCGTGTGACTTGGCCTGTTTATAGTGAAAGATGAGGCGGTCTTGGACATATCGTGTTTCTTTCTCGTTTACACAAAGACTGTTCCATGATGGCACTCACGAAGGTCAGAACAGGCCATACCGTTTGCTTGCGGTAATATGTGGCACGCTGCAATTGTCAACTGCCTACAGCACATAGCTGTGCGGTTAGCCGAGGATGGATCTAAGGATTCCGATAGGGAGGAATGTTAAATATAATTTATTCTGTCACTTAACAGAGGATCTAGAAACGTGACCCAAATGACATACATCTAAACCACAAGAGCAAGCTAAGAGAGGGTAGCTCGACCCCGAGATACTAAAGACAACGAGCAGGGCCTTCCTCTTGAGTGTGGATTTCCTTCGGAGAGGGAATGATATCTGCACTTGGCGTGGAGAATCTCGAGTACATTCACTCTGACAGGACCGGCTCACGGGATGGCTGCAGAACTTGTGACAGATGGCGATAGTGGGAGGGTGCCATTATGTATTCTTGTTCCTTTTGCAACAGTGTTGGAGGTCGGTTCCTACGAGACGGTGCACCGGGCTAGACAAAGAAATCCCGCGCTATTCCAAAAAAAAAAAAGAAAGAAAGAAAAGAAAAGAAAAGAAAAGAAAAGAAAAGAAAAGAAAAGAAAAGAAAAGAAAAGAAAAGAAAAAAGAAATTGTCGCAATTTCTTGCGAGGCAAAGACATTGGCTGTTAGGAGGTGGTGGAAGCCGCTGGTCGCCCGTTGTCCCTTCGCTGGTAAGACCCTTGTTGCAACCAGCATCAGGTCCCTCGGTCGCGGCAGCGATGTCATCTTCGAAGTAGCAGTTCCCAGTGATGCTACCGTCGCCACCACCCTAATCCCGTCGTATGATAACTGCCAGTTGTGTCGAACCGGGTTTTGTCTGCTGCGTTTCGGGTATCGGATATGGTGGAAGTGCTGGAGGCATTGAGCCACAAGGCTTCATCAAGTTCACCGGTGAGCATGGAGAGACAGCCATGGATGTGCCGACCTTGGCTTTTGGAGGAGATCAGTTGCGGTCAGAGGGTGGGGGGCACCTGCCATCGTCAGGGGGGTAGTCGAGCAATATGATGAACAAGTCTGAGCCATAACACTCACCGAAGCGAAGGCACTGCGGCATGAGTCCCTGGTCCGTGTGAGTTGAAGGTTTGATTGAAGGGTTGATTGAGGCTTGGCCCATGAAGTTAAATGGTTCTCGTGGGGGCGTCCCCTGTGACGTCGCCTGGGAGTTGTGGGAGGGGGGTCTCACGAAAATCATTGCAGCGTACAAGAGTCGTGCTGCATAAGAAGGCTGGCCATGCAAACGCTGTAGCGTCCGGCCTCGATCAGCGTCCGCTCCTACGCCGACGGACCAGACGTAACATGGCAACGCCTCTGTGTCCTGCGTGGCTGCTGTGAGTGACTGAGGGTCTCATGCACCCCCATTCCATGCAATCGCATTTGTTGAGGCTGGCCCTTGTGGGAGGCCTAGTTCCGTGGCCATTGCGGAGTAACCCGACACAACACATCCAGCTGAGCCTTCCGACAAGGGTTGAGCTAATAGGTACAACGCTGCGTGTCATACAAGGTCCCGACACTCCCAGAGGCGCGCAGCAAACAGAACCAACCGGGTTTTACCACCAGACATGAGACCTCAGTCTGTGTTGATGCAGCAGACATTCGGATGTCGTACTAGACTGTAGCTCAATGGTCTACCAGGGAGCTGATCCAACCGGGCGTTTTCCTGGTGGCACCAAGGCACGGCCCGAGGCTTACGCTCACCCTCGAGGCTACCATCCAGTATCACTCTCCAGCCTGTTGTACGGAGTACTATGTAGTACGGGTACTCCAGCGCGATTTTTCAGAGGCTGCTCGGTCGTCCCATTGACTGCAGCCACCGGGGGCTTCGCGGCAGTTTGCATCCACCCCCCACAGTGCAGAGTGCTGGACACTACCTAGATAGTAGTACCACGGTACTACTAGGAGGGTCCGTCAAACGGCCATCCCTCAGTTCGATCGCATCCTGCCGGTCCTCCGTCGGCACGTCAAGGAGGTCGTCCGTTGTAGTTACTGTTGAGGCGCCTGATTGGTCGGTAGGCGAGGATCACGTGCTCTGGTCACGTTGCCCACCATCACCACCATGCAAGCTGAATATTGATCGCCATCGACTGGGGAGATCATGGATCTCTGTAGATAAATTGGCTGCAAGGGCCCTCTGCGGACAGGCGAGACTGACCATTGCCTGTGCGTGGCATCTAGCACTAAATGGTAAGCCGCGGGACTACGTAAACCCGTATACTGACACCCCTCCCAGAACCAAGGGCCTGAACACAATCGGGTGCATCCGCATCCCTTCTGCCAAAGGGCCCAGCCCAGTGTACTCAACAAAAGTAGTCACTCATAAATGATGCATTTCACACTCACGCTCGGTTAACCGAGCTTATCTCCCAGATGTCCGGCGGGCAAGCTCACTCACGTTCTACCACGTGGGAGGTCACGTAAGGTTCTATCTTGTTGTGGTGGAGTCTTGCTCATTATGGCGCCTTGGAATATACAGGACCGGAGATTGAAGGAGCATGCAGTTCATCTCATACGAAATCACACTTCAGAAGACTTCCTCCACGTACCGGTCTCCTAGCCTCTCCTTCGGGTCTTCCCCGACAATCTCCCTGAGCTTGGCCCGAACTCCCTCCGTCATACTGGCACTTCCACATACATAGACATACCCCTCCTCCTCGACCAGTTTCGCCCGGATCTCATCGCGCTTGAGCCAGAGGAAGTCCTGAACTCTCTTCTTCTCCTTGTTACTGGGTACAAGGCACGATATGTCCAACACGCGGTGTGTCTCCGCCAGGGACGTTGTTGAACGGATAATATCCCCATCAATCGGTCGGAAGCCGGCAAATAGACTGATCGGAGACTTTTCGAACGGATGTGGCTTGCTGCTCTGCGTCGCTGACGTCTCTGCGATGTGGATGCGGTGTTGGAGGAGACTGCGGGCGGGTGCGAATCCGGAGCCGGTGGTGATAACAATGATCGGATTTTGCACACCTGGGAGTCCCGCAGCAGGGGCAGTGGGAACGAGAGAGTATCTGACCTTGTCGCCGGGTTGGACAGTGGCCAAATAGGTCTCACTGAAACGGCCTTGGCGGTGTGGTTTGATCAGGAGGTCGACTTTATTCGTCCCGACGTATTGAGAGGACGCAACAGAGAATGCTCGTGGTCGGAGCAGGGGCAGGTCGAGACAAATCGAGAGGCGGAGGACGTCGGAGAGTTGGGAAGGGTTGGCCACTGCTGCGAGTCGCTCCAGTGTTTCGAGGACAGTCTCGTCCTGTCGGCTTAGCTGAGTGGTCCAGCTTTGGGTCTTGAAACGATCCTCCAAGTCCACGAAACAGGTGAAGAACTCTTGGTAAGAGCACTGTTGCAGCTTCTCATCGCAAAACGGCACCGACTCTTGTGCATCCTCGATCCCCAAGGCGGCTAGTGCTCGAGCTACCTGTGACGAGGAATTGGTGGGTAAAAGCCGCAAGTGTTGCATCTCGGCATATTCGATGCCGTCAAGCGCCACAACAATGAGCCCTTCATTCTCTGCGGTTGTTGGTGATGACTTGGATATAAGAGTAGCGGCGTTGAACTGGCGTAGCATGACAGCATGCGCCATGAAGTCTTCCTCGGGATTCTCCCTCAACTCGCCAACTCCTCCCGTCAAAGAAGACTCGACCGCGTCCAACCAACGATTAAACAGACGCAATGGCAATGCCTCGGACGCTACGTCCGCCTTGATCAGGCCCCCAGCTATTGGCAAGATACCAAATTGCCTGAAGAAGTTGTACACGCCAATCGCCGCGGCGTTGAACCTTGGATAGGCGCTATCTCCTACGCCAAAGATGGAAACTCTCAGCCCCGAGAAATCAGCCGCCATGGTGTGGAGCATCTGGTCCATTGATCTCGCAAATTCATCACCGTTGGACGGGAAGGCACCGCTGCCAGTTGTCGCCGCTACCACAAGTATGACGTCCGACGGACCAACTTGATGCAGATCCAATGCATTCAACGACGTAAAACTAACATGGGACGTCTTCGCACATTTTTTCTTCACGCTGCGGTGCAATTTGTCGGCCAGAACGCGGGCTGTTGTCCCCTTGCTGCAATAACAGATGTGCACGGTGTTGGTCATTGCCTCTGGTAGTCGTTCATTCGCTGGATTGACATGGCGTTCGGACCAGCTTATTGGAAACGCACTCAAGATCTCTGTTGCCTGTACCGGGCCGACCCATCGATTAGCTGAATGAAGCAGGTCCCAGATTCTGGTCTTACCCAGCGATTCTCTCTGATCACAAGACGAACGGGCTCCGCGTCGGTGGCACTCTTCCGGCGTTGCCAGCACTTGACAGGATCGTAGCGATTCCGACAGATCATCGGTTTTGGTTGGTAATTTGGCGCACCCCCTCGGTGCCACACTGGAACGATGGACCCCTGGGGAGGGGAGATCCAGTAGGGGTCCGAATTTAGCCGGTAACCGTTTTTTGCAGCATGATCGTCGTCGTATTGGCACCAGTCCGATGATGCCGCGAGAGTTCCAACGCAAGTGACACCCTTCTTGAGGAACGACCACCGCACCGCGTAGTTTAGTTCTGCCTGGGCCCGGCTGAGCCAACGAAGCTGTTCATAATCGGGGAGATCCTCCATGGCTCGGACTTCGGAATATTCCTGCTTTTGGCGATACGAATCGATGTCGAACCCGATCGCCTTGGCCACGTCTGGCAAGGAGTCGTATCGAAACGTGTCGGCAAGGTTCCGCACGCCGATCTCTGCATCCATGTACCTGAGTGGTATGTCAGACCAAACTCCACCATGCGAGGGGGGAAAGGACTACCATCCCAAGAAGGGGGCAGCAGTGTACTGAACCCCTCCGATATCAAACCCCAGCCTGCTTAGAGCCGGAAACTGGTACCACTTGAGATTCAGCTTGCCAAAGCCTGGGTAGTCGGGATGCTCGATATCTATCAATCTGCGTAGCTTATCAGGGAGCTCCACCATTGCCGGGGCATCGTCCTCTGCCATCGCCACGACCGGGAGTAAATCCCACCGGGTCCTCGGGCTGGGAGGTGTCCAACCCAGGTCGATGATATCCTTGGTCAGCTGGACATTGCTCGGATCACCGAGGATTGAGCCATCATCGAGTTCATACTGTGTGCCGGTGGTTAGGTCTACCTGGGGTGGAAGATTCAGGGGACAAACGTACGGCAGCAAAGTTTAGTATCTGCTTGTTCCAGAACATGGGGCCATCACCATCCACGGATTTGGGCGGGAAGACAAACACTGCAAGAATCGCCTCAATCAGGGCCATCGTCCGATTCGGGTGAGTGGTGCCTACCTGTGGGCCTTATCTGACCGTCATTGAAGGACTTGGTGATCTCCTCGAGAAGTGCCGTGGCCATTCCAACGCTGGTTTGCACGTGTCGAAGATCGCACAACTCCAGCTCCTGGTACCGGGAGCGCATGATGCACTTGCGGGAATTCCGCCACGCCAGGCGCAGCCCATATTGGAGTTCCTCGAAGGTTTGCGTCCAGGTCGACGTTTTGCCAACTCTTTTGACCCCCTGGTTCCAGACGATTTTGTCCTTGGCCGACCGATCGATATCGGCCATGACTTGTGCCCGCCTTTCAGTGTAGTGGTCCTCCGTGTAGATTCCATCCTGCCAAAGCTGCCACAGGAATGCCGACGCCTCGTTCTGCACGATTTCGAGGGGACTGTTGTCTCCGATTTTTGGTTCATCGGTGTGGACCAGGCGCCCGGCTTGACAAAACTTGTCTGTGCAGCCGGTGGGGGCCAGGATTGGGTTCCTCTCGAGGATCTTCTCGTACTCGGCCAATGGACACCGTGATGACGGCACTGACTCTGCGTTAGGGCTGATCATGTTTGAAGGCATGTCGACTGTTCGGCCTGTTACACTGGTTCTGGGGTAGATCGCTGAGCCGCAGGGGAGTGAAGGAAGAATGAAGACACTGTGGCAGTCGAGCTTTTAAACCCATCTCTTCTCCCGACCGATGAGCACTTTATAGCAGTGAATTCACAGCACCGGCGGCCTGAACCCGCCAATTCACCTGGGAGCCAATTGTCCCTTTCCCATTAGTGACGGGACTTGCCATTGAAACTGGCTTACCTGGCCCGATTTCATGTTGGACCTGACCATTCTCAACCAGGTTTAGCGGCGGTCCCTATCCGTGAATGGGATGCACTTGACCGGACGGGCTGATCCTTCACTGCCATGGTAAGCAATGACAGTCGAGATTCCCGACCCAGTCACTAAGAAGTGAGCCTGGATCCTTCCGCGCTGCTGGCGTTGAGCCCATTCAGTCAGTTCAGCCTCCCCACTGGGCCAGGTATTTTACCGGGCCGTTGTTGCTTGTTGGCTGTCAGGCCCCCACAATGGTCTGATCCTGTGGCATCCGGCTTTCCTATCCCGGACTTTGTGAAGGGGACATCACTCTGGACCCCACAGAGGATAAGCACTAGCCGCGCGCTTGGAACCGCTGAGGGTAAATCAATAACCAACACCAACACCAACACCAACACCGACAACCTCGTCTCCTCACACGCCTTTGCTCCTTGTGCAGGGATGATTGGCTGAAATGGGTCGACTGAGGTCTTTGATCATGGCAGTGAGAAGATGGAGAGCTTTGCTTGCTTTGCACTTCAAGGTGATAACACAATTCAGCCCGATCAAATACTAGTGCCAACTAAGTTAAATGTCATCTTCCTCTTGGTTCTCCTGTTGGAGGCCTTATAATGAGTCCATCTCATGGAGCACAGTCCAGCGGTCAACCCCTGCAGCAGGGTCCTTTGATCTCTATATTTAGATCATGATGCCGCTCTCTTGGCTACACCCAGATATCTTCTGTAATAGCAACGTTGGCCTGACCAGGAAAGCGTCTCATTGATCATGATTCCTAAGGCTGGTGATCATGTCCGTGTGTTTTTCTTCATGAAGCTCACTGAATCCAACGTGATTGGACTGGTTGAGACTATGTCATCATCTTCTAGTGCGCTCCATGTATCTACGCACGTCCTTATGTGTTGGCCTCTTGTATCCGTCTCCTCCACTCCTCCTCGCCACACCCGAGCTCTATCAGAACCTGACTCAGGCGCTGGTCGAACCTCTGGACATATCGCAGGTTGAGTATGTTGCAATATGACCCTCACACTCAATAAATCAACATGCTCCCCCGATATGTCTTGCTACTGGCCCAGGAATCCCCCTATCCATCGGCCCTGGTCCCTACACACAGAGTGCAGCTGGACGGTGCCAATTGTATATTACTTCCGACCCATACAGCTTACCCCGATAACCCAAGGAGCAACTAACATTCAACGAGGGAGAGGTGCAGAGTTTATCCCCTATACAGACATTCTCCGTCAGCTGTTCGTCTCCCAAGTCAAGTATAGCCCGTTGGTCTGGGCTGGAAACCGCAAGTAGCCGGCCAAAACCTCTCGCGCGATACGCCTCCGTTACTTCCTCGGGCTGGGATTTGCTCCTGAGCTATCAGCCCCAGGAAGCGGGTCACTCAGATGGCACCTTGGGTCTAGTGCAGATGCTGCATGAGCGGAACGATATGACACGGGGTGGCTGGCTGCACAGAAGGCGACGACTTCCTCGTGGGCTTCGGCGCGCTTGGTGATATCGAAGACCACAGTTGTCCCAGCGAGTAAGTGGCCAGGGCAAAGGGCCTTTGGCAGGACCCGTGTCACGGGCTCGAAGGAGGAGGTGGCCATGTCGGCGATGCTACTGAAGGGTTGACGACCGTCAGGGGATACAGCGGGCGATCAGCCGCGGTGGGCGCCAGCAGGAGGAAGTTCCTCTCTTAGCTCCGCGCCGATCCGACCGTCGAGTTTTTACATTCTACTGCTCCGCCCAAGTACTCCTTCCTCGCATTCAAGATACCCCAGTCATCAGCTCTACGGCTGCAATTTCGAACAAGTGTTTATATCGGGTGGATTGGCTGTTCCGGCAGCAGGATCGTTTGGAGGCCACATTCGGGGTAGGTGATCTAGCCACGTTTGCATACGCCCGGGACGACTTGGAATTTCTCGGGGCTCGAAGGTCATACTTTGTATGCCGTTCCAGCATCGCTCTCACATGGGGATGTGACTCACGTGTAGCCGCGCGTCCGATCTGACCTTGCGTGATCAGCCTTCTAGCAGCATGCAGGCCTTGACAGGTTCCTTGTGTTGTATGGGCGGTCCAGGCGGACAGGGAGAGATTAATTGGCTTAGAACCCGCATGTATCAAGGTCTCAGGCCCGCCTTAGATAGTACACCCCCTGGCTAGTAAGTAAATCGAATCACTATCGACTAGTATCTCCCTGACCATCCGCTTTAACCTTGAAGATGAACTGGTGCACCCTACCATCCACCCTCCAGCATGCACCATTTCTCTCACACCTGGCTCTTATACACCTGCTTATACCTGTCGCCTGAATCTGTATTCCGTGGATCGTGACGCTGCACAACCAATAAGCACGTCATTGATGATTCGTACTGCACGTAATCTGATAGATGTATCCTCAACCCAATAGGCCCTACACAGACGCTCCAGAGACGTGGATAGTGATGGTGGAAGTAGCATGATTAACATCTCCGAGCCGAGGGTCTGTACCAGATGCAGATAAACATGAAGAACCACAACAGAAAATACCCATACCATCTATCACGGCTACAATGAACGAAGTTGAAACTACACAATAGATGAAAGAAAATAAAACTTCCACTGCATTCCATTCGTACGGGCACGTAAATATCGATTATCCATCCTTTCTCACCTTGGAATTACTATTGCTACAAGAACAGGACTAGATCAAGAAAATCACAATATTATATTAAGCAACTACCTAACGCGAACCCAGTGAACGGTGTTCGGGATCTATCTAGCCCATATACCTATCACATTCAACGACTAATCCAATAAGATGTCTGATCTACCAATCAGCACCTCGTACTCATCCTGAATCTAGACGCATCTTATACCCTGAGATATAGGACCACGTTCCCAGACGAAGCTCTAGTTGCTGGACCCAGAATCCGACCCATCAGTACCGCCGATCGCGACACACTATCATCATCGTAATCAGTTATTATTCCCCAAGCCGGAATAAATCCCAATAGAGAATCTCAATGCAAAACTCACAGTCGAATCCTTCCCCGGACAACAAGCGATGATATTCTGACACACCGGACCGTCAGGGGTATCTTTGACCAGGGCTATATCCCATTAGCATTCCCTCTCTCCCTCTCAGATAGCCCCATTCGAGCTAGAATGAATGGAGCTAAGACGGCAAGGTATACATACACAGCAGCCCCAACTCATCAATAAGATTCGTCGACGCACACGCCGACCCCTCATCATTCACCAGGCCGCTAATCACGCCCCATCCGAGGAGGCCATTCAACACGCCGTCGGTCTTGACGCTGTTGGACGGGTTGCAGCAGGAGATGTTCCCGACGTCGCATTTTCCGGCCGCGGCGTCTTTTAGGGCCGGCGAGTCGGAGAGGGTGGTTGCGGTGGCGGTGGCGGCCGCGAGGGCGAGGGTGAGGATGGTGAATTGCATTTTGGGGGTTGCTTGTTGGTTGGATGGTTTGGATGAGATGAGATGATGAGTGAATGGATGGGGATGGGGATGGAGTTGGGAGTGGTGATGTGTGCCCTTTTATAACTTCAAATGGAGCTCAGTTGTGCTTCTTGATTAACAAGGGTCTTGGGAAAGAGGATAGGACGATCCAACAATGCAACGTTCCTGAAGATGCGATGGATTTGCTTCTTCAGGAAACGATACCCTCATTCGATTCTATCTAAGAGTATGGGCTGGGCGCTGGGTGTTACCCCTGGAGAAGGGCAAAGTGGAACAGGTGGCTTCAGTAAGTCCGGAACCTGAACAGGAACTGGTTCAGTGTGAAGATCTTAGGAACGTAGGAGTGCTGGAATTCAGGTGGAAAATGGGACAAGGGCTTGAATCATCGAGTGGCCTGGATGTCAGCCGCAAACGGCATCTGTCTTGGTGGTGTAGTGCCATTCCCTCTCCTTCGGGGACAGTCCTCGAGGGATTCAGGAGATGTGGAGTAGTGGGCTTAGGTTGGAAGGGGGGGTGCTCAGGCATGGAAAGCAGGTGTCTTGAATGTAACCGGACATTGCAAGAGTAGTTAGACGGAGAGATGTAGGATTGGAGGTCCATTCCGGTAATGGGATGGCTATGTATGGTTGTTGTCAGGAGAATGGATGAACGATTGGTTTCGTAGACGCAGCGAAGTGTAGTAGTCAAGTAATCGGTTTTATTTTGGGTCAGTATGGGAACAGAAGGTCAGAAGCAGGGGAAAAACCCCCCCATTAGGTGCCGTAAGATGCACACGGCTGGCCAGTGGGTAACGAATACCCCATGGTAGGCATAGGGGCAAAGGCTCAGTAGGGATCATACAAGGGCACATTGTTGCCTACACTTAAACCTAGCTAAGATTGCACAATACCTTCAAGGAAAAAGTACGCAATGTGCGGAGTACACAATGCACTTGAGCCTGTCCACAGAAGCTAAGAAGGACGGGTATGGGGCGTAAACTCAAATGGCAGTTAGGGCACGCATGGACGGCGACATGACGGGGATGGATCTATCGGCGACATCGGCAAGGGCGTCACCAGCCCAATAAATGTAGTATTAGGCATGCTTCTGACCTGCAGGCCATCAAGGGAGAAGCCAACAGTTGTAAGCCCTAAGTCGCAGACAATGGACCAACCCAGGCCTTACCCTTTTGGACAGGACGCCTGACGGATCCAATCAGGGAGCTGCTGATTGGGGGGATACATCAGCCGGCTAGCAGCAGCCAATCAGAGCCGCAGACACACCTCGGTTATAGAGTTTCCCGCATTGTTCACATATTCCTTCCCCAAAACCCTATATTCAACCCTCCCATGTACTGCTCCAGGGCGACAAAACATCTAGCAGAGAAAATGAAGAGAAATCGGTGATTAAGAAAACTTAGTAGCATACAGGTTGAGGTCGAAATAAGTTTGTTACACTGCTGTCCGATCGTGTGGGGTGCCGATCTCGTCCCGGTGTGACAGTGACACATTCCATCTCCGCCAGGGGTGGATCCGGCCGTGCGCCGTGCGCCGTACACGCTGTGTAACCTGCATTTTTCAGAACCGGGAACGTACGGTAAATTACATGTCGCTCCAATGTACAGAGTACTTCGACTAATTAGATATAGAACATCGTGTCTTTGACGTTTTCGTGCAACGACAATTCCAACGGGTATGTATCTCCTCGGGATGGCTGACACAGCATCTCCTCCACATAGAACCGGGCGCGGAAGCACGCCAGGTCCGCGTAGACCACCGGGGGGCAGACGCTGGACGCTCTCATCGCTCGACCCGAGATGTAGCAGATGTTGTGGGTCAAGGCCTGGATGGCATTGGCCGGGTTGGGGTGCGCCTTGGACTGCGGAGGCTGGAAGATCTCATCGAGTAACACCACGTAATGACCAGGGCGAGCGATGCCCCGACTCGCCGTGTGGGACTGCAAGTAAAAGTCCCAGACCTTGCTGCTGTTGGCAGGACCTTGATCCACGACCGTGCCATTAGGAGGATTGGTATGTTGAGGACCGCCATGTCGCTGCCCTGGCCGAGGAGCTGTGAAGAACCGGGTATGATGTCGCTTGCCCACGACCACGATGGAAATCCGAGGCTCGGGTTGACCCATACTACCGTAGAGATCATTGCATGCTTCGCGCAGCCGAGGGAGCTCCACACTGAGGACGCTTCCATATTGAGTATCCGAAACCCCGTCTCGGTAGATGAGGATGTTTTCGGGAAGTTGTCCCCGGTTAAACCTGCGCCACACGTGCAACCTGGACGTGAGTAATGCGTCAATCTGGGTGACTAGCTCCTGGCGAGCGGGTTGGATACACAGCTCCGCCGGCCATTGCGCCAGAAAGCGGTCCACTGAGGCTACCATGGCCGCTACGCTGGGAGCCCGTGCAGGAAGGCTTCCGGATGTCGGATGCGTCACGTCCACTCCAACGACCATGGTCTTCCCGTTTCCTATGATGCCGAGGCTGTGGTCAGGCAACGTCTGGTTGATACCCCCCAGCTTCAGATTGAGCTTAAGGGCCACATTGGACAGGAACTGGTCATTGGAACGAAGAAATTTATCTTCAATGACGCAGACGTTCCGAATGCCTCTTTTGACGTCACAGAGATATTTGATTCGGCTATAGAGCCTCTCGGCCGCTTGCGGAAGGATGATCAGAAGAAATGATAACGATGCACCATCGATACTGTCAAGAGCATGAGCTAGACTGTCAGGGACACCTTCCATGGTTACAGAGCTATCCGTTAGAGATACTTTCATACCCGGCCGACGAGCATCGGGGATATTGATCCCAAGCATCTTCATACGGGTGCAAAATTTCTGGATAGCTTCCTCTATGCGGTATTTGTCCGGACGCGGTTGATGCGACTGACGGCCCATGGAAACCCACAAGTATGTCCACCGGGAAATACATGTGCTCTTTGCGAACCTCATCCCACGCAAGTTCCATCCGCCTCCTTGGACGGCAGCTTGTCGTCCTTGGCGATACTCGATAGAAGGGGGGTCCAGAACGCGGCCGGATACTTTTGCCATACCTGGAACAAGGGTAACACCAAAGGAGGTCTATTAATTCCCAAAGACAGGACTATCATCAGCGCTAGTCATTCGTATGAGATTTGAATACTTACCAAAGTCGCCCCGCCAGTCCTGGAGAGACCCAAGACGCTTGACAGCTCAGTCTCCATCGAGGCAAATCGGGAAGCGGGCGTGGCTTTTGGCCGTCGACGGTCTGGGCCACCGCGAGTGCCCTGTTGAAACTGAGCGGCACCGATGGCTGCAGGTACGGACTGACCCGGGAGCACCCGACAAACCTGAGCAGGCAGATACGAAGGATTCGCAACGGTTCCGACATTGACTACCGGGAGCCAAGAATCATCGATGGCGATGTTGTAGACTGGTTTAGCACCGATGTCATCAGTTCAAATTCCACGAATTCCAAGTCCTTAAATCCGGGTCCTTACCTGACTGGAAGTACTCCATGATGGTAACATATCCTTCTGACAAGGGCCGCTTTCTCTTCCGGCTTCCCAGAACAATCCCACTGTCAACCTCGTGGGCCGGAGACCGCGGCTCGCGGAAGAACTGGACATCTCTGGCCCCAGCCCCGAGCCACGGTATTCTGGGTGGGAATACCAGCCCATTCCCATCTCCGGGGGCGGCCAAACCACAGATCGTTTTGACCCGTGGGACAAAACTGCCTGCGCGTTTCCTCATGCCAAGGTGCGTCACTTGAACGCGGAGATTATGAACCAGTCCCGCGATTTTGTGCATGTCGGAGCCATTCTGACGCATGTACGCCAGGATGAGTCTGTCGAGAGGAACGTCGTCGTAACAGATTGCGATCTTGGGGGCTGCATTGACGAACAGTCGCCCTTGTGCCTCACGGGCAACGAGAAAGAGTCCGCGCAGCATATGTAACCCGGATCCCAGGCTCATGCGTGAGTCGAGGTCAAGGTAGGTTCCTGCCCCGGAGACTTTGATATCGGGCGAGAACTTGGGTTGATGTCCCAGGATGATGTTCAAGGCATGGATATGTGCCTCTGTTAGAGGATGATGTCGATTTTCAGCGGGTTCTTTTAGCAGCTGGTATATCTGAGAGAATTGCAGGACGCCCGCTGGCACCACCATGACTTGGTAGCAATGCTGCTGGTAGTCAACAAGATAAGGGGCGTCATGGAGAGGTAACTCGCAACGTGTGATCAGGTTCTTGTATCCGTCAGAGGCAATACCCCTCTGGTATACAGCAAGTTCGGTCCTCAATAGACGGAGGATGACCTGGGTCGCTACTTGTCTGCCCACAATCTCAAGGGTATCTTGGTTTGCATGCGTGATGCGCACTTCATACCAGTACAGAAGTAAGTCCGGATGAAACTTCAGCTCAAAGTAATTCGTGTGCAGGCTGATATGGCGACCCAGAGTGCCGTTGCCGGGTCGCTGACATGTTCTCATGCGTTGAAGGTCACTCATCCTGTCCATGTCAATGACAATTTGGGAAGGCACAGTGAAACTTCATCTTCTGCAGTCTTCGGAAGCAAAGGAGGGGCGATATGACAGTCACCCCAGATCGATCGGAGGCCCAGTGTTGGCTGCCTCCCATGCTTGGAGTTCGGGGCCTGTCACAAGCGTGTTGGGCAATTGCTTCTCCCAAGCATGGGGTATTCCCTTAATGGCATGCTAGGAGACGGCCTCTGCTGTGATCGATACAAGATTCAGTAATGATGGTAATACTAATGAGAAACGATACCGGTCGGGTTTGAAAGATTACCGCGTCCGAGCAAACCCCGACTGGTATGCAAGGCGTGGGGTGTGGCGGCGGCGGCGCATACGCCACATTGAAGCAGCCCTAATCGATTCTTTGTTCACCGACTGCAGGTCATTCCACAATTGAGACACAAATTTCGTATCAAAATTTCCAAGGGAGATACCTCTACAGACTACAGAGGTTGCTTTTTCGTCTCGGACGATAAATCTGGCTATGTTCATCGCCTCTTGATCCCAGACCTACTGCTTTCACCTCCATCTTAACATGCTACGACGGGCGATCGACTGACCTGCACACAGCTACAGTCACGTTCCTTATCCTTGATCCCAGGGGATAAACTTAATTTGATGCTGACCTGTCCAGAACATCGGGCTTTGAATCATTTGCCCCTGAGGCCTGAGGTCAGTGCACAATGTCCTGACATTCTGGTTGCGGCAGGAAACCTATCTGCTTGCGCTGTCATGTTAACAAGGTTTCTTCGCTATGCTTGGCATCCCTCTAGGTGATGTGAGGGTTTTTGGGCTGCATTAGGGCAAACAATGCCGAAATGTCGTTCAGAGGATACTGCTATGAAACCAGCCCCTTCTATTGTTGACTTTTTGCTGGGGGCATAATGGGGTGGAGGGAGGACAGGTAGACTTTGCTGCGCCCAATCTGTCTCTGTCCCTCATTTTCTTTCTTTCGTTTTTCTTTTTCCTAGTCCTTCACATGAAAGGAGGAATATTGGACAGCTACCACACGCAACTCCTCCCGACCGTAGCAATATGCCATAGTTTAACATGTGTACCAAAGGAACAATTGATAGCTCAACACGTATCTGCAGGATTAAAACAGTCTGCCTTTCCGTACCACATATGTAGATGCACTGTTCATTAAGCAGGTATAACACTTGCTAAAATGATCTTGCTGTCTCAACTATACATTAATGCATCCCGATCGCTTTGCATGATCCCTGTTTTTGCCGCTTTCGGTAACTCGTGTAGCTCCAATATCTGATACCTGGGTTTTCACACATGTATCTCCACGATATCAGTCATCACCACGTTCGTAGATATGACGACTTGATAGGGGTCATAATATCAAATACTACATGTGGTTGAGCTACCGCCCATACAATGTGACGCTTTGGATGACGGCAATGAGAAGTGGTCTTGTTGGCTGTATAGCTCCAGTGCTCTTTGGTTTCTCGTCTCCTAATCTTCCTCCTTCTTCATCTTTGTAGTTGTAATTGCTACATTGTCGTAAGAATGGTGAATGGTTATTGCTATTATTGCAATCGCGTTGTGATCAATAGGTCGACTGGTTTCCCTGCTGCCATTGCAGTGTTCGTGGGTGCTGTCTCACCCGCTCAGATATACATATCCGCTAGGGTAACCACATCAGCAGACAAGTAACAAAGACAACACCTTAAACCACACCAAATGAAACTCTGAGAACAAATACATCGAGACCATCTAACGGGATTTATATTTATCTAGCCCACCGTATATTTTCTTTTATGTGACGGCGTCGCGGAACATCTTGGACAGAGAAATAAGATCATGATGAATCAACCACTATCTCGATGATGATAATAGTATTAGCACTGGTTTATTATTAATCTTGATCTCTGTTCAATATATATGTCATGATCCATGATCTACAAAACCATAGAAGGTCGCGTGTCGTGCATAAACTCCTGCAGCCTAGCCACTTCATTAATTCAAAACTCTATACCATGTTACAGTAGACTTAAGTGCATTGAAAAACAAATTACAGAGTTCATAAAATAGACTCGTGATTGTAGTTAGATCCCTGAAAATATAGCGATAGTTGATGCCCTTGAACTAACAAAGCCAAAACAGCCAACTGGCACCCAAACAACTTCTACAATCCTTCCACCAATATCCCCTCCACAGAGCACAGCAAGCCCAGCATCATGAGCTTCACTGTGCTACTGTCTCAAGGATACCACCCAACCCCGACATCATCTTCTCCTGCAGCCCGGCCACAAAGTCACAATGAAGTATACCCGTCTGCTAGACGCAAGCCATGTAGACTTCGCCGTGTCCTTGTGGATGGGAAGAAGAAAAGCGACGGGCTATTGGAGTTAGGCGTTAACCACAACTCGCAGCCCAGGGAAGCTCTGGAGAGGAAAAAAACGGAAGAAGGTCTCAAGGGAAGGATAGTTTATATAGTTGCGGAGATGGTTACAGTGTTGTTCTCGTGAACTGGCTCACCTTGGAGCTAGGAGTGTGCTTTCATCCCCTGGGAGAATGTAGTACGTGTTCGTGGCTAGCGCATGATCGATCAAGGTATATCTCAAGGGCCATACAGGAATTTCAAGGGAGGGAATGGAGGATACTGAGTTCAGGAAGCCGCTTGGGCGTTGGTTGGCATCTCAAAGGACGGAGGGAGTGGGAAGTCTTGGCCCCGCCAAGGGGAGTGGCGAGAATCAACCATCGGTAGCAGTCAGGTACCCGAGGACAAAGAATATACCCAGGGATAATTGGCATTCACTTTGCGCTAGGGGCATTCCGGTTACTATTCAATCCCTGCTCAGAAATGACGGAAAGGCAAATAGGGAGATGAGTAGCAGTGTATCATTGTCCGATGCGACCTGTCTGAGTGTCTAACTTGGAAGGGAGACTCAAGTATCCTGGTAGGTCATATCGCTGCTGGATCAATACCGTGCTTATGCTCCACTGTACATTTGGGTTCGGCTTGAGAGCGTCATCGTAACTGTAACTTTTTTACCTGGCTTTCTCCTTGATGAATCGAGGGACGGTTTGCAACCATCCCAAGCGAAATCCTGCATTACGGAAGCAAGCTGTGAAGTAGCATTGTAAGTAACTTAGCTTACTATGAAGTTGCACCCGGTACCTTGATGAAAGCAGATAAACTGTCAATAGCTGATACCCTACCATCCATTGCAAACATAGAGAGTAGATCGCAGATTCCACCGTCGCCATAATACAAGCCCAATGATGACGACGAGAGCTAACATTGTCTTCGGTGATCCATACTTGGAGCAGAATGTACTGATGGCCTTCAACTGTTGGATTGAGCGCAGCTGCTTGCGCCTAGGCATGCGATTACATTCCCACCCGAACACGTAGGCGAATCCTTCTATCCTGGGGCGATCACCCTCACCTACAACTACGTCGAAGGGCACACTTGAGATGATCGCCCAAAGGTGGTATGGGATACTCAAGGGATTGTCTCAGAGCAGAATTCCATCGCTCGCAGTGTCTGTAGACATACGTATATCAAGCACAGATTCGAACACCAAGGAGAGGATTGAGTCTCCACCTCAAGTTATAAAATCTCGTCCACATCCTCTGCTCAATCCCTCCATCATCAAGCATCCACTGCATCTCAAGCATTACTTCCTCTTAACACTCCACTCTTTACAAACACCTCGTTGAACCATCCAACCATACAAAATGAAGTTCACTATCGTTGCTCTCGTTGGCTTCGCCATGACCGCCGCTGCTATTCCCGCAGTGGCACGCACCCAGCAGCAGAAGCTCTCCATCAGCGATGCCAAGGGCCAATGCTCGACCGGGGACATCTACTGCTGCAACCCCAACAACAGCGAGGAGACCGACGGCCTGCTGAACAACGTGGCGAAGAAGGGTCTTCTCATCGATTCTCTCATCGATGGGGAAAACTCTGCCTGCGCCAGCACCGATCTCATCAAGGATCTTGACCTTCTTGGTAGGCCTCGCTTCTTCCCTGTGGGAGTAATGGTTCGAAGCTAATACATTTCTAGCCTTTTTCGAGAAGGGAGACGATGACAAGAGCTACTGCAAGAACACCATTGCTTGCTGCCCTAACGGAAACGTATGTTTGCCCCTTAGGAGGATGAATACCCGCTAATTGGATCTTTCATTCTATATAGTGCGCCGCCATTGATGGTTACTAAGGTGGCTCATCGCCAGTGGCGCTGGCCCTGCCGCCAATGCCGATGTAATAGTACCGGCACGCAGTCGGTCAAGCTTCACGGACTTCCACATCATCCTATCGCTGTTGATGGACTTGGCAAGTTTTCAGACGCCGTGGGCTTGGCTGACAGCTGTACTTTGGATTTTTGGCTTTTAGAGTAGATTAGTTTAGATAATGGAGAAAATGGCATTGTTTTGTCCAGATAGCACTTCCAACCATTCTTTCCTTGCTGCTTTCTGATTGAACATAGGGAACCTCTACGCCAGGTACATTCGGAAGGCCCTTGACTGACTCGTTACTAGGAAATGATTGGCTAGAAGCCTTTAATATGACATGGTTAGTACGTGGCTGGAAAGCAAGGGATGACTAGCGCTGGTGGAACCTGACAGGAACACCCCGGATTGTCTCCTGTCGCCCTGATAAAGTTTGGGTGTTGTGCGACTAACAGCTCCTCATTCCAGGCTGAGTTGCAGAAATACCACCCCGCTTAATTTGTCATTTTATTCCTGTCATGACTCGTGCAAGCAGTCGTCCACAGCCAAACATACACCAGGGAACATGTACTGTATTTGGGTATTGTAATATTACCCCTCGGAGTCACACCACAATCACAGCTGAAGAGATCAAGGGGCCTGGATTTTGTTGTTTTCCTCTTTAGTCTGGTCAGGACATACTGTTTCAGTGGCACGGTGCTATCTTGCACATTTACACAGGAGTTGGCTGGGATCCTTGACCAGCTTCGCATGTACAACTCTTGTTGACAGAAAACGTTGTGCCGTCACTAGCCTTACTGCAGACTCATAGGTGAGGAGCTTAATTCTGGGATGGCAAAAGCGTGGTTTTCTGGTCGATTGCTATATTTATGTTCGAAACTATTGAGGGTTAAAGTGCATACAGAAATCATCTCACGGGATAAACATCACCTGGTATTTACTCGCCGCCTGTATATTCAGGCAGCAGTTCTTTCCGAAGACAGCAGGCATGGCTTACCATCACGTGCTCGTGCCTCGAGTCAGACTCATCGTGGACTAACTGACAATATCCAAGGTGAAGTCTGATCGGTGATTGGAATAGGCTGGGTGTTTAGGACAAAGCTATCTATGGAAGTTGAACTGAAGCTTCCTTGCCCCGAACAGACCAAAGAGTCATGCTTTTGCTTTTCCGACTCGCGATTCCTGGTTGAGGGAACACACAATTTCTTACACCAGTGAAGGAAACATGTCAACCGCAACAAACTGAACCCTAAAATACTAGGCAGCTATACAAGTTCTACGAGTTGATTTAGGTGTTGCGAGGTGTACGAGATCGACGATCTGAACCTCTGACAGGTCTTCTCCCTTCATATTCATCCTTCGCGGCCCACTTAGCCGGCCCCTCTTGCCCACCTCCGCATGGTCCGTGCGGAGTCAAATATAGGGCCTCGCGATGGACGCTAACCCGCTGCCGGTGTGGCGCGATCTCAACACCGTTGGGAGCGCTTGCACCGATCGAGACGACTCCGACGCTAATCCATTGCTAGTGGAAGAACTATTGGTCTGTTCAATTTGGAAATATGATCACTTATCGCCCGTGATTAGGGGAGGCTATGACAAACGCCGTCCGTGATAGGATTTTCAGGCGCCTCCCAGGGTCCAGCTAATAGACCTAATTGGTTTCAGGCCCCACGATAGAAGTCAAGGAGACTCGTACCCGACACCAGTCGTATCCGTCACGTCCGTGGCTACATATTGGTCATAAGGAAGGAATACGACAACATGGTGCCCCACACATTCCTCAATGGCGTTTCGCACGCGCTCATGCTCCTGACAGAGGTCTTCCCGGAGGAGCTGTGCCTCAGCCGCAGAGATAGGCCACCAGTCCGCGTGTTCCATTACGGATAGCACCAGCTCTGGGGGCAAGTGACGATCGAGATTGGCTGCCTGCCGTGCTGCAGCGGCCCACCAGTCATGCTGCTGCGGTGGTACATTGCGAGTCGAGCAGATGCGATAGTGGGGGTCGACCAGCCGGAGCTTGATGAGGGTCAAGTGTCCGGGCTGACTGGAGTCCACCAACCCAAAGGATTCTTGCTTAGACCGATAAGTATTGGGCCAGCTCAGAAGACGGCCCTCCGTGATCGGAACCGACCCGAAGGTGTGCAGTGCACGAGGTGGCCTCTCCTCGAATACCTCCCAGTCATCCACATCGAGCACAGTCGCTAGTGCCTGTGGGACCTTGCACTCGAGTTCACCCGCGTGAACCTTGTCCTCATGCTCGAACGCCATGCGGGCCTGGGTTACATTCTTGGCTTCCACCACATAGAGACTGGTGGCCGCGATATGGTCGTTGCGCAGCCCTTCCGTGTGGTAATGCGCCTCACCGGAATACGTCGGATTGTCCGGCGTTAATTCGATGCGGTTGATTTCCACCACGACCTGGAGACCGTCCTGCCGAAAGGTCTCCTGCAGATGCACGGGAGTATAGTCGTGATGCAGCGGATCCGGAAACTTCTCGAGCCGTTGTGGGCTCAGCGCGCGCCCAGTAAATTGACCCCGCTTCCATTGATCGTAAGTAAATGAGACGCCGGGCTCAGGGTGATCAAACCAGGCTCGCCGGATCCGCTTACACTTGAGAAGGTGGTGCACATCCCTTGGAATGTCCCACTGGTCTGGCATGAGCTCGTCCAACAGGTTGGCTGGCGTTCCGGTCATAGGGTTGGCCTGCTTCCATTTGGGTGGCTCAGGCCCTGTAATGTACTCGCGAGCAGCCTGACGCAGCTCCTGCCACTCTTCGTGGGAATCACACAGTGCATTCCAGCTAAGCATTGGTAGCAAGTCCTGGAATATCTTGTGCCTTTCCATGTAGTTGTGGATCTGACAGCCGTACGTGAGGATGCGTGGAGGATGGCGGCCACGGCTATTGCCGTAGAAGAGGATCTCGTTCCAAGAGGAGATTGAATCGGAGATTAAGCGCTCAAGATGTCTATACAACCCTCGGTGATTGTCTGGATGGAGGTTATTGACGTAGGAGGTGATCTGAACATCCGGAGGGTCATTGGGTGTTTTGGTGGGACTGAACTGGACTTCGCAGGGGAGCCATTGGAAGCGGTTCGACCAACAGCTCTCCGGCCCTCCTCCATACACCGGCATGCGAGCGACAGGGCCCCGGCGCGGTCTGCCGGCTAGATCGAGCGGATGAGGCGGCAGCCTTTCCGCGACCTCCCCGGCTAGGCCCCATAGATCGTCCAGGGAAACCTGTCCGCCGTGGACCAAGACCGGAGAGCGGTCGTAGACTAAAGGAAACAGCGACGGATCCACCAGAGGGTGGTCGTGGCTTGGCTGGGCCCCAAGTCGGGCCATCCCCTCTTGAATTCCCTCCAGGAACCCTGACGCCTCCGCCTGACACACGGCCGAAGAGGAGTCAAACACAAAGAGACGGCCTGTACGCTGCCACGTCTCCGCTTTGTCGCGCAGTTCCGCGAGGCACCAATTCCATACCGCGGGACTGATCAGAAACCCTTCCGATCCTTCCCTGGCGTCTCGATACCACTGCGCGAGTTGGGGTCCATCCCAGTCCAATACCACACGATCCCAGCCAGGCTGCTCCGTGATGTGTTGCATGAGTCGGAGCATGGCCATCTCGCGCATGGTCAATCGAGGCGAGTGGCGATACTCAACTAAACCATGCGCAAAACGGGCCTCTGGGGAGAGTTCAAAATGCAGGGGGATGGAGCCAAAGCCAGGGACCTGAAGGGGACCATCTCCCGTGTTGTCGAGGGTTGCCATTTGGTCCAGTTGTGTTATGGTTCTTGATTCTCGTTCGAAAGGGCGAGGGTCCAGTGGGCTTAAATAGTGGAGTTGCGGGGATCTATTATCGGTAAGCCCTATCGATGGGGCAGGCACTATCCTTCCCGAATCGGGTTGCAGCTCCGTATCATGTTACAGTTCAGATGCAGCACAAATGAATTGCCCGTCTCTCCATACTCCAATCAAGGTCATTATCGTCTATGTCCTATCTTTATCAATTATATTCACTTGATTGCTAGCGTAATGAAGCATGACCTTCGAGGTTCGCGTGTCGGGCATCATAGCAGCAAGCTTATCCGGAAGTGACTCATTAGCAAGGTATACCTGTGAACTAGGCGGGTTAGACTGAATGGAATAGATATTGCCATTGTTTGTCATCTTACAAAATATCCTAGCATCATTCCAATTCTATTGAGCGAGCTAACCAACGAAAAAGGGGCCACTTTCTAAGCAAGCGATATGAATTGCATACTACACTATTAACCCTACTATTAAAAAAGAAGGTCGAGGCGCCTCGGCTCAAGTAAATCATTACAACTTCCTAATATACACATCACTGACATCGGACCACTGAATCCAAACCAAGAGGACTTTTAACCCACTCCTAACTCATCAATAGCGACTTCTTCGATCGACGCTCTGACCTACTTGGTAGATGGATTCGGCATGGTCGTATTATGGGGCCACTTGCGAAACAGATCCGCTACATGATCAATCGGCGCCGTCATCAACCCCACAGCCGTCTCAAACGGCGGTTTATCCGGGGCACTGGGATGCGAGCGCGAGGGGACGAAGATTTTTGTCCGAGCAAACGATTTCGCGTAGCTCTCGCTGTCCTCCTGCGACAGGGCGGCTTCCAGCTGGGGCAAATCCTCCGCTTCCTCCTCCTTGATGTGCTGGGCGAGGTCGCTCATCAAGGCTTTCACAGTAGGGAGAAATTCGGGGTCGGCGGGCGTCATGTTTTGGAAAGCCTTGAGCTGTTCCTTGACCTATGATGGATCAGCTAAATGATCGATGTTCCGGTTGAGGCGAATGGATGCCTACCTTCTGATGTTCCTGGCGGTCTTTGTCGGCCAGTTTGTCACCCCCGGTAATATACCGCTCTATGGCGGGATAGACTACCAGCTCCTCGGCGATGGAGTGCCGGGCTAACTCCCAGGTAAATTGGTTCTGGTAGCGGGTTTGTTCATCGGGATTGGATGCCTTCAGGATCTGATTGTAGTAGGACTCGATCTCGCGGTGATCGTGCTTGATGGTGTCGACGATTCCCGCGGCCATTGCGATGGGAGAGCGATGAAATGTACGTTTTGGAATTGAGAATACCAGCTGGCGGGGGAAGATGGGACGAATGTGATGGAACATGGTCTACTGAATAATTATATGGGCTTGGGTAGTCCAACTGGGTGTTTGGCGTCACGCATCTTATACATTTTGTGATACTATGAGATACTTGGCTCATTCATCGTGACGACAAGCGTGTATTACCAATGTAGGCAGTCTCATTGGATCATTTGTTGGGACGTAATTTCCGTCGAGGGAACTGGGTCATCATGACGCATGTGGCAGTTGGCCGGGAATGGAAACTATATTCAATGGTTCGGTGGCATTCTTCCCGAGACATCAACAACAGACGGTGCAGCATGATAGAGGCAATGTGTGTCATGGTGATGCAACGGGTGACTAGCCCTACGTTCACTGTCTTGTGTAACTTGAAATGTACAATAAGGTGGCTTAGGATTTCGGGTTGTCATTTCCCAAAAGTTACACAGTGTAGTACTTACGCTAGCCCCTTGGACAAAGAATATGAAAATGCACTCAAAAGGAATACTTGTTGCGTCTGTGTCCGAAGCAGAGCCCTGCCCAAACGCTCTTTGTAGCCACGTATATCTCTTGACTTAGTAAGTCTGTTCCACTCTCGCCCGTTGTACTTGGGAGTCGTTCAATCGAATGGCATCGATATTGAACAGTAACCGTCATACTTTCTTCAGCTACTCGCTCTCCACCTTCCTCCTTAACCCACCACCAACGGAATCCCTGAACTTCACCAGCTCCTCTTCAGGAATCTCATAGCTATAATCAACGTCCGGAAAATCCCTGGCCTTGACCTGACGCTTATACTCCTCGATACCTCTCAGCGCCTCTCCCCAAACATTCGCAAAAGTCTTCACAAACTTCGGCATAAACCGTCCGGGTGGAAAGTTACCCGTCATATCGACCTGAACCAGCACCTGTCCTGAGCAACCATTCCCGGATCCAATCCCTATGGTCGGAACCCGAAGTCGTTTCGTGACAATGGCAGCAACCTCAGCCGGCACAGCCTCCACCAAGATCATAAACGCTCCAGCTTCCTGAACAGCGATCGCATCTCGCAGTACTTTGACCGCTCCCGCCGCAGACTTGCCCTGCACTCTAAACCCACTCAAAGAATGTTGTCGCTGCGGCGTTAGCCCTATATGCGCCATGACCGGGATTCCCGCCTCAGTGATCCTCCTGATAGTAGGTGCCATTTCCTCCCCGCCCTCCATTTTCACAGCGTTCACATGGCCCTCTTTGACCATTCGCATGACAGACTGAACAGCCTGCTCGGGTGATACTTCATAATAGCCCATCGGTAAATCTGCTATCTGTTTGATCACGCCCACGAACGGTACCTGTTAGTCTATCACATCAAACACCCAAGGGAGCAAAGAGACCGAACTGACCAAAAAAGCCCTCGTCACAGCCCTGGCCACACTCCGACAATGCACCAACATCTCCTCCATCGTAACCGAGTCGGTATCCTCCATCCCCAGCGCTACCATCGCCAAGCTATCCCCTACCAACACCACATCCATCCCTGCGGCATCCGCCACCAAGCCACTTGGAAAGTCATACGCCGTGAGTACCGCAATGGGTTCGTTTCCCCGATATAAGCTCTGCAGCTTGGAAATAGTCACCTTCTTCCCGGGGTTTACATGCGGTCGTGGCGGCGCGAAGTGCGAACTCCACCGGATGATAGGGTTTGCGGGTGGTGTCAGGCACTGTGGTGCGGTAGACAGGAACCGGGTGACGGGCCGATAAAGCATATTGCAAATGATGATATTGTCTCTGGATGCAGGGTACTGATCTGGGGAACCCGTGGAAGGTTGGAAATTCCTCGAGGATCGTCTAGGCCTCGGCTTGGAGGCACGTTCTGGTGTATACCGCGTATTTTCATTCCTTCTGTCTTTCGTTGGGAAGCTCAACGCTTCGACCTCGGTCATAAGGAACTTTCGTTGTCCAATCATAGGACTATATCTAGGCCTTTGCAGCAACGGAGATATGGTCTATAGTCTTATCCCTTCGAGTTCTGCCTCGTTTGTCACCCTAGCCTTTTCGTTTCCCGCACGCCCTAGGGAGTACAGCTGTGGGGCACGGCCGCTTTACTCTTCGGCAATGTGGTCGACTACTTTTTTTTTTTTTTTTCAAACAACCCCTTCCCTTCTGCTGGCTGTGAGCAGTGCTATAAATGGTGTATTTGAGAGTCTTACAATAATCTTGGGATGTTTGTCAGTGAGGGCAGACTCCCGCAGGACAGAGACAACAGGTCACAAGATAGCACGCAACACACGGTATGTTATATTTCGTGCGAAAGAGCGGGTCAAGGAAAAGAGGAGTATTTGTGCTTTGACCACAGTGGATGTTTGTTCAAAAAGGGCATCTTGAGATATAGCGTTGATGTTATTGTGTACATCGCTCGGTGGCCTAACGCCACCACCTGGATGCTTGAGCCTGGAAATCGGAGCCCGTACCCTAACTTGAGGTCTACAGGGGTGGCTGGATTAAGGGCTACAGCCCGCAGTATCGGCCATTCGAATGAACTCCGACAAAGACCATAGACTCCTTTGTTTCCTGCCACCAGAATCATAGTTACTTGTGATAATCTACAGTGAGAAGGACCCCATGTCCTTGGCATAGCTCTAGTTAGCCTCGGGAACCGCTCGCTGTCACACCTACCCACCTTGGCAGCGAGGATATCAGCAGATAAAAAATACAGCGGATCAAAGAGTCCTAAGGCCTGACAGTACCCTGAAAATGTAGATCAAGATGAGAAACATGGATTATGGTATGACTACGCATGCTACTCATTAACTAGAAACAGGTTGATCTTGGATTTTCCGACCGTTCTGAAAAGTCCTATACATGGCAACGGCTGCATCATAGTATGCAAACGCCAGGACTGATTTTCGACATGGTGGGAGGTAGTCAGACAAATTGATCTGAAGCTGAATACCAAATCGAATAGCCGCAAAACTAGTTGGTGGGGCTATCCGCGGGAGCTGGTAAAAGATTTATGAAGCAAAAAAGATGACCAGACTGGGGCTCGATCCCAGGACCTTATCGGTGTTAACGATATGTGATAACCAACTACACCATCCGGCCAGTTGTTGTGATTGGTCTACTTGGTTTAGTTACAGAATCCTAAAGAGAGCTGTTCAAGTGAAAGGGTATCGATCAAGGGAATTCTCAGGCCATTGCTTTCAATATCCAGGTTTCTCTGCTCTTGTCACCTCAATCATGATGTAGGCATGGATTATATTTATATGAGAGAGATATTTCGTACCCGTTCTTAGTTCCCTTAACTTCTAGGTTTGACTTGGGAAGTATATATATATACAGTTACTCCATGAGATCCAAAATTTAGATTTGCTTTTCTTTTTCCATGGCCCGACTGCGTGGGCGAACATTATATTTTCTTTCCCCTAATCTCAGCCATAAGAGTGCAGGGTTAGTCCTTGCCTTACACCCTGCCTATATATTTTTGATTCGTGTCCCATGGGAGCGACGCCGCCTCATGTTGTTCCCTTCTCCCAATGGCTGGTATTGCCGTTGACATAAGCTTCTCCGATGCGCGACGTGGCAATCTAAGACCAAGGAAAGATCCCCATGAAGATGGCCAAAATCATGGCATCCTCCTACCATCCTGGTGTGGGCTCCGATCATCATGTCGACATCAAGCCATATCAGGTACGGTAAGGGTCTGTAACATGTACGATCACTTGCAGGGATTGGAGATTAAAGCGCCAAAAGTCGCTAATTCATCTTGGATGCGACCGCCAGTCGTACCATAGCATGTAGTTACAATAATACTCTGGAAATGATATGGTTATTCGTTGTCCTCGCTGATACGATTATCAGAGCCCTACATGCAATTGGCGCCGTGACCTATCTCACCTAGTTTTATGAAAGCACAAAGCAAGTCACCAATCGCATGTAATGGTTGAACATGGCAAGGTTTTCGCTTTTCTGAACCTGGAGGTGCAGCCGACAATTGATATGGGCAATCATACAGCGTAGATGCTGCATGCATGAGAGCTCAAATACGGATCTTATCGAGCACCAAATATAGCTACGAATAGGATATAGGTCCTTTCAAAGGAGATGCCAGTACATACGACCACAGGGTGTGGAGAACAGGGCTTCCCGTCCGCTCAGCCGTACTTAAGCCACGCGCCGGGAGGTTAGTAGTTGGGTGGGTGACCACCAGCGAATCCCTTCTGTTGTATGTTTTTTTTTCTTCCCAATTAAAACGAAGGCTAGCATGGCTTTAACTTCAATTTTTTCTATTTATTTTTTGGCAAGCGCCCCGCTGTGGTAATGATCGATTTGTAAACCATTCAAAACTACCCCCCAGACTACCCTCCATACCTAGGTGTCTAATACCCACCATTGTTACCTCTGTAACTAGTCCACTGTAATTATGAGCTTACTGGTTTATAATACGCCTTACAACTGCACAAAATATGCACCTGATGAGATGCTGTATCCTTTTAGTCCTCCATCAAGCCGTGGGTACTCTTTATGAACTGCTGGGTTGAAACCTTCGACTTAAAAGCTGCAAGAAACGGGTGCAAGTTCAACCTGATATGTTTACCTGCGGTCTATGGCGAGATCCAACAAATAGAGGTCTGCATAGTGACTGAAGGGTCGAGCCCAAGCATCAGCCCATGCCGTGCGTTCTGTGTGTGAATATCTGCGTATACTTTCATTGTTGACATCCCACGGCAGCTTAGGGTCCAATTCACTCCCGCCCAGGTTGGGAAAACCCGGCAGCCTACAATAACTCAGATAGACGCAAATATAACTATGTCCCCTACGAGGCCCAGTAAGACGATGCTAGTTCCATTAAGGTGTAGGGCCGAGTCTATCAAGCAGCGAGCTAGTCTCCACTATCTTACGCAATCCCGGCGGGCCGTTGACAGCCCTCTGAGGCCTCGGCTTGTCCGGTGTCTCCGGAACCACAACCGGAAGACCAACCCTACTTGTAGTGGGTCTAGTATCCACGGTCTGGTATTCAGTCTCCGTTCCGCTCGAAACAGGGTATCTGTCGGGACAACCAACAGTATTTTAGCGAGATCCTTCACAGTAGTGCTGACTGAGTGGATCAAGGTTAACTATTGGCAAGCTGCAAGGCCCATGTGACTAAGCGGCGTTACGCTTAGCCCGTCAAAAGCAGTCTGGATCGAGGGTTTTTCACAACACACTCACCCGAATCAGTTCTTTAGCACGGGGTTATTAAAGCGTCGAGCGCAAGTCCTTCTGTTAACATGATACCCGACCCACCCAATAAGATTCAATGAGTGGAGGATGTCCTGCGTCTATCGATAAATGAGCTCCAATACTGACGAAAAAGGTCACCACCCACGTGAGATTCTATCGAGCGACTGGCGATTCGTTCCCAGCTCGGAGGGAAGCCGATAATCAGCCCTCATTCCTTTAGAATGTGTGGTGGAGAAGCACATGGCACGACAGGATCTGGTATGGGGAGTCGCTGAAGCTAAACAAACAAAACTTCAGAGAGCCCCGCTAGTGGAAACAGCTTGATCGCATGCAGTCCCTCAGGCGTCTTTTAAGTCATCTTTGCAAGAGGACTTGACACCCAGGCTAGTGCCTGATCTGGTATGAAAGGAAGCACTGCGACTTCGGGGCTTCCTATTGGTGGCCTCGGCTACAGCAGCTATCTGGTGGAGCGATCTGGGATTCTTTGGACATTCCATTGGGTATTTACTAACCACATCTAGAGATGGAGTAACCAGAGAGAGTGCTATTGACAAGATATCCTAGGGAAGTAAGCAAGAGAAGACAGAGAAAGGGAAAGAGACGATAGAGACAGGTATAAAAGGCCAGGGGCATCTTTCTTCTGATCATCATCCAGCTCAATCTACTCCGCTCTTCTTGATACAGAATTCCCAACCCATTCATTGCATCCTTTGATATTTGCTATCACAAGAACCTCATCAATATCCTCAAGTTCCATCATGTACGCTCTCAAGCTTTCCAGCATCGTCCTACTCGCCGCCTCCCTCGCCACGGCCTGGGAAATCCGAGGCTGGACTGGAGTAAAGTGCACGGGCTCCGAGATCTATGACGAGGCCACTACGGGTACCCAGGCCTGTGAAAACTTTGACACAGTCCAGGACCTGCATTCCATCAAGGTCACCTACGCCAAGAAGAATGTCAAGCCTCATCTTTTCTATGGAGACAACTGCGAAGGCACCGCCTATGTTCCTAGCAGCGGCGAATGCTTCTATATGTCGTCTGAGTCATTTAATTCCTACAAGATTGTGGCGGCTTAGACAGTGCTTCGGGGCAGGTGAGTCTATCTTGTCTAGAACCAGAAGTTATATTAATGAACTTTGATAGAGGTCACACGTGAATGTTGCTCTTTTACTTACCTTCCTGAGCGGACCATATTTGGTCAGAGAATAAATGGTCAATGCTTCAGCAGAACACCGTCTGCTGGAGAAGGCCGGAGCGGTTGCAGATGGTTACCCAGTGTTGAATTCATGAATCTCGAAATGACCAATGATGTCCTGAACAGTTAATCTTTGCCATTAAAGCACTTCGTAAATGTCTTGGCCATATGAGTTTTGACATGAACTGCTTGCTTTTAGACGTAATAATATAAATAGCTGGTCAAAGATGTACGCTTGGTAATACTACGTCATATAGGAAAGTTGATCTTTGTTCCATATTCGTTTACTAACTATTCATTGAAGCGTCTCTGTCAAACACAGAATCATAGCAGGCTGCTGTCCGCGTACAATCCAGCTGCCGGCAGTGTAGTAACTCGCATTTCAATGCCAGGCCTACAATTCATGCGGGGGCAAATATTCCATCATGAATGGTGTTACTCTACTTCTAGACAGAGTAGGCAAGGTGCAGTGCAACACAAGTATACCCACATTTCCCCGTTTCTACTGCATGAATCCTGAGATAATTCATGATACATAGTGGACACTATCCGTTCCCTAATTGGCCTTCAATCTTGTCGTACGTTACAATGACCATACAAAAGGCTTAGACGTTCAGCTGACGTAGGCCCTAATCCGCAATGAGACTGAGTCGAATCGATTTTGCCGGAGATCCCGAGAAGATTGGGCACCTCCTAATATCAACCTAGGGACTATCCGGTTTGCTTTAGCTTTGCGCTAGCACTTGAACTAGTTTACCGGCACATTGGTTCGAGATAGAGAGAGAGAGAGAAAGCCATTGTTTTCGACCTCAAATGTCTCTCATGGCTACTTCTAATGGCTGTGTCTGGAGCTGGATCCATACAATTTGATGTGAAGAAAATCCAATTTATATAACTATTGTTGATAGGGGTTGAGAGGACAAATTCTCCGGGTTCTGACATCACGAGGTGGCTGACAATTGCCTCATGATATTATCTTTAGATTACCACAGTACTAAGGTCAGTCATCCGACACGAGACAAAATTCAGCAAAGCTCTAAAGCTATGAGCCTCATGTATCGAATTATGGACCTCGCATTAGTGCTCAACCCTTCTTTCCACTATCCAGTTTGTCGATTCGGAAGCGCAGATGCGGCTAAAAGAAAAATTATGGGATTGGAACAATCTTCTCCTCCAATTTCAATTCGCAGCGGAATCTCTCTCCTACGAATAAGCAGCGTCTGCACTGACAGTTAGATTGATTTGGACTAGCTTAAGGTCCGGCCCTCGTTAGGCTTTTAAACTTAGCGGGCCAGGCTTACGTACCTCAGTGGGTCCCAGCTTGAAGGTTGAACCTGTTTCAGTGATCAGAACTTGTCGACAAAATGATCTTGACATCGTAAGTTTCGTTATAGCCTCCCGGGTTGCCACAATAGTGGCATACTAAGCTAAAACCGGGTAAGGGTCTTGTGAGGAGAAGGCTCAGCTCACAACCCCGGGCAAAGCCTAGTATCGCCCAACAGGGCAGATGACCCTGATTCCACCAATTGGAGCAACGAGATTTGAAGGTTTTTGCAGGCTGTACGGTGAGGTGAAGTGCATTACACGAGCAACTGTGTGCATAAGATCTTGTAGCCCTTCTTTTGCTACTAATACAGATCTGATAACTTGGTTTGTCAATACACCTTTCGAAATCGCTTGTATTATTTGACTGACTCAAACTGTTATTCGGCTATGGTATTCTATCACTTATTTTCTTACTATTTCATGTTTTGTATTGAGATACTTTTGATGAAAACAGATATCTAATAAGTTCCCTCCCTGAAGCGCGGTAGTCAGAATCACGCTTTTATTATGCATAAACTCTCACTTTCTCCAAGAAAAGAATTATTACAGGCATTAAAACTGTAATTAATAATTCATTGTACCCAGGGATTAAGTAGATACTAGGTTGTGCGGTCGTCCACAGTTGGAGGCATTCTAGCAGGCTACAAGGGCTCTACGGAGCACTCAAAGAGCCCTGTCAAGCTCCAAAAACGCAGTACCTGATCCAGTGCTATAGCCTGAATATACCTGCCTCTGACTCAGACCTACGGTCTGAAGCTATGTTCTAGGAGGTCCTGAACCTCACCAAACACCCACCTCTTGTGTGGTGGAAGCGGTGAATATAGACAATAGTTAAATTAGGCCAAGTTACTGACACTTAAAAGAATGAACCGAAAGTCTCCATTTATGACTTAACCCAAAATAAGCTTAATAGAGAAACTGGAGATAGTGTTGCTTGCCGCAAGATTTACAATTATATCAATAGGATGAAGAATGTGATCGTCAATACAATCATTTGTTCCATCTATTGCATATGTATTAACCGACATATACATTCGTCGGGACATTAGACTATTTTCCCAACGTGATGCCCAGACCCTAATTGAAAGCAAATATCATGGTCAATCCTTCCCATTCGTAATAACCACCCTCTGCGCCTCCAAACTACTACCATCCGTCTCCGTCTCCTCATCCCTCCCCCCCTCCAGCGGCGCCGAAGAAACATTCCAATTCCCAAACACCGCCAACAGGGTAAACGGAATCGTCCATCCCCACAACGCAAACCCCAGAATCATCTGATTCCGATTCGGCCAATGCGTCGCGCCAACCGCATAGGCAATCGTGCTCCCAATTGACTCCCACGACCGCAGAATCCCCGTGGTGCGCGCGATATCGCCGTCCCGCTGCGCACCCTTGATCTCAGCCATCAGCCAGTAGATGTAGGTCTGGAGGATTTCGTAGAAAAACTTGAAGCACATGTAGACGGTGAAGGCGGAGTTGAAGAAGGGTCCGTCGCCGAGGTCGAAGGTCGGGGGGTCGGCCATGCGGGAGAGTTTGGTCTGCACGACGGCGTTCCAGATCCAGGATCCGGTTAGGAAGATTAGGATGAAGATGTAGACGCTTTTGGATCGGGTTTCGCGGGACACCGACTTGAGGTCTAGGATTAGACCGGTTGAGATGTTGGCTAGGGCGCCGACGACGGCGGTGAGGAAGGATGCGAGGGCGCGGGATCGGACGGTGAAGTAGGCTGTTATTTAGTCAGTATTTATCTCATGGTGCTTAAGGGAGTACTGTGAGAATGCGTACTGGTCAGGTAGTTGCCCTGGTAAGTGGTGCCGAACTGTCCGGCGAGGAAGACCGGAATAAGTAGCAACATGTACTTGTTGTGTAGTTGTTTCCAGATCGCCCTGGCCTCGATCGCAAAGGTCGTTCTCCTCATGTAAGGAATGGCGGTGCCGTCGCTGCGAATGACCTTCTGTGGCTGGGAGAGCAGCAGTGCAAAGGGAGCGCCGAGAGACGAAATGGCCACAAGCCCTAAGTATGTGGTGTAGGTAACTTTGCCCGCATGCGCGGTGTTGATATTGAGAGCGAGGGAGATCGCCCCGCCCACAAGAGGGCCCATCTGTCGGATTCCCATCCAGATTCCAACATACCTGATCATCTCATTAGTGAACTGAGGGTGATGGCTTGGCCGGCAGGTGTCTTACCGTCCTCTTTTCTCCTGTTCCGGATACCCGACCGCAATGGCCGCTTCACTCGCCCAGAGAAGTGATGCCCCGATACCGCAGAGCGCGGCCCCGAGAAGCAGAAACCATTCATTTTCGTAGCGATTGTTGCAGTATAACGCTGCAGCGTAGGGAGTGTAGAAGGCAGCGCCGATGAACAAGGTCCATTTGGCCGTGATCTTGTTGGTGACGCCGCCAGCAAGGAAGCAGCCCACGGACATGAGCCCGTATGTTAGGGCATTGGCCGCATTGTTCAAGAAAGGCTGCCCATGTTGTCAATGATCAATGCAACAGAGCTTTGGATCTCGAGAAGCTTACACTGGCATTGCCGCCCGCTCCAAGATTATTCAGGGCCGTCCAGATGCCGGGCTCACAAAAGGCGACCAGCCCGACAATAATAATCTGAAAGAGACATGACCGGTAAATCTGGACCAAACGATTGGAAGCCATGATGGACAACTGTCTTCATGCTGTAACGTCTGGTTGCGGGGTATCTATTTATTTCTGCTGAGTGTATGAGGCACCAAAGCACGTCAGGACCCATTTTAATCGCGATGTCTTGTTGATCACATCTGCCAAGCTGCACGGGCAGTCTAGTGCATCCTTGTGATTTGATTAGATGCAACTAAACTCTTATCTCAATCGGCCGATAGAGACAGGCACGGGAGCCTATCCTATTCTAGATTAAATCGAGGAGCACGCCATGTGGCGTGCATATGATGTCCTCTCAATGCCACATCCGATGATAGCTGTACCTGACCCCCTCTCCCCGAGTTCTGCCCTTCTAAATGCTGCACGGTTCGGCCCATTATATACCATCTCTCACATTACTGTGTACAAGCGATCTGGGGTTAGAACATCTGCGGATGCAGATATTCGTGGTACAGATATGTAGATTGTGGAAATTTCACCTTGGTAGGCATTAGGGCTCCCTAGGCAACTACGGCAGACAAAAAACATTCCATGAATAGTCATTGTCCTATCTCCGGATACATGGAGGCAGTCGAAGAACTTGCAATGCAACGGAACGAGAATTCAGGGTCGAGGAAGTGCTCCATCAAGCGAAGTGACTACTTGCCAGTGAGGCCGATACTCTGCGTAATGGTGCCTAATCCCAACCCTTCGAGGAGCTTGTCGACGCCTAAGCCGCCGAGCAAACCACGAAGCAGCCCACCCAGCCCCAAGCCGTCCAGAAGATTGCCCACTAGGCCAAGAACGCCACTGAGCAAGAGACCTACGGCTGCGATAATCTGAAAGAGGGGCTCAGACAACAATGCCCACAAGGGATTGAGTTCCTTCTTTGCATGGGGCATGTCGGCAATCAGATTCTTTCCACGTTCAATCGTCTCGGTCACCAGCTGGGTCAAGTCCTTCAGCAGCTCCGCGAGATGGTGTTCCTGCGGGGTCGCTTCCTGGGATGCACTGTGTGCCTTCGCATTGGCGGTAATATGGCCATCTGGGTCCAATGCTCGGAGAGCTCCCTTGCACTCCTGGAGAGCACTGCCGGCCTCCTCAATGAGCGGTTTGACCTGCTTTACCAGCTCCTCTTCATCCAAGTCCTCCTTAGGCGTGCTGTTGGCTCGCTCAATATGCTATCCGGCTTCAGTCAGCAAGAAGGATCAATATCAGATGTATGGATGGGCAGTCCTACCTGGGTGATCATTCTACAGATCGGCTCCACCGCGTCCAGCGTCTGCTGCACAATGGAGCACATCTTCTTGGCCAGCTCGTTCTCTTCTGCCAGCCGGGCCTGCTCCTCGCGTTCTTCGGGAGACATCTCTGGCTCTGGCTCTGGCTCCGGTTCTGGTTCGGCCTCCGGCTCGGGGGGCAAATTCTCCAGCAAGGTGCACTCGCCAATCTTGTTACCGTCACTGTCCACGACATAGCCGTCCTTATTCACCGTTCGGCCGACCAGATTGGACAGATCGCCCTGGGTGAGCTTGCCGATTAGGTTGCCGTCTTCATCTCGGATCTCACCCTCGCGATTCACCTTACGACCAGCCATTGGACTGCCCAGTTCCTCGGGGGAAGCCCAAGGCTCAGCCCGGCCGATAACGTTCCCCGAGCCGTCAAGAACTTCTCCATCCTCATCGACGGCACGCCCGGAAAGGCGATGGACATCCCCTTCAACCAAACGGCCAACAGGCGTGCCAGTCACGTCGACCACCATGCCCTCCTTATCCACAGTCAGCCCATCGAGGCCGCAAAACGGGCCCTCTGGACGGTCTCGTTCAGCCGCAGGGAGAACCTCGGCCTGACCGACGACGTGTCCACTGGAGTCCCAGACTTGACCCTGCTCATCCACGGTCTTGCCGGCCAGCTTGCGCGGATTGCCTGCCACCAGCCGACCCAAGACCACGCCGTCTGTATCCACCACATTACCCATCTTGTTCACGAGTTTGCCCCCCAACACGGATAGATCGGGCTCCTCCACGGTCTCTTCAGGGGGCTCACACCGTTCAGCCCGGCCCAGCACCGTCCCATGTTGATCCACGATCTCTCCATCTTCGTCGACCTCGTAGCCCTGAAGTGCCTGGGGGTCGCCTTCCACCAGGCGGCCCACCACCTTGCCCTCATCATTCTCCACCCATCCCGACCCATTCACCATCAGGTCCATCTCGCCCTGGAATGGTCGCATGAGGTCTTTCCGTTCGTTCTCGGGGATGAGCTCTACCCGGCCAATGACCTCCCCTTGGTCTCCCCAGATTTGACCATCTGAGGCGACGGTCCTGCCAGCCAGGTGTCGTGCGTCTCCCTCAACAACCTTGCCGATAGGGACTTGATCTGGCCCTATCACAAGACCGAGTTTGGTTGTCGTGAGCCCAGACAAGCTGCTGAGATCCGGCTTTTCCTCTGCCACCTCTGGCTCCTCTGGCTCTTCTGCCTTGTCGGGTTCCTGCCATGGCTCTACACGGCCCAGCCGGTTACCATGCCGATCCAAGATATCGCCATCCTCGTCGACGGCGCGGCCTTGTAGGGCTTTGGCCTCCCCTTCGACCACCTGTCCAATCCGTTGGCCGTCCCCATCCAGCACCCATCCGTCCGGGCCTACATATAGGTCCTTCATCCCCTCAAAGGGGTGCGTCTCCTCCTCCTCCGGTGGAACTGGTCGTGCCTTGCCGATGATGTTTCCACGGTGATCCCAGAACTGACCCTTCGCGTCGAGCTCGAACCCTCCACGGAAGAGCTTTTTCGCATCCCCCTCGACCAGCTCGCCCACAAGCGTACCCTGGGCATTCAGGATACTGCCGAACTTGGTACACTTGAGGCCTTCGAGGGTAGAAATGTCTGGCAACAACGACTGGCTAGGGATTCCGTCAATGGCGGCCTCCATCTCTTCCTCCGGCAAGACGTCAACCCGTCCGATCAAGTCTCCATCTTCGTCCAAAATCTCACCATTCTCACCAACAACTTGACCGACGAGATCATCTGGGTCTCCTTGGACAACCTTACCAACAGCTTGTCCAGATGAATTGACTATCTTGCCTGATTCACCAACCGAGAGCCCTTTCAGGCCTTCCACGGTCCTCGTGGCCTGCTCGATGCCCGAAGTAGCTGGCTTCTGTACCATATCATCGAGACCTGCTTGGGGTTCCCCCATATCCTGCATTTGCCCCTCCGCCACTTCATCCCCAGCCTCCTGTGGGACTTGTTCCGCGGTTCTCTCCGGCAAGTGATCCCTCACAGACTGGACACCTTTGGCGAACTGGCCGATTCGACCGGCTGCGGCTTTGCCTTTTTCAACAAAGGACCGCTTCTGACTGGACCCTGAGCCTGTGCCTGTATCTTGGGGCATAGATTGTCTCTGTTCTGGGACTCCGCCTGCCTCCAGATCCGCCGGTCCAAGTTGTGCTTCATCCGTTTGTTTGACGTGCAGTTTTTCCTCGCCTTCGTCTAGAAGCGATCACAGTCAGACACTTGAGAGTAGAAACACCACCCTTCTTACTTACTCAAAGCATTATCTCCCATCGCTTCTGGGGGGCCAGCAGGAGCCTGCTTGCTCACAGGAGTCTGCTTCATAACATCTCCCTTCCCCAGCGAGCCCGCCTGCCTCATGGGTTGAGTAGTCGCCATTCTTGCGATTTTGACTGCTTCTTCAAGTTCTTTCTTATGCTGCTTCTTCTTTCTTCCCCTTTTTGCCTATTTTAACTCTGAAAATTCACGATATGATTAATCTCAGAATTAAAGATATGTAGTATACCACGGCAGTAGCATACCTCCATCCTGACGCCTCTGAACACGATCAATAATCTTATATCACCAACAGTACTACTCTCAACATCGTCATACCATCCATCACCGATACGTCATATCAAATCACCAGATAAGAAGCCAATACGAGATGTGCACGGACACTCCCCTCAAACTATCGGAAGCTATGGCCCTGCCCATTTCCACTTCCCGGACGGAGAATAGAAAACCATGGTGCTCTCGCCATGTACCGCAGCTATGGGAGGTTTATTATGAGATAGGATCATCTGATCGACTCTGCGGGAGTGATACCGGCCAGAGTGTATGCGGTGTTGACCATTGGAATGCTTCGGTCTATAATAGCTATGGTTTGGTGAGTCGTGCCCAGAGTGATATCCATGGGAGCATGCCCTGGAGAGTGTGGGGTATGGTTCGGTTGTATGTGCCGGGGATAGGTTTGAGGGGAGGGGAACGTGCGCTTATAGTGCCGTGGGACGGAAATGAAGAAAGGGGATTTGGGGGCTTGGTAGTCGAGGTTCGATATGTGATCTTATTGACTGAGTATTACGTAGCTGAGGGGGTTATGGTTGGCATAGTTTATTCATCTGTCCCAAAAGTTGATTTACTTTCATACTTCACCCGGGCTTCCTTTCTAGGGTACGTCGTCGACACAGGTATACGTACGATGCTGTCTAGGGTTATATGAATGAATGAGTGCTTCAATGAATGTACACAGCGGGACATGATATATACTATGGACAACAAGTAGGCTCTTATCCCCGCTGTCAACCTTTATACCCAAAATTCGACCTTAAGCACTATAAACCAAGCTTCGTAAGTATATCATCTAAACAAGTACTAAGACCTGAGGAACGTTAGCCGTCCTCAACCCAAATTGATAAAAGCAGTTCGCAAGGCAAAAGGAAAGACCACTCACAATAAAGCCAGCGTAATATCCCCATGAATCTTCGCCTTCAACTCGACCTCGACATCGAGATTCAGATCCAGCCGTAACTTCAGCCCCGTATCCTCCTGCTCCGGCATCTGGGTCATATCCTGTCCGGTGGCCTGTCTCGCGAGTTTCCCTCGAGCTCGTTCACTTGCGGTCTCCCCTATGTCTATTGCCTCATCTTCGGTGACGGAGGGTGAAGGGGACATGGTGCGCCGCACTGGTTGTAATGCGGTCGAGGTATTGGGAGCTGCATAGTCCCCGAGTGGATTTTGTTGCTTCTTTCGGGTTGCTTGACGGACGGAAGGGTATGCTTGCGTTTGCTGTTGAGTTTGGGGTTGATACGGGTTGGATGATTGTGCCATGATCGCTTGTCTCTGGTCTTCCTCACTGTGATGTTTGGTGGTGCAGAATCCAAGCCACTAAATCAGCGACGTATCTGGTGATAGATACTGCACGGTGCAGATGAGTTATAGTTGTAGAAGTCAAACGCCGCATAACAACGTGGGTGGCAAGCAATCCTCGGGTGCACGAACCTTACATAAGAACTCCATCATCGTATATTGTTTGGGGACAAAGCAACCGAGGGTGTTTCCATAGTATTGATATCTCGGAACCCTGGAACCATGGGATGGTTCCTCGTATCGTGTCGTAAGTGCCTTTGGGCCTGGGGAAATGACATCAGGCATTCGCCTTCCATCCGCCCGATGATGCATCTGAATATTTCCTTCTATCATATCTATTCTTGCGATAGCATTCCTAGTAGTTAGATATATATTCTTCTTCTTTACTGAGTCTACTGCACTCGATTACCCCATGGCCGACCCAATACCCTCCAGTTCGACCCCTGCTCGGAAACGACGCCCCCCCAAGCTCGAGCAACGAGCTATGCCATCCGGTATATCAAAACCACTAGACCCTCCCTCAGAACCCGCAGATCAGCCAGTCGAGTCCGTGGAAGTGCCGGAACCAGCCCCAAGTCCGCCCGAGACCCTATATTCATCTCCCAACACCGAAGAAATGCAAGTCTACCAAGAGACTCGATCCACGTCTTGGAGCGAAGGCGAGATGCAGCCACCTCCACAACCCCAGCCCCAACTCCAACCCCAACCCCAACCCCAGCCAGAGCAACATCAACGCCAGCGCCCCAATCCCCCAGTTCGAGAACGCACCCCAGCGCCATCATCCTCATCGCGCTCCTCCAACGCAGCCGCATCATATCGACAACTCCGCCGTCGCAGTCAACGAAACCGACCCCAGGAACGACCCCAAACCATGACCCTTCCCGCCGTGGGAAACATAGGCGACGTCCCGTCAAACCTGACCCAAGGCGTAGGAGAACTAGCCGAGAACACGGCCGGCCGGGCCGTCAGCACTCTCGGCAACACGGCCGGCAAAGCGCTCGGACGAAGCATCGTCGGCCAGAGACAGGGAAACGATACGCAACTGCAGCGGCAGGAACAAGAGGTCGGGGGCAAGAAGAAGGATGAACAGTTGCGGTTACGGCTGGATTTGAATCTGGATGTGGAGGTACAACTTAAGGCGAAGATTCATGGTGATCTTACGCTGCAGCTCTTGTATGTTGCTCCTTTCCGTGGCTTTGTTGTACGTGGTGGAAGTGGTTGCTAACTGATCATGATTTGAAGAAATTAGGGTGGGTTAAATTGTGGCCGTGTACGATATTGATGTTGATATGTGGAATTGAATATATGATTTTTCTTCTAGAGTGGTTGTTCTTGAATTTCTGAGCTTTAAGTAGAAGATAATCATGGGTAGGTCGTGTGTCGATGTATGCCTGCCTACATTGGGATATCAAGTTGCTGGAATGTGGCATACTCACTTTGTACTCATCAACAGCAGCCTAATACAATAGAACTCATTTTCAGTGGTATCCAATACATACGACCATAGGGTGTGGAGAACAGGGCTTCCCGTCCGCTCAGCCGTACTTAAGCCACACGCCGGGAGGTTAGTAGTTGGGTGGGTGACCACCAGCGAATCCCTTCTGTTGTATGTTTTTTTTTCTTCTACTTTGAGAAAGCTGTCTGCATCATCACACCCTCGTCAATGGAACTGTCAACAGGGTCCCAGTTGGGAAGGGGTCAGAGAATTCCTGACACCAGATGAGTCTTCCACATGATAAAACATATCTAGGATTAGAAATTCTCTGATTTCCTTTATGACTAGAACTCTAAGTTTATCTAGTATTCGCTATTATAGACTAAATTCCTAATACTACATAAGCTCTATTATATGTTGAGCTAATGCAATCCTAAAATAATTGATCTAGTATCAGGATTTATATTATATAAGAAACTAATTCAGTGTCAGACTTAAAGATATCAAATAACTGAGTTTATCCAGTATCAGGAACCCTCTAAAACCATTTGAGCTATTTCCTGGTATCAGTCTGACGCCATCGCACTAATTTCTGACCCCTTCAGAGCTGTATCCCCACCGTCAACGTAGACAACCCCCCAGTATATGTTCCATGCTAAAGAACCATGAGAGTCCCTCCCGCAGGGCATATGTCCCCCGGTGGGTATGGATCGATTGATGCACAGCTGGTTTGGAGCGGAGTGGTTTATGAATGTGATGTGGAGCTGTGGTTGACAAGTGGTGTTGTTGAAGAGGGGGTTAGTTTATTTTACAAGCCTCATTGGAGGATACGGAGCCAGGGGTAGGCTTGTTTAAGCATAACTTGCCGATTGACCGGTATGTGCAGATCAACAATCCCTGATTTCCATACCAACGAGTCTCTTTGTAGGCCTGCCGAGAAGTTCACTGGGAATTAATAGCATGCACTTCGATGGACAGGAGAACTACCTCCTGCTACCCGTGATCCCTTAGGGCGGAGGTCTTTTTCATCGCCCTTGAGCAGCATGGTAGCACATATTGTAGATCTAGATCTATCGGAGTGGGCATTTTCGAACAAGAAAACCCCCTACATGCCGAAGACCATCAGTCGAATGTGCAGTACCTTTTTCGTTTCTCTATAGCTACAAGGTTAAAGAGAATAGATTAGCTTTATATATAAAGTTACCACAGAACAATGACCCAAAGAACTCTGCCTCGTCGACGCTGTTTGAAACGACTGGGTCGTGGCGGACATCGCTTGGTATAAAGCTCCCCCTATGACATGGCGTGCAAGCGAAGCAGCGGCCTTGACGGCGAGTCCGAGCTCAGGACACAATGGGAATGGGGTCTTCAATTTTCTCCGCATCCGACGACGATTCCTCCCTCGGATCGACCTTAGCATTGGCCCCATTAAACAATCGATCCTTCTCCCCAACCGCATCCCAAGCCGGAAAGTTCGTCACCTGGTTCTCGGCCTTTTCCTGCCACTCTTTCCATTTCTCCGATTGAGGGATCACGGCAGCATGCTCGGCCCATTTCACGGACCCCGTGTGCTGAATCGCAAGCCACAACGTCTTAGTAAAATTGTCCCCTGGGGCTGTCATCACCTCTCGGATGTCATATCGACTCAAGTCCCACATGCTTTTCGGATCCACCAGAAGCGCCACTAGCCAGTATTGGATGTTCAGAAGAAAATATGCCGCGCCGATCGCGACCTGCATTTGCCAGCGGCAGTTGTTGAACAGGACTACCGAGACCATCAGGAGAAGTGTACTGATGCATAGCAGGAGATGATGCCAGTGCTCGGTGAAGCTGAAGTCGCAGACGTCCATGCCCACGTAGAGTTCGCGACTCACGGTTTCGTCGCATTTGACCACTACCATGGCACAGCCTCGCGTGATGATCACCAGGTCGGCCTGGGGAACGTTGCATTTGGCGGTGCGCGTGGACAGTTTCGGGGTCCACCATGCCGATGTACTCGCGGCACTGGAGGACAAAGCCATGAGGGAGAGTGCCAGCAGAGCCACACCATCGTGGACGACTCCGGCCGCGATGAAGAGACCGATGGTGATGAGGACGGAGAAGACGGTGGCTGCATTGGACCACGAGAGATGTTTGACCCGGATGCCTCGAATGCCCTGGATGTGGTTGTTTTCCACATCGCTCGTGCCTCGTAATTTGACGTCGTAGACCTTGAACTCGTACGGTTGGAGGGAGTCGACATCGTGGATCAGGTTCGCAAAGTAGTTCAGTTCCGATGTTAAGGTCCCAGAGTTGACGCCCACGACTTTGACGTTACCCTTTCCCGGCATGCGTTTCTTGCGGTCGGTTTCGAGGAAGGTCTCGGGTGCTGGCATGAGTCGTGGCAGGATGGAAAAGCTCGAGGCCGTGATGGCGGGGATGTGTTGGGCGATGGCAGATCCTCCGATGACGGCGAGCAAGATTAACACATCGAAGTGCCATCCTGAGTCGTCCGAGTCCACGGAGGAGGGAAACCAGGCCATGTCGGATCTCCAAGTAGAAAGGAGGGAGGGATGGTATAATCAGAATCTCGGAACCGAATGGGATTTCCCGGTTGAACTCACTCCGAGTAGGTTGGAAGGATGTGCAGTGTACTCCGTATAAATCAGGTCGGAAAGGTGGCCAAATGCAATGCTTGTTCCACTTTCGAGGCCAAGTCCCTCTGCAGCCCGCATGCTTGATAGCTTTGCAGAAACCCATAATCTACTGGCATCCCATCACGTCAACGCATCGCATTAGGTCCTGCAACATGCATGGATGACAAACTGCTATGCACCCACCCTATGGTGGCTAGTCTAGACCTCCGATCGGCGGATTTCGATTTTCCTGGGAAAAGGTCCCCGGGACCCCTGTAATCCCCGAATGCCTCCTGGCGGGGCCCTATTGGCGGATAGAACCGGAAGGGCAAACATTTGCATCGATCGTGATTTGTGAGGTTTCGGCTCAGCCAATCGAATTCCCGCCACGTCATCGGCTGACAGCGGCCCGGGCCAGCTTGGCCCGCGACTAGCAAGACGAAGCCAATGGGAGACACCATCTTAAAGAAGATCATCCTTGCTTAACTTCAATGTCCCGAAATGGATCGAAGGCAGTTGACTTGCTTTGACTAGCTGGTGCTGCGAGCCTCGGGTTGCTGGAAAGGTCAGACGGCGCAGCTCTAGCGTAGGGCTTCAACATAGTCAACCATCATCTACCAATCCCATTTCGGAAGCGCAGACAGATCTACAGCAGTTCCTCGGAGTTGGTCGCATAGGTACCCGATTTACTTTTTTGTACACAAAGCGATTGTAGCTCATTGTATGGTTCAACTATATGTATCGTGGAATAGCTCGCACCGCAAAGGAAAATCATTGCATGTAAGTAACATGCCTCGTTGCATGATGCTCCTAGAACTGGAATGTCGCTCTGACGGTGTCTCGAAGAATAAGTCCCCTACGGATAATCCGAACCACCATGTCAACCAAAGTCTAGACCATTCACATCGATGCCACGCTTCCCTCTTGCTCCACACACTACCCCAATCGTTACTCTGCAGGATCGCTCATCGCCATCGATTCACAGATAAGGCAACCAGTCTCGGAATCCCCATGCCTCAAGTTATGCTGTCCACCATAGGGCTTTGCTGCTGACATGACTCGTACGCCGTAGTACTGCGGCGAAGACCCACTTCGTGCCCTCGGCTCTTAATCCTATAGGTGAACTGATACTTGCCCTCCTCCGCTGACGGTCGGGCTGTCCTGAGGCGCCTGCGGCTGCAATCCAGCCATAAGGCTCTGAGACAGCAGACGGGGGATGGCTGGCTGACAAGGATCCTTGTCCAAGCTTGCGTTATCCTTGTCGTCCTATTCGGGGGTGGTCAGCCCGTTGAGACCTTGTCACCCATTGTTCTGTCTCTCAAAGTTTTGCAGCAACAAGTGTCATCTGGGAATGGCATTTCTTAGCCTGAGATAATAAGCAATAGAAAGTAATAAATAAATCTTGCCACGTATAATCTGGCAGTAATGAGCGATCTGGCGGATCTCGATGAAATATGGTTATCCCATTCCATCAATATATTACAGAAGTCCGGGTACCTATGTACATCGCAGGCGGAGACACGACACTCGCTCGGGGTCTTTCCGGGATCGCGGGGACCAGACCGGGTGGGTCGAGCTGAGGATTCGATCCTTATGCATTGACTAGGACTTTGTGCTCCGCAGCCAGATGACAGACACCGATAACAAAGGTGGATCAAATTTCAGCAATGACCTAAGGCCAGCAACCCTTGCAGCCTCAGGCAGTGACTACATTGATTGCGGGGAATAAAGACTCGGCGGGTAGCTAGGCGGTCTAGATGATGGTATGTGGCAGGCTCCCTTGCACGGCATCAACTTCTTGAACATATCAACGGTAAAGGGTTATCCGCCCATGGGTGCGTTCGGGTCACCCCACATAAGACAACCACGGGTCATATCACGGTCCAGAAGGGCGATTGCTATGAATGTCTTGCCTATGTCATAGGTGGAAGAATCTTCCGACCAGCAATAGTACCGATCATCAACGCAGTCAAAACTAACTTTAAGTGTACGGTCAGAGACTCGACAGGGCCCAAGAAATATCAAGAGTAAAAAAAAGTCTCCTAGTTTTCCATGATATCACGGCTAGCTCAGAGCTCTCCATAGTGTTGCTGATGTTACCGTAGGAAGGATTGTCACCTACTACGTGCCCGCAGAGGTTCTCTTCACGGCCGAGCACTGAACTTCGCCGTGAGCAGACTGCTCATCACCAACCACGCACTCTACCAATCTTATCCGTTGACAAATATCTTCCGCCCCAGCATACGGGCCATCAGAGAGATGTACACGAAACTCGACCCCGACAAGCGCCAGATCCGACTCGCATCGATACTCCCAGGACGATGGTCCGAGAGTGTCTCCTGCAATCTCAAGGTTGTCTCTCTTGACGATAAACCAAAGTATGAAGCGTTATCATATACCTGGGGCGACCTGTCAAACAAGATTCCCATCTGTCTGGAAGAGTCGCGGTTTCTCGTGACGAAGAACTTACATATGGCACTTCGACGGTTGCGACGGGCCGCTGGGACGAGGGATATATGGGTGGATGCGTTGTGTATTAATCAGGAAGATAGTCAGTTGTCTTACAACCCTCCCTTGCACCTTGCCTTCAGAGTATAAGATCCTAACGTTTGTAGAGCCCGAAAAAACAAGACAAATCCAACTCATGAAGGAGATCTATTCCTACGCCAGCGAAGTCCAAATCTATCTCGGCGAGAGCGGTGTACTGGAAACCATACCGGAAGAAGAGCAGTCAACCTGGGCGGATCCTCCACGCTTGTACTGGTGTGAAGAGAAAGACGTGCCCAGCTTTAATGATTACAAGACTTGGCAGACGATGAGTGACGACCAGCTTTCCCAACTAAACCCTACGACCCGATTGCGGCAGGCCATCTCCAGTGCGTATATTGTGTTGAGTATACTTGCTGACGCAGGATGTTTGAGCATGGCCCGTCTGGACGACGCGAATTCGGAGGTGTGGTCTGAGACACTTGCGGTGCTGGGACATATCGCAGACAGTCCGTGGTGGCAGCGGGTGTGGGTTGTTGAAGAGGCTATTCTATCACAAACCGCGACTGTGATCTATGGTGAAGTAGTGGCGCCATTGGATATTGTTGAAAGAGGAGGTTCGATGATCCATGTGCATATGGAGCGATGCTGCCGGGATTTTTATCGAAGCCTGCCCAATTCTCTGCAGTCACATTTACTGGCCATTGGGCAACATACGTCGGCCTTGGAAATCCTCCGAAAAGAATGGGGTTACTATGCGGATAAAGAGGCCGAGCGACTCCAGAGGTTTTTGGAAATGACCCGTACCAGAGGTGCATATGATGGTCGTGACAAGATTTATTCCCTTCTAGGTCTGACTAGAGATTGCTCCGAACGGCTGTTTATTGTACCTGATTACACGGTGCCGGTATCGGAGGTTTATATCCAAATGGCCTGGCAAATTATACGACAAGCCAATACCTTGGAGATATTAGCGACAGTTGAGAGGAAAGTCCCAAATTCGGAAATACCCACCTGGTGTCCCGACTGGCGGAGCAGGGGCAATGGTGAGGAACGTGACCTTTGGGTGCATTCGCGCTCCTGGAAGTTCAATGCTGGTCCATCAAATGGGAGGGTAGCAGACCTCCATAACCGAGTTCTAGCTGTCCGCGGTGTCCACGTTGATGTAGTTGCTAAGACAGCCCCACCTCTCTCGCAAGACGAGCCACTAGCCCCCCGACTAGACGAATTCGCCCACATGGCTCGCTACTACGCCGACGCCCTATGCCCGTATACCAGAGGGGGCGCAGTGAAAGAAGCGTTTTGGCGCACGATGCTGAATGATGCTCTTGAGACCAAGCCAAACGAACATATGCAGCTGATGGCCGAGGATGAAAGCTTCTTTGTGTGGTGGAGGAGGTTGAGAGACCGGGGAGGTGTCGGAGAAGTCTATGATCCCTTTCAGGAGCACTTGAGGGCTATTGCCCGATCGTTTTGGCTTCCGAATGATAATAGGGCCTTCTTTACTACGCAGAAAGGGTATATGGGATTTGGGCCGCCGGATATGAAGCCGGGGGATGTGGTGGCGGTATTGCTCGGGAGTAGGATGCCTTTTGTTCTTCGACAGATGCCAGCCACTTGCTGTGTGGGTGATGGTGGACAGGGCAGGAAATACTGTTCTGTTGTTGGGTATTGCTATCTGCATGGGGTGATGAATGGCCAGGCAGTTGGTAAGGATGCGACCATCTGTGGTATTAATCTTGTTTGAGGCACATGCTCGTTCATGCTCATCTGTCGCACACTGAATATGAAAGCACCCCCGATTCCCAAGGCACAGAAGCAGAATTTTCTTGAACTAGGTACGATCAGATGAGTAAGGAACTGTGCTACTGGAATTTGGTAACGAATTAAACGTACATCAAACACAATCGAATCTCAAGCAACGCCAGTGAAAGGAGGTACGTGACTAGTATTTACATCATGTTGGTTTTCTTCAGCATATCGTCGTCTTTCTTGCTCACGGGGTCATTGAGAAGCAGATATCGCGTGAATGCATTGACTCCTCTAAGAATCCGCATTATCACCCAAAAGGGCTCCAACGCGTCGTGTTCATTATCATAAGCAGCTTGCCTGCAGATGTCAGTTGTGTCTCAATCAAAATGGCAAGAAGCACATACGGGACAACGCTCTCAATCTCCGCTGGCATCTCTGGCGCTGGCAGGTTTGTCTCCGGCAGTTGAATCAAACGGAGACGTTCACCTCTTAAGATCCGGTCAACCTGGTCTTCCTCCAACCAGGTAGGCTTCCATCCCACGTCAGCCTCGTGCCGCCACGCACGAATATTATCCTGGATGAATCTTTTGAAAACGGCCTCGATTGCTCCACGATCTGTGCCTTTGGTGACGGAACTATTCTGAAAGCTCTCGGCAAAGAATGACATGGCGATCTCTCCCATTTTGGATGCCCGGATAGCCTCTGTCTCAGCAGTTGCTGACCTCGCTTCACGAACTCTCCGGTTTGGGATTACAGCAAGTTGATGTAGTGAGTGCATCCTATCATCTCGCTTCTCGTCGAGGATCAGACTTCCTTTGAAGGAGCTGATGAAGTATTCCATCAAGCACCAGCTTCGGGACATGTAGTCGTGGTCGTCAAGGATGACGACACGCGTATAGTAGAGAAAATTGTTCAAACCAAGGATTCCCAGTTTGAAGGTGTCGTTTTCTTCTGCCGTGCGAGGTTCTTGGGGGAGGGAGCAGAAGTCGTAGAAGATTAAAATATTGGATGCAGGGTCATGCTGTGCACTAGGGTCGGTGGCCTCTGCGACTGTTGACGTGGAGGAACTACCAGCATCACCTATAGATGATGAATCATGGCCCAGGGGTCGGGGAGGAAGCTGCTGCACCCTTCTCAACTGCGTTCCATCCGGATCCGGATGCACCTGGGTTAGCCAGCGATGTGAAATAAAATACATTTTTCTTCTTGTCTTGCCTTCTGCATCATTTGCGTCGACATTGAGCTGTTCTTCACTTCCTGTCTCGGGGTTGATGAATGCTGCACCCAGATCCAGCTCCAGACGGATAGGGTAATATTCCACATAGTCTGCGGGCTCTAAATCCTGGTATCTCTTCCATCGAGTCCATTTTCTGATCGCAGACAGGCGGACCAGCCGGTAGCGGATCAGAGATCCCACGCCGTGGTTTAGTTCCTCCTCTGCGTTGACATGGTCTGCTTCTTCAGCGGCGTTCCCTTCGGTCCTCTCGTTCTCAGACGTCGTGGATGGTGCCTGTCCCATTTTGTGGTATTGTGCTTGTTGTGTGCGCTGGGTATTGGTGGTATTCCAGGACCACCGATCTTCGGGCTCCGTCAACTGATATTCGCCTTGCATAAACTCGACGTGGGTATGACAACGATACGGAGTACACACCTCTTGGTATTCCTGTAACTCCTCGTACGACCATGGAAGGCAGTAAAGCGCTCGTATTCTGTTGTCCATCTGAGAGCAACCTGCTGTGCCTCAAGTCATGTCATTTGCCACTTGCTCTGCAGAGACACAAAAGATCCCAGGAAAGTGTCACGAAGTAGTTGCCATCACGAATGGTTGTTCCGATCATTTCGGTCTTGGCTCCTTGGGATCTGCGCAACCGAGTTTTTGGCGCATTCGGTCGCCCGCAAATCACCCGTGCCGGACCAGTGGTCCCATTAGAGTTATCACAGGATAACATCTAGATCACCGACTGGATCAAAGCGCAAGCCACCCCCAGTGGTAAATGTGTCATGGTATCCGAGCGCTTAAAGCTTATTTCAGATCAACACGCGCCGAGAAATAAGGTGCGGCAAGCTCAATTCGACAACCCATGGATCTGCTCGGGACTTACATTCGTGGCGCATGAATACGATGTTTTAGTTTTGGGGCAGTGCAGCGCCGAGTCTGGATTTCCAGCAGATGCCTAGTCTCTTCTGGAGCAGTCTAGGTCTCGGTTTAATTCAGTGACATCTTGAACAGAATACCAGATGATATCGTTTCTGTCCTGGTAAAGTTCATACCCCCCGAAGCCTTGCACAACTACTTTGTACCGCCAATCAATGTGATTTGTTGGACACTTTAACGTCAACAGCGATGAAGAGCGGTATGTGGCATCTTATGCCATCATTCCAATTCATGCGTGGATAGAATCAGCCGCCAACAGCCAGCAATACTGCGCATATAATCCCACAATCTTCGCAGCCCTTACCTCCAATCCTACGAATCTCCACTGCCCGGCATCATGACCAACACCACTGTAAAAACCGAACTCCGCTCCCAATGGACCAACCCGGGGGACGTCATGTCCCTCCTCATGCTAGTAGGCGGCGACATCGTGCAAAAAGCCCTAGCCCAGCTGGTCGGAGTCCGCTTTCGGATCCTCCCCCGAGTCCTCGACAACACATGGCTCTACCTCACCCCCGTCGCATTCTCCTTCGGCTGGGTGGCATACGCCTTTTCCTCGCTCGGGACCATCTTCGGTGATCGCCGACTCATGCCCAGTCCCGACACCGCCGTCCAAGTCATCAACCTGGATAACGGCTATGTCCGCGAGAACAATTCCTGGGTCTTGGGTCGTCTGGTACGCGATCGCGAAGGGAGCGTCGCTAAAGCAGATCGGTCAGCGGATCCGAACCTGGTTCCGGCGGATTCCACGGGCCAGGTGTCCATGAAGATTGATATCTTTGTGGCGGGTGCCGTGAATGATCATGGCCCTAGTGTGTCCTGCCCGTGGGTGTGGTGCTGGATCGCGATTATGGTGCAGCAGGTCATTGCCGCGATTCCGTGGATTCTGCATGGGGATTGGGGCATTTTTCTGGTAACGGTCACAGGGACGTTCTTTGCGGTTCTGACGGGCTCGTTGCCCCAGTGGGCAGGGGAGAAGTGGTCGGCTCCGAAGCTGTGGGAGGGAAAGACGAAGATGATGGCGCTCACTCGTGGTAACGGACATCAGTATGTGATGGTGATACTGGCTCACGGGGGAGCGTGGGATCTCGAGGCCATGTCTTCGGCTCGTCTCGATGTGCGGCCCGAGACACGGTGGGTGTTGCTGACGCTCGCTGTGCTGTGGTCGCTGTTGCTCATCACGGTGTCGGGGCTAACAAGCCATACGTGGTATCTTGTTGGTGTGGGGGGGTTAGGCATGGTACAGAATATCTGCGTCTCGGCATCCAAGGTCAGTCGTAAAGCGGCCAATATGAAACTGGATGAACATAAAGATCGGCCAAGTATCATTGCCTATAAACGGACCAAGGCTGCCAAGGATAGACTGAAGGAAACTGACCCAGCAGACTCGAATACCGACACGGAACTCGGCGATAAGCTTGGGGAAGACGACGTCCGAGATGTGATGGGTGCGTTGATGGAATTAGAGAAGTGGTTTACCAAGGCTGGGGCTGCTCTGGTGCCGGTGTTCTTTCCCGGCAGTGTCGAATATGATTCAGGGCTTCTGTACTCGAATCGGGAGAAAAAGTTCTGGAAACGCGCGACTGCGAAATCGAGGAAGGCAAAAGATGGTAAGCATCTCGGTCAGGTATCATCAGTTGACGGACACTATTAATATGCCGGGGGGGTAGACCGTCCGACTGTGACGTTCATCATGCCGGAAGCATCTCCTAGCGGTCTGATGGTCACCTTCCCGGTGTAGTCATGGCCTGTGGGCAGCAGATATATGTTTGTATCATCATCAATATGATCACCTCCATAGGATCATGGTATGACCAGCGGATAAGGCGAAAGTCGAAAAGCAGCGATCCCGTAAATACGAGTGCGTGCATGCGGCTGGAGGACCCAACCTTTGCTTGATCGTGCGGGAATCACTTCATCCAAACCTGCGTGGAGATACAGAGGCAGGCGTGTGCATATGAAACGAACCGGTCCCACCATTTGGCCCCCACAATCGGGGGCCGTCGGGGCTGAGGCGATTCGACGAAGCTAACCAACGCCAGCAAATGCAGTGGCATGAGCATCAGGCATGATGCAGCCCAATTAGCAACGAGGCTTAGTAGTAGCCCATCGCCGATCCGGCTCAGCCCCAGACGGGCCACCACAGCTTGTTTTTTTCTTCCTCGCCCACTCCCCGTAGTTAAGATCCTTCCTCGCCGACCTTATTCTTCCCCCCCCCCCCCCCCACCCACACACACTCACTCATCATGGTTTCCGCGGCCGTCCTCGCGGTCGTCGCCCTGCTCATCGGCGTGTACGTGCTGACACGGCCCAAGTCAACCTCGTCGTTGCCCCTACCCCCTGGCCCCAAACCCTTGCCCATTATTGGCAATATCCACCAAGCCCCCAAGTCGTACGGCTGGCGGACGTATCGCGAATGGAGTGAGCAATATGGCCCAATTGTGCACGTCAACATGCTGGGCCAGCCCGTGATCATCCTCTCCACGTCCGAAGCCGCCCATGAGCTGCTCGCCAAGCGGGGAGCCACCTTTTCCGACCGTCCTCGTCTGTTTGTAAGTCCCCCCCATTCTCTCCACCTGGTCCGTGCCGCGGCTAAACCATCCCACCAGTTGGCCACGGAGTTGGCCTTGAAAGGGCTCAACATTCTGATGATGAACTACACCGAGCAATTCCGCCACCACCAGCGACTCCAAGTCTCCGTGTTGAACGCCACCCCGGCGGCGGCCTATCTTCCCGTGCAGACGCTAGAATCCCAGCAATTGCTGTACGATCTGCTGCAGAATGCCGGGGGCGCGGGGACGGATGTCCAGGCGCCGTTCCAACGCACCACCGCCAGCATCATCCACACCTTGCTCTACGGGTACCGGATCCAAGACGCCCAGGACCCGGTGCTGCGCGCCGTGGTGAAATTTAACGAGGAATTCTCCGAGTTTATCCAAGTCGGCGCGCACATTGTCGACCAGTTCCCCATCCTGAACCATCTCCCCAGCTGTCTGGCCCCCTGGAAGGAAAAGGCCGAGCATCACTACAAGACCAAGTATGCCCTGCGCGCGGAGAACTTTCGACGGGGTCTGGAGTCGGAGGCGTGGAATATCTCCCAGCAGCTGAAGCAGACGGTCGAGAAAGATGGGAATGATATGCCTTTGGACGAGCTCGCCTTCGAGCTGGGGACCATGATTGATGCGGCGCTGGACGGTACCACCGACAGCTTGGTCTGGTTCATCGTCGCCTGCATCACCCAAGATCAGGGCTTCATTGCCAAGGCCCGCGCCGAGCTGGACGCCGTGGTCGGACGCGACCGTCTCCCCGGTCCGGAGGACAAGGCCAACCTGCCGTACATCAGCGCCATCGTGGAGGAAGTCTTCCGGTGGCGGCCCGCCGGCCCGGAAGGCGTGCCACACCTGAACCGCGAGGAAACCACCTACCACGGTTACACGATCCCCAAGGGCTCGGTGATCATCGCCAACGTGTGGACCATCGCCCGGGAAGAAGCCGTCTTCGGCCCCAACCCGGACGACTTCATCCCGGATCGCTGGCTCTGCGAGGACGGGAAAACCCTGCAGACGTTCCCGGCGCCGGCCTTTGGCTACGGCCGACGGACGTGCCCGGGCCGGTACTTTGCGCGGAATGTTATCTGGACGGTGGTCGCTCGGCTGATCTGGGCGTTTGATATCAAGGCGGGTTTGTCGGAGACGGGTGAGCCGATCCCCGTGGACCCGATTGCGTGCACGTATGGATTGGTGATGCGCGCGCTGCCGTTCAAGGCGGCGTTTCATCCGCGCGGGCCGTGGGTGCGCGAGGTGATTCAGCGTGAGGGTGAGACGTATACGAAGGATCATGGGGCGTTGTTGCGTCAGATTGGGGCGGAGTTTGCTAAGCTGTAATGCCTCATATACCGCGGACTCTCGGGTGTGGCGATGTATAGTGGATCATAGTAAAAAACAAGAGATAATCAAATGCCATCCATGGCCCTCGAGAGGAGTGGGGGCGAAGGATTCCGTCAACGATTGCAGATGGTGCCAATCCTGCACTAGCATAGCCCTGGCCGGATATAAATACGAGGCCTGCAGCTCGTCTGTCTGTCTGTCAATTCATCAAGACGAAGTGACCCATTCACCATGTCCCACTCATGGACCGTTTCCCCTCTCGACAACACCACCAGTGCCACCTCCCATCATGACTCCTACCCCCTAACACTCACCCTACCCATCGGCCTCCTCCCGCTTCTTCTCCTCCTCTTCATCACCTACTATTTCACCACCACCACCACCACCACCCCCTCTCCACCTAAATCCCGCATCATCCCCCCCATCGACCGCACCATCACCACCGCCGAACACACCAACCGCCACAACCACCACGAAAATGCCGGCTTCCTCTCGCACACCGCGGGCTTCTCCCCGTTGCACCCCACCACCCAGCTCCCCCCCTCCCACTCCGCCTGGGACACCCTCGCCACCTCCCTCCCCCACCTCATCCAAACCCAAACCGTCCGCTCGACCATCACCGCCCTGCCCCTCCTCGACGCCTCCCCGGCCGCCCTCCCAGACAAATACCTCCAACGCGCCGCGACCATCCTCGGCATGGCGGCCCACGTGTACGTTCGCATGGAGGGCAGCGAACCATTAACCCTCAAGTACCCCTCCCATGGGGCGATCCTGCCGCCCGCGCTGCATCTCCCCTGGGGCGTGGTCTGTAGTCGTCTCGGGCGAGAGACTCCCATTCCATCCTTGACGTACGTGGACGGGGTCGTGGCAAATTATACATCGACGAGCGTGGATCCGCGCCGGGTCGGGGTGACGAATCTCTCCCTCCTCGTGCCCACGGTAGGAAACCTAGAGGAGAAGATGTTCGTGGGCGTGATGATCGAAATCAATGCCAAGACGATCCCGATGATCGCGGGGATCGGGGAGGCGCAGCGGGCGGTCTTGGCCCGAGATATTGGGGCGTTAAAAGGCACCATTCGGAGGCTGCATACCGGGCTGAAGGAGGTGGGTCGGACGCTGGGAAAACTGACGGCGAATCGGGCCGTGCAAGGCCATCTGGATCCCGTGGTGTGGACGCTGACGGTGGCGAATCTGGGCATTCCGTGGGTGGAGGGCGCCGTGGGGGCGGCCGGGACGGCACATCCGTTTTTTCATCTCATGGATGAGTTTACGGGGCGGAGGGAGTATGGGAGTGGGATTGGGAGGGAGGCGCAGGTGGTGAGGGCGATGTATCCGGTGCATTGGCGGGGGGTGTTGGCGGCGGTGCGGGAGGTGGACGTCGGCGGGTGGGTCGGGGAGGGGGGGGATGAGGAGTTGGCAGGGTTGTGGAAGCGCTTCCTGGAGGCGTATCAGGGGGATCAGGGGTTGTTGGGGGTGCATCGGAGGAAGGTGTTTGGGTTTTTGGCCGTGTCGTTTCGGATTGGGAGGAGTACGACGATTAATGGGTTGGGGAGGAAGCGGAGGGCCGAGCCGTGGTTGGAGGCCGATCAGGCGTTGGAGATGGCTCGGTTGGAGAGGGGGGGGGGGGGAGGGGGGAACCGATGAGCAGCAGAGGGG